AAACTTATTATTTAGGTATTTATCCTTAATAATCTCCTAAATTATTTTGTTAGTTTCTATTAGATTTAACTGCGTAAATAGGTTAGGATAGAGCAGTGTCTAATTTCGGGCTGCTCGAGCTTTTTTTTGCGCAGGCGTATTTTGCGTATAACGCGTTAAAGCGTTAGGCTTCTTACTGTACTTACTAGGTTAGTAGGTAATTAAAAAGTTGAATTAGAATAGGTATTCGGACTAATAAGCCTATTAGTAGCTTAACTGCTTTATAGTTATAAAGTACTGCAGGTTTTTATAGTTACTAAGAACCTAAATCGGGAATACTGCGCTTTTTAGTTTAGGCCGCCACTGTTTAAAGTATCGGATAATTGCTAGGAGTTCCTTATTATAGATCTTATAGTTGTATTTAGCAGAACTTAACTATTTTAAGAAGTAGGCTACAGGTTAGAGTATTCCTTATTTATCTATTTGCGAGAGCACTCCAGCGTTTATATAGTCGGATAAATCGGCCTTAATAATAATCGGCAGTTTAGGGTCGAAATAACGGAGGATTAGGGCGGTGGTGAACGCTGTTTTAAGTTGTTTAAATACCGCACGGCAGGACTTATTAAACCGGAACAGAATATTCTTCTTTATAAGTATAATTAGGGGAGCAGCCAGGCCAGAGAAATTATTAATAAATTATTGGTAGAAGTTTATAAATCTAATAAAGGCTTGTATATTCTTAATATTATAGGGGACTTCCCAGTTATAGATATTTTTAATCTTATTCGGGTCTATACTAATTCCGCCGGTTAATATTATATACCCTAGGTAGGTAACCTTATCCTAATAGAATTCGCACTTATTAATATCTAGTTATAGGCCGGCGGCTTCTATTACTTCTAGAACCAGCTTTATATAATACTAGTAGTCTTCGAAGTTTTCGCTGTATATTAGAATATTATTAATATATATAGTATAGAATACGTCTAGGTATAGGCGGAGTATATTATTTATATAGTATTAGAACGTGCTAAAAGCGTTAGCTAATCTAAATAGTATTACCAGGTATTTAAACAGGCTGTATCGCGTCCGGAAAGCAGTTAGCTATTTATCTCCTTTCGCGATTTATAAGCGATTAAATATAGAGATAATATTAAGCTTTATATAGTATTTCGCCTTATTTAATTATACTAGGGTCTCCTAAATTAAGGGGATTAGGTATTGGTTTTTAATAGTTATAGTATTTAGCGCGCGGTAGTTAATATAGAATTATAGGCCTCCTCCGGGCTTTTTAACAAAAATAACCGGAGAGGCGACAGGTAATAAACTAGCACGGATAAATCCTTTCGCGAGGTTATTATTAAGGTACTTCCTTAGCACCTTTAATTTGTTTTATAATATTCTATATAACAGGCTAAATCCGTGCAGTTTGCCGTTTTTAAGCATAATCTTATAATTATATATTTAGTGTTTAGGTAACTTATTAGCTTCCTATTAGGAGAAGGTTTTTAGTAAATAGTAATATTATACTAGGACTTTTATAGCTAGGTTGGTTTAAGTCTTTAAAGCTAAGGCCTTATTAATATTAGTAATAGTAATAGCAAAGATTTTATAATCGGGTTATTAGGCTAATTAGGTTATAAACGCCGTGTTTAGCATGCGGATATCCGTCCGGGTATTAGGTTTAAATTTAGAATTAGATTTAGTTTCGGGTTCGGTTTCTAGCTTAGGTTTAGGGTTAGGTATATTTATTTGGCGTACTATTTTAGGAAGCTAGTAATTATATCGGTGTTGTATAGACAGGCTTAATTACTGTAAGTAAGAGCGTTAGGTTAAAGGTATTAGGCACTACTTAATAAGAGGCGCTTTAGGAAGCTATTTTATATAAGTTCTTATTATAGAGGTTTAGAAGTTGCGCAGGTATTACGCCTGGTATTAGGACAATTAAAATAACAGTTATTAGTTATTATAGTTAAATCTAATATAGTGCTTATACAGCTAGGGCTATCCTAGTAGCAGCTTATATTTACCGAGTTTTAGTATATAGAAACGGATCTATTCTATATAGTTTAGGTGGCGGAGGGTTACTTATATAGAGTGCGTAATCTATTCTTTTTTAAGCGTTTTTCTATTAAATCTAGTTAGGCGTAAAACGTAAAAAAGCGGGTTAAGGCGGAGGTTCTATACGCGCGCCAGATTCCTGTAAATATAACCTATACCTATAGCTCTACTATTAATTAGAGCTACAGCGTTTATACAGGTAGGGCCTTATTATACAGAAATAGGGATAAAAATCTATTATTTCTAGAAGTTAGGTTTAGGTTCTTTAAATAGGTTTATAGAAATCCGGGGTTAGAATAGTCCCGGGGGGCGACTTAGCCCCGGAATAGGGCTTTTAACAACTTCTTTATATAGGATAAGCGGCTACCTCTAGATTAATTAGAGCTAGAAAATAAAGCGGTGGATATAGAGGAACAGCGGGTAGATAAAAATTAGGTGGAATTAGTTAATTGCGTGTATATACGCGGTCGGGGGCTTAAAGGCTTATCTACGCTAGATAATTAGACTTAGGGTAAAAGGATAGAGTAATCGCAGGAGATATAGCTATACTTTCCGCATTTAAAGCAGAGGCCCTTTTAATAATATTTATCTTATTCGGCTGAGCCGGCTAGAGTATATTTAGATATATTAATTTCTATTATATCTAGGTTCTTTTATAATAGAGGGGAATATTAAAAAGGTTAGCCAGGCAGGAATTATAGATTGTTATTATACTTCGCGATTAAGTTAGCATAGTCGTTTAGATTATCCGGGGTAGTAGCGCTAACTATTACACGGCGGAGTTTATTAAAAAGGGAGTATTAAAGCTAAGTTATTAGGCCAGCTTTATTTAGATCTATATTAGCGGTAAGTTATTAGAATTTAGTAAAGTATAATATAAAGGCACGCCTTTCTTACTTTAGTATATAGAGTTAATTTAAGAATATAAGTTTCTAGTTTAGATTGCTATATATAGCCTGTAGGAATTAGATAAGTTAATTAATAGTATAGATATCTTAGTCTATTAAGGGGTCGATAAGCGTTAATAGGTTAGATTCTAATTAAGAGTAAGCGTATAGCAGGCGAGCACGTTTAGTTAGGTATCGATTAGCATTTCCTTCTAGTTTATACTATAGTTGTCGGACAAAAATTAGGAGTTCCTTTTAACTCCCCTTAAATATTAGAGGGTTAATTAGATATTCGGTCTTTAGGGTCGGCGGGGCAGCGGCTGTTAGGAAGAAGTCTATTAAAGTTAGCGGAGTAACTTTAATAGTTAGGGTCCGTATATAGTTTATATTATTAGCAGGTATTAAGCTATTATTTAATTTATAAATAGAAGGCCCTGTAAATTATTAGTCGGGCGCCAGTAGTGGAGTAGGGGTAGATTTAGACTGAATTGCGGCTACTTCCTCCCGCAGAGCAGCAATTTCCTGTTTCTGGGCGGACAGGACTTCTATTACAGCAGCCTGCTGTTCCTTTATAGAGCTGACGAGCTTTAGAAGTATTATAGTCGGGTCGGCAGGGGTGTCTATAGTAGTAAAAGTAGATATAATATAATATTACAATAGCGCTACACGCGAGAGGTCGAGGGCTTAAAGAGGAGCGTTAATTAGGTGCTATATACAATGCTACGTGGAGAATCAAGACGTTGTGTAAGGAACAGGAAGACGGGAGACGGGCCACCGGATATAAGGGCGTGGCCGAGCGCGTGGCGTACGGCCTCTATGCCGTTTCGGCGCGTGGCACGCGTGTACGCGAGGTCCTTACCAGATCAGGTGATAGGAAAAGGGGGCAGCCGGTAGGTGGCTGGAGCGGGACAGGATAGGAAGCGGAAGCGAGACGGGAGCGGAGCAGGGTAGGCAGGGCAGGAGGCCGGCCAACGGTAGTAGGCCGGTGCAGATTGCTGGAGTTGTAGCAATCTGCGGCAGAATTTCGGTAGGTAGGGTGTCGCGGTCGATACCGTGACACTAGCCCGATTAAATGTCGACTTGCCTACGGGCTTCGGGTCTGTTTCCAAGGATTGTTTCTCTGCTGGATGCTTATAATTAGATCAGAAGTTTATACATGCCATGCAGACATACCAGAGTCAAGCCAAAGGCGGAAGTCCGAACACAATTCGTCCACAACAATGCACGTGACAACAGACTGGGTCGAGGTCCAGAAACAGCAACATGAAGGTATATGAGTGCGGAACGACCGAGGGTTCGAGTGAGGCACAAATGTGATCATGTGGGGCTCGTTTCTGGGAGCTTATCTGTGAATTCGGGGAGTTAGCTGTGTCTGTCGTCTTAGAGCTACGATCCAGGCCATCGTTAAGACAACAGTCGATATCTTTGGCTTGATTGAGAAGTTCGCGCACGCTCACCTTGCTTGTTACTTTCCTGTAAACTCTCCGTCAGTCGTCAAGGATGGCAATTTCCATACTGCAGAGCATCGTGAAACCCCCATGAAGAAGTTGCAGACCGTACATCCAGATTTCGAGGGTCCCACAACTTCAGAAAAACGCGTGGCGATGCAAAGGGAAGCTATCGAGAAGATTACTACCCAGGATAGTAGTAGATTCCTGTCAATTAGAAGCGCTTGTTCTACTACGCGAAGAACAACAAGATAGGTAGATGTCTTACCCTCAAAACAAACAACAAACTAATTCTCAAATGCAATATCACCACGACAGTTCAAAGTCGGTACGTAATCTCAGGCTCAAGCTGCAGATCAAACTCCAAAACGCCCCCTTCCCCACTGCGTCTCCCAACAACTGCACCTCTCATCCTTCCTTGTCCCGAAACTTAATCTCTCCTTTCGTGTCCTAAGTACTCGGGCTCGGCTGTCGGTAGTTCATGCATTGAATGGTATTCCTCAGGATGCGTAGAGATCTCACTGGGATGCGTGAAGATCTCATGCACAGGTGCCGATGCTAACTGGGGCATCTTTCCGGCATTGTTTGCGTTCGTTCCCATCGTGAGAGCGTAACTAGCATTTCGAACGTGCCTCCGGCGGCGGGAGCGGAAGAAGAAGAAGATTATTGCAATGGCGGCGCAGGTGACGAGCGGGATCCCCACGCCCATGCCCACTTTTGTGCCGGTGGAGAGGCTAGGCTTTGAAGGAATAGAAGCTATGGGTGTCATGGTTGGGGGTATCGTGGATGATACAGTTGGGCGTGGCGTGGATGACTTGCTTGGTGGTGTCATGGTTGGTATGGCCGTGAGCACCGCGGCGTCTGAACCTTGATACCAAACGGGAACCCCATTTCCCCATACGTATGACGCCGCCGGATACGTGCTGAACGACACTGGCCCCGGAACCCAACCCTTTGGGCCGTCGACTCTGGGAGATATGTAGGCGATGATCTGGTTTGCAGTGATGGTGGAGCTGCACCAGTGATTGAAAGCCTGGTAGTCGTATCCGCTGGTTTCGGATGAGCTATAAGCAATTGCTAGTGGTGACCCAAGGGAGAGCTCACCTAGGGCAGCATAACGCTGCGGTAGTCTCGGAGCCAATAGCTATTACATTGGAGCCGGGGGGGTCGTACGGATCGTCAATGGTGGTGGAGAATGTTTTCGCTGTGTAATACCCGTATGGACATATTGCTGGAGAATCTTTAAATGTTTAGTATGATCGCAAGGTAGGTATACAAGAGTATAAAGTCTCTTACAATAGTAGGAGGCCCAATCTGCGCTCGTGCCCGTGAAATAAGAGGTCAAATCTACACTCGTCCCTAGTTCTTTGGCTAGTGATGATGCAGAGGGGTAGCAGGCTAAGTCTATGTAACTTCTCCCTCCGTAGCCATATTGCATTCCATAATCCCCATTTGGATATGCCAGGGTGAGCGTCTGGACGCAGGAGGCTGGGGGTACAAATAGTGTGGTAATAGGTCCGCGATTGTGCTGGGAAATGATGCTTGAGTCTGTCACTAACACCAAGGTGTCGGTGGTCGTCGCCGCCGGCTGAGTCGTGATGGCCGCCATTTCAGTCGAGAGCAACCCTGAAGTCTTGAGAAGGAGGAAAGAAGAGTGGAGGTGACTCTGATCATACAAAAGCTATCAGCCGCGGAAAGAGGTGGGGAGGGCCGAATGCCACATATACACAGCCCTACCGACACTCGGGTACCGGGCCTAAACGGGCAAGCCTCCTCCTGGCCACAAGATGTCAGCATGTAAAGGGTGCCTAATATGTTGGATGTGCTTTTGGCCCCCTAAGCCTTGTCTACGAACGACCTCCCATGTCGCTTAAGACTGCGGCCCCTCAGCCTTACCCGCTAAGAACCTAATCCGGTCTCCTATAGAATCGGGACTCGGGCTGCAGTAATCCGTCCCTGTACCATAGGTCAAATGCTGCACAGGTGGGAGCGGTGAAAGGCTGTAGAATTTGCTGCATGGCTGCACGACATTGATGTTATTGGGTTGGGGCTAATTGGAGTGGAGTGGTTGGAGGCCTGATTTTAATTTCAGGGGCCGGGAACAAAGCCCATGTGAGTAATCACGTGATCGGGGAAATATCCGCCGTGATGTTCAGATGCGCTGATGGCTTGACATGTTAACGATGATCTTGATGTCTGCGTTGGAACTCTTGGTGATAGAAACTTGAGATCTTCTCTGACTGACAGACACCAATCGTTGAGCACGTTCTAGCCTTGCCGAATCATATGCGCCATGTGGAAGTCTAAACACTTGATGCGCCAGAGGGAGTTTTGGCTCCTCGGCCAGCATCGAAACATGACCGTATAACGTACAGGAGGTAGAGATCTTGGCGAGGACGTACGTACAGGTTGTATTAGCAAAGGAGAGAAAGATGTATAAGCAGGAAGAAGTGGCAAAGGGCGGGGTATATCAGAATCTGGGTGAGAAGCAGAGGGAGTTGAAGTTGCGAGAAGAGAGTGTGTAGGAGCTGCGAGAGGAGAAAGACCGGGATATGGCGGAAACAATAGCCCGGGTGAAGATGATCTACGGCGAGTAAAAGGAAGAGGTCATGCGACGCGTCATCCGCGTCAAGACTTGGACGAAGAGCCTCTACGACCGGCAGCCCGTTGGCCGAACAGCGCGCCCGGGTGCAGGCAAGCGCCGGGTAGGAAGCTAGGTTGTTGGAAGGGCCTTTTAGAAGGTGACGTTTCGCGCGATTCTGAACATCGACCGCAACTGATACCAACCACTTGCCATGAATGCATACATCGAGGCATACTTACGCAGCTTCAAGACTTCAGAGCCAAGCTAGAGATGATGACTGATAGTTCAAGCACCAGCCTCGCTAGGAACAACGTGTTGATGACGAAAGCGAAAGACCTTGCCCATCTTCTTGAAGGAGTCGTGTGAGGAGATCAAGGGCGGGTACTGGCTCGAAGAACCATGATGGTCGTGTGCAGTCGTGGAGGCGTGGGAATGCTGCTGGTTTCACGTGACTCCGGGACGGCGGAGCTGATAGGAGAGCACTTCGCAGGGACTTCATCCGCGAAGGCCCAAGCAATTGCAGAGCGATGGGAAGCGGTATTAGAGATGCTAGACGCGTTGAGGGAGATGGTGCTGTAGTGCTCATGGTAGCGTTGGTATGTAGTTGACTTCCAAAGGTTGGAGCGCGGCGGAGGTCCCTTCGGTACTTCGAAACCGAAAATCTGGCCGACGTTTGCTTGCCGAGTTCTCGTCTTTTCTTCCGCTTCTCTCTCCCAAGTGTCCCATATTTTCATGATGCATAGCGAGGAGCATTCTTTGGTGTTGGGTGTCTCGCTTTCCAATCGCAGTCCGAAGTATTGGCTTGTGACGGGAACCTCGTCAATTACCAAACACGTCTTTTTCGCTGCCGACGGTGCCGTTCCACTTGGTACTCCAATCATGACAGTGTCGGACATGGCATCGCAGTCGACGTTAAGCAAGTAGTCTCGCCACCTGCCCGCGAGTTCGAGATTAGTCGCCGGAATTTGTTCCACATAGATGAAGACGTTTTATGGCAACACCACCAAACATAACATATAGAGTAGAATGGATATATATAAAAGGTCTGTGTGCTGCGCATCCAACCTCAAATTCCAGTTCTTCGTTACAAGTTCTTCGTTACAAGTTCTCTATTCATTTTCCTGGCATTTAAGCCGCTTCTGTAACTTCCTAGCCTCCCCCTTTTCGCTTAGAATAACCTAGATGCCTTCGCTGAGTGCGATGGTTATTCTGGTACCGCGTTGGTAAGTATCTTATCCTGAGGGGATGGGTCTGTCGAATCCCAAATATTCGAACCGTGCACCAAGTACTGCAATTTTCGAGACATCTTCAGCTTCAATTGAATGTTTTAGTGCATGCTTCAACTTCCATTTCTGTAGTAGAGCTATTGACTCCCTTTTGCTTGCTTCAGAAGCTTTCAAATGAGGAATACCGATAAACGCAATGCCAGCACCTGCCCTGGGCATCCAGGATCATTGCTCACCGCTTGTCAAAGGACAGTCCCGGGGCTGGTGAAGCACCACAAGATGGCGGTGCGCAACAGTACCGTGCGGCGAAGTGAGACGACCCCGATCGCGGTTGATTTTGGTCATGCAAGTCTGTCCGCGTGGTTCTGGAGTATGCTTGTCTTCCTCTCCTGCCAGAGAACGACCCAGATCCCGCGTTTGCATTTGCACAGACACTCGTGGATAGTGACTTCTACTTCATCACGCTACGCCTCTTGCGTGGTGACACGACCGGCAAGGCAGACACTCGCAGATATCCACTTTCAAACGTCACAAAATAAGATACAAAGCGGGCCCAGCTGCTCTGTAAAATCGACCAAGGCTCTTCTACTGAACGCTTTTGTCCCCACCGCCATGGCTCCCTCCGACGATGCCAGCAGCCCGACCATTCGTCGGGTTGACAATAGCGTCTTCTTTGAGCTCAGAAACAACAGATATGTGGCATGGCCAACCGCAGAAATACCTGTACGAAAGAAAGTCCACGGAGCGCTTTGAGTGACATACTTACAACTCGACAGTCGGGTTTTTCCGACGCAGATGGGTCACTCGTAACGGTGACCTCGTGCAGTCATTCCCAAACGATCGACGCAGCCTGGCTACGGAAGCCGATTTCGCAATGGTCCGAGAAAGATGACGTTTTCACGCTCGATTTTCTTCAGAATATCGTTTTCGTATTCAAAGGCGCTCCCCTTCAGGATACTGCATTCGATGTCACTACGCTCGACGCGAAAGAGCTGCTCAAGTCGTGGGGCAACCAGGTACACAATTATCATTCAGTTCTATTACTCTCCCAGGGCCTTACGTTTACACAGACGGATCGTTGTGGCAAGCGCGCAGACTTTATGATGACGTCCAGAAATCTTTTTTGGTCGCCGTCCAGGAGTCCCCAACCCAAGGGTCAGTCCTTGAGTATCCTTAATGTCTCTTTGACGCGACTGAAAAGCCAAAACTGACCTGTAGCAGAGGAAGTACAAGCTCCTGAATGACGGAAGGCACGGCTGGGACTGCGTGTCTGTGGCAGTACCCTCGCGCCTTTGCGTACATGACCCTCCTCGAAGTCCCTTTGAGGGCGCCCGAGTGGCTCTCAAAGATGCATTCGATGTGGGCGGTATCTGGATGTCTTTGTGCAATAAGGCGTACCTGGAGCTCTACCCCCCAGCCGAGTCTACTGCTCCGTCACTGAGAAACATCATCCAAGGCGGTGCAAGCATACTAGGGAAAAGTAGACTTAGCTCTTTCCTTTGTCGGGAAGAACCATCAGAGTCCGTCGACTACCAGACTGCCTGGAATCCCCGAGGCGATGGATATCAAGGCCCTGGGGGAAGTAGCAGTGGTAGCGCGTCGGCAGTGGGAGCTTATGACTGGCTGGACATTGGCATCGGAACTGATACTAACGGAAGCATCAGAAAACCTGCCCAGTGCAGTGGTTGCTTCGGGCTGAGAATTAGCCAGGGAGCCGTTTCATCGTAGGGAATGTTCTCTGCCTTCAAGTAAGCATTGATTCTTTTCTGGATGGTTTTTCGGATACTCTAACCTAATGTCTGTGATAGACGTTTCGACGTTCCGGGGATATTCTCTCTTGACCTTACAAAATTGTCCACATTTGCAACCTCTTGGTATGGAGAAAAAATACCTGCACTCAATCTAGAGGTAAATCACGTGGCATTCTCTACCATGTTCTGTTCCTAATAATCATGTAACGTGCAACACAAGGGAGCCGGCCACCCAAGCGAGCCGGCCACCTCATCAACTCTCAACAGCTTTGAACGTAGATTGCTCCACAACGCTAATAGATATTAACTTAATTCAACTTGCAGTCTATTCTATAATAACTTCCTCATCTTTTTAACACGTACGAGCATTATGTCCTGTCTCGCCGCAGCGCCTACAGCGCGCTTGCTGCCGTGCACTTCCACCCGGGCGCCTCCTATTTTAACGCATTTCGCCCTCAATTTGTTTATTAGCTTCCTTTTAAGCGATTATATCAGACCCCTGTGCCTTTATTAGGACTCCTTGCCTCTAAATTCGCTTTCTTTTGCGTTCTCTACGCTTTATGGCGGCCTTATTCGCCTTTTAAAGGCTTGTGACCTGATCGCGCAATAATACTGCCCTATGCATCTGCATCTCAGCGCCTCTAATAAGCAAATTAAGCGACTTAAGAATTGCAGTAGAAGAGCTATTTTAATACATTTAAATGCGATTATAAATCAAAGCTAATTAAGAGCCTAGCTTAAGAGCATTGCTTGGTGTTTTTAATTCCTATTAAGCCTCCACCACGGCGAGAGGCAACGGCATATAAAGCATAATATTAAGCTTTAAAAGCACTGCCTCTAGATTAAGCGGCATAAGGCCGGCGCCTTAAAAGCTTGCACAAATATTGCTTTTTATAAATAAGTTGTTAAATACTGCTTTAAAAGCTAGTAGGAACTTAAGCTTTATAATATAGTTAATATGGTTGCGCGCTAGATCCTTAATTTAGCGACCGTACGCTTTTTTCAACGGCGTAAAACAGCCTATATTAAGCGGCTGCAATAGATGCGAGGCGTGCGGCGGCATATATAGTGTAATAATATTGTTCTCCTTGCAAAGCTCTTTAAATTCGAGCGAGTTATAGCTCTTATAACCGTCCAAAATAAGCAAGCAATATGCACCTACGGTGCAGTCCTTTGTATGCGTATTGAAATATTGCAGCTATATAACACTAAGCTTATTTATCGTCCAGCTATTATTGCTTACTGCTATAGCCCAGTCTAGCGGTATATTACTGCCCTCGTACTATGCAGAAAGGTGGTACTTGCCCGCAAGGATAATAAACGGCGGGATTGCCTATCTATATGCGTTAATAGCCTTAATTACAGTAGCCTACTCGCGATTACCTGGTTATATAGCTTTTAGTTAATTTTATCTCTCGGAGCCTGTAACAACTACTCCTGTTAAGATAACACCTATCTAGAAGCCGGTTTTATTAAAGTTGTAGGAGTTGTTATCCGTAATACTATACTTCGCCTTTATATTACGCACAAGCTTAAACCACAGCGCAATAATCCTTAGATCTTTGCATAGAGCTCTCTGGCAATTGTACTTTCGATTAAACCGTGTTTAAAGCTCATCGGTCCGCTTAACAAAGTTGCATGGCCAGTTCTTGCCAACCTGGCCGGCACTGCGCTCTCTAAGTAACTTATTGGCCATATCTCTTACAGCGTTTAAGCTAGGCGCAAACCCTCGCGAATCCAGATCGAGTACATGTTCAATAATAACTGATTCCTCTAGCTTTGCAAGCTTTTTTGAATTGGGCTCACAATCGCGTCGAGCGGTGGTTCCGGCGCGTTGGTCTTGGAGCGTGCTTCTAGGGACGTTGTACGTTGCAACAGCGCGTCGTTCGCTTTGAAGTTGATTCTTATCAATTGCTAAGATAGCTAGGCAGATTCGGCCTTCTTTTTGGATTGATTGTACATTGCGTTGTTGAGACATGGTGGTTGAAAGCTAACGGAGCGCGTTTTGGTGATGAGGTGGCCGGCTCGCTTGGGTGGCCGGCTCGCTTGTGTTACACGTTAGAGTCTATCCAAACATGTAGTCTATTTGACCGACAATATGCCCGAAGGTAGCACTCCACAGAAAGAAGTGATGCGGCTGGTCAATGGCCTTGCTAGCTATCTTGGAGTAACGGCAAATGGGATTAGTATCAGTACACTATGGGACGCGAAACCACCAGATGCAGCACTGGGGGAACCTCTTCATGAGTTTCTCAAAGAAGTATGTGTCGCGTGCAATTTCCCAATAGTCATAATTTGTTGCTGATAGGAGTGTATTCTCTTTAGGTAGGAGCTAGCACGTTCCTCTATGAGAACTACCAAAGCGCAGCCGACTTCCGAGACGATTATCGCGAAAAGCTCAACAAGAATCCGTTTGTCAGTCACTTTGTGCAATGCCGATAGTACGTTGTTTTGGTATTGCAATCCTCGTCACGGGTTTCACGCTAATTGACGCACGGTGTAGGAGCATTGGAAAAACATTCACACAAGCGCAATTCGACGAAAGCGTACGTCGTATGGATGTTTACAAGGCATGGCTCCTTGATGCAGTCCTCGAAATGGGAAAAAAGCACACAGTAGTAGTCACACAGAGCGAAGACGTAAAGTCAAACTATCGAGATGACCCACCACCGTAAGGCTCATTCTTTCTGGCAATTCGAGGTCCAGATGATAATATTCCAACCTTACAGCGCATACTATATTCAACCAGCTTGGCACCAGTGGTGGGGTTCGTCCGTTCTTGGGGCGCCAGAGGTTGTCATTCCAGGTGAGTATCTTCACTTTGAACCATTTGCGCCATGTCTAATCCTACCAGCCGGCCAAATGCCTTACAAGTCTCGAATTACCGGAGTGACTGAACACTTGCCAGTCATGGCTTCACTCCTTACGCAGCCTGGTACGTTAGGATCTCGTGAATAACACAATTTTTGACTTACTGACACCCAAGAAGGCAGCGACACGCAACTACTTGAACTTACGCATGCTTTCTTGGAAGGCGTCGGACGTCCGACAGTAGTGAAGAGTGGAAGTACCATGTTCAAGATCGAGGGCAAGGCGGAGGAGGTACCCGCAAATCCATGGCTGTAATTCGAGTACCTCTAACTTGCGTCATCTGTCCTTAATGAGTATAGAAAATAGAAATGAACCTCCCGTTTCAGGAGCCGGTGACACTATCATATCAATGCATATACAAGTTTGAGGATATTACTTAATGTACACCCGTCCGGCGCCGTTTCTAGGCTTTTAAGAATGTGATAAAGTACTATATAGCAGTAAGATAAGTCGTTTCAAACCTTTGGCACTTCTCTAATTTTTGTATTCACAGACTTTACATCCTGCCCAGGTCTTGAACCATGCACTAAGGTGCCGCATACTGCCTTTGCCTCCGATCTCGAGAGAAAATTAGAATCAGCTGCTACCCATTATCTAACGCGATCTTGCGGATCCCATCGTCTGGGTTCACAGTCCACTAAATGAATGTCTGGTGCACTCAAAGCTATTTCTCTAAACGACAACACAAAGCCATGTCCCGATCGCTACCCTAAACGCCATTCACTCCATATCCACTAGCTAACAAAGTCGCTAGAACCTGCACGTCCTCCAACGGAACCACCGTCGCCACCGACATATGTGACTAGCTCAAACCGTTGAAGTTTAGCAACACAGTCTAGCTCTACGGATCTGCACCGCTGCCCCCGCCACCGTCTGTGCCTTGATCGGCTTGTCCGCCAGGAACGCAAACTTCGGCACAGTTAATGAAGCAAGCTCCAGGGGAGTTATTCACATCACGTCCACCTTCATGTCCAGAATCCCGTTCGCGTTCGCATTGGTCTTCGGCGGCCAATCGGTCCGAGGTTGTAGCTTTTAGTTGACGATACTAACCCAGAATGTGGCCGCTACCTTTGCCACCGAGACGATCTGGTCACCAGTAGAACCGTGGAGAAAAGCTATGTTGGTCGTGTTGGTGGCTTCCTAGAGCTTGATGGCTACCTTGAGGAGCTAGACTCAAAGATGGCTTCTCATCAACTTCACTGCAGAGGAAATCAATGACTAGAACTATATGGAAAGCTGCGATATATTCTAGATCTTGAAAAGTATACTTTAAGATCTTGAGAGGCACGGAATACTTCATTAACCATTCACGTTGGCTATTTCAACTTCTCCTCTCCACGTCTGTCCAAAAAAGTAGAATGGAACGGCCAAGAGCATGCCTAACGAAACCAGCATGAACATGATCATGTATACTTGAATCCAACCGCTTGACGCAACCCAATCCACGGCAGTATACAGAAACAGGAACGCGACAAGATTCTTAAAGACATTTATGGCGACTAGACACTCTGCAACAACTCTAGGATAGCACTCAACGACGTAGGTAACGGCAATGTTGGGCGCGTATATCGTCCCGAATGATACTGCAACCAATCAGCACAGTCAAAACGACTAGATGGATACTTACCCATGCCAAATCCGAACGCGATTGCAACCCAGTGCAGCTTTTCAGAGCAGGCGAACGCAATAAGGATGCATCCGGCAGGGGCGATTAGACAACCAGGGATGAGCGCCACTAGCCGTTGCTCCGGATACACAGCGCCTTTCTGCTTCCTGATAACAACCGCGGTGATAATATCAGCAAAATAGCCGCCGGAAAAGCAGCCGATCAAGAAACCAATAATCGCCGCAATCTGCATGAGTCCGACTTCACTACCAGAAAAGAGATAAGGCGGCGCAAGGAGCAAACTTGGAAACGCGAATCTGCAGCCGTCAGCGTCAGTCTTACCGATTCAGGTCAGCTTACATGAGAATGATCTGAGATGCAAGACTAGTTCCATAGATAAAAGTAGCTAAGAGAACACTTGGCCGAAGAAGCATCTTGAGTGGACGAAAGGCCACCTTCAAAATATTAATCTCAGGGTCGATGGTGAATACGCTCGTCCAGATACTCAACCAAGGCTTGGGTACAACGCTGACACGATGGCGGGAGATGGTTTCCGTTCTCACAACCTGAACTTTCTCGTCATCTCCACTTGTCACCGAAACATGATGTAGCGACTCTTCCGGTCTGTTGAAGTTGGACTCTGGATATAAGAAGTAAATTCCCACAGTGTTCACACCAGCGAGTGCGGCACAAACCCATACATAGTCAACCCATCCACCGCGGCTATATTGTACGATGAACGATGCTATGAGCGGGCCAATTGCCGTGGAACTGGAGACGAGGATTGTATACCTTCAGTGTCGATTAGCATTTATCGCGTTAAGTTAAAGTTACTGAACTTACCCAGACATCATAGCGGCATGTTCGTGAAGAAAGAAGATGTCAGAGACAATGCTGGGGACAATACTCTGCGATGGGGTTAGCTTTGCAGCATGTTCATGTCGGAAACTCTCACTTCTCCTGCCGCTGATACAAAACCTGACAAACATCTCGCCGCTAAAAGGCCAGTAAATGCTGTTTCCTTCGCGGTCCAAATGAGCACAGCGAAGAGCATCAAGGTCGAGATGAGAAGCGATGCTCGTTTGCCGAACTTGACGCCGAGCGGTACCCAGAAGAGATTTCCAATTCCGAGAAGTAAAAAGTTGAACTAGACGAGTAGTCAGAGCTAAACCACATTCCATGCGCTGAAGCAAAACTCACAGTTAGCAGTCCGTTGACCTGATTTGGCGTTTTGTGGAATTGCGCTTGTAACACTGGAGTTGCAACGGAGAGGCCTGCACCAGCAAAATTTGCCGTAAAGTTGGCAAAGGCTGTGGCACCAAGTGCAGCTAGCTTTAGACTTCGAGGCCATCGCAGTGGGTCTCTCTCGTCATCGGTGGGATGTGGAATGAGAGGTAAGCCGTGGTGTTTGGCGGCGGCCTGGTGTATTTCGTTGGTCTTGTTGGAGTCAGTTGTCGACATCTTCGAGGAAATGATGGATCTAGCAGGAACTCAAAGAAGGATTGTAAATCAGCAGAGATCCAAATAGCGACGGCAAACCTTTATAGACACAAGGGGTTGAGATCTCGATTTGCCGTTGAAGTTTCCCGCTCGGATATGCTCGCTCGAAAACGCGTTATGTTTAGCCTTTTTCTCCACATACCCCAACTTTTCATGCGGAGAACTCCAGTGTGGCTTTCGACTATTCTAGGGGATATTGACGCTAGGATGCGGTTATTGGAGCTCGAGGACTAATACTCGCTTGGGCCGCCCCGAGTTTCGGGGAGATGGGAGGGGTCGGGGAGTTAGGAATCATAAGAAGAATCGACACTTTGTGCAAGCCAATTACGGCATGTCGAAACAAAGATTAGACCAGCTACATTGCTGGCCTAGACTGTAGACTGAGTCGAAATTTACTATCTAACATTTCTATCCGACGCACGCAGGTCAACACTAATGGCGAGCAAGCCAGGCCGCGGGAGTACAATACTGACCATTGTACCACACAATATCACTCACTGGCTATCCTTACTATATTTTCGAACATCATAAGAAAGACCCTCACTTTCACCGTTATCTCCTCATCTACGCTTTCTGCGCCGAGAAACCACCAGCAATCATGACCCCGAAGCTCGATTACGCTTTCACTTTACACGTCGATCTTGCTCCTCCCCATGACTTTGGCAAAACCGCTGGAGGTGAAAAAAGATTTGTTCCCATCACTAGAGGGTGATTTCGTAGGGCCTAAACTCGAAGGAAGAATTCTTCCAGGTGGCGGGGATTGGAACGCTGCTAGGCCAGACGGTGTGGTACATGTCTTTGCCAAGTACACAATCCAAGCCGAGGATGGAACTCTTCTCAACGTGACCAACGAAGGATACGGCCGAGCAAGTCAGGAGACCATTAAGGCAGTTTTCGGAGACGAGCCATCGAAGGCGTCAATGGCAGAGGGAGGGGCGGCGTGGTATACAAAGACATTTCCGAGATTCGAAGTAGCCCTTGGACCACTTGGATGGCTGAACAGTGCTTGCTTTGTTGGAGATCTTCTCCCCCCGAAGGTTCTAAATCATGTTAAAATCGACGTCTATGAGATTTTGTAGCTGATACATACTTCATGACCATTTTAATATCAGAATAGAAATCAGATTTGACATGGACTTTTACTTCGACTGAGCGATATGATATTACGAATTGCTCAGCATAAGACGCAAGCCGATAGTGCATTCTGAGAAGCCGGGGAGGGTGTGTTAGCTTGATCCCAGCATTAGACGGAGAGGATGGATTCCGGCGGCTTGCTTCCGCGTCTGCGGCATCTGCGGCTCGGAGGACTAGCACGCTTTTCTTCTTCCCCGCCGGAGTAGGTGCTGGCAGAGCATCGCTAGCGACGCGTGAACAAGCTCAAACATATATCACTAGGCCAGCCATAGACCAAAACTCTGCCATTTACGATTGTATCACGCACCTTTGCACCCGTACATACATCCCTCGAGAAAAAGATTCGACCAGTCGTCCTGTATCGAGAGTAATGCTGGCCGATATGGTTCAAGTCGTCGAAGACTATACGCCGGTGGTCAATGGCACTGCATCTACCGTGAAAAGTCGTAAAACATATCAACAGGCTATCGTAAGCTCCCAACCAAGCCTGACAGCTTCGTATCTGTCTCAGTCGTTACGATTCCTTCAGAAACTGAGAAGCAAGGAAAACTTCACTGAAGAGCCGCGTTCCTCTAGTCATCCAACACCAGCACGCCTCAGATTAAACATCGTGGTTGTTGGAGCAGGACTTGGCGGGCTTTCTCTTGCCATTGCTCTAGCTCGAAGAGGACACTCCGTGCGAGTACTGGAGCAAGCTTCAAAGCTTGGAGAAGTGAGTACCACCTCTATCCATCCTTCAAAGCGTATCCCAATCAATCGATCCAATAGGTGGGAGCAAGTATTCAAATTCCTCCAAATTCTGGACGGTTGCTCCACCGATGGGGAGTCTTTGAATATTTGGAAAAGTGGGCAGTCAAGCCAGAAGGTATCAACTTTCGAAGATGGGAAGATGGACAAGCCATAGGCTACACTGCTCTCGGGAAGACATTTCAAGCAGACTTCAATGTGCCTTATTATGTGGTCCATCGTGCTCACTTCCATGAAGCTCTGCACCAACGAGCGTCACAACTGGGTGTAGCGGTCGAATTGCATTCCAGGGTCGTAGGGTACAGTGAACAGAAATCTTCAGTTGTACTAGACAGTGGCACCACTATCCAAGGAGACTTGGTGATTGCCGCTGATGGTAAGTTGAAGAGTGCCTTGCAAGTTGGAATCTCCATCCCTGCGGTGGCTAACCGGGAGATTCAAGAATCAAATCAAAAGCACGGCAAGCTATTCACCCAGGCCTTTGCCAAGATCCCCAGTTCAATGGCTTCGCTGCGTATCGAGCAACAGTCGACGTCCAAAAGATGCAAAATAGTCCCGAAATTGCCTGGCTTCTAGAGAAACCTTCGTTGAACATCCGGTTTGTCCAACTTTCACTCAACGTCGCCGTTGAGGTCTCTAGTCATGATCGAGGACTCTGACAACTGGTTGCGTAGGATTGGCGAGGACAGACATGTCATGACATACACAATCGCCGCAGGGGAGTCATTCAACATGGTTTTATCTCACATTGACCGTTCTGAACCGGCGACCTGGACAGAGAAGTTTGCCAAAGAACACATCCAGCAAGAATTCAGTGGATGGGATCCTCAGTATGTAGCGAGCCTGAAGTTGAACTTGTTGAAGTAGCTAACCAAGCTTTTGCAGGTTGACGAAAATCATCTCCCTAATCGATGAATGCATGAAATTGCCACTGAAAGTCGGAAGACAGTTAAAGTCTTGGACTTCACCCTGAGCGAGATTGGTAATTATCGGTGATGCTGCTCATGCTATGCTGCCTTACATGTCGCAAGGTGCCGCCATGGCCGTCGAAGATGGTGCCGCCCTTGCTGTCGCCCTGAACCACATCTCCACTATCGACGAACTCCCATTCGTGCTGCGGGCATTTGAGAAAGAACGAATCAAGAGAAGCAGCGATATGCAGAATGCCAGCACGGTAAATGGACTAATTTGGCATTTTGCGGATGGCCCAGAGCAAAGAGCGAGAGATACTTCCATGGCCGCCGAGGTTGTGGGTTCTCCGTTTACCAGCAGTGCAAATCAATGGAGCGACCCAGTCACTCAATGGTGGGCGTATGGATACGACGCTGAGAGCAAAATGGAAGAGGCCTGGGACGAAGCCGTGCGGGCTTTGATCATGCGAGCGGGTTGACTGAAAGGGGATCGAGTAGCCCTATGCTAATGTGAAGACATGAAATTGAAATCCGAAGTACCCAAGAGATCGTCCAAACTCATGCCCATGTGGGAGTCAGTTGCATCGAGAAAGTCAAACAAGTCATGCGACTGGAAATCATTTGGCGCTCGTCGCAATGAAAAGTCTCCAGGTGGGTCGGTTGAGAAGTTACCCGAGCGTAATGCTTGCGCCCCTTCTGGTTCGTCTAGGTTGAGTGTCAAATGGTGCTCGTTGAAACGCGATGCCGACATGACTTACAGATTAGAGATAGAAGATGAGCCAGGGAAGTTGTATATCGGACGCATTTCTCCGTCATTCTATTCCCTTTGAACAACAGTTTCAAGCATTCGATTGCTTGGTGAAGAGACCCCACCGACAGGTTAATATCCTCAAGTGCTAGGGGATGGTTATAGATATTTGCTTGATGCTGTACAAGAAGTGTGGAAAATATAACGAGAGCGGCATTGAACGCTGTACTGCTATGAGTAGAGAACAAAAGGACGGTGTCTGCAATTGATATACTTACCGTAATAAAGAGAAAACCACCAGGCACCAAGTAGATGTCGAGCAGGACTGGTAGGAATCAGCACCATTTGCATCAATTTGATAATAGTGACCGCGGAATAGGCACAAGTCCGCAGGCTATTCGTGCCCACTTGCTTCAGCAAAGGTAATTGCTGAGAGGCAGACTGCGCGCTGCGTATTGACTCGAGGTACTTTGAGAGTAACGGACGATGCGTTAGAATACGAAGATTTAGGAAGCGCAGAGTGAGGATAACTCTGAACCGAAGAGTGCCGTGTTCGTCTGCATTGGAATCGAGAGTTTCCGGCTCTACTAGCGACAAAGCTGCCGGCAAGGAGTGCTGCCAAATGAGAAACTTTTGTTCAAACTGCAGTAACTGCGAAGCAATGTCGAACACGTTGTCCGGCACACCACAGCCCAAGTTACTACCGTACAAGACGTCAACGATTTCTCCCATGATTTTATAGAGGGTTCTGTTTTGGCGTGAGCGGCATGTCATCAGTTCTTGACGAGATATTCTTACATTGTTCCCGTATAGAACTCAACACTATGTTCGTCGGTCGAGTTCTGGTGGGAGTTCATTCCGGCAGGAAGAATGCTTTTGAACGAACACGGCAGGTCCAATTTGACAAAATTTTCAGGGATGGAAGCAGGACGGCCCATAGTCATACTCAAGGTACTATTTTCGATGAGATGACACGGCTCTGTCAGCTTGAAAGTAACTTACCGATCTAATACAACGCAGCCGAACCAGGTTCTCTTGCGAATCTCTCTTTCTAACGGCGGGTATTGGTTGAGTGCATCTCGTGAGTGGAGGCCGAGCTGATATGCAGCTTTGACGGTGAGTCCATGCACATTCCAAGTCTCGATGGAGCGTTCAGTGCCTTGCAAATACTGACTCATCAACAACAGAAACTGGACTTATGGAAACATCAGCGACGCCGACGTTATAGGGCTAATGCACCTTTACTTACCAACTTCCAAGCTTGTGCCATGGCGGATTTGTTTCTCACAGAGTGCCAAAGCTCGACGGAAGAAAACGTCGGAGTTGGCAGATCGCTCAGACGCCGTCAGTCCGTTACCGTGACTAGCACTCGTAGACATGGCAAGCACCAAATTCAGCAGACCAAGCCATGACCTCCGTACTGTCCGAATGTTTGCAGATGTAAGTTCGTGATACGTGTTCAAGAACGCCTCCTCGTCGATGTATGGAAATAAAACGCCCGTGGTGCTAAAGAATCGCTCTATCATCTTCACTGTTTCATTTTCTTGTGGGAGAACAGAGGGTTCTGTACCAATGGCGATGCTGTATGAGTCCTTGGACGGATCTGATACAGGAGAGAGTGGCCGGGAAACATGAAGAAGTTGACTCTGAAGGGCGGCATTGCTTGGCGAAGCCGGACTTCCATCCGATGCGGCACTTTTGAGGACTGCGGTTGTTGTGCGAACAATGAGGCGGGTAAATGATATGTTGGACGATGGCCCTGGACCCGTTAGTTGCCAGTACTCATGGAGCTCTGTGAAAGTATTCCAACCAAAGAAGCCAGACTCCTCTTCTTTAGTGAACGAGACAGAGCCCATTCCATCCGTAGGATCTTGAGTCTCAACGATCGTTCCCTCATCATCCTGAAGACTAAGAAGATCAGGAGTATGAGTCGGTGGTGATTGGCTAGAACTTGCATTTGCGTCTACAATATCGGCTCTGGAACCTTCAATACGGGTCACTCTACTAGATATTCCACCAACGGAGCTTTCAAGTGCGGCTAAGCGAGACTCAAGTGCTTCCAAATACCTGCGACGGGTAAGCTATAAGAGTAAGAGGGTACCAGTTCCGATTGAAGAACCGACTCTTTGGACGCAGAGGTTTTGGTTAAGGGTGTTAAATTCAAATATGTGCATTCATATCCGTGATCGGTGCAGGTAGAACACTTTGGTCTTGCTCCGTCACACTATGAAAAGTCGTGAAACGTCAGTAATTAAAGTGAAACAGGAAGCGCATAGTGGACACGCCAGCACGTGAATTTGATGAGAGTTGCGCCTCATGCAGCATCGGTGTTTCCAACCCCAAAGCATCGTGCTTGAAGAGCAAACTGACAACTGGAGCGCAATCCCTAGGCTGCTAGAGGGCCGGGAAGGACAACAGACTTACGCGGGACTTGCGCTGCCTGCACCACGTACAAGCTATCGTGATCCTGTTCCGTTTTGCTGGTCTTGCATCCGCGCCGTGATTGGTGGAGATGCTGGCGTGCGTTCTGGTCGCTGCATCGGTCGACGCCATGCCTAGGGTACAGGGAACCGAGTCAACGTAAGTCCGAAACTCCCTTTCCGAGTCCTTCGGGGACTTAGAGTCTGGTGTAGCCGGAGAAAATGGTGGAGGAGCAGGGCTGAGCGGGGAGCGGGGAAGTAAAGACCCCTTTCCACCTTACCCGACCCGACCCGTCTCCACTCTCCCCGCAGCTCTCAGCCTTCCTAACTCCCCGGCAAATGGTCCAGCCATCGATCACAATTGCCATAGTTGATTATGCAATTATTGAAATCGTCTTAGAGCTCCCGCTTCTACAACTATTACCAGCCAGAATGGCGTTTCAACGCGGCTTGACCAGCAGCAACTGACGGAAACCCTGCTAAAGACGGCTGAAGACTATCACACAAAGCCACTATGGGCACAGATGGCACACCTCAATCCCCCTTTACCTAATCCAAAATGTCAACCTCACGTTTGGGAATACGAGAAGATCCAACCGAGTGTGCTACAAGCTGGTGAGCTCATTACTGAGAAACAAGCGGAACGACGTGTATTAATGCTCGTAAATCCCTCTCGAGGTAAGAAACCCCCTCATGAATATTAGAAGGCTCACGCGTATGCAGAGGCGCCTTACACGACTGATACCATTTACGCTGGGCTTCAGCTGGTTATGCCCAACGAGACCGCGCCAGCTCATCGCCACACTGCCTTTGCCTGTCACTTTATCATCGAGGGTAATGGTGGCTTCACTGCTGTGCATGATTGACGCATCCAGATGCAACGCGGCGACGTTATCTTGACCCCGACCTGGAACTGGCACGATCACGGCAAAGATGGCTCCGGACCGATGATTTGGCTGGATGGCCTTGATCTCCCAAGCTTTGTACACTTCCCTGTTCATTGTGTAGAGCATTATGCCGACCCACGCTATCCGGCCAAGGACGTAGATACTTCCGCTTCTACCATTGTCTTCCCATAGACCCGTATGAAGGCCCAACTAGACGCAGGCAGCGGGGAGAGCACGACGAGGGGCTACTTGAAAGCCGATGGATCTGAAAGCACGTCATGGCGGCCTTGCTTTGATTGAAAACTAATAAAGTCCAGTAAGCTGCACGCTAGGTGCTGCCGCCACTCGCATCTCTCCAGGAACATCTACTCCAAAGATTCAGGAGACGGCTTCGTCAATCTTCCATGTTATTGAGGCCTGCGGAACTTCCACGATTGACGGAAAAGAGTTCAGTTGGAAAAAGTGCGATGCGTTCTGCATTCCTTCGTGGCATGAGTACCAACACCATGCGGGCGATGGAGAGACGGTGTACTTGTACAGAGTGCATGATAAGCCCATGCTACAACCACTCGGGTTTTATCGATACAATGGGCAAGATGTGGAATCGTTAGTGTCTGAGTAAACTGTTAGGGAATATCTGCTCTGTTGATATCGGAAGGCTGTTTTACTTCAATAGCTTTTGCAGATATTTTCTCCCATGATCTTATTTGATGATGTACATTTGCTGTGACTCCCCCTCAAAGAATTGAAAGCAGTGTTTCCGATCGACTGTGTAAGCTAGGTAAGCATGTAATCCTTCTTTTGATCAGACATTTATTTTAACGACAAAGACGTAGAGTTGCTGTCAACAGCCACGATTCATTCTTCTTGCACGAGGAGACGAAACCATTGCGCAGGATTCGCGATGATGAAGCTCTCCTGAATTATTCATTGTGATCTCATGATAAAACGCCGCTATGCGAATTTGACCCCGTTCCTAAGAGTGCCAATCTTGCTTATTGAAATTTCCATGACCGTTCCCGGCACAAGATATTTCGGTGGCTGCAGCCCAGCTCCAACGCCGCCCGGAGTTCCCGTCATGACCACTGATCCCTTGCGCAACGTTGTACCCTGAGATAGATAATACACAAGATATGCACAATCAAAGAGCAAATCGCTGATGTACTCTTTCTGCCTCACTTCCCCATCCACAATCGTCTGCAACAACAGTTCTTTAGGATCTCCAATCAACTCAGAAGCAATGAGCGCAGGACCGAGCGGAGCAAACGTGTTGAAGCCTTTGGAGAAACCCCATTGCGGAACTCGGCCTGCCAGATTCGGGTCGCGCTGCATTTTGCGCGATGATACGTCGTTGCTGGCCGTGTACGCAGCAATATAGTCCATTGCACTTTCGAGTGGAACGTCCTTCGCATCTTTTCCAATCGCCAAGACCAACTCGCCCTCATAGTCTGCTTGGTCATTTTGAGCAATCTGAGGAATGATAACATCTTCATCATGATCGTGGACGCAGGTAGAAAATGAATGGAAAAGGCGGTGGAGTTCGACCGGCTTCTCTGACTTCAAAACATCAGCAGCGCGTAACGGGCAGTATTGGAGGCCATTAATTACTATGTTTGGCATAATTGAGCCCTACGCAGCGCAGAATGTCTAGGTTATTTGGTGCGAGTGGTCCCAATAGCTTCTTGACGGTGACAATCTCATTAGAAACTCTGGTCACTCCTGAGATGTCGTATGGGTCTTCTCCGATGATGACTTTTGCCTGTAGCTTGGCGTCTTCAGTAGTCCTGCTCAAGTCGAAGTCTGGATCCGGGAGAATTGGCCCTCCGCGAAGAAGACGACCATCTGTGGCGACAAAGCGAATCAATCTGGGCCACGTGACTCGCATCTTCGGAGGCTGTATGGGAACTGGATATCTGCATTAAAATCCGGCAGATTTCGGTTTTAGAGTCCCTCGAATAGCTTCAAGGCAGTTTAGTAGCCAGCGGGACGCCGGGCCCGGTATGTATATCCTACATCGGATGTCGGCTTCCCGCCCGTGAAAGCCGCAACCCAATCAAGGACCTCCCCACAGAATTTACTCCTAAAGGTAAAGTGTCTGCCAGCAGACCCCTCAAGCATAAAATATTCCACAGGCTGCAGGAAACTGGTCGTCCACCCAACAAATAAAGAACCCCCGATTCGATCAGTCTCCAAATCACAACAAGTCATGACAAATTCCACAACCGTTCCACTCATCATTCATGGTGTTGACGTCTTGAACGGATCCGCCAACGAGCCTGCTTCGTTATTCAGGCCCAACCCAGACAACGATAGCAATCGTGGTGTCTATGCCGCCGGGGCGACACCAGCATTATGCGTACAAGCAGTCGAATCGTGCGCCGATGCATTCGCAACTTGGAGAGATTCGCAGCCGTATGAACGGCGGAGGCTATTCAACAACCTTGCAAAGGTAACCATGAGCACATCAAATACTATGAAGGTAGATTCTGATAATTTGACAGCTTCTTCGGGCTAAAGAAGGCGAAATACAGACGCTTATAGAGCAAGAGATTTTGTGCTCGGCCTTATGGGCAAAGATAAATGTCAACGATTCGATTGCACTAGCCGAAGAGGTCGCCGCCACAGTAACTTCCGGGGTCTTATCCGGTCTGGCTCCCATTATAAGGGATCCAGAGGCACATGCAGTAGTTTTTAAAGAGCCATTTGGTGTGGTGCTTGGTATCGCCCCATGGAATGCACCACTGATCCTCGGACTTCGAGCTGTTGCCGCAGCAGTAGCCGCGGGAAATACTGTCTTGCTCAAAGTGGGTTACCAACTTGCTGATGTTTGGCTGAAGCAATGATAACTGACGCGACGTAGGGGTCTGAAATCAGTCCTAGAACCCACTATTCGCTCGCGAAGCTCTTTCAGGATGCTGGCTTCCCTCCAGGAGTGGTCAACTACATCCAACACTCCCCGGAGGATGCGGTGAGCTGCTTCGAAGCCCTAATATCTCACGGCGCTGTGCAAAAGTGTAACTTTACTGGTTCTACGGCAGTTGGTCGGCATGTTGCGCAGCGAGCCGCATTCTATCTCAAACCCGTGGTCCTGGAGCTAGGAGGCAAAAACTGCGCCATCGTGCTTGAGGATGCGGATCTCACAAAAGCGGTGGACCAGGTACTACTCGGAGCGTTTCTCAATGTAAGTCGATGAACTCTTCAAAAAGATGGGCTTTCTGACTGTCTGGAATAATAGTCTGGCCAAATCTGCATGTCCACGGACCTGGTATTAGTGGCACAATTAGTGGAGCAGCAGTTCCGAAGACTTCTACATCAGAAGCTGTCAGATGGTTCACAACAGGTTACGGAGGTCATCAGTCAGAAAAGCCGGTCAAGAATCGATGCACTCGTCAGTAACGCAGTACAAAAAGGGGCAAGCACAACGACGGCAGAAACGGGGACTCGTGCCTCGTCAATCATCATCGGAGATGTCACTCCACACATGGAATTTTGGGAGCAAGAGTCATTTGGACCATTGCTGGGCTTACGGGTGTTCGATGAAGAGGAGGCAGCTATCCAGATGGTGAACGATTCTCCGTACGGATTATCGGGCGCGATCTTCAGTCGCAACTACCTCAAGGCTTTGAAGCTCGCGAAAAGGCTTAACATGGGCGCTGTCCATATTAACTCAGCCACTGTGCACGATGAAGCTTGTTTGCCGCACGGGGGCAGGAAGGAGAGTGGATGGGGACGGTTTGGGGCGCACTGGGGCTTCGAGGAATTCCTACAAACGAAAACCATCATCCTGCATCCTTGACTGGAGTCGAGATAATCAGCGTTTTCCTAACCCTCTTACTGCTGGAGAAGAAATGCAAATGTCTGAAGTATAGCAGGTTGTCAAGCTTGTGACCCTTTGCAACGCGGTGAGCCTCGATCGGGACACAACGCATGCGGCTAGGGACACTTACTAGGTAGCAAAACGGAAATCAATACTCAAACACCCGCTTTGCATACACTTACAAGTATCTCCAGTGTTGCTATGCTACCCGTAGACCATGCAATTTGCCAAGCCTTCGAGTCCGTTTGACGCGTTGCCTGTGTTGCCTGTGTTGCCTGTGTTGCATGTGTCGCCTGTGCTGCCTGTGTGCCTCCATCGCCATTGCAACTCTTCTCTTCTCCTCAAAGTCTTTTCCGGTGATAGTGCTTCTCGGCCGCGTTCCGGCTTCCGGTCCCCTCTTCCTCTTCTATAACCCGCCGGCCATTGGGATGTGACGCTCAAAAGATGGATTCTGCCGCCCAATCGGACGGACGCAAAGCCATCGGGGAGTTAAGCTTCTCATATCCGGGCGTGCCTGCTCCGCTCGCGGCGCGCGGCATCGCGTTGCAAGGAGCAGTATTCTAGGGGCTATTTAGCGGCGCAGAAGCCCATGCCGCTAAAGTTAAACCATCTCAATTCGGTTCGACCTCACCAAATCCCTCTGCGAAGGAGTTCTTAGCAACGGAAGTCGAGCTTCAACAATATCAGTATGGCCGGCCACTTCAGATCAACACACCCAAGGAGCGCGTTTCCCGATCTCCCGCAGTTCTCGGGCTTCATGAAGCCATGTCGTTTCGAGGGAGAGGTCCAGAATCTCGAAATCCGTGGCGAAATACCCTCCGAAGTCGACGGCACATTCTATAGAGTCATGCCAGATCCGCAACTGTCCCCACTCATCGAAAATGACCCGGTACGCGAACCCTCCCTGCTGCGACTTCACCGCGATGACCACCATTGGCTGATTCGGTAAATGTAGTGGTTCAATGGAGACGGCAACATCAGCGCGTTTCGAATAAAGGACGGGCACTGTCATTTCAAGCAGAAATACGTCAGAACCGAAAAGTTCGTGAAAGAGAGAGAGGCGAAACGAGCCTTGCTTGGTAAGATGCTCCCATGTTTACCTTCTTGAAGATTTTCTTACTATTCCCTTAAAGGCAAGTACCGCAATAAGTTTACCGACGCTGTGGAATTCAAGGTTCGAAGCACCGCAAATACCAACGTCCTGTTCTTCAATGGCCGTCTGCTTGCCTGCAAAGAAGATTCTCCGCCATATTCTCTCGACCCGGAAACGCTCGAAACAATTGGTCTGGAAGGTTTCGATGGCCAACTGCCCTGTTTGACTTTTACAGCTCACCCAAAACTCGATGGCGACGAGCTTCTTTGCTTCGGCTACGAAGCTAAGGGTGATGGCACTCCCGACGTGTGCTACTTTACTATTGATTCTACTGGAAAATTCACTGAAACTGTATGGCTTGTTGCACCTATCGTGGCGATGATTCATGATTTCGCCATCACAAAGAATTGGGTAAGATGACGCGTCCTGCTAAATACTTCTGAGACCGATGATTAACGGACTTAGGTATTGTTTCCAATTATTCCACAAATATGCGATTTTGAACGTATGAAAAAAGGAGGCGAGTACTGGTAATGGGACTCAAACGTCCCATTCTATCTCGGAGTCCTCCCACGCCATGGTGCATCTGGTTCCGACGTCAAATGGTTTCGCGCGCTAAATGCTTTCCCAGTTATACCGTTAATGCTTATGAAGACGATTCGGGCAATTTGGTGTTTGATCTGCCACTCACAGATAAGAACGTGTTCTTCTAGTAGCCAGATGCCGACAGCAATGCGCCCAAACCCGAGACAATTGCAGCAAAACTCCTCCGATTCACTTTCGATCCTCACTCTACCGATCTCGACCTCCCAGAGTCTCAAATCATTGGCAGCGAGGACTGTGAGTTCCCTCGCATTGACGAAAGATTCTCAGGAAAAAGGCATGTGCATGCATTCTTTGATTTGATGGATCCGCGGTTGGGAACTGACTTTGGAACAATTGCACCTAGAATGGGCGGTGGACACCCGCTATACAATGCATTGGGCCATCTTGACTACAAGTCTATGAAGATTCAAAAGTACTTCCCAGGTCGAACACATCTAGTGCAGGAACCGGTCTTTATTCCAAGGAAAGGTGCAGATACGGCCGAAGGCGACGGTTGGGTTGTGGCTCTCGTCAATAACTATGCTACCATGGGCAGTGAGTTGCATATCGTGGATACTAGAGACTTTGAAAAATCGCAAGCAGTCATTGATTTGCCGGTACGACTAAGGGCTGGCCTGCACGGTAATTGGGTTGACGCATAGGAATTTGGACTTTTATCGGTGGTCTGACGACTGTGCGGTAGATTCTTGCTTCAGCGCGGTGAGAGATGGATTCTAACCCATCGTAAAAAGTTTTATGAGAATGAAGAATTGGATACTTTTAGAGAGTTCAGCTAGACGCTGGCGGCCCGTAACGTGAAGATGATAGCGGGGGATGTCTATTCCTGGCGCCACTATCTGTCAATTCAACTCATATGCCAGCTCCTCAAACTGGCTTGATAGCAGCATATCATAATGACAATCCAAGAGTAAGTAGAGCTCAACGACACCCCAAACACCCGCGCGTGATAGCTTCACGGCTTGGAATAGAGTGTCACTCATCCTATCTTATGAACGATAGACTGTGTGCGAGTTAGATTCCGTCGCATGATAACTCGAGCAACACGGTTACAAAGAGGCGTGAACCCATGGCGTCAATAAGTGAGAAGGCTAGGGAAACCCAGGCGGCTGCGAGGTGGACCACGTGACATGGCTGCCGCCGAATCTCACGTAGGTAGAAAGAGACATTGTTTTGGATCTGCTTAGGAACAAACACCATCAGCAATGAAGCGAACGGAGAGCTTAAGATAGGAATACTAAATCTCTGTGCATGCGAGGATAGCGAGCACAGGCGAAAGAAGGAAAGGAGTCGAACGCTAAGCCGAGCAGTCTCGCTGAACAGTCCAGTAAAAATGGCGGCATGCAAGCTGTAGGCTAACCGCTTTTTTGAAGTGAAACTTAACTTAGTTAGTTTGATTACGTGCAGATTACTAAGTCGGACTTCCCAGCATGTCCGACTTTGATGCCCGATTCGTCCGACTGGACGCAAGCAGCCGCGAACATACATATAGAGCTTTAATGAAGCATCTCGTCACAACCACAACTCGAAGCCGACGACATAGTTCCATACTACCCAGATACGCCTCCGATATCACATCGCCACTGGCCGCCGAACATCATTCTGAATTCGCAAGGACGCATTGCCATAGAATCCCCAAGCCCCTAGCCCAGACAGTCTCCCATCCACAATGTCCAAATCCATCCAAACCCCATACTACGTCCCCGTTTCCCTCGCACATACCGCCCTTCTCCTCTCCGATGTGCAAACTCAAATCCTGGCCCGTTTCTCCAAAGAGGTCCAACAATCCTACCTCACCGAAATCCAAAAGCTTCTGGATTTTTTCAGGTCCCAGATCGCCCTTGCAGAATCCGCGGGACAACCCGGGAGCGAGAATGCATTCAGCGGCGTGCCGTTGATCGTGCACCACACGCTCCCCTTCAATCTGAACAACAACGCCTTTGTGAGCCCGTACAATAAGCTAGCGCATTGGGTAAAGGGTTTGGAAGAAAAGGGGTTCTTTAAGGTAAACATGATATTCCAAGCAAAATCGGGCGTCTGAGAAGATCTTCTTGAATCAATGCTGACGGCTTGAGATGCTGTGCAGACAGTGAACGCGAATCCGCACACGCCCAACTTCTCCATCCCGTCTTCCCTAACCCCACCAGGCGGCTGGGGCGCGTCGAAAGACGAGATCGTACTTGGAAAGCTTCAACCAAACTGCTTTGCGTCTTCGGATCTGCTAAAGTACCTTCACGCGCGGGGAATCCGGCACGTGATTCTCGTTGGGTTGACGACTATGGGGTCAATTCTTGGTTCGGCGAGGTGAGTTGATGATGTCTTTTACGCCACTTATCGGTGTAGGCAAGTTGTAGTAGTTGATCTGGGAGCTAACGATGGCGATTTGACGAATAGGGGCGGCGCGGATCTCGACTTTCATATCATCTGCCCGCGTGAAGCGATTATCGATGACGATGCCGAGGTTGACGAGTTTCTCATGACGAAGGTGCTTCCGAAGTTTATCGATGTCGTCCAGATGGAGGATGTGCTTGCGCTCGGGAGGGAAGCGGGTTCGTAGGGTACGGCCGTCTTTCCGGATTGTAGATCATCATAGACGATCGACGAAAAGCATTTAGACGGCATGTGCTAATTTCAGCACCAATGAAAAGCCGGGATCTGAAATTTTGATTTAATTTCCAATCAAGATTTAACCTCTTCTTATAGCATAGAGTTGCATCTTACGCTATTGCAAGATGATTGTCTCCGTCTTTGGCGTCACAATCATGCCTCTGATATTCTCTAGCTTGAGCAACTTCCAGCCAGAGTCTGGGAATGCCGACCATGTCCGCTTCGTGAGAGGACCGGGGAGGACGTCGAGACTACCGATGCGCACAGAGAACATGCGCCTAGCCGTTCCATCTGGAACAGATATAGCGATGGCATAGCCTCCATCTTTGAAGTAGGCGTTGACATCCGACTGGACATCGCGGGGCAACTCTTGGTAAAATATTGCGGGATTTCGGGGCTGGTAGTTGGCGAAGAGTACGTCAATTTCCAGTAATGAGATGCCGGCTGTAAAACATCTAACCTTAGTAGTTGGGTGTCGTTTGCTACTAGAATTACTTCGCTATTGGTGCTCTTCGTCGTTCATTGTACTCTAAGACGTAAAGCAAGCCGCCTATGCAAGGCCTGCAGTATGCTCGCAAATACTTCAAATGAGCAACTTACGACGCTTAGTGATTCATAGTAACATCTAGCATCTCAGTCGATTCGCCGAGCCCTTGATCAGGATTAGGATACTGGAGAAGAAAGCAATATCGCTGGATGGAAGCACTCGACAAGATGGAGTTAGTTTTCCGTACGTGAAGATGACCTGGCTTTAGCCTGGTTCGCCTTGCAGTGAATTGATTGTCTGCTCAATAACTTCGTGACCCAATGAAGGGTTTATGGCTGCTGACTATAGACTAGTTGTTGGAAGGAGTAAGTTGGTGTTGAGTCAACAAGGTGGATGAAATCGGCGTGGGGAAGATGTCGAGTGCGCTCAGTGGCTCCAGCTTTCGGGGCCCTGCCGCTCACCCAATCTCTCCCCTCAACCACCCCCCTCCTTCTCCACCTATCACCGCAGCGACATCTGCAGCTACTAGATATTTTCGGGGGAACACATGATGGTAAACTTTGGGGCCTCCCGAGCATGCCAAACGTGTAAGCAGAGGCGGAAGAAGGTAGAGAACTCCACACCATAGCCAATGACTTGTGCTGAAAGTATTCTACCTGCACAGTGCGATGAAAGCCGCCCAGTGAGTACAGTTGCCTCATTCTTTCCCAACTGGAGTCAAATGTACCATCTTCTCATCGGCTGTAGAACTGCCAGCGATGCATTAAAGCTGGCCGCGTCTGCCTGGGCTACCAGGAGAATTCTAGCGTTTTATTTCGCCATTACGGCCCTCCAACGCTAAATGAACCACCATCTGCTGTAATGCAGACGCCGACTTCACCGTCTGGAGTAGTGATTCCTGAGCCTGACGACGAGCAACTAGAAAGAGACGCGCTGGCGATCTTCTTTGACGATTACTGTGTTGAATCGGCGGATAGAACCATCTCACGTGGGTTCCTTGACGGCCTCAAGCCCTTGATTGACCATGCAGGGGAGTCTTCGGATATCGCCCAAGCAGCTAAGATTGTCGCTCTTGCAACGACTGGAAATAGGCTACGCAGGCTGAATATTCTGTGCAAGACTAAGCAGCAATACGGAGGCCTGCTTCACTCGTTTCGTTCGACGCTTATGCGTGCCACGGAGTCTGACATGGTAGAGACCTTGATGATTGCAGTACTATTAGGTCTCTATGAGGTACGTCCTTTATCGCACTGCGGTCGTCAATTCTGTCATTGACTTAGACTGTTAAGATCGTGAGCAGCACCGAATCAGACCCCGGCCAGCGCAATGCTCACGTCTCAGGTGTTGGCGCCATTCTCTCCAACAAAGACTCACCATTCGACCTCACCACGGGCACTCGTTTGTTTCAGCTCGGCAATGCCTTTCTGCTTCCGGAATCTCTACCAGTACGTGCGTGCGCTCTGCACCTTTGTACTACGGCTGATATCAACCAAGCAACCCGAAAATGTCGGCCTGCTCTGTGCACCGAGTCGCAACGGCTCAGTCTTGGCTCTAGACGGCATTCTCATCAATGTCAACCCTATTTTCAATCTAGCTAACGATTTGTTCGTTGCCCCATCTTGTCAACTAGAAGATGTGCGGACGCTGCGACAGGAGGCAATAGCTCTGGAGCGACACATATCCACATGGCCCACCAGATTGACAGGAGAATGGGCACCTCACGTAGTCGGAAACGTTAGCGAGGCTCAACTGAGATCTTCCCACTCCCCAGGCTGGCCAGGAACGGTTGACAGCTACTTCGACCGTGAGTCGTGCTATTCCCAATTCACGTTAACGACCTAACTGATGCAGTATATGTTGCTGCAGTTTGGAACACATATCGAAAGACGCATCTGATGATTTTGGACATCATCGTCAAGTGCTCGAACTACCTCGAGCCAAGCGACGTCTGCTTCGAACTACACCCCAAAGCTCGACAGCTTGCCAACGACATTGCTGCCTCAATTCCTTATCACCTGACAAATGACGCCGCTAAGTATCTTCAACACGTCCAGCACGGCGTGGAAGCACAATATGACGGGCGGCCGGTGGGCGGCTTGCTGGTACTACATCCACTTTGGGTCGTTGCCAATGCTTCGGTCGTTTCCCATGAGTTGAGCACCCATATGCGCAACGAACTTTCGTGGATTGGGCACGTAATGGGGATTGGGCAGGCTAACCAGCTTGCTAGCGTGAGTTCCTGCACCAGCGATAGCCGGCGAGAGAACGAAGGCGACTAATTCTTTCTAGTCACGTGCCCTGCTCTCGTCGCAGCATATCGCTCAAGGGCACGTTCTTATTTGGGCGGGGATGCTGACACAGCCAATTTGAGATCTGAGCGACCATTGGGAGCGACCTTCATGGTCAATTACGTGCTCCTGGAATACCCAGCCCGAGACGCATGGGGATATATCGGCGGACGTGGGTGGTGTTCTCTTCACAAGCGCGCGCAAAGCTAACCCGTTGAAGCAGACGAGCTTCTGCGCCACGACCTCCCATCCCTGCATTCTCCCAGATTCGATTAGCTTTGCGCGCCGACACGGACCTTGATAGAGAAATAACTGCAGCAAGTATCCGACTGCGAATTTTGGACAGGTATAAGGCGAAATGCTTCTGCTCCTTCCCAGATAAAGTTCCGATTTCAGACACTCGATTGACTTTCTTTTCTTCAAGAAACCTGTCAACCTCCTAGTAGTTTGGCATGCGCGACCTGCTCAGAGATGCTGCCGTAGGGCAGGTCCTTCGTTTTCTTACGCGTGGAAAAGTCGCTACCTACCCCGAAGACGCCATAGACTTCAAACTCCCCGCGCTACAGACTCAATCAAATCTATCTGTCGACACATCGGGCTACAACGCAAACTCGGAACAGGACGTAAATCATCGAACACTGCATTCCGGCAACGCAGACAATGTTTCAGAGGGCCAGGAAAGTGGCAGCGCGACTTGCGATCATCAAGCCTCCAACACCATCACTCTTGTAACATGGTACACCGACAACGACCCTGCGAACCCACACAACTGGTCCTCTCCTAAAAAGCTTTGGATCTCGTTTTTAATTCTTACCTACACACTATCGGTCTACATTGGCTCTTCTCTCTACACGGCCAGCGAATCAGCCATTGTCTCCCTCTACGGCGTCAGCGAAGTCGTCGCTGCGTTAGGCCTCTCCCTCTATGTGATCGGATACGGTGTTGGGCCAATGCTATTTTCACCACTCTCAGAGATCCCGGCGATTGGGCGAAATCCACCTTACGTTATCACGTACGCTTTATTCGTGGTGTTGTGCGTCCCGACGAGCTTGGTAGATAACTTAAGCGGGCTGCTGGTGCTGCGGTTCCTTCTTGGCTTCTTCGGGTCGCCATGCTTAGCCACTGGAGGGGCTAGTTATGGAGACTTCTATGGTGGGCGAGAAATGCCGTATGTGATTGCGTTGTGGGGTGGGGGGGCGACACTGGCACCGGTAAGTCTCGCAATTGCGAAGAGATGCCGATCTGCAACACTGCTTTCATCTTCTATGTTAGAACCTGTGGACTGACCAACTTGACACATCCCTGCTTTCATCTTCTATGTTAGAACCTGTGGACTGACCAACTTGACACATCCAGGCCCTCGGTCCTCTCGTAGGTGGCTTCGCAGTCCAATATGAAAACTGGCGCTGGAGCTCCTGGGAACTTCTCTGGTTCACTGGCCCCGTCTTCATCCTCATGTTCCTCGCCCTTCCAGAAACATCCTCAGACAAGATCCTCCTCCAACGCGCTCGGCGCCTACGCACCCTCACTGGCCGTACCGACCTCCGTGCTTCGTCCGAAATACGTCAAGAAAAAATGGCGACGGGTCAGATAGTGTTTCAGGCGCTGATCAAGCCGTGGGAGATCAACATCAAAGACCCGGCTATGCTCTTCACAACTTTCTATACAGCGTTGACCTACGCGATATACTACTCCTTTTTTGAGTCGTTCCCACTCGTGTACCAAGAGATCTACGGTTTCAATCTCAGTGAACTTGGCCTTGCGTTCCTCGCTGTGCTCGTGGGGCTTTGCGTTGCAGTCGCGGCATACTGTGCATACTTCTACTGGATCAGCGACCCTATTTTCGCCAAAGCAGAACAAGAAGGCCATGCCATTCCACCAGAAGCGAGACTCCGCCCTGGGCTAGTCGCGACCTTCTTCATTCCTGCCGGCCTCTTCATCTACGGTGCGTCAACTACCCCCTCCATCCTATTCAACCTGCAATCAGCTAATCTCTAGCAACCCACCACAGCATGGACATCCCGCCCCTCCCTCCACTACCTTATCTCCCTCGTCGGCGTCGCGATTAGTATGTTCGGCGTGTTCATCATCTCGCAGTGCATGTTCATCTACCTGCCCTTCACCTACCCGCGCTACGCCGGGTCGCTGTTCGCCGCGAACGGCTTCGCGAGGAGCGTATTTGCGGCGGGTGCGATTCTGTATGCGCGCCCAATGTTTCTGGGAATGGGGGTTGCTGGTGGGGTTAGTCTTTTGGGGGGGCTGTGTGCGGGTTGCTGTGCGGGGATTTATGCGATTTTCTTTTTTGGGGAGAGGTTGAGGTTGAGCAGTCGGTTCGCGGTGACTTGAGGTGAGGGTGGAGGGGGAGACTGGCCTTCTTGCTGCGTTGATCTTTACGCACGAGCGTCGAGGCTGGCAAGGGCTTGAAAAGTGTTTACTTTGAAACCTGTTTACTTTGAAACCTGTTTACTTCAATTTGGATCTTGTTGATGGGATAGGATGCGGCGCGATGCGTATTGGACAGTTAGCGCCTATCATTAGATGCAGTTGAACGCTGCGTAGACTATTAGTCTTTAGGTTCCGCGATTGTGGGATTTCACAAGAGAAGGCATTTTCGAAGACTCAACCGAGCGTCAATGGTCAGATTTGGATCATATTATAAGTGATCGCTTTTTTCAAATATTATGCACAAAGAATGTAAGCTCGCTTCGTCTCCTCCAAGGCCTGCCCAGATTTAATCAAATGGTCCCTTCATCGTCCAACTCAACATTTTAGAGCGCCGCTCAACCCAAAAGATCATTTAGCAAGACGCGCCGGATGGGACGTGCTCGCAAGCAGAGCTCTTCTTGCCACCAGTAACGCTGACACCGGACCAGGTCCAGTCAGAGCAAGCACCAGAAGCGCAGAGGACGTAGATATCAGTAGCGCTGCTAGAGACCGTACCCTTGACGTCGCTGAGAGTAAGACCGGTAATGGGGACCCCGCCGGTTGGGGTGCCAGTCGGGCTGCCGTTCTCATAGTCTTGCTCAATAACGATACCGTACTTGGTGATTCCAGAGAGCGTGATGCCCGAGTACGTGACGTCGGAGACAGAACCCGTGTCGCCAGAGATAGTCTTGATACGGACGCCGTTCTGGGAGTTCTTGATGCTGGAGTCCTTGATTGTGACACCCTTGACAGTGTTGTCGGAGCGGCCACCGACGGATCCGATGGAGAGGCCGTGGCCACCGGAGCAGGACCCGTTCTCGAAGATGATATTGGTGCCAGAGTTAATGGCGAGGCAGTCGTCTTGGTTCTTGACGACAGCGCCGGTGATGGTCACAGTGTCTGAATCGCCGACATCGAAGGCGTCGGTATTGTGGCCTTCAGAGTCCCCAGCAGAGTTATCGACGGTGATGGATGAGAGCGTGAGGTTGGATGCTCCGTCAATGCTGAACCCTTGGACCGGAGTGTTCAAGACATTCAAGCCGCTGATGACGGAGTTGGTGAGGGAATGGGCGTAGAAGAACTTGGGCTTCGTTTTCCCGCCGTTGCTTCCTTTACCATCCCACCACTTGGCACCATTGCCGTTAATGACGTGGCCGGAGGCGCCTTTGACAGTAATGTCGGTACCAGAAACGCTGATCAAAGGCCCCGTCCATTCCTTGTAACCAAAAATGGTGGTTCCTTTGAATGTGACCTATATACGTTAGTCATGCCTCTTGCCTCATGAATCCAGTTCGACATACGGTGGTGCCCGTCTTAAGGCCAGTGAGATCCAATGTTTTGCCAGCTGGTACGGTAATGCCGCTGAGGATGATGTTGGAGCAAGACTTCTTACTAGCAGAAGCGGAAGCAGCTGAGGTGAAAGTACAAGTGGTCGCTCGCTCCTCGACGGAAGCGGGGGTTGGGACTGGGGCAGCGCCAACCAGGGCGCCGCAGATGCTCAGCAGGACGCTGGCTGTAGCAAAGGAGTGCATAATGAAGATTTCTTTTGATGAAATGAGAGACAGAGAGAACAAAAAGGATAGTGAATGGAGTGTGAATTGAATCCGTTGGAAGAGAAGTGAATGAATTTTGAGCGGGTGGGACTATTCCAGAGTCGGAGCGAAGAAGATGCATCTTATGTATTGTATTGCTGTGATACTGCCGTGACTTTTGCCATTAGCGACAGGGCATAAAAATTCCGAGGCCACGCCATGGGAGGGAGCACCAGGGCTTATAGGGAGCTTTGGCACTTGTTTTCGGACAGCAAAACGAAACGGGCCTGGCCTCTCGAGCTACACTTGGCTGTTGCGTGCTTTGAAACAGCAGATGGGGTGGGAGCCTGCCGGAGCCGCGTAGGCGGATTGGAAGCGAGATTCGCAAGGAGGAAGAATGGTGAGAAATATGGGAGCGGAGGAAATATGGCGGCGGAATTCTTCTGCACTATACAATCTCATCTAAGTTGTACCCTCCAACCGCCAAGCCTCGAATTCCATCACGCGATGCCGTGGAACTACTTCGAGGAACTTGATGCATCTTGGCTGTGCAGATCTGAATGCTTCGTTTGACAGAAACCAAAGGCCACAATCTTCAAACCCTTATCACACGTCTTCATCTCCGGTGCAGGATGTCCTAGCGAGGGACCAGACAGGCCCCAGGCCCCCTATTGCCGAATCTCTGTCAATTCTCCTCGGCGAGATGTCATGAACTAAAGCAAGTTTCCGAGCAAATGCGTCCGCCCGAACATCCGCCGTGGCCGCTTCATGCTCGTTTTCTACCCGGCAAACGAAGGTGGCACCGTTTGAAGTTGAACGTGGGCGACGGGGGTGTTGCCGGGCCATAGAATTTCTACAAATCGGCCCTGAGCGTTTCACCCCGAAACAGGGCCCTTCAATCATCTTCTCGACTTCAGCTTTATCATTACCAAGTGTAATTTTTGGCGCCTAGTAGAGTGTTATTCCCCGTGGCAGAGCAAGGAATGGGGAAGATATCCCGCTGGTCCTCCCCTGCATGAAGGGTCGGGTCTCGCACTGTGTACTCGGGTTTCGAACGGGCCCAATAGCTTGATCTGCACCTTTTGATTGGTTGAAATGGTCGTGATAGACCTTGTATAGCTAGGTATACTAGAACATCGATAACAGAGGAAGTAGAGCTTTGGTTTCTTTTGGAGCCTATGCAAGTACATCCGATCTATCAGATGCATTTTACTGGCCTTTTTGGGCGAAGATCCAGAGCGAAATCTTCTAACAATAAGAGATGGGGAAAAGCAGGCGTGTTTGCTGTGAAATGGAATGAATTTTCTATATGCGCTCGCTTTCAAAATGTCGGATATTCTGAAGGGGGTTAGAATAGAGGAGGCATGTCGCTTTGTATCGAGGCGTCGTTCTATCACCGTTCATCTTGTGCCTTTTTAAGAGAGCTTCATTGGTCAAACCCTTCTTCTTGCTGGAGAAAAACATAAGCCTGTACGTAATGTAAACGTTCTTCCCACTCAAGTACCATACAGTCTTTCTATTGCCAGCTCCGGTCTTTCGACTCGCAATGGCACACTGCAGCAAATGCATTAGGAACGATGAAAGCGCTCAAAACTTTCGCCGCTCAAGATGTCATTTTCCGAGCACTAGTCCCAGATTAGAAGTTGACGGTCCGAGCCGATCGGCAAGGCTGATTGTAGGTTTCCCAGGCGTGGCGACGACATCTATCTTCCTACGACCCGAGCATCTATCTCCGTATGTGTACTATCTCAAATAGCCACCTACGTGCGCCATGTCCATCTTGCATCTGCGGTAGCTGTTCGCCGTTCAACGCGAGCATGGCTGACTCGCTTGCATTCGACCCTCTTTCATAAGTAGCAAGCCATCTTAGACCTCTCTACATCTTGGAGGAATAACTAGTATATCAAATTGCTTCGATTCGTGTTTCTTTCCGGCACCATATATCTCGTACCATGTCCCGATCATTACACGAGGCAGACAAAACCGTGGACGAGCGTCGAGTCGATTATCAGGGAGTAAATGAGGCCGCTCAAAAGGGGCATTCGCTGAAAGGGAAGCAAGGGATCGATGTACGACGCACTCAACTTTGTTGCCGCTCATGGTATTTCGGAAGTCTCCCCGGAAGAAAGCAAACGCATCCGCCGCAAGGTCGACATGATTCTGATGCCAATGGTGAGCTTCCACGCCACCGGTCGAGAGTATACTCTGACGTCGATGACTAGCTGTTCGTTACTTACACACTCAACTTCATGGATAGACAGGCAGTATCTTATTCAGCCAACTTTGGGTTGAAGAAAGATAACGTAGGCGCTAGCTGCTTTCCCTCTTTACTCGGTCATATCCACTAACGTACTTCACAAGCGAGTCGGCCACACAAGCGAGTCGGCCACCTCATCACGAAAACGCGACGCGTCAACCAACAACCAATATGCGTCGACAACACAACGCGCAATCAATCCAAAAAGAAGGCAGGCTAGCCTTAGCTCTCCTAGCTATCCGACGAAATCAAATTCCAAGCGAACGACGCGCTGCAGGCATATACAATGTCCCCAAAAGCACGCTCCAAGACCGACGCGGCGGAATGACTGCACGACGCGATTGTGAGCCTAATTCAAAGAAGCTTACAAAGCTTGAAGAATCAGCCATTGTTCAACATATACTCGACCTGGATTCGCGAGGGTTTTCGCCTAGCTTAACTGCTGTACGAGAGATGGCCAACAAGCTACTCGCCGAGCGCGGTGCTGGCCAAGTGGGCATTAACTAGCCAAACAACTTTATCAAGCAAACGGACAAGCTTAAAATAAAGTTTAATCGAAAGTACAACTATCAAAGAGCTCTATGCGAAGATCCAGAGGTTATTAGCGATTGGTTTAAGCTTGTATACAATATAAAAGCAAAGTACGGCATTATTAATAACAATACATACAACTTTAATAAAGCTGGCTTCCAAATAGGCGTCATCTCATCAAGCATGGTTGTAACAGGCTCCGAGCGGCGCAATCGACCAAAAGCTGTACAGCCAGGCAATCGCGAATGGACAATAATAATCCAAGGAATCAATGCCTGTGGATGGGCCATCCCGCCATTCATTATCTTTGCAGGCAAGTAGCATCTCTCTGCATAGTACGAGGGCGACAACATACCACCGGACTAGGTTATGGCAGTAAGCAATAATGGCTGGACAACGAATAAGCTTAGTGTTGCCTGGCTGCAGCATTTTAATATGCATACAAAAGATCGCACCGTAGGCACGCATCGGCTGCTGATTATTAATGGCCATAAGAGCCATATCTCGCTCGAATTCCAACAAATTTGCAAGGAGAACAACATCATCGCTCTCTGTATGCCGCCGCATTCGTCGCACCTGCTGCAGCCGCTTGATATTGGCTGCTTTTCGCCATTAAAAAAGGCATACGGGCGCCAAATTGAGGACCTAGTACGCCACTACATCAATCACATCACAAAGCTAGAGTTCCTGCCGGCATTTAAAGCAGCATTCTACAACTCAATTACAAAGAGCAATATTTGCGCAAGCTTTCGAGGCGCAGGCCTTGTGCCGCTTGATCCAGAGTCAGTGCTCTTAAAGCTTGATGTTGTGCTTCGTACGCCGTCGCCTCCCGCCGTGGAGGCTCAATGGGAATCAAAAACACCAAGCAACGCTCTCGAGCTAGACTCATAATCAGCCTTAATTTGTAATCGCATTCAAATGCATCAAAATAGCTCGCCTACAGCTATTCTTAACTCGCTTAATAGCCTCTCTAAAGGTGCTGCAATTATAATGCATAAAGCCACGCTGCTGCGCGATACAACTCGGGTTGCAGCACTACAACCTAGGGTCAGCAACTCATATGCAGTAACGTATCAGGATAGCATGCTGATACAGGAGGAAGTAACAGGTAGTGCAACAGCAGTGCTGCAGCACGGTATCAGTACTGTATCAGGAAACAGGATGAATCAAGTAACGCGTCAGGAAGAGATACCACGTTATGCCCCCGGGGCTGGCCCCCCCTCCTTCCCCTAGTATATAAACAACGAGCTAGACACCCATAGAAATCAGAGTTCACATCAATTTCAACCTGAGTATACAGTTGCCAGCCTTCAAAAGGCAAATAAAGCTGCCACAAAGCGCAAGGCGCGCAAAAAAAAGCGGATTCAGAGGGAAGAACTCTAACAAAGGAAGCAGGCTCTCAAATAGCTGCTCAAAGAATCGAGGAGGCAGCTTAAAGCAAAAGGCAGCAAGCCGGAGCGCGCTCCGGCGGCGGCGTGCAGCGCTGTAGGCGCTGCGGCGAACCAGGGCACAACGCTCGTACGTGCAAAAAAGATGCAGAGGTTGCTGCAGATTAGGCTACAACTTGTATCTAGTTGATATCTATTGGCGTTGTGGAGCAATCAACGTTTAAGGCAGCTAAATATAATGAGGTGGCCGACTCGCTTGTGTGGCCGACTCGCTTGTGAAGTACGTTACTTAGACTTTAGTCTAATCCGACGAACCGTGCGCAACCCCACCAAAATCGCGTCGCGTATGAACGCGTCCTATTCACCTCAACACCACACCACAATAACACGCTCTTTTGGCGATCCGATTGATAGGAATGCAAGAGGGAATGGCGAGCTTTCAACTGAGCAGCGCATAGCCATTATTGCAAAGCACCAGGCCTGTGTATCCAACAAGGAATTGGCAGCAGAATTCGGCTGCAATCCACGCACCATCTACACCACAATCAAACGCTTCAAAGAACACAACACCACCAAGTTCTTACCTCGCTCTGGCCAGCCAGAGGTTCTTACACGTCATGAGAAGCGCGATATCATTCAAATTGTGCGAAAATCCCCAAAACTGGAGTACTCCCAGATTATCAAGGAGGCCGGCCTGGATGGACGCCCGAATCGGAAGCACCCCATTTCCAAGAAGACTATCCAACGCCACCTTGGAGTAAATGGCCTACACAAGCGCAGGTGCGCCAAGAGGCCAAAATTAAAGCCTGAGCATGTTGTTATACGCCGCAAATTCGCTCAGGACTATAAGAATTTCAACTGGGAGGGGACAACTGTTAAGTTCACGGATAAGTGCTCCGTGCAGAGGGGTTCCGGGCAGCAGGCAGAGTGGTGCTTCCGCTATTCTAATAAGAAATATCACCTAGATATAATTACAGAGAAAGACAAGTCCAACAAGATGTTACAGATAGTATAGGCAGCTATTTGGATCACCCCAGAGGGCCATACTGGCCGGTCGCCATTAATTATCATGGAGCGTGATTGGGAGGCCAAGAAGATAGGCTACTCGGGCAGAAGCTACACCAAGATATTAGAGGATAGCCTCTTGGAACAATACCAACCAGGGGAGATATTTATGCACGATAATGCGGCCATACACAACTCCAAATGGACCAAGGAGTTCCTGGAAACCCATGGTATTTAGACCATGGAATGGCCCCCCTATTCACCAGACCTCAACCCCATTGAACATATGTGGTGGGCGCTGAAGAAGATGGTTCATAAGCTGCATCCAGAGCTAGCCATAATAGGCAAGGCAGAGGCTGATTAGACAGCTTTACAGGAGGCAATCAAGGAGGCATAGTTGAAGCTGCCTGATTCACTGATTTTATCGCTTGTACGGAGTATGCCAGATCGTATAGAGGCCCTACGGGTGGCCAAGGGCTGGCAAACGAAATATTAGCATATAGCGATCAAAACACCAAGAAATTATATCACTAGGCCTCACAGCTGCGTTGTATTGTAGAAGTGACAACATCAAGATTCGTTGATTTTCGTGGCCGTGCGGGGTAGCCGGATCAAACTAAAGTCCACCGACTGTATATTGCTCTAAACTTTCTCTTAGCTATTAGGAAAAGCTAGATAGTATATAGAACCTTAAAACTGTACTTTATATTTTATGGTTGTTGAGATTGCTAGGGTTCTAAAACGTCCAAATTGTACCAATGATGGGGTGGGCAGCTCGCTTGCATGGGCAGCTCGCATACAGACTACGTTAGGTTGCCACGTATTACGTTACCTACGCTACAGTAGCTACTGTAGGCACCGCTAATAGCACCTATTGTTTATTTTTAGATAAGAAGTCAAATTGCTTTTAAAGCAAAGAACATTCCGGAAACCTATCAAAGTCTATATAAGAGAAGTCGGGTGATTAGGAGGTGAGTGGGGAGGTGGTGAAGAGTGTAAAGAAGCTGTAGACTTTAGCAGCTTAACAACCGCTTCGTGCCCGTTCTCGGCGGCCCACGACAGCGGCGTCCGACCGAGGCTATCCTTCGAGTCGAAGTCGACCTTGCCCGTGTCGAGCAGCAGCTTGACGACCGCTTCGTGCCCGTTATCGGCGGCCCACGACAGCGGTGTCTGACCCCAGCTGTCCTTCGAGTCAACGTCGACCTCAGTAATTTGAAGAACTGCCGCAACTGATACTGTAATTCCAAAGTACGCTGCTAAATGTAGCCCTGTTATTCGCCTCGGAACTCGTTGACAGCGGTTGGAATTCCCAGCATACTTGGGGGCTAGCATTGCTTGAGCTGCTGCTTCTACCTTGATCTTGCATTGCAAAAATTCAAGGACTTTCGGATGTAGTCTCGACGCTTGGTGGGCATGCTGTCCCCAGTGGTGTACAGTGTAGTCGTACAGCGGGTTCAGTAATAGCCGCTCCTCAAAGCTAGAGCCTGTATGGCAAAATCCGCTTTCAAATACAGTAAATGAGAGATAGGTTAAACATGTTTCCGTGATGTCGAATTCTGCATTTGGATGCCACCGACTCAGCGTTACTTCGAGATATTTTTGTGTTGTGTAGTGGACCAGGCCGATCATATTGCTCTGTTCGTCAACCGTGACTAGTCCGGCGCATACCGGAACTATCTCCTCAATCTCTATGATGTAGCTCTCATCGAGTTCTGGTGTGTCGACTCGTACGGCAAGAGCATGCTGAAGCTCTATTATGCTCAGAGCTCTTTTTGCACAAGTAAGTCATGATAGAACTTCCTTTGCCAGCTTTATTTGCCCATCCCCCTGCTTTTCTATTCGCTCCATTGTGTCATCATACGCACGGTTGTATGCATCCTCACCGTTGGGTAAGTTTTGTAAAGCAGCTCGAAATTGTCCCGGAGCTTTCTTTTCAATCAAAGAATTGAGATGAAGCGTTGCAAGTAGAAACCTAGTGAAGTTGGGACCTCTGTTCTGAAATAAGATGCCAGGATATTGCCATTCTTCGGTTGAACATAGTTCTCTATTAAAGAAAAGTTGGAAGTTTAGGGATTCAAAAAACCTAGGGCTAATTTAATAAAAAACTTTACCCAGCGACGCTGTATTTGATCATACAAAGGGAGAACGGACTTACACGCCAGTGACAGCCTTGACGACCTCTGTTTTGACTTCTTTCTGCAGATCAGAATCGCGTCGGACGAACGCCGGTAGGTCAGATATTCGACTCTCCACATATCTCCGCAAATCCTGTTCATCGGCACGGATTTCCAATGATGGGCTCCGTTTCAACAGTTCTGTAATCTCTGGCTCGTTGCGCGATGTTGCGAAAAAGTTTGCTCCATATTTCTGAAGGTCAAAAGTTGTGGTGAGTAATTTCTCTCGGCCGCCACCGAGCGCTCGGCATTCATCAAGAGCGTCGACGAGGATGAAAACTCGCGCATATTTGGCAACAACTAACCGAAGTGCCTTTGAGATGTCATCTATTGAAGGTCGAGTTTTGTTGGCTTTCCATTTGTCATAGAAGGATTGAACACTCTCTGGCAGAAGGGATTTGCCTTCGGCCAGCTGTTTGAGCAAGTTTGCGAGTAGGCCTTCAGCTTCCTGCTCATCTTGCTTCAAAGTCGCAGTAGAGATATACAACGACAATATTGCTATCATCTTGGAAGCGAGTAAAAAGGTCATTGACTACAATAGAGGTGAGGATTGTTTTCCCGCCCCCGGAATGCCCCAACAGAACAGCGTCTGTTTGCTGGTCTGAACCCAGGTTCTAAATTTGTCTGAATTTAGAAGCCACTGGCCAGTTCCCTCTTGCATGCGTTTGAAGACAGCATGCTGTTCAGAAGCAGAGTCGATTGGTGTTAGCCAGTCCAGAACATCCCGCCGATATTTGTCTTCTCTGATAACACTTTCAGTAAAGTTCTTTAGCAGGTTGATGTTGACGTTGATACGAGCGCGGAGGTCGCGGATGTCATGTGGTCTCCAGTTGAGCTGCTTCCAAAGCTTTCTTATGCTAAAGCTCTTTTGTTGTGGCTTTAACTCCGAATTGGCGTTGAAAACGTGCTCCAGCTCGGTAAGAACCTTCCGGCAGCCGCTAGTGATATGCTCCAGGTCTGCTTTCTCTTGTTTATCTAGTTTTCGTCCCAATCGGATATTCCAAGCACGATTGAGGGTGATGGATAGGTTTTTGACTCTGTTGCTTGTTAGCTTCACTTTTATTTCTGCCAGTGCTGCATACAGATCGGATACTCGGCAAACTGGCTTGGAGCACTGGCAAAGTCGTTCCTGATCTTGTTGGCTAATTGGATGACCGCAATGAAGTCGCCAACACTGAATCCGAAACTCATGGTGGATTTGATCTGCTACTATCGGTGATAGACAGAGATCTTTAGAGATTTCTCATTAACGCTGTGTTGACACTTTCTTTTTCAGCAGCGGAAGAGAGGGAGCTGAGAGCGGGGTAGTTCAACACTGGTGCCTTCAGCACCGCCGCGTTGGTCGTCGCATCTAATGGCAATTCCCAGCAAGCTTCACGCCATTCTGCGTTTAGCCTGATTTAGGTGAAGCATCTGCCTGGAATTAAAATATCGTGAGATGTGAGGCGTAGCAAGCAGTTGCACTTGAACGGACTATGGATTGAGAGGAGCTTCTCTTGGATCGCTGGACGCATTAGAATAGTCCTATTTAGTTATTGCTCACCCCAGCGCTGCAGGGCTTGTGCAGCTTCAAACTGTTCGTGCACGCAAAAAGCGGACGCTGAATTTTGCAAGCTTCTATGACACGGAACACATCGAGCAGGCTGCAAGCCAGCGCTCGATGGACGCGCTTGGGGCTGTGTGGTCGAGTGCGTCCATTTTGAGAGGGGTACCAGAAACCTGCGTCAAAGATCATGGCACGATGGTTTTGGAGTGGACGGAACTTGCCGGACACGTTCCACATTCTACCCAGCCTATTCTGAAAAGTACCCACCACCGGCACCAGCCACTCCAAACGAAGAACGTCGCTCAATCGCCCTAAAAACACCCGTGGATCAATGAGACCGTCACGATCATCTCCACTCTAGCACGAGCATTCCTGGATGTCCTGCATGAGCTAGACATGCGGCTTCGCCCTGTAGCAGCCAATTCCTGGCAACATCGACGAGGTGCGGGATAACCCAAGCCTTATGAGCGCTGGGACATCTCTAAAATATCTGTACGACTCTCTGGTCGAAGAAGATTCTATCATGAAATGACTCGCCTATGAAGGACGCTTTCGCAGCGGTTTATTCATCCTCAACGACGTCAAAATCATGCCACCGCAACGTGCCCCCCACAAAACCCGTGGAACGCTGAGCAATCCCATGCTCAGTCGTCTGGTGAAGTGGCTCCCTTGATATCGGATCGTACACTCGAAGCTCGATACCGGTTTTAGGCTTCGAGTAATCCGTTATCAAAGCAGTCGACAGGAGTATCGTCCCTTTCTCACATTGTTTCCTATGAACACTCTGCTAGTGTTAGTGATTTTGTCAATATCGCACGCATATTCAGTTTCTTCGTAGGAGTCCTAAGTACACACCGGTGCACTAAAGGAACCAAGTCTTAGATCGAGATGTATCTCTCGTCATACTTGTGAAGTATCCACAATACATGAGGATATCGGGAGATCTAGACTTCCATTCCCCACCAATAGACGACGCGGATGCAGACTAAGAGCCTTCAACCTTCACATACTCCGACCTTTTCCACGTCACCAAAGAATCATGTGCGACTTGAGATGCCTCTTTGTCAGGTGCAACATGCAGCTACAATTCGACACTGAGAAGTTATAGAAGGGGACGATCAGCAGCGGTCGCGATGGGAGCATGTCGTTCCCCGCTCAATCCCCATTTTCAGAGTGGAAACCAACCCCAAAGCCCGAAGTCTAGGCCCATAGTTCAGATGCCACTGTCCAAAGCCGGCATCAGTAACTTCTAGATCGATGGAGTTTAGGTTTGATCAAGCAGGCCCACCAAGGGACAAAGGCACGAGTTCCAGCGATGCCCTGACAGCTCTACCCACTCCTTCTAGAATATGATACTTCTAATCTCTTCAGCTATCTATTCTGTGTGTATGGGTTTACCAGGACTTAGACAGCGATAGAGTCGTAACGCGACAAGAGCCGTAGCCATCTTTTGTCTTTCTTATCAGATGAAATGCGCCCACCAGGATCGGTGATATTCGCTGCCTCCGCTCCGTTCAGCTTAAAATGGCAAGTCATCGGCCCTGTCATCGCACTTACGGCACTGGCTACCATCTTCGTCGCATTGAGATGGTATAGTCGTGTTTCTTTGACTCGGAAAGTGGGATGGGATGACTATCTTATCACGTTTGCGTTGGTAAGTTGACCCCCAGAGTTTGTGCAAGCGTAGACTAATTGGTCAAGGCATTGTCAATGTCAATGATGGCACTCATCGTAGCTGGTTCGTTTTTTACCCATCTCGGTTTTCTATTGAATTCTAACATGACATACAGCGCTGTGTTTTGATTATGGCGACATAGACTGGCATGTGGACTGGCACGCCCTCGAAGATATAACCATTGTAAGTTCCCAATGAGCCTTTTGGTAGTTCTCTCATCTCCTAACCTACCCTTAAGCTCTTCTACACCAACAACGCCCTCTACCAAACCGCCATCAACCTCGTCAAATCCTCCATTGTCGTCCAATTCCTGCGAATTTTCACCGGACCGGTACCCACTCGCATCTGCCACGGAATTCTCCTCCTCCTCCTCATTGCTGCCTGCTGGGGCATATTCGGCGGCATCTTCCTCTGCATCCCGATCCGCAAACACTGGCACCCCGACTTTAAGGGCCACTGCATTAACTCCCGCGGATACTGGTACTCAGCCGCGGGGCTGAACGTCATGAACGATTTCATCGTATGGCTGTTTCCAATGCCGTTCATAAAGCAACTACGGCTGCCCACGAGACAGAGGATAGGACTACCTGTTGTTTTTAGCCTGGGCGGATTGTGAGTGCCCGCTATACCCATTGTCTTAACCCTTCATCTAATACCTCTAGCGTCTGCATCATCAGCGTCCTCCGCATGCTCCTCGTCCGCATCGCCGTTATCAACGGTGATCACACAAGTACGTCCTCCTCCCCCCTCCCCTCCACTCCCCATCCCTACTCAACTCCTTCTAACCCCACCCCCAGAATCCGGCAAAGAAGCCCTCCTCTGGTCCGCGCTCGAAGTCAACATCGCCATCATCTGTGCGTGCATGATGGCGCTGAAACCGCTGCTGGTGCATCTCTTCCCGCGCCTCATGGGGCCCAAGAAACCAGCGCTGCATAACATGAGGCTGCCGATACTGGATACAAGTTTCTGGGGCACGACGGTCACGACGTCGGCGCGGAGGAGCAGTACGTGTGTGGAGACGCCAGAGGGGCCGTGGATTAAGGTGGATACGGAGACGGTGGTCGGGGAGGAGAGGGTGGGGCTGGGTGCGGGGGATGCGTCCAGATCTTACGGATCTAGGTCTCGAGAGGGGGGTTCGTTCAAGGAAGTGGAAGGTGATGGGGATGAGAGGCTTTATCATCCAGAGGATAGACATTGAATCAAAGAAGTGCAAAGAGGAGATCGAAGCCGGCTTAGTGGTGCTGGATACCGCAATGCTTTTGTTCATCGTTGAAACTGTACCATATCTTCGCAGCGTGTGTAAGTAGGCGTATACTCCGTTAGCATAGTGCTTTAGCAAACTTGTAGACGTTCATCCACTGCCGTCTAGCTTCCCAATCACCCCATTAAAATCCTCGTAGAAAAAGTACAATCCTCTGACAGCTGTATTGATCTATCCCCTCCCAAACACCCTCCTCCCAAACCCCACCACCGGCACAACAACCACCCTCGCAAACCACGGCGTCGCCCACACACTCCCCACAAGCCTTACTGGCAACAGCGCCTTCGTAATCGCATACGCCGTCGCCACCTCGACCACAATCCTAACCCCCTTCCCCTTCCCCTCACCCTCATCCCCAACCCTATTTCCTCCATCCCGCCCATCTCCCTCCCTCGCATGGTCCGCCGCAGCTATTTCAAGCTCTCTTTCCTCAGTGGAGTCGGCAATCCACCCCTTCCGCCTAAAATACCGGCCAAACTTCTCGATCCCACTCGCGACCCACTCGCCGTCCACGACCGAGCTCGGGAGGTAGTTCGTATAATGAAAAAACGTCGTAAGCGCGAAGAGCGGGACGACTGCCGTGAGTTCGTGGAGGACGAGGAAGGCGGTGACGATGGAGGCCGGGGCAGAGGCGAGGGGGGTGGTATAGGGGTGGAGGAAGCGGGGGACTGGCAAGCAATTTGACAAGTTAGCCGGTGGATTGAGGGGTTATGGAAGAGTGGAAGGGGTATGTAGCATACGGCGGGCATTTATGCGGTCGATGCGGGATTTGTGGGTAGACGTGGAGGTGGAATTGGAGGTGTGTCGTGGATGCGGAGAGGCGTGAGGGTTGCGGAGGTGCGGTCGGCGGAGGTGGTGGCCGAGGCGGCGGAGGAGGGGGAATTGTTTCATTATATTAGCTGTAGGGCACAGATCTGGAGGAATAGAATCATGGTGTTGTATAAAAGAAGCCTCGGGATGGCGACATGGTGGTTGTGGGACAGAGGCACAGAGGTGATGATGTCGGGGAGCAAGCTTCATGACGGGGATATCGGACCGTCACGTGTTGAAATATATAAAAGCAATGAGTTTGATCTACATAACCTTGATCGCGCTCAGCAATTCCCACTCCAAGCCCAAACTGAGAGAACCCATCCTAGTGACTGCCCGGACGTGTCCGAGATCACAGAACAAAAGCGTCGGAACAGGGATAGCACAGTACTGAAGGTCTATTCGCTCCAATAAACATTCTCATACAAACACCTCCTACCCTCCCCTCTCATTCCCCCGTTATGCCATTCTACTCACCCGCTGATTACCCGCTCACACTATCGATAGTCTTCGCTCTCCCTTTCCCACCAGCAGCTCTTCAAAACCCTACCCCAGCGCCACCCCTCACTGCACCTGGTTAACAATCTCGCTCGCCCTGGTAAGACTCTCCACCATCTGCTGGCACTCCTTCCGCCTCCTAACGGTGTACTCGCTCTCCTTGAGCAGCTCATCAAATTCGTCAGTCTTGTACATGTTCTCGAGTAGCTCGCGCTGCATCTCCTCTTTCGTGAGCTGGACCAGGTTCAGCATGATGGCTTTGGGCACCATATCGATCATTGTGCGCCGGACGATGTTGAAGTAGGAAGTTATGAGTAGCTCTGTGGGATGTGGTTAGCAAGAGAATTGCGGCAATTGAGTTAACAAAACTTACTGATGACCTCAACCTCCTGTGTCTCCTTCTCGCTCAGCGTGCCACTCGCCTTGAGCGTCGAAGGCGGCGGTTCCATAGCCGCCATCTTCTTCTTGTTCTTACTCGCGAAGAAGGATCCAAAGAAGCCCGAATTGTCGTTTCCGTCCAGACTTGGGCTGATGGACCGCGGCGGTACGCTGGGTGGTAGCGGCTTCCCAGTTTTGGGGTCGACTTGTTGGGGTTTCGAGGCGTTGTGACGTTCGTGGATAATAGCCATGGCCTGCTGGAGATGTTAGCTAGGACGCTCTTGAAATGATGAGATGAGTATCTGGGGATAAGGGCCGTCGAACTGACCCTTGAGCCATTAATGAAATCGGGATGTCCTGTGTTGATATAAGTTGCCTCCATCGCGACCAGATCCTTCACAAGCTTATTTGCAGGGTCCATCGCCTTCTTGAAAAACGCAACAGCAACGGCATGGAACTTCTCCTTCAGTGCGGGGTATCTCCTGAACATGGGCTTGGTCAATAGCTGGCCGAGGATTCGGATTAACTCGTCGTAGACTAGCGACACGCATTTCAAGCTGGGATCTTCCAATCGCTTGATTTGTTGCTTGACGATGAGTTCGAAGGCGGTGGTGCCGACGAATAGCGCCGGAGAAGAGCCCGAGGAGTTGTAGAGAACAGTGCGGATATCAACGTCCTTCACTTGGTCGAAGGGGTCAACGGCCTTGACACCGTTGGCGTAGAGCTCATGGTAAACGAAGCTAATTCTGGCACCGCCCGAAAGTTCTATGCTAGATAACTCTTGGTTGTTGCCATCGAGGACCGATCGGTATTCGTTGGAGAATTCTGTAATCATGTTGAGGACGACATTTGAGCTGTTGCCAAGAAGTGAGTCTCCGAGAGAGAGCAGTTCGGCTTGGTATTTCTGCAACGAGGAAGCAATTCGGGCTTTGATGTCGGGGAGGGTTTGTTTGATGTGCATCATAAGAATCTAGAGCTTAAAATTAGCATTCGACCTATCCTTCGAAAAGGGGATCCATACCAGATTCAACTTCCGCGCAAGGTATGGAGTACCGCAGTACGCTGCCTTGTTCCGATATGCCTTGTGGGTCTCGAAGAACTGCCTCTCATGCTCCAGCGCATACGAAATAGCCTTCTTGTTCTCGATATCCCTCTGCCCTCGATTGACAACAGGCACGTAGCCTAGTCGTAGCGGAATGATTCGTCCAGCCAGGATATCCACAACATCCGTTCCATCGTCCATCAAATCGACCTTTGTAAGAACACCGATTGTCCTCTGTCCCTCAGGATCCACCTCGCGCGCCAGCTTCAGCCCATCCGAGTTCGCCAAATCCGTGTTCGCGGCAGTGACAGCCAGTATTATCGCGTTCGACTTGCTGATCTGCTTCAACACCATCTCCTTGATCTGTCGTTCGATATCTCGCGGCTGGTCTCCCACCGGCACCTTGGTCAAGCCGGGTAAATCCACCAGCGTCAGGGTTAGGACGTTTGGCGAGTATATCCGCAGGTTGATAGGCGCCGGCGAAATGCCCGCATTCCGCCCAGTCTTGGAGTCTGTCTCTCGCACAATCTCCTCCCGAATCTTGTTGAAGTCGTGGAACTTTTGGCCAGGGATGTGTAGAAACTCGCCCCACTCGTCGACGTTGGACTCGGCGTCCGACGTCTTCATGTCCTCGGTGATGCCATTTGCTTGCGGTTTGTTCGCCGGGGCGCGGTTTATCAGTTGTAGAATGAGCGGTCGTCGCGTTACTATGCCTGTTCCACGCGGTAGGCTAGAAGTCGTAGATGTCAGTTCTATGCTGTTTGATAGCCTTCCTGGGAGGATGTCCTTACAAATCTCTCCCCACGATGTTCTCTAGCACGGAGCTCTTGCCGCTGGACTGCGATCCTACGACTGCAATCTGGGGTAAATCTATGGGGTTTTGGACCTGCAGCAGGGGTCAGTAGGGCGCGGCGGGATATCGCATGCGCTGCAGGTGCGGTACGTACTCCGACGGTTGTGAAGACATCCTGGAGCTTGTTGACGAGAGTAATAAGGCCCGGATCATTGACGTTGATCGCCGTGGGATTCACCGTCGCCATGGTGCCGTCGGTGTATGGGGATATCTGTTGGTGTGGGCAGCTGGGGGTACAGATCTGAGCGCTGTCCCGCCGAGTTTAGGGGCGTGTTGGAGAGATGGGGGCCACTCAGACAGTGGCTCGCAGGGTGTTTCTGGAGGATAGGAAGAGTATAGGGAGTGTCTGCGGGTGTCGAAGGCGGCGAGTGTTGAGCTGGTCGGCGTTGGATGGGCAGCTGGCCCACTGGCAATCGATGCGGCGTCACAAGCCTCTCACGTGACCGCAATTCGTGGCGCAGTTCTCGCATCTAATTCTGCAGCCTGAAGCCTCCTCACTGGACGCGTACGCACTGCGAAGACGCCCAGGGTGCATTTGTACACGCAATCTAACCCGACCTCCGTAGCTAACCTATGCACTCGCTACCTCCAAAGACCAGATTCCCCATCCTCAATATACAGCAGTTCAACAGCACGCCTACCTACTCATCCGTCACGGCCGCAAACTTGTCCATCATCTTCTGCATCATCTCCTCGTACTGTCGTCATGTCAGCTGTGTACGCGGTCAAATTAGATGCTCGTATCCACGTACCTTCTTGCCGACCTTCTCCTCGCCATCGCTAGGCAACTCGAACTTCATGCTGCGCAACTCGCTCTGGATCTCTGATGTCGCGTCTCGGACCTTACCCCAGGTCTGGCCTTGAGCAATCGCTTTTTGCGCCTCGTCGTGGAAGCCCATCATAGCTTTCATCATCCATTCCGTCTTCCATAGCGGACAGAACTGGTCGTAGTCGCTGTAACCGTTCTGCTGCAGGAAGTCCTCTTTGATCAACGTCGCAACATCCAGCGTGATCTTATCGGGGTCGCCTAACGCAGATTTACCCACAAGCTGCACCACCTGGTCCAAATCTTCTGAAGTCGTGAGAAGCTCCTTGATTCGATCACGGAGGCGCGGGAAGTCGGGGTTGTGTTTCGCATAGTACTTGTCCAGCGGTGTCGTATACTTGCTGTAACTCATAGACGTGTTGACCGAAGGGAAATGCTTTCTTTGGGCGAGCTTCTTATCCAATCCCCAGAAGACCTGCACAATACCAAGCGTACTGCTAGTGACGGGATCCGAGAAATCACCACCGGGAGGGCTGACAGCACCAACGATACTGACACTGCCCTTGCGATCGGGGCTTCCGAGTGCCGTGACTCGACCAGCACGCTCGTAAAAGGACGCCAATTTGGCACCAAGGTAGGCAGGGAAACCTTGATCAGCAGGCATTTCTCCGAGACGACCAGAGATTTCTCGAAGCGCCTCAGCCCATCGCGACGACGAGTCAGCCATCATGGCGACATCCTTGCCCTGGTCACGGAAGTACTCTGCGACGGTGATACCGGTGTAGATGGAGGCCTCACGGGCCGCCACGGGCATGTTGGAGGTGTTGGCAATGAGCGTAGTCCGCTTCATAATGGGTTCTTTTCGCCCGTCGATGTCGATAGAAAGCTAGATCCTAGTTAGATTAAAATGATCGCGGACTCAACGCGAACCTTACCTCAGGGAAATCCATCAACACTTCAGCCATCTCATTACCTCGCTCTCCGCACCCAACGTAGACAATGATATCAGAGTTAGAGAACTTGGACAAACTCTGACTAATGACCGTCTTTCCGCAGCCAAAAGCACCGGGAATGCACACGGTACCACCCTGGACACTGGGGAAGAGAGCGTCGAGAACTCGTTGGCCGACGACGAGGGGAGAGTCAGAGGACAGCTTCTCAGCGGTAGGACGAGGCACACGGACGGGCCAGTTATGCATCATGCTGTATTCCGTCTTGACGCCATTGAACTCGAGCTCCAGAATCTTGGTATCCACAGTATAGCTGCCCTTGTCTGCAAGGCGGGTGATCGTTCCCTTCGCTCGAGGAGGAAGGAGGATTTTGTGGTCGTTGAGAAGACTATTTTCCCAGACGCTGCCAAAGACATCGCCACCCGTGATATGGTCTCCAACCTTGTATTTGCCAGGTGTAAAATCCCACTTCTTCTCGCGGTCGAGCGAGGGGATGTCGATACCTCGGGGGATGTAGATGCTGTTGGACTTGTCTGCAATGCTCTTGAGAGGACGTTGGATTCCGTCGTAGATGGTTTCCATCAGACCAGGGCCAAGTTCGACGGATAGAGGCTTTCCGGATCGAGTGACGGGGTCGCCGACAGTTACACCAGCTGGGAACCCAAGCATTAGTCAATGTTCTTGCAATTATGTAGGGTGAAGCCGTACCGGTCTCTTCGTAAACCTGAATCGTAGCTTTGTCCGCCTCGATTCGAATGACTTCTCCAACAAGGTTGTCATGACCAACTCGAACCTGCTTCGCTTTAGCCTGGACACAGTCCTCCATAGAGATGTTGAAACATACGAGCTCGTACATAGCACAACCAATCATGTCCTCGGCGACAATGACGGGGCTAGAGGTTGTCAGCTGCCAATTCGACCCTCTCCAGGATCTACGTACCCAGAGACAGAGAACACCTTGCCTATGAAGCTGTCAGCTAATGTTGGCCTGGAATCCTCAAATGTACATACCGGTGTTCTCGTCATCAGCATCTTTCTTACTCTGCACCCCACCAAGTCAGCTATCAAGCCCTCGAATTCGCGCTTCTCGCTGCATTGAAGCTTACCGGAGCCATGGCGGGAGGTGGTAGAGCTTCCGGCGATGCGGGAGCTTCGACTACAATGTCGGGGGGATTGAGCGGTGGAGAAGGAGGAAGAGGTATGTCGAGGACCTGCTCTTCGGGCTGGGGAACCGGTACAGTCTGCGGGGCGGGACTGTGGGCGTTGCTCTTGCGCACGAGGTCGAGGAAGGAAGGTCGAGCTTTGAGTCGCGGGCGCAGACCGAGCATACACAGCTCGAGAGGAGTTGAGAGGGTTGGATGGGAGGAGAGTGGGTGCAGGTGGTGATGCAGCTCGCGGTTGGTACCGATTGCACGACGTCGTTGCTTTTAGTCAAAGCTCCATGACCAGGATCATCGAGAACTCAGAGAGATCCTAGACGACCTCACTAATCACAAGCAAATCACTAAGAATTGTTTTCTGCTTCATATCTTCGAGTAATGAACTTATCTTCCTCTTAGGGAGATTCATCAGAAACGCCCAGTTGCAGTGTCACGTGATCAGAATAGATACCATGCTAGTATGGGTTGAGGGTCTGTCTATAATACCCACTCAGGCACTACGTCCTTCAAGATCTGCCGAGCATAGAAAAACTTCCATGATTCGTAGACTTGGTAAGACCCCATATCACGTTATACATCAAAGGCAAACAGTTACGACGATGTAAAAGGCTATTTCTACAACACATAAATCTATTGCTCTTTAAAATGCAAAAGGATTGCACCAAAAGATGTATGTACAAACCACCCGCACCAGCCCTCGAACCTGCGGTCTTGTGTACGGCGGTTGCCTGAGCTGAAATGAGACCAGCTCACAAAGCTTCCCACTAGCAGAAGGAAAGAATTCCCTAGGGAACAAGCGTCAACAGCCTTTCGGCTCGTTGGTGTTCAATCGATCCGTAGATCTCTAAACTTTGGTGTGGCAACTTTCCTGAAGACTCTAGAGAATTATTTACAATGTGTAGGGTAGGGCATGAAAAGATAGTGGGAAAATTAGGGAACGACTAGGTAGCCTGAAAAAAAGGGAACATGTTCAGGCTAAATACTCCCAAAGTTATGTACACCACTTCACAGGTAATTTACCGCCTTGTTTTCTCAACGCGTTCTCTTTTTGTTACTTCTAGTTTCTGTATTAGCTATTAGGTCTGCTATTATGAGCTCCTTACGAGCAGACGAGTGAGGTTGATGCAGCTGGCCGATGCACCGTCCCGTCCCCGACGGTAATCAAAGAAGCGGTCAGGACATAGCTATAGGTCCAGTAGATCCGAAGATAGTCTCTCTTATTTATAGCTCATCGTTCAAAACATATCAACCTCCTGCCCGTACCATCTAAAAAGCAGCCGCTCATCAACTCGCCCATAATGAAGCTTCAAGACACCAGCCCCAGACACCAAAAGAAAAGAACGCATACTCACTGCAACCGTCGAACCCTCATCCCCCGACGATGGCTGCCTAGACAGCTGACTCGAAGTGATACGAGGAACCTACCACTGGCAAAAGGAAAGGGTTCTCAAGAGAACAGGTCCCGAAGGTGATAGGTCTCAGTGTTCCGAAGAACTAAAGATCAATTGGTTGGCGACTTTCCTGATATTCCATCGAAATTATTCCGTTTATAAATGCAGCCGGTTGAATTTTCTGGCGTTGCGCTGGATGCCTTGGTGGTGTCCTGCATGGGTCTGTCATGACTCACATTACCGCATCCACATCCCATATCAAGAAAATACCGATATCATTAACATTAATCGTATAGTAGTATTCCAAACTTTTCCTTAATCTAGACCGCGAGCCCATAAATGATACTCGAAACCCGGATACCAAAACCCATTATTCAAAACGTTGAAGCAGAGAGTCTAAGTCCTGCGCTTCTTTGAAGGAGGCGAACCGTTCTTGCCCTTGCCCACAAGACCTCGGATATCAATCTCGTCGTCGCTGTCGTCATCCAAGTCCTCGACCTCGAGATCTGAGAGTTCCTCGTCGTCCACCTCGTGAGCCGACTCTGCACGCATTGTTAGCGAATCGTTTGTATATAGACAAGAATATCGCAAACGGTACTTACTGAAGTACTTGATAGCACCCGGCCAGAGCTCCTCGGCCAGAATGGTCGCCAGCTCCTCGCCGGCCGGGAACACCTCAGTGTCCTCGTCGCCATCTTCGTCCTCATCTTCGGGCTCCTCAACTGGCTTGCCCTGCTTCCGTAGTTCGCGTCGTGCTAACTCCTCCTTCTTGGCTTGTACGGATTCGGCAGCTGAGACGTATTTGTAGGACGAAATGAAGCCAAACCAGGCGAAGAACGAGAGGCTAGACTCCTCGGCAAGCTCGATCTTCTGCTTCAGCGCCTGATATTCGGGGAGACTCGCCGCGTCCCCTTTCTTAGCCCCATTTGTCTTTCCACTCGCAAGCTTCTGCTTCGCCTCCCAGAGTCGCACCGCCGCGTCCGTCAGTCCAGCAGTCAAGTCCTTGCCCTTTTTCCAATGTATCTTGACCGGCTCCGATACCAGGCCTTCCCATCGCGAGGTTTTGGAGTGACGGTACCAGAACTTCTTCTCGAGTACCTTGTCCGTGACGTGGTCGTTCTCCGCAAAGGTGAAGCGGACGCAAAAGCTGCGCGGCGAGCCGGTCGGGTCATCAATCTCGAAGCGCGAAACGGAGAATTCATCGAGCGCGTCGGCGAAGAGCTTGCTATCTGACGGCTGGATGTGCTGATCTAGCTCTGGTGGGCATTGCTCGAAGACGAGAGGCCAGAAGTGCGGAATCTTTGCGGCGACGGCGGCGCGTTTGGTGTAGAGGGGCTCGGTTAGGGCGGTGGTCTTGCGGACTGTGGTCGCGTTAGCCTATTTCCTTGAATGGGAAGAGCTAGAGAAGCAGGTCCGCGGCGTAGTGGCATCAGAGGGATTGAGAAGATAGATTGCTGGTGTTGAAATCACGCGCGTCCTAAACTCTCCATACAGCTCTGAGATTGCATGTAGAGAATTGGAAAGCGTCTTCTGGCCCCAGCGTCGCTCATCACGGTATTCTCACGGTGTGGGAGTGGGAAAAAAAGCTATACGTACTGATTTCGAGCTCGGCATCGTCAAACTCCTCCTCGAGAACCGTCAAGTCCTCGAAGCGGGCCAAGAGGGCTTCGGCATCAACACCGACTTCCATTGTGCTGGCTGAGATTGTAGGTGGAGTAGTTGATTGAAGGGTATCGAAGGATAGAGAAAAGAATGTGGTGGTGATAGAGAATGGTGGTAATGAGCAGAGATGTGTTGGGAACCACTTTTCCTACGTGCAGGGATGCAGCTTCCCCGGCTTGGCGTTCCCCGTCAAGGTCATAGGGCTGAGCCATTCACCATTTCACCCCGCTACTGATTCACAGGCTCCAATCCTTTACGTCTTGTTCCCAAATTCTTGAATGGGGGTGAGAGACTTCACGGTGGTGCATATGCCCCCAGAAGCACGCTCCACACGCCCTAATCCACACCCTCACGTCATGTCCATGCACGGGTCTGATTCACAAGCTCCAATCCTTTACATCCTGTATCAAGATTCTTGCATGGGCGTGAGGTTCCTCAGAGTCGTGCGTATGCCCCCCAAACCGCACTCCGTACGCCCTAATTTGCGCTCTCATGCTCCTACTATCTATGGGTCTAATTCACAGCCTCCGATTCTTTACATCCGATTTCAAAATTCTTGCAAGGGCGTTAGGTTCCTCAGAGCCGTGCATATGGCCCCAAAGCCACGCGCCCTTATTTGCGCTCTCATATTGCCCCGGTCCAGCGGTCTAATTAACAGCCTCTAATTCTTGACATCTCGTTCTAAAATTCTTGAAACGGCGTGGGGTTCCACAAGGCCATGCGTACACCCCCAAAACGATCACTCGACTATATGTGATTTAGCACGCGTCGCAAAAAACATCACGTTCAATGCTCGCGCAAGCAGCTCGAGAATCAGGGTCTTATTCCAGTCGTTTTGACTACTATTATACAAATCCGGGGTGCTCCCGCCGTGTCATCCCCCTCTCCAAAACTCCTCCCACCACGGTCCGATTTGAACTCCATTTCTAGTGTCCAGTTCCACGCCCTCCAAATTGGCCCCCCTGGCCCGGCGCCCCGCCCGACATCACCCGCCTGCAGAATCCCTCCGACCAGCCATAGTAGTTGACAAATCTGGTCCCATCTCCCACCAATCTGTGGCCCATCTCATCAATGTCAACGACCGCACGCTCCGAATCGCCCCCATTGTGTTCATCGTTTGCAGTCTGCAAAAGTTCATCGACAGCGGTCTTGAGGGCCTCACTGGCCTGTTCGAGCTGGACATCCATCGGCCTGATTTGAAGGGTGTCAACCGGCGCATCCGGATTCCTGAGCAGAATTGGCACCATCAGGCCAGCTGGCTGGTCGTGCCAAGCCACGCCTGTGAAGCCGTGTAGAGTCGGCGTCGGAAGCGGGCGTTCTTCGACGATTTCCCGCAGCGTGCAGATCAGGTCGGCGGAGTAGTAGTTATGCGCCTGCCACAGATTCAAGAGGACCAGCAGCTTCTTCTTCGTAGTTGGATGGCCCTTCATGACGCCCCCGGCACAGCTCTTGACAGCATCTTCAATCGTCTGCTTCAGTCCATCGCGAAAGGCTGGGAATGGCGATGGAGTTTGTCGATGGTATTTGGCGGAGTGGAGCAAGTCATTGATAAGGTAGAGGATGTGAACGCGTCGTCGCGGAGCCGGGCATCTGCTGTTGGGAAGCTGGAGGTCTAGACAGGTCTTGAATTTGTGGTTGAGGTATGCTGCCAGGGTCGCGATACCAGGGGTTGAGGGGCTAATGAAATCCAAGATCCATGCGCGACATTGCTGTTGACACACGGTCCACGTTAGTTCAGAGTCGGCGCGTAAGTTGGACTGAGCAGTGATATATGCAAACCTGGATGTTTGTGGGCGAGCACTCGTCGATGACGGAGTCGATAAGCTTGAAGAAGCGATCAAATTCGGCTGTCGGGACTGCTCTGGTTGGGTCATTGGTTAGCTTTGTCTGAAAGATCGCCTTTTGTAAGTCGGCGGTGGTCTTGACGTGCTTGGAAGCAGCGGTGGTTGTCGGCATGGCGAGCGACACTGGCGACGAGACTGGCGACGACGTGGAGGAGAAGACGGCCAGACGCGACGCGGGCGCGGTTTTGAGGTTCGCCGGAACAACTTTCTGCCTAGCGCCCCGCGCCAAGCGAGGCCGAGCTCGAGCTTCCGACGGTCACGTGACGCGTCCCTTCAACCGAACCTCCATACACAAAGCAGCCGCGTTGGAGAAGGTTAGAAGACCAGAGACTGAGTGAAATGAAGGCTTATATGCCCAGGTAGAAAATCGGTGCTGACTAATGGTGAGTAAGCCAATAGCTTTCATATAGAAGGTATCCAGAGAATTGTGGTATCTTGGTGGAAGATAACTTGACAAGTAAGCCAATAGGGTGGGAAAGATCTTATACCGAGTGCCTCTCGTTGTATGGTTGCAAAGATATCCTAGAACTGTGGTATTTTGGTGGAAGACCACATGGCAAGCTATCTCATAGCATCGGCCAATCATTCACCAATATCCTTTGGTTCGCGCTAACCTGGGAGAGTCTGAACGGAATATTAGGAGCTTATACAAAAGGGATTAGTGGCCGTTCGTGCGCACAGATCCGATCGTAACTCTGCGGAATGATGGTGCTTGAGATGGCCTGGCAAAGTGCTCGATGGTCTAAAGTGATAGACTTTTCCGGATTGAAACTTTGAAACCTCGCTGAGGAACTTCAGACAATGGCAGAGGAACATAAGATAAAGACGGTGTTTGCCAACTCGAGGTAGTAAGGAGCCCGCCATCCTTGAGGACACATTATCGACAAACCTAAGCATAGGTTGTCGGCGTGTGAATAAGCGGAAGGAGTGAGTGCGATTACTTGACTTTCCCACCTACATCTCTTGACCACCGTCTGGGGTGGCCTAGCGAGTGTCCTAGCTCTTCAAGATCATCGACGTGAAGCTTGTCTCAGTCAGTGAAAGCTCCTCGAGACACCACAAGCAGTGGTAATGAAATGTACACATATGTATGATGACGCACTGTGAAAGGAAAGAGAAGAGAGAAGGGATACCTCTTAACGTGTACGAGGTGTCAGACCAAAATCCTGCAGGACGTTTGAGCGCCGTCTAGAGACGCTTGACAAGCTACCTGACTGAACCAGATGATACGCAATTGTCGGATTTGGAGTTATGGGAATAGACAGTGACAAAGGAGCGTACACATTTACTAGCCGCAGACGAAAGATGATATCCCCGCGATAAAAGAAAGAGCCACTGCTGGTGCTCTCAAAATGAGAAGAAACGGGCAACCGAGTGCATGATCCATATTTGTGGACGCCTACGCCCTAAAGTCATCATTTTAAAGCCATCATTTTAAAGCCATCATTTAAAGGCCCAGACAGTTCAGACAGGACATCACCGACAGCCGTAAATACGCTTGGTTGGTTTAAGTTCACAATGCTAGAGTTCTTCAATGTTGAGAGGTGCCAAAGGAGACGCATATATTCCATGATATGCGTAGAATACGAAAGATGAGTCGAACAGATGCAGATGGGGTATATAGAAACACATATCAAAACACTCGAGGTTCTCAAACCTGCAATTTTCACCAATCTAGATGACTCAGCCTACTCCTGTAGCCCCTTCTCATCTATAGCGCCCATGCAAAGCCCAGCGGCAGACCCCACACACCACGCCCGAGGAAACGCCATTCCCCACTTCCCCATCAACCCTTTAAGCTGCTCCTCCGTGCCTGGGACCACATTCACAAACACCCTCCCTTGTGCTCCCTCATTGCTACTACAATTCGGCTCCGAATGCATCGCCCCCTCCACTGCACCGAGTCTGAACCAACAGCACTCTCCCGGAGCCGGACTCACAACCTCAAAGTTCAAGGAATCAAAGGTCGAGGCAAGAGACTGGCGCACTGAGTTAGCGGCTGTAGCGCAGCCGAGACAGCGAGTGCTGGTGCATGGATGGGCATATTTGGAAGACGCGGTAGATTTGGCGGTGGATTGAACACGAAGGGCATTGGAGTTCGTTTTCGGGGAGAGGAAGAGGGTTGGGGCCCCGAGGAGGGTGGCGCAGAGCTTCCAGGTGCCGGGAGCTAGGGCACTTGGCGCGTCTGAGGGGGTTACAGAGCTAGACCTGCGATTGTGGGTGCTGGTTTTACTGAAGAGCTTCCATCTGGACTTTGGGGCCACGATGCTTGTAGCTTCTGTGGACGTGGGAGACTCGAAGAAGAGATCGTCTGTATGCCATCGTGGAGTATCGTATTCATTCGTAGGTAGCGTTGCGCGTACGGTTATCCAGTAGTTCCCCAAGCCAGCTTTCTTCAAGAAGTCGTTCACATAGGCTACAAATGGAAGGAGGGAGGGCAGGAGGGCGGAAGCAGGTTCGAAGGTCGCGTTAGTCCAGGTATCGAAGGAAGCAGGGAGAGATGAGGGTGTGAGTGGGAGGAGAGGACCACAGTATGTCCAGGTGGATGAGTTGAGGACGCGGCGAGAGGGGTGTGAGGGTTGGGAGCAAGTGTAGGGCAAGAAGGCGCAGGGTGAGGGGAGGGTAGAAGGGTCGGGAGGGTCCATGACGGAGAGTTTGGTAGAGCGAGGCCTGGAGGAGGCGCGGGAAGCTTGAATCATGAGAAATCCATGGTGTATGGTGTGAAGGAGAAGTTCGGGCAACACTGCTTGCAGACGCGTGATCCGATGCTTGGCATGGAGCTTGCCTTGCTCTTCGGCATCACCTCTTTCCTTCATGAAGTGCCACAGCTGGAATGTAAGATCTATACAAAGAAGATGAGGAAAGTTGTTCCAGGTCAGAGTTCTCGCACGTTTCTTCTGCTGTCAGTTGGTGGCTCGTTACGAGCCAGCTTTCTAGTACTACTCCAATTTTCACTTCTAACTAAATGTTATCCTTTTCCAATGTCCACGATGTACTGCCCTAGTCTTTTTCATTATATCTTTCGTCACAAGCTCGGCTTTAAATTAGACATGCATTACTGTGGCCTGCAGAGCTGCTTTGCCCCAACCGCTCGTATGTAATTGCAAAACGCCAACCCTAGCCTCGCTGCCATCAGGTAGCAAGAACAACCACGCTGCCCCCGCCAGTTTCTAGGCTGAACTGTCTCCCCTTGCACAGCTTTTAGTCCTCGAATATTGACCGAAATCATCGGCAGCGGTTCAAGAAACTTTTCGCATAGCGAGATAATCAAGCGACAGCGACAGCAGTAGTCGGGCTCCCAGTTGAGCAGCCCCAACCAACTCCATCTGCGCTTGTGGAGTCTCCAGCACCAGCAGCACAACAGCCTCCCGAGCCGATTCGGAAGGTCAACGACGGCTACGGCATCAAGGTTTTTCATGATCCTGCGAAAAATCCCATCAATCCTTCCAACCCTGTAGTAGAGTTAGTATAAACACCGGTTAAGATTGGTGGTGTACGCGCAAGGCTAAGATATCTTCAGTGTCGTTTTCGTTCACGGCTTAACAGGAGGTCAATTGACCACATGGACGGCGAAGGGCGCAGCTAGACCATGGCCCGAGTCTCTTTTAGCGGACGATATCCCCAACGCTCGAATATCATCATTTGGATACGACGCGGACGTTGCGAAGATCTTTGGGGGACAAGCAGGGCAGAATGGTGTCAGAGAACATGCCAGAAATTTGGTGGGATGCATTGCTGATCAGCTGCAATTCGGCTCGGAGCCCAAACTGCCCATAATTTTCGTAGCACACAGCTTAGGTGGCTTAGTGTGTGAGCAGGTACTTCGAGACTCCTTCCAGCATACGTTGAGGCGGTAACTTATCCGTTAGATGCTCTCGTTGGCAAGTAGCGGAGAGGAGCACTGGCGAGACATGTTGGATTGAACTATAGCGATTGCTTTCCTGAGCACACCACATCAGGGGTCTGAATTAGCCAATTGGGGAACCCTCGCAGCCAACCTCGTTAATTTGGCAAAGAGAACGAATCCCGGTATCGTCGGGCTCCTGAAACCGGACTCGGAAGTTCTCCGGGACGTGACACAAGACTTTCACGCTTTGCGGCGCACTAGGGAAGACACAGGCAAGAGAAAGATAGCCATCAAATGCTATGGAGAACAGAAGGCCATGCAACTAATAGGAAAGTCAGCTATAGTAAGACTTGTCAATCCCAAAGCCGTGTTCCGCTGTGCTAATATTACAGATCGTTCCTAAACAATCTGCAACGCTGGACGGTTACGAACTTATTACTATCTTGGGCTGCGACCACAGTAGCATGACCAAGCTCGCTGCCAGAGACAGCGAATATAGCAAGGTGTGCATACAGATCCAGAGGTGGATCGAAGCATTGTCGCCGGTGCCAGGTAGTTCATAAATAATCGAAAAACGTATTCAAAGTTTACCTAACTTCTGGAAGACAGAACTTTGAGTCAAGACGAGCGTGAATGTCCGCAAACATTCCGGACATCAGATTACGAGCGATTCAAAGATAGAAATCCTGATCGACTCGAAGAGACATGTCTGTGGTTGCTAAATTATGAGAATTTCCAGACCTGGTATAACGATCGATCCTCCTGCTTCCTTTTGGTGACCGCAGATCCAGGGTGTGGCAAATCCGTCTTGACCAGGTCGCTTATCGAGAGAGAGCTAAAACCCTCTTCTACTCGTACAACCTGCTACTTTTTCTTCAAGGACGACAATGAAGACCAGAAAAGTGCGACGAATGCTCTTTCAGCCCTACTCCATCAGCTGTTCTCATAGAAACAATCGCTTCTCCATCACGCTATTCGGGACTTCCAGAGCGAAGGGAAGCGACTGACCCAATCATTTCACAAGATGTGGAAGGTCCTCAATCAAGCTGCGGCAGGTCCGGAAACTGGCGAAATCGTTTGCGTCCTCGATGCTCTCGACGAATGCAAAGAGTCAGAACGACTGCAAATCATTGAAGCTTGAACGAGCTCTATCTGCACCATACTTCCTCGCGAGGGAATGGGGCCGAACTCAAATTTCTCGTAACTAGCCGCCCCTACCAAATAATCGAGGGACCATTTGCGAGGCTCATCAATGACATGCCAAACGTTCGACTGAAAGGAGCAGACGAGTCTCCGGCAATCAGTGCAGAGATCAACCGCGTCATCAAATACAGAGTGCATCGGGAGATCGGACCAGAATTACACCTGGATGAGTCAGAGAAACAAGCGCTCGAAGATGATCTTTTGCAGATGACTCACCGGACTTACCTCTGGCTGCGACTTGTCATTGAAGAGATACGCATCCGCTGGAGCGTTACGAAGAAAGAGCGGACAAAATTGATAGGCACACTTCCTGATACAGTCTACGAGGCTTACGAGGCGATTTTGACAAGGAGTCTTGACAGGACCAAGAAACGAAAGCTTCTCTGCATCGTTCTCGCAGCCGGACGGCCCCTCACGCTGAAAGAGATGAATATTGCCCTCGCCGTCGAAGACGAGCATCGGTCCTACGACGAACTGAGCCTTCACTCCGAATCTAGGTTTCAAATAGTCATCAGGAATCTCTGCGGCCTCTTCGTAAGCGTCGTAGACGACAAGGTCTATTTGATGCATCAAACGGCCAAGGAATTCCTTCTTGCCACAGGTGTGGTGCTCAAAAGTGGAGGGAAACACTCGATTACACTAGTAGAGTCAGAGCTTGCTATTTCAAAAACTTGCATTACGTATCTCCTCTTCGATGTGTTTACTACACAGCCGCCCGCGCTCGAATTCCCTTGTCCTCGCACTTATTACGCTGAACTTTTCGCTGAACTTTTCGCTAAATCGAAGGGAACCCTAAAAACCATTGCAGCCTATTTCGCAATCCATGACTATCTTGCCTATGCCACGGAATTCTAGGCTATACATTGGGGAATAGCCGAGACGGGAGTACACGAGGCGCATAAGACACTCTTGCAACCGGCCCTGGAGTTATGTGACGTTTCCAGGAAAGGAAAAACTTGGTTCCTACTGCGCCCTTCGCAAGACGACTACAACAAACTCGTCTTCTATGGTCCCAGACCGGGTGATAGATCGATCATGCTCATAGTAGCATCATTCCTCGGGTTCCACGCCACCGTCTCAGAACTTTTCGAGCTCGGAGCGACTGACGTCAACACTACTTGCGATCACGTAAAGGGGACACCGCCATCGTGGGCGGTGAGGAAGGGGCACGAAAGTGTTGTCAATATGTTGCTCAAGAGAAAGGATATCGACGTCAACCATCCCGACTGGGAGAGTCGCACCCCGCTATTCCATGTTGTACGAATAAGGAACTACGCTGTCATAAAGCAACTCCTTGATAGACAGGGTGTCAAGGTCAATCATAGGCTCAATGATGGTCGCACGGCCCTATTCGAGACAATGGGAATTAACACTTCCAATAGCTACATAGATGTCATCAAGCTGCTCCTTGCAAGACACGATATTGATGTCAATCTCGAGACCTCCAGTGGAACACCACTACGCTATGCTACGCTCAACAGATGTGCTGGCGCGGTGAGGCTGCTCCTTGAACGAGACGACGTAGACGTAAACTACAAGTATAACGGCAAAACATCCCTATGGGAAGCGGCAGAATGGGATCCTAAGGAAATTGTTCAGTTGTTCTGTGAGCGAGATGACGTTGAGTTCCAGCGCGAGGCTCTGTTCTGGGCGGCTGTGGGGGGGCACGCGCAGGTGATGAAGCGACTTCTACGGCGCTTTAAACTCATCATCATCGTGAGGAATAAGCGCAACGAAAACATGCTAGAAACAGCAATGGAAGGACGACACGATGAATTCGTTATCGTTCTGAGATATGAGCACAACGAAAAGGTGCTGAATGTGCCAATGGATGGAGCGTGCGACTTGATAGTGAAGCTTCTGCTCGACCTTCACGTTATCGATCTCACTACTCAAAGTGAACCCAGTAGAGACACTCCACTGATAAGAGCAGCGAGCAACAGTAACGAGGCAGTGGTAAAGCTGCTTTTAGAGCGGGACGACGTCAACCCCAATGAGGGGAATTACCTTGAACGGACGCCACTCTTGGAAGCTGCCAAAGATGGACAAAGGAGGTAGTAAAGCTCCTCCTTGAGCAAGATATTGATATTACCCACCGGAACGGCTTCGGAGAGACGGCTCTCGCTCTCGCGGCGAAGCATGGGCACAAGGAGGTAGTAGAACTACTTCTTGAGCGGGTGGATACCCGCCCAAACCTAAGGATAATAGGGTCTGGACTCCGTTGTCTTTGGCTCGGCGCTGGAGACGCAAGAAGGTAGTGCAGCTATTGGAATCAGATACCAGAGTGCACCATGAGCAACTCTCCGACGTGTCCGATGATTGAGTGGATACAGAATCAGGCTCTGATGAGGACGACGACACATCCGAAGATGTCGAATCTTAGCGCAGAGGATCGGGACGCGAGGATTTGGAAGACTATAATGACGAGATTATGAGCTTAGACAGTGACTACTATGGTGAAAAGTCGGTTGAAACGAGTACTAGGGACTATGAGGAGTAAAGATTCTTCGTACATACATAGGGAAACGCAAAGTCTCATGTAACAATAAAGTTCTCTGGTATTGTAGCGTAAGACTCCATCCCAAGCCACACACACCCCAACTGTCCCAAATTCATCCATGACGCCTCAGACAGATAGAAACAACGACCGAGGAAGAAAGATCTATTCTATAGAGATATGTTGCCAGTCTAATGCTAATGCCTGTGTCTGTGGTGCACCGCCGTGTTACCTAGAATCAATTCGTCTGTAAACACTTCCTCTGGCGGATAATGCCTCGAAGCGTCGTACCTGGTGTCGTCTTCAGGGCTTCAGGCTTCTGCGCTTCACTAGTGGCTGCAAAATAGCCGGCGAAACGCAAAGTAATTGGACACGCCATGGGCGCGTGAGCCAGTCGTGCCATGGATCACCAACCTCACAGCTGCACCCCCTCACTTTGCCCGGCCCAGCAGCGTCATAGCGCATGCCAAACGTAACGTGAGCGTCGCCTGAGGGCATGGCCTCTGCTGCGCAGTCCCGTGCAAGCTGCCCTCTTTCACGCACCCCGCTCTTATAAAGCCATCACGGCCACCCTGGCCTTTGTCTCGTCCACCACTAACACCAATCACCACTGATCTATCTACCTTCAGAGCTCCAACCGCTACAATGAGTGCGAGCACCCCAACTACCGCTTCCCTCACTCTCCTCCCGCACCCAGTTGCGTCGACTGTGCACACTGTCGGCCAGCTGCTCGCGAGCAAAGAGCATATCAATACAAACTCCCTCGCCGACCGCCACTACGACGATACCTTCTTCGTGCCTTTCTACAGAGACATTCTCACCCTCAAGCCTGATGAGACCCTCGATTCCTCCCTCGGCGGCATCCGCCTCCTGTCCGCTCGCGAAGCTGGTAGTTCCCTCGTCCAACTCAACGCCGAGAAGATGGAAGTGCGGGGCCTGAAAGACCCACAAGGGGCACTGGACCTTGTCGCCAAGTCCCCGAGCGCGCAGTCGTGGCTGAAGCTGCGGCTCGCTGAGGGCAAGGAGGTGGCGTTTGTCACGAAGGTGCAGAGTGTGAAGAATGCGAATTGGAGACGGTGCAGTGTTGTGGATGTGGGCAATGGAATGGTGAGGGTTAGGGAGGAGAGGAGGGCGAGTCGGGCAGATGAGGATGCTGTGGAGCTAGGCGAGGGAGGCCTCTTGAAGAAGGTGGATAGCAAGACAGAAGAGGAGCTGGCTGTCGCGAGTCCAACAGGAAGCAAGAACGATGTGCTGGCGTTGGAGATCAGAAAGGTGGTGCTGGAGGAGGGAGATGGTGACGATGTGCAGTGCCAGCTCGGAGAGGTGCTGGGACAAGAAGAGGCTGCTGCCTTCTTGAAATGAGGGTATACCATAAAGTAGCGGAAGCTGGTGTTATGGCTATGGTCCTTTCTTGGAGTTCGGGACTACAGAAACTTCCACTTTGCAGATAATCAGAGGAGCTTTGGTGGATTGACAATGGACGAGACTGATTTATGGTGTTCTGTGGAGTCTAGGTGTAATCTTCAATCTTAACAAAAACAGTATCAAAATCAAAATGATTCACTTTCATGGAGCTTTAGCGGGGCGAAGTGATAATCAACTCATACCCATGTCTCTAGCGCATTAATTTAGGCCATGTATTTAAGACTTTGCGTTACTCATTATATTAGATGTCACGATGTTAATGGTGGAGTCGTACGTGGGCCACCTCGTCTGCCGTATGTGAGCAGCTACGGTCGACCGCGATGGCCATGAGCGCTCTTTTTGGACATGTTCCGAACGACACCAAACTTCCAATTCCAATCTTCTCTGTCTAACCAGAACTCCGAGCATCTATTTCGAACGTATATGTTACTCTATTCATTAGTTCTTATCTTACGACCGGTGCAATCATCTCGAGCTGACCGGACTAACTACCCCAGCCCGTCACTCCTGCATTGCCACGTTTGGTTGCATAGGTACTGCATGCATATGCAACCTGACAGCGCGGGTCTTCCCGGTCCACGGGTTCATCCACTCATGGTATCAATTGGCAAATCAGAATTGTGGGATGAGACTGGAATGCATAAAGAGTGCAGTAGTGAGCGTTCGCCGTCTCTTGTCGGGTCCAACCTCCATGAAAATGATTCGACTGGAAGTGTCCCGGCGCTTAGCTCCAGCTCCTTCGCACTCTGGATATTGCTTTATGCTTGGTGGCTTGCTCGAGAGCTGCGAGAAAGACGACGTGTACGGCGCAGCAGTTCAGCAGAAGTTCAACAATGACCTAGAACGGGCGGAATGGCGATGCTGAGAGAAATGGACGAGTCATTTGATTCTTCTTGCTGTAACGAATGTATAAATAGGTTCAAAGGTGCTTTCAATTCAGCAATCCGCCAGTCACCAGAGCCCCGGGCTCATCCTAACCACTGTTCGCAATGCATCTGCTACTTCATTTGCTGCTTTTATTCTCTCATGCGAACGCTCTTCCTTTGCTCGGATCTTCATTCGGTATTCCAGCTAACGCTACATACGACTATGTTGTCGTTGGTGGAGGAACGGCCGGCCTCACGGTTGCAGCTCGTCTTGCAGAGAACCCCAGATTCTCAGTCGCAGTGATCGAAGCGGGGAGTTTCTACGAGATCTCTAATGGAAACTTGAGCCAAATCCCGGCATTTGACTACTATTGGACGGGAAAGGGCTACAATCCATTGGTCGATTGGGGGTACCAAACTGTCCCTCAGAAGGTCCGTCTTGTATTTCAACACAGATCATATCAAGTCATGTTATTCCCTTGACTGCGCTGCTTTCTACAGGGCTCGCAAGTGACCCCAATCAGGGCATTTCAGACGCCATCGTCCACTATCCTCGTGGAAAATGTCTCGGGGGGAGCTCCGCCCGCAACTATATGGCCTACACACGTGGCAGCGCAAAGTCCTATGACCTTTGGGCAAATTCCGTTGGTGACTCAAGCTACGAGTGGCTCAATTTGCTTCCCTTCTTCCAGAAATCGATCACTTTCACGCCTCCAGATGCAAGCAAACGAGCCGCAAATGCCACACCCGGAGACGTGAAAGATCTTGGCAATACCGGCGGTCCCCTCGGCATCACGTTCCCCAACTACGCACAGCCGTGGTCTTCTTGGGTGCAACTTGCTTTGCAGGGGATTGGGATCAATCCGATTGCTGGCCTCGTTAGCGGAAAGATCTTTGGCTCGTCGTATACTACTAATACTATTCAAGCGTCGACCCAAATACGAGAATCATCCGAGACTGCTTTCTTGCAGCCGGTACTGTCTAAGGGCAATTTGATCGTCTATCAGTCTACTTTAGCTAAGAAGATCATCTTCGATAGCAACAAGGTTGCGACGGGTGTTCTCGTTGATACCTCAGGGGTTGAATACACTCTCTCTGCCAAACACGAAGTCATCGTTTCCTCTGGCGTCTTTGGTTCTCCGCAGCTTCTCATGGTCTCGGGTGTGGGTCCAGCAGCAGCACTAAACAATCTTGGTATCCCTGTCATATCAGATCTTCCCGGAGTCGGGCAGAACATGTGGGCAAGTCATTTCCTCGAGGCCTGCATCAGAAATGCATAGTTCAGTAACCCTAATCACTCTCTAGGACCATATCTTCATGGGGCCCAGCCACCGAGTTAACGTTCATACATCCTCTTCATTCGCCAGCCCCCTATTCGCAACTCAAGCAACACTAGACTACCAAACCAAACAGTCAGGCCCTCTAACCAGCACCGGTGGAGACTTTTTCGGTGCGTCGTTCAGTTCGCTCCCTCCTTCACCTGGCCTCTTTAACGTCTCGATGCAGGCTGGGAAAAGCTCACCTCTGCCCATCTCTCCAAGGCCGCCCTTTCAAACCTCAGCTTCTTCACTCCCGACTGGCCACACCTCGAGTACCTCAGCATTCCGACCTATCTTGGGCCCGGGTTTCCGACCGACACTGCCCAATACGCCTCCCTTGCTACCGCCATTGTAGCACCCCTCTCTCGCGGCACCGTCTCTATCACTTCCCCCAACACCACTGACGCGCCCCTCATCGACCCACGCTGGCTGACCCACCCGACTGATATCGCGCTCGCTATCGCTGGCTTCAGGCGCGCGCGGGAGGCATTGAAAACGCCGGCGCTTGGCCCTGTTTTGATACGAGATGAAGCTTGGCCAGGTACGGGAGTGCAAAGCGATGCGGATATCTTGGCATCGATCAAACTGGGGTTACAGAGTCTGAGCCATGGGTGTTGTACGTGTAAGATGGGAAAGAAAGAGGATGGGATGGCGGTAGTGGATTCCAAGGGGAGAGTGAAGGGGGTGAGTGGGTTGCGAGTGGTAGATGTTAGTGCGTTTGCGTTGTTGCCGCCTGGGAATCCGCAGAGTACGGTTTGTAAGTGAAGTCTCTCTTATCTTCCTAGAAGACGAGGGATAAGATTGGCTGACCGTTGCTAGATGCATTGGCTGAGAAGATTTCCGAGGATATCAAGACAGGGTAGATCGGTTTGATGAAGGTAAGAGTGATCAGAGATTTCTAACGATGGAGAGACTACCTCCTGCAAGCTCGATGATCGTTCAAAAATTTCAATCTAAGGAGAGAAACGAGAAACTATCAATGACATTCTATTGCGAACACCCAGAGCTTTCTCACACGATCCAAAGTCTTTACCGTCTTGGTCCAGCCTGCCCATTCGCTTATATGGTAGGAGCGGTGGAGACAAGGCAGACGTACACTATATTCTTCCCTTTGACCTCGCGCCCTCTCACTCGTACGATTTTCCTATATACGTCCTCATCATCATCTGCTTTCCTACTCTCACAACTGCTCTCAACCTTCCCTCCTGACGATGCCGTCACCCTTATTCCATAGGCCTCACTCATCTTCTTCAGAAGACGAGTGGGAGTGCCCATCCACAACAACCATCCACAGACTCCGCACATCTTCATCAGAAGACGAGCCAAGGTACAGAAGACGGAACTGCTCATCCACCTCCTCTTACCAACGTTTCCTCCAACGCAGGACTCGCCCCAGCAATTCCTCAACCCCCTCAATCAATCGCCCACGCCCTCCCCACCCCCGAACAACCGTCCGCCAACCCTCTCTCACGCAATTAAGTTCCAACGAACCCCTCTGCCAACACTGCCTCCACGACGCCCATCTGTCCCCCCGCTGCCTCGCCTCCCACCCGCCCCACCAACAGCGCCTGTACCTGCAAGCGCGGCAGCCTCCGAATCATAGACGCAGATGGCGCAACAGGTTCAGGAAGTACTTCCTGCCGTGGCCGCATTCGGAGCCACGGCAGGTGGGGCCGGGGCTGCACAAGAACCACGACAAGTGGAAGTTCAAACGCCGCGACGGGCTCGTGACGGAGTGGGAACTAGCTAAAATAGAGCGGGCGGAGAGGAAGCGGCAGAAGAGGATGGAGAGGGCGGAGAGAGCGGAGATGGCGGAGAGAGCGGAGCGGCAGAGCCTGCGGATGGAGGAACGGGCGGAACCGCTGAGACATCAGCGGGAGAGGCACACGCCGCACCAGAGCCCGCATCGGCGGCCGGTGAGGAGGGCGAGGGAGAGGACGAGCAGGAGGAGTGCTGGGAGTGGGAGGACCTTTAGGGATGGTATGGTGCCAGTGCCTCCACAATCTGCCCCGAGTCTTTCGCCGCCACCGGCGACTGAGAGTCGAGCTTTGGCTGATCCGCCGCCGTATAGCCCCAGTCCGCCGTCGTACAGGTCTCCATCGTTATCGGAACAGGCGGCGTCGCCGCGGTGATGCGGCGGCTTGGAGGATGGTGGAGAGAGGATGAGCATGAGATACCAGCTGTGAGCATTGGCAGACTTCCCTCGTGGTCGAAATCTGGCATTGGGTGTCGTCACGATTAGTGAGGGAGGCTTTGAAAGGTGCTGGAGGCTTTGAGTCTCCCGGGTTGTCGGAGGTAGGATAGACTGTGCCCTTAATACCAATGCCAAAGGTCCACGATTCACACTCTGAAATATGGCATTGTAATGTGAAAAGTACGTGAAAGCTGCAAAGCGAGGGTCAATTCATAGCACACGACTCTATTGATGCTCCAAGGTTGAGCGATCACAACCTCGGCCTCGCTTTCGAACATGACCGTCGCCAGAGAACGAGAGACCACATTTCACACTCGCACACATCACATTTCATCAAAAGTCTCGCGTGAGTAGATAACTCATTATATTTGATGCGAGGAAAACCCTTCTCGGGTCAAAAACCTCTAAAATATCCAATCCAAATCCACAAGAATCTCATCCACCTGACAATCTCAGTTTCCACCTAAGTATCTGTGAACACGCTGCCCCGAAGGAGTGACCAAAGGTGGGAATACATGGCCGGGGAAGGGTCGAGATAGCATAGTCTACAAGGGCCGGGTTTGTGCCCTACATATACAAAAGATATGATAATAAATGGAGTGAGACCTTGATTTTAGGAAGTGGAAGGAGGGGATGCCCGAAGGCGAAGAAGGGAAGAGGGGACAGGGGGATGGCGAGTTTAAGTAGATTTCGCGGAGGGAGATGAGTCAGCGGTGAGTCAGCAGGGGAGGGTGGTTCCGTGGTTGGTTGTGGCCGAGATGGCGATGCTGGAGGGACAGAACTGGGGTAGAGAGGGAGAGCGGTGAAACTGTGTGTCCGAAGTACGGCTCTTAGCATTTCCCTACCTTGGCTTCGAAAGTCTCTAACACAGAGTCTATCCCTTCGCCCGCTGGCGTCCTCGCTTGCCGCCAAGCCCGTGCTCAAACGTACGCGCCACTCGATTTGGGTGCTCTGTGTGTCGCATTCCTTTCTGTACGGTTGCCGGTGCGCATAGCTCTGTTTGCACCGGCTGGCAGGACCACCTGGCCAAGCTCAACTCCACGGACTAGCTTGTATATAGTAACTACACGCAGTTGAATTGCTTTACCTGGGTGCAGTTCTCATCACGGAGCCGAATCTAGAGCCTCTGATTGGCCAAATCCTTATCGATAACTGAGGACGTAAACCAGCGGGCGAAGGGATAAGGACACCGCCGGCTGGCTCATTTAAATGATGGTACTAAAAACTGTTAAAATCACAAGAGGCTCGATATTTAGAGATGAAGGCGCAGGTGACCCACAGCTCTATTACTTGCTCACTCTCATTACGTAAAGGAGATTCACAGTAGAAACAAGATAGGGAGGTGTAATAAATCATCGAAGATATGTCGAGACGACTTTCGAACTTCCTCGCCATTATTGTTGGCGAACTCGAGGTTCAACAGCCGCAACCTTCATCCCCTGCATGCGATGCTAGACAGCTGACAAGGCTTGTTGATCCCACAACCTCTCCACCTCTGCACCCCTCCATAGTATCCGAGGACTAGGCATTTACAACAGCACCACCGCGCATGATCACCGTCTGGTTTTCCTTTCCGATGTCAGGCGTGGAGAGCTCTGAAGAAAGCCGTTGTTAAATCGTGGCTGAATTATCAGACCCCGGCTGGAGCAAAAGACAAGTGCGAGCGGACGATTTGTTACCATTCGGAGATGCAACCAAGCTTTCTTCGAGAGCACCGCTAGACAAGAACCTAAGGTGGATTTCTTCAATGCTAGTCGAGCATCGTGAGCGTACTTTAGCCCCATGGCGGTTCAAGCGAATACACGGCGAGCCCATGGACACGAAGGCCTTTCTAGGACTCTTAGAGCGAACGATGGGCTCGATTGGTGTCTAAATTTTCAGCTCTTCGTGTGCATTCTCGCCAGTGTTGGGGACACTCATAACGGCGCTGATGGAAGGGTATCTGACAGTATCCATGAGCTCTTTGGCTTTGCTCTCAGACATATTAGTAGCGCGGCTAGAAATTGGTCATGATGAAAAAAGTTCTATCACGTCGGAAGGCGCTTTAGAGGGCGACGAGATGAATATTGCGAGCTTGGTGGTTGGATATTTCGTGGTTGATTAGTCATTTCCCGAAAGTGAAGAGATGGACGGGTGCTGTATTGAGGAGCTTTGTAGAGATATCTTCGGATATCTTCGTTGTGTTTTGATCAGGCGCAGTTATCATCGCTGCTGTGAACGCATATGACAGAATACCTAGGTAGTCCGATGACATGGCGAGGCTGCAAACGGGCCTGTTTCGTGAGGTCTCAGCGGCTACGATTTGGCGATACATGGGTGACTTCAAAAAGCGTTCAGCCCTACCTTTGTAAGAAACGCTATGAGCATCGGGTACGGAATACTTCGTACACAGAAGCCCAACAAGGCGGGTTAATGGTGAAAGGGGTGCAAACTTTGATGGAGAGGTGAGAGAACCACGGAGTAGTAGCGCGCGGCTAGTCCCGATCCCCGACCTCCTACATTTGTAGCGATCCGGTGAAGAGACGGCCCTTCTTCGACCCCAACACCTCAGGCCATCAGGACGACTCCCCTCCCACCACAACAAGGAATGTGACTCCATCATCAACAGCATCATTGAGGTAGTGAGTAGAGGGATCGGAGACGATTTCATCCACGTAGGAGCCTCGTGAGGGAGGGTGAGCATGGTGTGTGCTCAGCTAACTCAAATCAAAACACCCAGCCGAGCCCCATATCATGATTTGGAATTATGCGGGCCGTCAGTGGTGCGGCCCCTCTCCTCTCTTCTATCCCGGCCAACTTCCTCTGGTTCAAGCTCCTTGGCGCCACTCCCTCGCAGTCATGTCGAGTATTTGTCACTTCACGCCTCTTCGTTCTCGTGGCTTCCTGTAAGCGGTAATATTTTGGTTGAATCCGTCATCTTGGCTCTGAAACATCATGTCCATTGGCTGGCTCGCATGCTCTGTGTTGGTGCCTCCAACCTTTTGTCGTGATTCATCAACATTTCTCCTCTCCAAGCCAGAGGCCTCGCGGTATGGTATGATTTCCTTGCCCCACTGTTCGACGACTATGTAATCCATGTGGCCATCTGCTCCCGCCTCCCGTAGGATCGGGCGAGACAGGGTAGGTATATCTTCTCTACCCATCGTGGTATCTGAGAAGGCTCCTAGCGAACGTGGTATCTCTTGTCCAGTCCAGTCTTACGGGTAATACCCGCCAAAGCGCACTGGGTGCTATCTCCAGTTTTCACAGCCTCCTGTTTTGTTTCCGAGAACCTGGATTGCACATTTACTGTGCCAAACACCTCGTACACCATGAATTCTTCCACAGCCTCACAGCAACCCATGTCAAATTGTCAGCCGGAGCAACGTCGCCGAGATATCAAGCACAGCATCGCATACATTACCTGCTCCCAATCATCGGCTGTCGAACCTAGAACCGAGTCACTACCAGAACGATCACCATCCCTTTGCTCCCGATCTTCGACAGTGGAGTCATGGGCAGAGTCGCTCCCACAACGGACATCATCAACAGCTCCCTCGGATCAGAAGACCAGGTCCGAGGACCCAACCGTGGAAGCCTATCGGCGACTCAAGATGGCTCTTTTCTTCAAGAATTATGGGAGTTAGGAGATAGTTTGCCTCGGCAAGGCTTCCGAGCCCAAGAACCCGGGAGCTATCATGACAACTTCAACGGCCTATCATCTCAGCATATCCCATTCTTGAAACGATAGACCTTATATGGCTTATTCAATCTACGTTCGTAGGACTTCCCTGCGAGGCGATTTACAGAAACCTCAAAAAGAGAGCGGATACTTCGATCCTTCAACCGCCGCCTAAAGCTGACAGCATCGCTCGGAGCCTTCATCCTCGCCGCTTGAGAGTCTGGACAAAAACTATCATGTCGCACCGCCTGGCTGATCTGGTTATATTGGAATGGCATTCAGGTTGGGATACAGGAGCACGGAGTTTACGGGACACATCATACCCATTATCAGGTGTTGTTGGGGCATTTCTCTGTTCAGCATGAACATCGGACATGGTAACGCATCCTTCAATGTTGCTGAGCATTTCTTGAAAAAGATTCCTTCTTTTGTGCCTCTTGGATTCTGCTGTGCTGGGCTCTTACATGTTGTCATCGCTCCTTGTGATTCTCTGTCTCCGCTCAACCCCTCACTTGTCCCCAACACGTGCCAAATTCCAGTAATCAGATGACTGTCTCAGTCTTTTCTACCGCTAGGCTGTATGTAATTCCTCCTATATCTCTTCCTGTCATATGTTAGAAGAACTCATGGGCTGAGGAGACGGGGTTCAAGGAACAAGCACCCAGGCAGAAACGTTCAAACACTGAAATTCGCCGCATTTCATGTCTAGTGCCTGTGCTGTAGTAACAGTCATGCTAAACGCTGCTATAGATTTGTTAGATCAAAAGAGACTACGCGAGTAAGTAATAGCTAAGCTAGGTGAGAGTGGAATGGTACAATCAACCGGTCGAAGCTGCGATGTGGTTGAAGGACAAGTTTGGAAATATTGATGCTCTGCTCTGTGAATAGTGAAGACGCCGGGTATTGTTTCGACGTATGTAGATGGCAGGCGAGATTGAATTAAGAGTATTTAGAATCTCTCTTGAACAACGTGAACGGGAGAAGATATTTATCCTTTACGTCCTCCCGCCATCAATCGATACTTCCGGGCTTCTCGTAACTTCCCGCCGGCCAGTCCCTCCGCAAGCACGATTGGGAGTCAATCCCCCCGCTTTTGCATCCTTCCAGTTGCCCATGATAGGCATTCATTATTTGAGAGCGAAAGCACAAGGTTCACATACAAAAGCTCCCTGTCACGTGACGCCAAGCCATCAATTCGACCTCATCAATTCTCTCCGACAGCACCACCGGTCCAATCAATCCATCAACCCATGCTGCTTCCACGATTGCTTGCGCCCGCCCGGGTAGCAATTGCCTCCTCGCGATCATCCTCAATTGCTCTAGCAGCATCGTCCGCTCACACCTTCGAGGTTGTGCGGTGCATTGCCGCGAACCCCATTTCTCCAGCTCTCACATTCATTCGACACGCATCCCATCAGACCCAGGGACGCGCCAATGGAGCAAAGGATGGACCGGGAAAGCGGTTAGGAGCGAAGAAGAGTGGAGGTAGGTCATTGAAATAGCATTGCGATTTCTCTCCATTCACGAAAAGCTTCAACATTGGCAATCGCATTGATCCCCCTGACAAGCCCAAATTCCCACATCTTTGGACCTGGAAGAGCACCTGCTAATATAGCTTACAGAGGAATATGTGATCCCGGGCAACATCATCTTCCGCCAACGCGGCACCGGCTGGTTCGCAGGGGAAAACTGCGCCATGGGCCGCGACCACACCATCTACGCCACGGAAGCCGGCTTCGTGAAATATTACCGCGATCCCCTCAAACACCCGAATCGCCAATACATAGGTGTGGCCTTAAAGCGCACCGAATCACTCCCATATCCGCCTAACGCCGCCCGCCGACGACGGCTAAACATGCTCGCTGTACAAACCTCCCCAGACACAGCTATTACCACGATTATTGGGGAGGGCCGGATTCTGGATGGGGATATGACGGTCAAGGAGACCAAGGTCAATGCGATGCCTAGGCATAAGAGCGGGAAGGAGTTGGTGATGGGCAAGAACTATGCGTTCCGTGAAGCCAACTGGCAGATTGGACGAGCGGCGGAGAATGCGGGGATCAAGGTCAGGCCGTTCATTCCTGGTGATAGATTCAGGGCGTGGCAGAAGTCTGCGGCGAGAAAGGCGGCGAATGCGGAGAAGAGGGGCCTAAGAGGGAAGAGGGGTGGTGGTGGAAAGAGCAAGAGGAAGTAGAGGATATCTCCTTTGTACGATCATATATAGAGAGAACAGGGCTTGTTGGTTGCCAATTGTGGATATACTGTACTATACTGAGGAAAAGACTCGATATTGGCATGACTACGTTGTGACAGATGCTTTGAACTGTCTCCAAATGGTGATTGATACTGAGGTGTGAGAGCTTATCAATGCAACTGTTCGGAGGTTTCCTTGTATTCGTTGGAAAGCACTGCACTGCTGATATCTGGGAGTACTGCTGTGTAGACTCGAGAGCGGTTGCTTTCCGCATACAGCGCATACAGCGCATACAGCGCATACAGCATTACTTAACAAATACTAGTCAGCAGATATCTATCCTCGGGCTTTAAGAGTGGATTTGGAGTTGAGATAAGTACATTTATGAGGGCAAGTGGCTTTGGTATGATTGAAATGTAACCAGACGTAATTCGTTAACTCAAAGCAACTCCCAACTCATCAGAATCGCCAAGATCACTGTGAATAGGTACCTCGGGCATGTGACCCACAACGTCAAGCTCCTGTCAAGCTCCCGAGAAGGTCCACCTCGGCCCATTCTCCGCAATTCACCCCCGGTTAAGTTGTGCCGGGGAATGACCACCACCATGCTCCCGGCCCTACCACTATATACCAGCCATGCAGCGCCCAGTGTCTACGTCCATTATCATCTTCCATATACCCAATAGCTAGACATCATGACCCAACAACCGCCATTGACTGGTATTCGGGTGCTGGAGTTCGCGGGGCTGGCCCCAGGTACTACAACCTCAACCCTCACAAAAGCTACAACAACCTAGAAGATGGAAGCTAATTCAACCATTCAGGCCCCTTCGCAGGTATGCTTCTCGCCGACTATGGCGCAACCGTCCTCCGCCTCGACCGCGCCCCCGTCATCCCCACCAACGACCAGCTCACCCGGCACAAAACCTCCATCTGCGTCAATCTGAAATCGCCAGGCGGCATCGCCTTGATCAAGAAGCTTATCCTCCACGTAGACGTCGTCATCGACCCCTTCCGGCCCGGCGTGCTCGAGAAACTCGGGCTAGGGCCCGAAGAGGTGCTGCTGAAGCTCAATCCACGCCTCGTCGTTGGCCGCATGACGGGCTTCCGCCGCGATGGAAAGTACAGCCAGATGGCGGGGCACGACATAAACTACATCGCCGTGTCGGGCGTGCTGTCGATGTTTGGGCGGAAGGGCGAGAAGCCGTACCCGCCTGGAAACGTGGTGGGGGACTTCGCGGGAGGCGGGGCGATGTGCTTCTTGGGTATATTGCTCGCCCTGTTTGCGCGCGCGCATAATGGGGGCATTGGGCAGGTAGTGGAGGCGAACATGGTGGACGGGAGTGCGATTTTGGCGACGATGCCAAGACTGGGGTTGAAGACGGAGATGTGGAGGGCGCCAAGGGGGGAGAATATGTTGGACGGAGGCGCGCCATTTTACGATACGTATGAGACGAAGGATGGGCGGTTTATGGCTGTGTGCGTATATCCAGATCTCCTTCAAACTTGTCTAGACTCATTTTGGACGAGACTGACGGGTGTATAGGGGCGCCATCGAACCCCAGTTCTTCGCCCAGCTCCTCAAAGGCCTCTCCCTCACCCCGTCCTCTCTACCCGGCGCTCAACAAGACCGTAAATGCTGGCCCGCCATGAAGACCCTCTTCACCTCTACCTTCAAATCCAAGAACCGTGACGAGTGGGAGAAGATCTTTGGCGACACAGATGCGTGTTGCACTCCCGTAATTACGCAGGCTGAACTCGAGGCCGACGGATTCGACCAGCGGCCAGCCGTGACACTGAAAGCAAGCCCTGGCTATGCGATTGCAGAGGGCAGCGCGGACCGACCGGCCGCAGTGGGTCAGGGGTCAGGTGTGAAGGGGAGTGGGTGGAATAACGAGCTACTGCAGCCTGGGAAGGGCGGAGAGGAGACCTTGGAACAGTGGCTGGGGTGGAAGAGGGGAAAGCAGTTTGGGGTTGAAGGGGGAGGGCTTGTCATTAATGGTACCTCAAAGCTGTAAAGAGAGATAGTAAGTCTTGTAGTATATCAGAAGGTATTTGGAGCTTCGAGAATTGCCATCGGGCCTACGAGGCTTCTTCTGCTCGACGTGCTGCGCGATGCTTCTCTCTGCTTCTCCATGTCAGCCTTCACGTTAAAAATGTAGAGGGTGCAGTTCGATGGAAGTGGTGGTAGTTTAACACTTGCGTCAGGTTGTGCTGACGATACCATCTCCTTTTTCTTCCCGATGAACGCAAGCAGTAAGCTATACCACTGCCGGCTAACGACCCTCGAAATCAGGGAAGATCAATGATATTACGGAACGGTGACACGCATCTTCATCATAGAGTCGGCCTGGTTTGCAGCCCTCTCAGCAACTCCAACAGCACCATCCATTGGCATATTGTCTCAATTTTCGAGCACACGCCACATGATGCCATGCCTAGCAAGATATCATACTTCGTAAGGTTTTTTCTCTTCCGTCTATCTCATTGCCTCTGTGGAAAGGAACTGCGGCCTACATTTAGGGGATTTATACCAGAAGAAGTTGAGTGTCACATGAAAGTCACTGGCCCTCACCCCCTTCGCGTTGTATATTCCCCCAACTTTCCTTGCCATCGGATACTTTGTCTGGACCGCTCCAAAGTCGATGCCGCGTGATCTTCACGTGTCCCACGTATCCTCATCCTCCTCCCAACGGTATAAAAGCTTCTTCGACTCCGCTATCGTAGGTTCCAGAGAGGATTCGCGGTGTTTTTGGTCGTTAAAAACTCATATGGGAACGTACGATGCTGTGGTGGACCTGTGGTTTCGAAAGATTCATTTGCGCGCACTCATGAGTTCGGCTGGGGTGGGGTATCAAAAAACGCTTCATCTAAGAGCAATGGAGCTGGAGGTTAGAAAACAAATCGCAGTCGTGATGGCCACCACTGGCGATCTCGGAAGGTGAGTAGGATCGATGGACTGCAAGACGTCTGAACGGTCTTGATTATTTAGACTCGATCACTGGTATCATGAATCCCAAGAGGTGTGCGTCACCATCACTACGAATTCCTTCTCCACGGCCACCCATCAGACCCCTTTTCCGCCATCTGACACTCGAGTCCAACCCCATCAGAAAAAGAGAAGCTCCTGTTGCTCTCCCCCACCCAACGACTCATCGAGGCATTGTAGCTCTGTTGATACTCCACACCAACTCCATGGTCTGGTGCGATTGGATAAGCTGATCTTCTCCATCCGCTCTCATCGAACTCTCCATCTCCCTTGCAGAAGAGAAAGAGGTTCGTCCAGGCGACGAGGAAGATTTTATACCCCATCAGGGGTCTCGTCACGTGGTTATCAGATGGCCTCACTCAGGCACGAGGGAAGAGGCGAAGAATGGCACGGGTAAAGTGGCAATGAGAAGTTCCTGAGGGCGAGAGGGGCTAGGTAATCTCTGATAGGCTTTGCCCCGTTTTGTTGGAAGTTCCTACGAATCTAACCGGATGGAATGGAATTTGATAGACGGGACGTGTACGCAGTGTGACACACGGTGTAGCAATCACTTCCTGCTACTTATTTCGCAGTCTTGTTGGAAAGACTGACGGCATGGGGTCAAGCACACCTCATCAGTAGAACATTCTCGTGAGAGTAGAGATTGACGTTAATGGACATCCAGCACTATTAATCCAAGGGGTAGGACAAAGAACGATTGAGCAGCATCCTCCCCTTCCTACTTCCCGCGCTCTAACACCCCTCTGAAAACCCTCTACTTCTTCTCTTTCTTCACCAATTTATTAACACTCTTCCCTAGATTCTTCATCCAACCCCCCTTCGATATCTTCCCTTGGCGACCGTCACTAGCCGACGCCTCAGCCTCATACGGCGGCGGCGCATTCCCGATAACCCCCATATCATACTCATTCCCATATCCAGAATTAGCATTCCCATTGCCGGTCGATCCCGCATTCGCATACCCCGAATCCATCCGTGAATGTCGTGCCTCCCTTTCCTGTAACGCCCTCTTCTCATCCAGATACCCGTCAGAGCCGGATACAGGCCCATATGGATCCAGCATACTCCTCACCTGCTGCACCGGCCTCTTCTCTTCCTTTTCTCCAAGCAGCTGATTACTGACCACCCTAGTCGAGTATCCTGCATAACCCCTCCCACTCGGCGCCGACAGCGCACTCGATCGCTCCGGCCCAGAGCTCATCCAGTAATTCCGCCCTCGCACCCGGTACGGCCGCTCGCGATAGGACGCCGCATATGCCATACCCACAACCTGCGCCACTTTCTTGAGCTGCTGCCCGTAGTGCGGCATGCGGTAGAGCGTCTCGACGAGGCGGTAGACGCCATCTTCATCGAGCGCCTGGCGGACGGTAGAGCCGATCTGCTGGCCGGACTCGAGGAGCTTGACGTAGTGCTCGTAGCGGTCCTTGTCTTTTTCGAGCGCGTCGAGGCGAGTGCGGCTGCCGCCGAGACTGACTTTGCTCCGCTCCTCTTTGATAAGGTGCTCGAAGTACTCGAGAGTCGCGTCGTTGATACCTCTTGTGATCGAGTTCTTCTTCAGATACACACGAAACTGAGCAGCTGCTTCCTGGATCTGCGTGTGCTCTTGGCGGAGCTCAGCGATGTGTCTCTCAAGGACTTTGAGCTGCGCTTCCTTCGCGACGGTCTCGTTGCCGTTGACGGTGATTGCTGCAGCGACCGTGGGGTCAGTTTCAACTTGGTTTTTCTCGGAGAACTCGACGCGGATGTGCTCGTGTTCGGACCAGTGGTGTGAACATTTCGTACATTTTTCGTTCGAGAAGGCGGCGCAGTGGATGAGCTCGCGCGTGCCGACTTTGTAGGGGGGCACATTGGTGAGGCAGCAGGGGTTGTGGCCTGAAGCTCAGTTAGTGGAGGTTTGGTGGAGATGTGGAAAGGGTTGCGTACACAACGACTTGCGGAGTTTCACTGTTTCTCCATTTGGACCAGACCGATCCTTGACCGTCACGCAAGAGGCGTGAGCGCAGACAGTCTTAGGCTTGTCTAACTGCTTAGCATCCACTACCGTCTTGTGGATGTTCAGCTTCGATTGAAGAGCTAGGCCTGTAGCCCTAGTGTTCTTCAAGTCGTCCATCTGCTTCTCGTTTTGTGCAACACTATCAGTGATTGCCTTCGAGATCTGTTGCATTGGCTTCGTGAGCTGAGAGATCAGATATCGAGTCTCGTTTAGGCTCAAGGTGCTCTTGACTTGATGTGGAATCAAATTATGGGTGTACTGCAACAGCCTGTTTGCCTCTCTGGCTGAGTGATCCCAACTGCGACGGTAGTCGTCCAAATTGCCGATATCAATCCCCTTCTTACGAGCGGCGAGATACCGGAAGCTTTCCGAATCGAAGCAGTAGACATTGTCACGATAAAGCCCCTTGATGACGTCTTTGTATTCGTCCAGGAGTTTCTCAAGGGGATTGAAAGTATCTCCGGGCTGGTAATTCGATCCACGAGTGTTTGTGAAACCAAAGATCATGTTCTGGGCTGCGTTTCTGTGAAGATGCGTCAGGAGCTCCTTGACACAGAACCGGAATAAAACATTCAAGCGCGAGTTGTTCGGCTTAAGAAGAATGAGAATGCCATGGAGCTGGTCGTAGTTTCGCAAGACCGACAGAACGTTGACCATGTTCTTTCTATCTTGCTCAATTCCACGCACATCGCCGATTCCAGGAGTGTCGATCAATCGTACTAAAGTACCACCGATATAAAGAGGATAGACAGTCGCCTTTTGGGTAGCCGAATCTCCAGACATTCCATCAGCCTCGTCTTCATCAGCGCCAATCTTGACTCGGTGTTGGAGTAGTCTGCCCGTCTGCTCATCGACGCTCTGTGTTGCGAAAGAGCAAGGAATGATCCAATTCAACTTCTCCGCGGACATGCCTTCATCGAGCGAGGAAAATGTGAGATAGTTGACAAAGGCATTGATGAACGTAGACTTGCCAACACCCGTCTCGCCAAGGATGAGAATATTCAGCTCTCGAGGATTCGGTAGACTCTCCAGAGCGCTCATCAATAGACGGTTCGTATACCTTGCAAAGTTGGGTCCGTGGCCTTGGCCTCGACATCTGAATGAGACCCTATCGTAGGGAGTACGCCCACAGTCGCAATACATAAACCGATCGACAGTACCGTACTCGACAGGAACGTGACATTTCCAGCAAATCCACTCAAGGACATGTTGAGCACTGCATTTTTCCCCTGGACAGGGAATCTTTACGCCTTTCCTGGATGCCGGGACATGAGTGATGGTTGAGTCTAAGTATGCGTCGTCGTAACGCAGGAGACTCTTGTCGGAGAGATACTTCTGTTGTTCGAGAACATCCTTCGCGGTAACGTTCGTGCCTTGAAACTTAGAGATGCGTGCTTTGTCGAGGTCCTCGCCGGTAGCGTCACAGTCAACTACGATGTCGAGCGAGCCTGGTTGTGTATTGCCTAGGACTCTCGAAAACAACGTCACGTTGGCTTCCCATGACTCCATCTTCTTCATTGCAGCACTGCTAAAGTAGAAGACGTATGAGAAGCCTCGGTTGTTGCGACGGAGGAGATCATTAAGAGGTTGTCCGCTATAGCCAACGTATTTGGCGCCACCGTCAATCATCGACGTGATGAATTTGAGTTTCTCGTTGTAATCGCCCATCATAGCGGTCAATTTTGCCGGTGCGCATGGTCCATTGAGGAAGTCCTGAAGCAGTTGCTGTGGCTCCCCAGTCTCGCTCTTGCCCGACCTCACCCCTCTGATGATGCGAGCATAGCTGGATTTGAGGTATGATTCTGCTTCCTTGGCCTCATCCAGCTTGTCAAAGACTTCCATGACGTGGTCGGCTGAGTCGTACTCTCGATGAAGCTTGAGATTGTGGTAATATTCGTTCAAGATTTGCAGCGAGTTGCGGAGATCGTCCATCAAGTCGACGAACTTTTGCTGGGTTTCCGTATCAAGCTGTCGTACTGGACCTTCGGTGGGAACCGGAATCCCTAAGAGAACGAGGAAGCTGATGGGAAGAAGCGTGTAAAAGAGAGGCTGTCCTTTACCGTCATCGGTGAGAGTTTGAACGAGTCTAGGGAGGCTCGAAATATGACTATGCGCACTATCGATTCCAGCTGGAGGATCCTCGTCGTAATCCAACATATACGAGTGAATTTTCATCTCAAATGAATCGTTTATCCTCATCAAGGCCTTGTACCTTGCCGGCTCGGCGTAATCAGAGCTTTCTTCCTCTTCGAACTTCTTGAACGCTTCTTCTAGGCTTTTCTCTATCTCGATTCGATTCTCATCACTTGAGATTTGGCGGGTTGCAGTGATCACGCTCTGTGCTCCCCAAGTGATGCCAGTCACAATATGAGTGGCGGAAGTAGAGCTGAGCGTTTCAAAGTCCAGGGCTTCTCTCGCGTCGTTGCTAGCAAGGTTCAGAGTTTCTTGCTTGGTGGTAAGGGTGTAGTAGAACGCCCGATGGACCGTTGGGAAAGTTCCACGCTTCTGCAGAAGATATCGGCCAGACATTTCGGGGGCAACCAGACCTGCTAGGACGCTGGCACCGAGCTCTGGGCCGATGTCCATGCTGCTGAACTTCTCTTTCAGGGTGTCATTGTTGCTGGAAGACATATCGATCTTGCTGACGTCCGCAGTATTGACCGCCGATTGGGGCAGTGGTCCTTTGACCAGTGACTGAGGGAGAGAATCCGGGAGGAAGCAGTCATTTCGAGCATCATACAGTGCACCTAACTTAGCCTTTGATCCCAATGCCGGTCTTTTTAGAGTTGGTGAAGACATCCTTCACTATCGTTCTAGTCACAATGACGGTGTTATCTGCGAGGCTGAGATATGCTAGGCCGGTACGCAGGGCCGACGCAAAGCCTTACAGCTGTGAAGCGATAACAAAAGAGATGACCTCCACCGATGAAAGTGGAATATGGAAGTATGAAGAAAGAGCAAAACCGGAATCAACTTTATATGGAGAGAAGAATAAGATTGCTTGCAAGGCAGAAGATGTGGCAGGTACCACAGATATAGAGGGCGGCCGCCAGCAACAAGGCTGAAGACCGCAAGGCAGACTTCCGCCCAGCCGTTTCAGACACGACAGTTCCAACATGCAGCCCAGTAAGATTCCGGTTGACCATGGTCGATAAGAATGACAGGCTATCTTCTGTATGGGTCCCATGGTTGTGGCTTGTGACGCGGTGGCTCAAAGAGAGCGAACATCGACTAGCGTAGTTCAGCCTTGCGATTCGATGAATGAGATTGGTAAAGTGTGTTTCGGCGACAACCTCGGCGCCGAATCTAGACTCCAAGGATGACTATTGTTGCAGAATGCATATACGTGGGGATACTGATTGGATGAAGCCGCAGCAACGAAGGCCGAGATCTTGGGTTTCTCTTGGCAGTACAAAAGACCTGCTCTACACTATCTTGGCGATGCTTTTACTGTTGGAAGTACCAGTGTTCTGTTGAAACATTGTTGCGCGTGACTTGAGAAGCGTAGTTGAACTGTGTGAGGTTCTCTCTAGTGATGCTTGGCAAGAGGTCTTCGTACTTTCCAAACGTCATTGTTCCCTGGTTCTAAACTTAGGAAAGAACCGAAGCCGCGAGGGCCTTTGTAGTAGGCTTGCTGCTGCATGATCGATGGAGAAAACGCGATTCAATGGTATGTCTCCAATATCGGCGATGGTTTTGAGTTGGGAGTGGATTCCTATGAAGACTGTGCCATGTTGCCTGCCAGGTGAGGCACTGGCGCCGGTGCGCTGTGATTGGCCCAGTGTTACTGCATCCTTCTGCCATCTCCATCCTCCACTTCGATTTCTCCTCGGCGAAGTTTCTCGCTCCTCTCAAACCATCATCATACTCTTAATCCCATTGCCATTTCTCCCAGCTGGAGACAGAACTAAGACGATGGCATTTTCGAAGCACCAGGCCTAAGGTCCCTTTACCTAGGTACACCGGGCGATCACTGCACCGGTTCTACCGACACTTACCCGTTCTGCACGAAAACTTTCGCGGATATCATTTCAAGGTCCCTACCTAGTACATTTACCTCGTATTCAATGTCTTTCTAATATAAAAGAAAGTTGATGAGGTGAGCATAGAGGATGAAGAGGTTTGGAAAGCAAGGTTGAGATGAACGTTACGGTGTGATGCGATTGAAGGTGGTGCCGTAGCAAAGCTGTGATTGCTCTGTTGGTGGTGAGCTGAAACGAAGTTCTAATCTAGGGTGCCCGATTGAAGGTAAGCTGGGACTGTATAGATGGGTATGGCTCTAACTGGCTCCCAGGGATTGCACAACGATACTGACTGCACATCTGTTCGCAGCTTTACTTCGCCCGCGAACTCCAAGATTCATCAATCGTAATTTTTGGCATATTCTACTCAAAGCTCGCCTCCTGTGAGCAAGCTCAGTATGACCAACCCATATGCAAAGTCTCGAGTCACCAGAGTTCTGTGTGCAGTCTTCTGCCACTGTCTGAAGTGCCCCGTCGAGATTACTGACACCAAGGCTCCAACGGCATTCGCCTTTTGACCGACCAAACGCCACGCTCATGCAAATGTCATAGAGTAAGAAAACACTCAGAAGTAGCCATCTCTACACCACATCCTCCATCTCGTCCTCATCTTCATCTCCTATATCATCATCCGACTTGCTCTCAGGGGGCTTGTCCGCAATGGTGGCGACGATGGCGTTGGGGTTGAGATCTGAATTGCGCTTCCAGTGGGCCGCGTATGGTCCAGACTTGACCAGCGCGGCAATCTCGTTCAGTGTCTCCTTGAGGTATGCCTCTGGCTGGCGCGTCCGCTTCTTGAGTTCCTTCATCGCCCAGTATTCGTACGTGTCGAACAGCCTGTGCAGTTGGTCGAGGAGCTCGTTCTTCGGAATACGAGCAGCCTTGTTCTCTTGACGAGCCTTGCGTTTGCCGCCAACGTCCTGGAGATGCTATTAGCAGTGTGAGTGAGAGTTAGAGCGGAGGTACATACGACAAAGTTCATAAAGGCCTTTTGGGTCCTTTCGCCGTCGGCGTAGCTGTGCGCAGAGAAGTCTGTGATGTTTGTCTTTGAGTTATTGCCTTGAATGGCCTTTTTGGTGCGCTTGGCCAGGAAGTTCTGCGTGTCGGCGTTCAGGTTCTCCGGTATGCATTCGAGTATCCGTGACGGTGTTCCTACAAGACTGGTATGTTCTTCAAGAATGGTTAGAATAGTTCTCTCAAAGCCATTTTAGGAACATACTTGGTATGGCTTTCCTGAACTTGCTTCTGGGCTTCTGCACTCTGTACTGGCCTTGACCTCCCATGTCTGTGCGCGATCTTCCGAATGCCGCTGGCTTGTAACCTGGCAGATCCTTCTCTGTGAATATGTAGGTGTTCACGTCATCGGCGTTCGAAATCGGGGCCACGTTGTATTCGCGAGGGATGTCCTTGAGCTCGTCCTTGACGTCTTTCGGGGCGACGCCAAGGTTGAGCGCGCCCGGGTTGAGGAGCATCTTCATCTAAACAAAGCCGGTTAGCATTGTAGTATCCATACACCTGATCGTGTCTCTTCTCACTTGCTCGTTCCCCATGGTGTTGCGCTTGATTGCAATCTTGCCAATCTCGATCTCGTCGTCAACGCCGGCATGCTCCCACGCCTTCAGAAGCCAGTCCGGTACCCGCGTCAACCAGAATTCCTGTAGGCTGTGGGGTGGCGGGATGCTGAGCTCGCCAGTATCCTCGTAGAAGTCGTCGTCCATGAAGCCAGAGTCCGGGTCTTGTTTGAGGCCCTCCATCTTCACACCGTTCATCGCCATGGTGAAGAGGAGCTGTCGGCACAGCTATGGGCGCACGCTACTGGGTTCAACGTGGGATCGCCAGGTGATGGAGGTGTGGGAGAGGACGTCGCGCAGTGGAGAGTTGTGTAGAGTCGCAGGTTGAAGTTGGAGACAAGGTGGAGAGGGAAGACGTGAGGCGTCAACGTCAAAGCCGAGCCGCAAGCGCCGATTCCGGGGGTTTGGAACGCTAGTGCCGATGAGGTAAGGTCAATCTTGGCTTTGATTTCTCAGCCCTATGGAATATCTTCGACTCCGCTGTCCTCAACTCTCCCGTTCCAATCCTCACAACTCTCCCCGCACCACTCCACCATCTACACAAAATGGACGGCCCAGTGGCAGTCTTCAAGAAGCGTGCTCCTAAGGGCACTATTCGCAAAGCACCACCTCCACCCTCCTCAGACTCGGATTCCTCCTCCGGCTCCGATGTCGAAGGCGACGATGGGCGCATGGTGAAACGGCGAAAAACGACCGGCGTCCTCAAATCATCCACTGCGGACCAGAAAACGAAGACTGGCTTCGAAGGTGCTACCAAATTCGACGCTGATCGCTCTGCGACTATTCAAGACAGCAACGACGCCACCAAACAGTCCAACTGGTACGACGAAAATGCCAACGACGCCTTGAGCTCAAAGAATCTACTCGGCACCACGAGAAAGAAGCCCGAGACCTCTTTTATCCAAAAGAACGCCGATGCGCCGAACCGTCAGGTCGGCCCTATGAAAGCTCCTACAAATATTCGAACGATCACGGTCACCGACTATGCGCCCGACGTGTGTAAAGACTACAAACAAACGGGATTCTGTGGGTTCGGCGACAACTGCAAGTTCTTGCATGCGCGAGAAGATTATGCCCAGGGCTGGAAAATAGACCGGGATTGGGAGGCCTCGACCAAGGGCAAGAAACAATCCGGCACCATCGTTGCGTCACGGACAGCGAAAATAGGCAGCGACGATGAGGATGAGGCCGACAGCGCTATATTAGAGAAGATACCGTTCGCGTGCATCATATGCAAGGAGCCGTACAAAAGCCCAGTCACTACGAAATGCGGTCACTACTTTTGCCAGAAGTGCGCATTTGCGAGATATCGAAAGGATCCGTCATGTGCGGCATGTGGAGCGAGTACGAGTGGAATTTTCAACACGGCGCAGACTCTGCACAAACTATTGGATAGGAAGCAAAAACGGGAGGATAAGCGGAAAGCTAAAGAAGCTAAGGAGAAGGGCGAGGATGAAAAGGATGATTGAAGAGTATGGGAACTATTAGGGTATCAGCTTGGCCTCCGGTCTGCCCTGGATAAAGTCTTGCCATCGCTCGCGCTCTACTCTCCCTCAGAGCACCATCAAGGGCTTCAACTGGACTTCCTCTATGCATCAGCGCAAGCTCGCTCGCACTAGCTATTGAACGGTCGAGCTCTTTGGGCTGAACGGCTTCATTACCACGCTCTCCGGACATACTGTGCCTTGCTATAGATATCCGTACATACACCTTCCTGCCACTAGCTATGCAGCTCCAACGCACTAGCGAAACCCTGGGGCAGCGGATGCACTTCCAGTCTGCGTACACCCTGTTATCACTGCCTGGGGTAGCCTCATGGGTCTGTTAATTGTCCAAAATGCTGAACTTTCCTCTTGCTCGGAATGCTAAAAATACTATGAAGCTCCTCACGCAGTGGTAAAGCGAGTGTACGGGTTTCTATGACGAGGCACAATAATTAGGCACTTAATGCAGCCGACAAGATGTCGCATGAGCTCGTAGTGCTCTCCCGCCTTATCGCCAAGCCCCAGGTATACACCCAGTCTGTTTTCAGCAAGCAGAAAGAGAACCCTGAGCTTCTATTTCAGGCTGCAGGTGTCGCGCTTTACCTTGGTGAGGACGCGCTCCTGAAGTCCGAGTTGCACAAATGTCACTATAGCATCAAAAGCATCAGCCAGCCGTAGGGGTTCTATCATTGTATGAAAGGAAGGAAATTTATTGCTTTATGCATATGCATACAAAGTAGATTCAGTAGATAGCATTGCTCATAGTGTCAAATCAGATATCCATTCTGTAGTATACACATTTTGAACGTAACACCATCATGCCTCTTAGGGCTATCCTGTTATCTTACATCAATGTCATGGACTTTCGGACCTCCCCTGTGACCATCGCAAACCCGGGATGTGGCCGACAGCATGCCCGCAACTGGTAATTGCTGGGCATCCTACTTCGCCTTGCTTGACAGGATCTCTTCTCAGCGTCTCTGCATGTCGTAGTAATCGAGACGGGGCAGGCGAGCGCGGTACTTGTTCGGGCGGTTGTTTTTCCACGAGAATGCGATGGTCCTTTCGACTCGATTTGGCTCATCCCAAAATCAACTCGTAGAATATGATCAGTGTATTTATGACGATCAGCGGTACTGTATGGAGTCAGAGATGCACATATACGCCAACATTTATAGCAACTTACTCCTCATCAACGTCCGCACCGAAGACACCAGGTTCACCATCTTTGCCTTCACGCTATTCTCCTGCATGCCGCCGAAGCCGGGGTCTGAGCCAGACGTCCATCCAACTGTAAGGGCTGGTCAGTACAAGAGCCTTGACAGATTGGTTCTAGCGAGCCATACTGCGCGCCAAGAAGCGGTCTTCTGAGAGAATTGCGATCGCATTTACGAGGAGGACAGATACTATTGAATGTTAGCAACAGCTTGCAAGAAGAGCGTAGTGAGATTACCATAAAACAAGCCGCCTAGGCCGAAAAAGAAGGCCATGGCGCCGGTGGGAGGAAGGACTTTGACAGCACAGCTCTTCCGTCCGAGTCGCAGAGCACGACAGCGGAATGTGTATTCGAATCGTGGCCTGTCGTCAGGTTGCTGGCTGATCGATGCAGGCGGAGCGGAGGCCAAGGATTTGCGCTAGCGGAAATACGATTTGCCGAGTGGTCTGAGCGTCCCACCGTCCATTTTTCGAACCTCAACATACGCTGCCCGCCGCATCACCAACGACAACCCGCAACCATGGCGACCGAACTCACAGTCCAGAGCGAGCGCGCTTTCCAGAAGCAGCCGCACATCTTCCTCAACACCAAGAACAAGAAGAAGAACAACCGCGTTGGAAAGGGTGGCCGACGATGGTACAAGGACGTTGGACTGGGCTTTAGGACCCCCAAGACCGCCATTGAGGGATCGTACATTGGTATGCACCCAAACTGCACTGTTTAAAAATGCGCTGCGGTTCTGGACATCACATTTGAGCTAGGAGAGAGGCGATTTGGAAGAGCTGCGCACGACTAGACACGGCCTCGAGGTGTTCGATATCAAATTCTAACGTATTCTCCAGACAAGAAGTGCCCTTTCACCGGTCTCGTCTCTATCCGTGGCCGTATCCTCACTGGAACCGTTGTCTCCACCAAGATGCATCGCACCCTCGTCATACGCCGGGAATATCTCCATTTCATCCCCAAATATGCCCGTTACGAGAAGAGGCATAAGAACCTTGCTGCGCACGTATCGCCAGCTTTCCGTGTGGTGCCCGGTGACCAAGTTACCGTTGGCCAGGTACGAATGAAACACTTTTGGGATCTGAAATGGCATTTGCTAACATATCACAGTGCCGACCCCTCAGCAAGACTGTATGTCCATCTCGTCTACGGCGCAATCAGCGCACACACGCATTCCGATCAGGCAAAAGAATACTGACATTCTCCCTTAGGTCCGCTTCAACGTTCTCCGAGTGCTGCCCCGAACTGGCAAGGCCGAGGTCAAGCAGTTCAGCAAGTTTTGAGCTGGTTCTTTTGGTGTTGAAAGGGCATGGATCTGGAGGGTTCGACAGTGAGAAAAGGGATCAATGTTGAATTACGGGCATCGGGTCACTGGGCGGTCGCTGGGGATATGCGAGCACCATCCGGGACTATCTCATTTGGCAGCGATTTCACCTTCCTGCCTCTAGCAGTTAGAGAAATGATAACGAAGTCAGCTTGCTGCTAAACTTTCATCTAGTATTTTCTTGTGACTTGGGTTTATAATAAGCTTGATCGCACTTCAACATCGAACTGACCACCAATTGGACGGGCTCTTCAACTGCAAGCAAATCAAATGTTTTGGAGGACCTGAAAAGGCTCTCGAAACGCCTACAGGAATCTAAGCAAGTTGATGACATTCCGAGGTTAACTGATTGAACACTGCATGTCATGTGAATATAATCTTGTACTGTATCTGTACCATATTTCGTGGCCAATCCGGAGCGGCCAGACCTCGAAAAAAGTTCCGCCGAGAAAATCACCCACCAAAAATCCCACCAGGAACACTTTCTCGACATCCACAACCCACAATACTCACAATGCCTAAAGCACCTAAATCACCCGGCGGACGCGACTCCCAGCGACATAATCCTCTCACAGAAGACTACCTCCCGTCACAGCCACTAAAGCAAAAATCCGGCAAGAGGAAGAAGAACGCGAAAGAGGACGAATCTGAGCGCTTCGTAGACTCCAAGTCCTCGCGAAAAATTCTGAGGATAGGGCAGGATCTAGTAGAGGAGGATGAGCAAGAACAAAATGCACGAAAGGTACCAGCCGCGAATCCGGCGTTCGCGTTCGACTCGCGGTTTGACGGAGAGGAGGAGGTAGAGGAAGAGGTTGGCGAGTACGACGATGACGATGCATGGGGCGATGAGGAAGAGGAGGTTGAGGAAGTCGGAATTGATCCTAGTGATCTGGAAACCTTCAACCGCTTCATACCTACAGACGACAATCCGATCGTATGGCCAGGGCAAGAGGCGGAGCAGAGTTCGGGGCCAGGAACCAATCTCGCGGATCTGATATTACAAAAAATAGCAGATGCTGAGGCAGGACGAGGGGATGAGCGAGAGGTAATGGGAGGTGGGGCTCCAGACGATGCGATAGAGCTTCCGGCGAAAGTGGTTGAGGTATACTCCAAGTATGTCTTCACACACCCGACTTCTCATAACCATGGCTAACAACCTATCCCCCAGAATTGGCATGATCCTCGCACGCTTCAAATCTGGCAAACTACCCAAACCCTTCAAGATTCTCCCCACCCTCCCCGGCTGGGAAACCCTCATCTCCATCACTCGACCCGAAGAATGGACCCCCAACGCCGTCTACGCCGCCACCCGCGTCTTCATATCCTCGAAACCGCACATCGCACAGGAGTTCCTTACCATGATCCTCCTCCCCGCCGTCCAGGATGATATTCGCGAGACGCACAAGCTAAACGTGCATCTCTTCAACGCGCTGAAGAAGGCGCTATACAAGCCCTCGGCGTTCTTCAAGGGCGTCATCTTCCCGCTTCTCAGAGACGGCATGTGCACGCAGCGCGAAGCACAAATCATTTCGTCCGTTTTGACGCGGGTTAGCGTGCCTGTGCTGCACTCTGCGGCGGCGCTGCATCGGCTGTGTGAGATGGCGGCGGAGCAGATGAGTTCGGATCCGGATTCGGCGGGGCCGGTCAATATGTTCATTCGGGCGCTGTTGGAGAAGAAGTATGCGCTTCCGTACAAGGTTGTTGACGCGCTTGTCTTCCATTTCCTGCGATTCCGGGCTGCAACGGGTGGGAATGCGAATGGTGATGCTATGGCGATTGACTCGGAGGAGGCGATTGGAGGCGTAGCGAAGTTGCCTGTTATCTGGCATCAATGCTTGCTGGCGTTTGCGCAGCGGTATAGGAATGATATCACCGAGGATCAGAGGGAGGCTTTACTGGATCTGCTACTAACGAGGGGTCATTACAAGATTGGGCCGGAGGTGAGGAGAGAGCTGTTGGCGGGCAGGGGGAGGGGTGTTATGATCGAACCGGAGGCGGGTATGGGTGGTGACGATACCATGATGGCTGTCGATGCTTAGGGTTGTTTCAATGAATTCAACGCTTGGTAAGGCATAGAGAAACGGCGTCCAGGAAGTCCATATATGAGGCGTAGGTCTGGAGCTATCATTCTGATACCAAACAGGTTGAACGAATGAATGATTGAAACTACCCGAGGGCCTTTGATCCTTCCTCTAATACATCATGTGCAATTCTTAGAGGCGACTCAATCTATTTTCTAAACCCAGCAAATAAACTCTTTCCTGTGAGATTGGGGAAGAGTGTTGCACCCCAGAATGTTTCAAAAGCATGACTCGTGAAGCGAATGCCTGATTGGCTCCCCGCATCCTACATACGAAACGCGGAAGCGAAAAATGTTGCTCGAAAACCTCAAAGTTCACCACCCCCATTCAGCAGCATCACGGTCGCAACCACAACCATGGCGAAACGACGAGTAAAGAAGCGCACGCAACCCGCACCGAGCAACAATGGAGCTATGGATCGCTCGCCCAAGAGCATGGTCATTCGCATAGGGGCTGGAGAGGTTGGCAGCAGTGTGTCGCAACTCGTGAAGGATGTCAGACATGTTATGGAGCCTGGGACGGCTGCTCGGTTGAAGGTACGCTCAAACTGGACGCTAATCATGGTTTCTATCTCTACCTCCTTTCCTAATACCCAGACTGAAATCTTTGCGCTCAATACTAATTATTATATTCAGGAACGCCGTGCGAACAAACTCCGCGATTACACCACCATGGCCAGCCCCCTAGGCGTTACCCACCTCCTCCTCTTCTCGCGCTCCGAGTCCGGGAACACAAATCTCCGCCTCGCTCGCACACCTCGCGGTCCCACCCTCCATTTCCGCGTCGAGCAATACGCGCTATGCAAAGATGTGCTAAAAGCGCAACGGCGGCCGCACAGCGGTGGCTTCGAATTCCAAACCGCCCCTCTACTAGTAATGAACAACTTCATCACACCCGAAGCCGCGGTAGAAGCCGTAGTGAAGAATGGTGTGGATGGAGTGGTGAAACCAGGCCCACCACCAAAGCACCTAGAAAAACTCGTCACAGAAATGTTCCAAGGGCTTTTCCCGCCCATTTCTCCACAAACTACACCATTGACCTCGATTCGACGAGTTCTCCTTATGAACCGCGAACCACCTACCAAAGAGGAGAACGGTACATACACCATCAACCTCCGCCACTACGCCATCACGACCAAAGTAATGGGCCTACCAAAAAGCATCCGCCGGCTCAACGCAGCAGAGAAGCTGAAGGGGAACAACAAGAAGCGCTCTGCGCTCCCTAATCTAGGGAAGTTAGATGATGTAGCGGACTACCTCCTTGGCCCCGACGCAGGCGGTTACACTTCCGCTTCCGAAACCGAGATCGACAGCGACGCCGAAGTCGAAGTCCTCGCCACCTCCGCGCGTAAGATTCTCTCGAAACGCGACCGCGCCGCGGCACCCGAGCGTCCGGATGGCCACAAATCTGCATCTCGCGGTGGGAAGGGTAAGGTGGAGAAGCGGGCTGTGAAGCTGGTTGAGCTAGGCCCGCGGATGAAGCTAAGGCTGACGAAAGTGGAGGAAGAGATATGTGGCGGGAAGGTACTGTGGCATGAGTATGTTAACAAGTCAGCTACAGAGGTGAAGAAGATGAACACGACTTGGGAAAAGCGGAAGCGGGAGAAGGAAGAGAGGAGGAGGGTGCAAAAGGAGAATATCGAGAGGAAGAGGAAGGAAAAGGGTGGGAAGAACGGGAAGGAAGGCGAGAATGAGGAAGACGAAGACGAGGAGGATTATGACATGGATGATGATGTGTGGGATGAGGATGGGGAGGGCGATGAAGACGAGGAGATGGAGGATGGACATGGGGCCGGTGGTTGAAGCTCAGCATCGCCAATTCGGAAAGAAGGGTACTGCGAGTAGGCAGGTTGAGGTGTGTTTTATGATACCATTCCAAAGTCTACGACGAACAACCTTGTTGGTGATTTACGCTTTGATCTATGAATGCAGGTGTTTGATCGTCGTGACCTCTGCTATGACAAGCCCAGCTCGCAGCATAGGTCAGTAAACCGATTAGCTCCTGAAGGTCTCGCTGAATGCTAACAATCAAGGTAATCGAGAAAGTACGCGGTGAATAGTTCAGTCATAGAGGTCGTCCAGGCCTATTATATCCTTGAAGGTTGATCTTGCTACGGGAAGGGCGTGATAGGGTCTGCGCTGCTGCGATTGAAAGATTGAGATGAGCATGGCTCTCTCCTTCTGTGTCTCAAGTCTTTGCGTCTCAAATCCTTCCCGACCTCGAGCATAAACTATATCATCCATCACAGGCGAGTAGTACCGAGTATTTAAGTGGGAGGCCATCTACGACCTCACTTGTCAACACCAGATCACCAGCACACTTTCACCTTCACGACAAGCTTGGTCGATACTCCACGACGCCACTAGGAAGGATCCGCCTAGTCACAACACAGCTGCTGAACTCTTTGCTGAGTGCGTTGCGAGCCGCTTCAGGCGCCAGCAACAGGAACACCATTGCCGACTCTTTCGATCCGTCATATATATTCAGCATTGATTCCCTCGCCCACCCGAGCCATGTCATCAAAGACTTCATGCGAACGTTCTACGACAACAGGAAAATCACGGTGGATGAGTGTTCCTTTGATATATCTAATCTCAAATCACTCACCTACAAGCGCAACTTCAAAGGCATGCTAAATGACAATCTTCCCAAGTTCACTCCTCTGCCGGAGGGTGGCTTTCACTACAAAGCAGCTCAGGCTGACCTCGGCATCTTGGCAGTACTCCCGCTCGAACTCATCCAGAAGGTGCTCCTAGTCTCAGACCTGCAGACCCTCATTAACTTTCAACACGTCAACAGGCGAGGTATGGAAGTCACAAGGTCAATTCCAGCTTACAAGAACTTCACGAAGCATTCATTTGATGCACTCCGGGGAGCTTTCAGTATCAAGACGGCACAGTGGATCACCTGAGACTCTATACGAAAAGCTGTGCACGAAGAACTGCGAAGAATGCGGAGATTTTGGCGGCTACCCCTACCTGATCACTTGCAAGCGCCTTTGCTTCACATGCTTCTCGGAAGACAACAGATATCTGCCAATGCGTCTCAGCCATGCAATAAAACGATTCGGATCCAAAATCCGTGATCTTGGTACGTTGCCTTACATGAGGAGCGTACCTGGCATGTACACTCCACCGGATGACAAGGTTCCTTTGGAAGAAAAGGTTCTAGAAGAGTTGACCTTGGTGGACTATGAGTCCGCTTATCGTGTCGGCACACGAGCGATGCAAAAGAAAGACGACGTGATGATGGCACAGCCAGTCGGATCACGAAGAAAGAGACGGCCTATCTATCCAGTCGACCTAGATCCTTATAATCCACTCCATTACACGGCAGTCGTGCGTCAGCCTTGGTTTGATATTGCGTCTGGAAAGGTGGTTCATGGGTTTCGTTGCATCGGATGTCGAGACTTCTATGGATACCGTCCCGTCAATCATCGACGCAAGTTCACGCGGCAATCATTCATTGAGCACCTGCGACAGTGTGGGAACATACTAAATGGAGAGCATTGCCAAGATGAGTCGTGCAAAGGCTGCGAGAACATTGATAGCCACGGATCTTCCACGAGACAAGGAACAATTGAAAAGACCGGCGACATACAAGCTCTGAATGACATTGCCCACATGCGCGACGAAGCCCCAGGCCAGCCGCCTGGCAACCCAATTTCTAAATTCTACTGTCAGTGGCGGCATTGCCATTTTCAAAAATGCAAGCAGAGACGAAATGATAGATGGTGGATTGGATGAAAAACAGAGCATCATGGCCGGTAGCCTGCCATGAGGCTAGTCAGCAGTTCAGCATCCGCCGATGTATTCCGGCATTAAAACTAAAGTTTGCGGTACACTCCAATATTGAACAACCGAAATCAAGTTGGCTTTACTGTCCTTGAGCTCTGCATACCAACCGGCGAACAAAGGAATGACAGGTCGTGTGAGGCCGGTTACAATCCTTGCAATCCTTTTTCGAGGCGCAAGAATATGAAAAGCTTCCTCAATTTCAAGGCGAATACGGTATCAACTCCCGCTATTACATGCAGAGTATCCTGGGCGTTCTTATGAGGGGAGTTCTTTTACTTTATTTTCATCACTTCACTTTCATAGGCTACAATTGAACACTCAAGACTCTCCCAAAGTTTCATTGCTGTGACTATGCGTTCGGTTGTCCGTTCAATCATTGAACAGTCGTCCTAGGTCTACCCTGATATCCTTCCCTCGTTAACCGGAAATTAGCACCTAGCCCTATTTACACCCGCACTTTCTCGCTTCCGTGTTGCTACTGACGTGCTCCTTAGGTACAACCTTCGCTAGCCCGGCACAAGGAATACATCATGTTACACCCCTAGCTGTTCCTACTCAATCCAATCCTTCGACTCTTTCTTTCTTCCTCCCTGCCCTACATCTAAAGTCTCAATCCATGAAATTTGGCCCCTTCCTTTCCCATAAAACTGCCGTTGCAAATTCTCTCACCTTGAAACCCCACCCTCAATAACGAGCTGATGCCACTCGCTTAACAGAAACTAATTAGGCACACACGTCTCCTGACCTTGGAACTTCAGACTAACTGCCAGGAGGCTTTTTACGCTGAGGAGAGACTGCGCTGGCTCTGGAGGTATGCATCTGGTAGCTTCTGAGTTGCTCCTGAGCCAAGATAAAGTAGTCAACGGGAATATTGAATGCACCGCCGACGGCGGTGATAAGACAGAGTAAGAGGGAGCTTGAATAATCAGGCCATTCAGCGTCGCCGTGGTGTTTTCGGTGGGTTGCAGGAGTACTAAAGGACTGAGGCGGGAAAGCCTGAGACTTGCCCCTCGGAGGTCATTATTCAAGTAGGCCTGAAGTTCATCGTGGGGACTGAAGATGGGTGTTGGCGGTGGTCGGTTTGTTCAAGGGAGATGGAGAAAGGATGAGGGGGATGGGCGGGAGGATTACTATGCGAATGGTAGATGGAGGAGTGAAAGAAAAACCCGGCGGAAAGAAGGGGCTTGAGATAGAGGAAGAGGGGTTCTGGGATTGGAGTTTGGAGTTTGGTTTAGATTTATGCTTGCACGAGCATACCTTCAATTCAGTTGATAACAAGCCGGAAGGTATAGAAAGGGGCCTCGCCGCTGGGCTGCTAAAAAGGGGTATAATAATGTCCAGATCTCTGTCGCCGAAAGGTACTATGAAGATAGATACCGAATGTAAGAGCGCCTGCCAAACCGTGAACTCCATGCCCACCCACACCGCTCATCTCAACCCATCCCTCTCGCGCTCCGCCGTGATGAGCTTACTCACCTGACTATTGCGAAACTCTGCGTGGCACCGCTCCTCCCACTCTTCTTCAGTCGTGTAATTTCGCCACCACCCACGTTCCACATCCTTGTTGCACGCCAAAAACACCCACCTGCCCCGCAAGATCCTCATCTTCGTCGCCCTCTCGATCTTCATCCTCCGCTTCTTCCTCTTCTTTTGGTCCTCCAGCCCATCCTCCCCATGTATCAGCTTCGCCCGAACTTCAACGTCTTCCTTCATGAACACAGTCGTCTCGACACCTACACAGTCATAGACCGCATAGCGTATCGGCGGAATCCAGGTCGTTGGGAAGAGGGGGTTTGGCGTGAACAGGTCGAGCTTGGTGAGATTGAAGGTTTGGAGGGCGACCGTCATGGTCTATCCACCCACCCATTAGCCCCCTATTTGCATTCCAACAGTGTGCTGTGGTGTAGTAAGGAACTCACAATCTTATCCGGCCACTCCTTCCGATCACAGCTCTGACAACAATGAAACGTATCATCCATCAGCGCCCGCCTGGTCGACGCCTTCCCGCAGAACGCGCAGTTCCGCATCACCCATTTTACCCACGCGCAACGGTAGGTGCGGAGGGTCTTGGACTTTATAGCCGCGTCGGTGCTCACGGGGATGTATTTTCTGCTGTAGTTCGCTAGGGCCTTGAATTTGGTGACGCTCCGGTGGGAGAGGAGGAGGTGCTTGGTGAAGGACTCCACGACATCGCGGAGGTGGCGGCAGGTGGCGGCGATGTTGTAGAGGGGGCAGGAGATGTGGGGTTTGGAGACAGTGCCTATGGTTGCCCGTTCTTCGGTTTCGCGGCATCCTATTGAGTAGGAGAGGATATGGTGCAGGAGCTCAATTGGGAGGGTAGCGAGATTGGGCTCGGCCATTGTTAGTGAGGGAATTGTGGTGGAGTGTAGACATGAGGGATATGAAGGGAGGATATAATGAGGTCGCGTCGCGTTGTCAGGTGAATGCTTATCAAATCTGCACGTGACATCAAACTCTCTTCACAAACATTTTGAGGCTACATTCCGCAGGGAGATACATCATGTAGTTCTCTCTATTCTTATCCCAATCCAGATCCTCCCTCTTCAGGCCCTACTCCGACTCTTTCACCACGACCAATCCATAAACCTCTTGAACCTAACTCTCTTTTAGGACATCATAACGTAGCTAGAGGAGGGTTCACACAGTGGTTGACCATTCAAGCCAATAAGGTCAAAGCTATCCCAAAGGCACATGTGATTATTTCATAATGCAATTACACAGAGGGAGAAAGGTCCCACGCACGGTACGGGATATGCACTGGCAGAGGCTCCCTTGCACATGAAATGGCAGTCTATGACTTTCAGGACCGTGTACACTTTCCTAGCATTGCTTGAGGTCTTCTAGCAAGGTGTAGAGAACTGGGAAACGACCATTTTGACATGGAAACCTTTGTATGAAAGATCTCAACTGGGAGCATCTTCTGACGAAGCGAACCGGCGGGGCATAGTGGGGCATGCACATGCGAACCTTATGGTGGGGCAGCCACCACCAGAACTATTTTCTCCAAGCTCGCTCTCACCTCCGTCCTTCTTTCACCTCGCTCTCACCATCTTGCTTTTCCCGTCCAACAACAACACCACCTTGAACAGAGACTAGTCCACCATCCGAAGCTGCACCACGCCCATCACATCTTCAACCTACCCATCAACATCCACCATGGCGGGTAGAGGCCGCGGCGGTGGCTCCCGCGGCGGCAAAGGCGCGGGCGGCATCGACTTCCCGTGGAACCACGACCCCGATATCGACCAATATCTCAATTGGCAACCCATCAAGCTATTTCCTGTATGTAACAGATCATCTCCAGCTTCTCGCTCACATCTCACTGTCTGACCCTGCGAAACAGGACGTCGAAGCCACCATCGCGGCCCCCCCGACAGCGGACGAGCTACGTACCGTCTACCACTCCCGTCGAATCCGCGAAATGCGCCGTGCAGGCCCCTTCTGGGCAACGGGTGATCTGAACAAGCGCGCTGGCCGAGGCGCTGGAGGCAGAGATGAGAAGGGGAACGATACCTTCAATGCTTTCACTGGCATGGACACGTATAGCAAGAAATATGTGCCCAAGAAGCGTGTCCTGCCGGACATGAAGAGCTACCCATTTGGTACGTCAAACTACCAAAATCAAGGGGGAGGATATGCAATGCTGACTATATGTGACAGTCAAGGAGTTCTTTCCCAAGGAATTGTGGGACGTCATGGGCATTTCCGACGACGAAGACGACACGAAGAAGGCCGCAGATGGTACACAACCGCCGCCAAAGAAGCGGAAGATGCTCCAGATTGCCAAAGCAAACGACATGTCGCGGCTGGAAGCACTTGAGGCCGAGGCAAAGCGCAAAGCTGACGCCGGGGAGGACGATGACGACGAAGAGAAGGAAGAAGAGGACGGCGAGGGGGGCGATGAAGTGCAAGATGACGATTTCGAGGCAGATGAGTCGGATGGAGACGACTATAACGCGGAGGCGTATTTCGATAATGGCGAGGACGACTTCGGAGAGGAAGACGCTGGCGGTGATGATGGCGGGTATTACGAGTAGGCCTTCTGCTAATGTTCTCATAGAGGACCATTACGCAGAGTCGCACTCCGAAAGCAGCGAAGACGGCTTTGGAGAGGCAGACGCAAGCGATGATGATAATGGTGGATGTTATGAGGAAGACTTCTGCTAATATTCTGCTAGTTGGAGAGGACCTGGGGGACATTTACTTGCGCAAGAGCTACCTTTAGGGCACTTTTTGCATAGGCCTTCGGCGCTCGGGCGTGCTTTTAACTCGGATACCCAGGGTTTTGCGGATGTGGAGTATGTGCTGAGGCACCCCCGGTAACTTTGATTCATTCGTTCATCATTCCACCATTGCTTTGCTCTAAAAACGATGTACTTTGATGTGCCGCTGTCTGAGGTGCCTCAACGAGTTATAAAAAGTCCCATATGAGATGTAACGCCCGTCACGGTTCATTTCAGGACCTTGCTCAAAATGTATAAGGTGTTGCTCGATTGAGTCTATGTGCAGTGCTTTAGCAGCGTCTGAGGTACTTCATCAGATTTTCAGGATGTCGACTAAACAACATTTCCACTCCATCTGCGTACAGCGCTTTGCCGCTGCATGAAGTCCTTCAACATGCTTCTCGATATCCTGGCGATGTGCTCTCTCCACCGTATCTGTGTACAATGTCTTGCCGCTGCATGAGGTGCTTCGACACACATCCAGAATATCGGGAATGATCCTATCAGCTCTTCGATATCTCAAGGTTTCTTCCTCCCCTTCCCCTCCGCCTCCCCTTTAACAAAACCCCCCAACACCAATGCCTCCCTTGCCGCGCTGTTAATTATCCGAAACCGATCCGGCCCCAAATGCACACCCCCATACCACCTCGTCACCACCACCATAACATCCCATACATCCATCAGCTGCATGAGATGCAGCACCCGCCCTCCCGCCGCCGTCTCGCCATCGTCATCGCAGTCTTGATACGTGATATCCGCCCCCGCATGCGCGTTATCTGACCCCCGTATCCGCCACGCAGTGATGTTGTGCGTCGCCTTCGCCGCCTTTTTATCCGTCGCAAGTAGATGCGCTAGAAACAATTTCGCTTGTGCGGGTGAGTCGACACGCGCGACGCGCGCGAGGAAGACCGATTTCTTCTCTGAGATCGGGGGCGCGAGGGTCCAGGGCGGAGCCTCCCCCAACCCTTCCACAGCTGCTTCGTCCCTAGCTCTTCTACTGCTCAGATCCTCTTGGATCTCGTGCTCGTGCTCGTGCTCGTGAATCCCCAATCTCCCGTCGTCCTGCGCCTTTTCGAGCGCCTCCCGCAGCTCTTCGAGGAGGTCGTAGATGCAGGGTTCGCCGATTGTGTATATTTCCGCGAGGGTGGCGCGGGCGATGTCGACGATGTGGGTTCCTACGCCCTTTGGGATGTCGTCGCCGACGGTTTGGGTGCCGAGGATTGAGGGAGGGGCGTCAGGGTAGGAGGGGGGAAATTCGAGGCGCAGGGAGACGGAGGGGAGGGAGGGGAGCGTCAGGGTGCATATTAGAGGATCTTCGGAGATTGGCGTCAAGGTTGATTCGTTAAATATGGAGTTGATGGAGGTGAGTTCGTCGTCGAGGGTTGGGTTGGTGGAGGTCATGGTAGGAGTAGTTGCGGAGGTCTCGCGGAGGTCGATCCAACGACGTCAGGCGAAAGGTTCCCTGAAGCTTGCATCAACTGCAGCTTTCTGTGCCTCTATTCGTATCTATGATATAGTGACACGATATTCGAATTGTCTTATCATAACTTCTCTATTAAGCTGTTTTTTCAATAAAGTCGCGCCATTCCAGAAAAACTGCTCGCTCAGGTTGACAGAACTATCGAAGTCAAGCAGACATGGATAATCCTTCTAACTCGCTTTTGCCACTCTACAAACTTCCCAGCTAGTTTCTTTCTTGATACCTCTTCTTATCCTCATCTACGAGCGCGACTGATCCTTGGCCGTGTGCATTCTTATCTTTCGAGACTGCTTTGACAAAATTTATATTCGGTCATAAGGCTTGGGGTGCCCCCATGGAATTTCAAAAACTTAGGTGCGATTTCAAGTTTCAAGTAGTGCAAAATAGACTGCCTCTTGGACTAACAAGCTGCTTTCTAACTGGGCTGCTCCTCAATGTGGTGTCTAGTGAGCAAGATTAGAGTCAGGCAGTGATAAATCCATGTGCCCAGACTTATGGCCTAGTACTATACAATCAAGTTCGAAGCGACTACAGAGCCCCAAAGCTAGTCTATCTGCCCAAAAAAAATAATAGAATTCGGGCGGTGCTCAAGTACAGGGCCGCTACCGCGATCACGGATTAGATTGCATCCGATCCGGGATCCTGATGGAAGACTATATTGCCGGGCATTCTCGGTACTTATCTGTGAGCATTTTGAATCAGAAGGCTAGAAGTACATATGAATGCCCAATCTACTAGTTTCTTCTATTGAGGCATTGCGATTCGTGAGTGATACTTACTAGTCCTCTTCTCTCTCTTTTCAAGACTCGGTTGCTGGCTATCAGGTGGATAAATACTCTGTAGTCATGAGCAAAACTCTCGCAGGCAAGATTGCTGTAGTAACAGGTGCATCGAGGGGCATTGGAGCAGCAATCGCGTTGGAATTTGCGGAAAGAGGTGCCAAGGGTGTAGGTGCTCTCCCTAAAGCCCCAATTTAGACTATTTCCCTTTCGATTTCCGATGTTGACTGTTCATTGAAGATTGCTATCACATACAACTCCGACAGCACAGCCGCCGAAGCCATCGTGCAAAAAATCAAGAACTTAGGCAGTGACGCTTTTGCACTCAAGGTCGACCTCCTAGATCCCGAGGCCGGAGAAAAAATTGTAAAAGCAGTCCTGAACGGTTTCAAAACCAACGGCATCGACATCCTAGGTCTCTCATCTCATACCCTTCTTCCTCGGACCCTTCTCCCCAAGTACCTCCGTCTCACACGTTTTCCATCTAGTCAACAACGCAGTCCTCCTCCACCAAACCCCCTTCGCCTCTACCACGCTCTCTGACTTCCGCATCATGTTCGACGCCAACCTCGCAGGCCCCATCTTCATCACACAAGCCGTGCTCAAAGTCATCAAACCCCAAGGACGCATAATCATGATCTCGTCACAGGCCTCAATAGTGCCGAGTCCGAGCCCGTTCATGCTATATGCAGCGGCAAAAGCGGCGCTGGATCATTTGGCGAGGAGTCTGGCGTTGGAGTTTGCAGAAGAAAAGAAGATCACGGTCAACTCGGTTATGCCGGGGCCGACGGCTACAGGTGCGATATGCGCTACTCTTTCCTCTGCTTTTTGTGACGCGGTAAGCATCTATGCAGTGGGCTGACGGTCGACTAGATGCGATGAAACAACTTGATGCTGCTATGTTGAAGCAACTATCAAGCAAACCGACAGCAGAGAAAAGGTTGGGGACTCCCGAGGAGATAGCTCATGTGGTTGCATTCTTAGCAGAGGACAAAACGAGATGGATCAATGGGCAGGCAATTGACGTGACGGGGGGATGTATGGCTTGGTAATTAGGAGGTAGTATTAAGCTCAAGCTTTTGACTGCAAGTGCAAAGATGATTCGCTCGGGCTAATCGAATGGCAACGTCGAATTCCAATTCCAGTCGAAATCTCCTTGCCAATCAATGCTGTCCATCCAGTCTGAAGCCAGCTCTGCCCCTGATTGGAAATCCACCGTGTCGCTGAAAGTTCCGAAAGACGATATATCCACTTGCATCTGGCTCTCGTCCCCGAAAATAGGCGCTATATTGCGACCGCTGTCGAAGCCCGCTACGTTCGCTGCACTCCCTGCAATTGTAACGCGAATCTTGCCGAAGTACGGCACAACTATCTCTCGAGATTCAGATAGCGAGCCTCTCATGTAGTAAAGGTCGGAGAAGTAGGTCAAGACGTCGACCGATTGACTTGAGACGGCACAGTCTCGGGTAGCCGTAATACGAGTCAGAGTTTTCGTCACTTGATGAATAAGGTTCCAATCGTACTCCGGCGGTCCGCCCATGTGTGAATTGCGGTATCTGAATTGGTGAATTACAAGGACCATGGCTGCACTGAACGCTTGGAAGTCCAGAAGATCGCAAACCAGGAGCAACGTTTGGTCATTCCTTGTCCGAAAGTTCTGATAGCAGTGCAAGATTCTCCTACAAACATCTATTGTCTGAGCCTCACTCTCAGTATGTTGCGCGGACTTGAAGCTGTACGGGAGGTGAATATACTTCAAAGTCTGCAGGTGGTACATTTCGAGGGAAGCCCGGTGGTACAAGTATGCTAGGGACGAAGAGGGCGAAGGAGGCTCGCTCAGAAGGAGATCTAGCGGGACTGAAACGGTACGGCGAAGGTTATCGTGCATTTGCTGTGTGTCTGAATATGCAACTCGGTCGTAGTTCTGATTTCTATCGATAACGGCCCCTACTATAACGGCAATGTCGTGCATAGCTTGCTGTTCAGCATCAAGTCCCAGAGATTTCTCGGAGATGCTTGGGTGCGAGGACGCAACGGCATACGGTAATCCTAGAAGCATGGCTATTTGTCGTTCAGTTTGCCACAAAGGTGGCCACATTGAGCCTGGGTATTCAGTGAGGCATTTTCGGGGCAGACCGATCAAGAGAGCAGAGTTGATTGCTCGGCGAATGACAGACCATGCTTTGCGAGGTCTCCCGAGGGATACGTAGTTTTGGCATTGCAAGAAGCCGGACTCAACGCCTTCAAGTGTGCCCCCGGAGTCTGCGTCAATAGACACTAAAACTTCAGCGCCGCCTAAAAGACCGTCCAGGACCTCATTCCTTGAGCAGTTTGAGGGAGGCATCGTAGGGGTCCGATCGCTGCTTCGGCTCGGGAGGACTGCATCAAAGCCCTTCGGAAGATGTTGAATGCAACAAGCAAGCCAGAGTGCTGCTTTTGCAACCATGGCAGGCTTGCCGGATTTCATGGAGTCGTGTATGAACTGTTGTACTCTAGGTACAGTGCTCGGAGGTGAGTTTGCGTGAGACGTCGAAGGTGCCACAGGGCAGACGGCCCAGTAAGGTTCCGTCAATCGCAGGATCAAAGCTAGGTCATCTTTTGAGGGAGTCAAATCGACCAAAGCCTGGATGTAAGCCTTCGCCTGATGAGAAGGACCAGATCTCGGACTATATGCGTCACCATTGTGAGTCTCAGAAAGAAGGAAATTAGAGTCCTTGAACAATCGTAAAAGTGGCACGTCCTCAGTTTGATACTCTGGTTCTTCTTGTTCCCTCTCTTCTCTAATAGCCTCAGAGTAAATGGCGTTCGATGTCGATTGTTGAAGGTCGAGCCCTATTGCGTTGCAAATGTGACGAATTTGATCGGATAGTTCATCCAGTCTCTGATTAGTTTGGTTGTAGCCATTGATGGTTTGATTGCTCGATCCTGAAGGCGTTGTCGATGTATTCGATCTGCGTACCTTAGGAAAGCAGAACACACGTTAGCGGTTTTTCATAAAGAAGGGGGATTAAAAGACAAATTCTAGGTGGCAGATCCTCTGGTGTTAATTGACCTTAAGTGCTACTCAAATCGTGTTTAAGACTCTACTTTAGCTCAAGTCTGTGTTTAAAGCCGCTAAATGTGTACTTAAACGCGACTTAAGAGGATGTTCAACACCTTTACAGAAACAATGACACCAGAGGGCACTCAGGCTCGTTCAACACCGTATGAGGTGGCCCGAAGAGCTTCTTGACTTTCCAAAATTGTCGTTATCCAGTTTTTGATAATGTACCACGCGGGGCGTGGAAAAAGTGGCACACTCATGAGGCAATCTGTCTCACATTTACACCTGTCTGCCGCTGTCTGGGATGCTTCAACGAGTTTCCACATAGTCCACAGCGAAGGGGTTCTATCTCATTCATTTTCCTGAAAATGCATTGAAGCACCCCAAGCAGTGGCAGACAGGTGTACACGCGAGACAGCCTGCTATAAATGGAGTGCCACCTTCTCCATGCCCCGCGTGCGTACCAAGCCACCTCAGACGGTTTTGGACTGTTTAACGGAGCCTTACTCTGGTATTTGTAATAGACTTTCCTTACTTACTAGCTGTTGTGAATCACAGACAGAGTCATGAAGAGCGCAAGCTTGACAGATGGCCTGGCCAGGCGAGAAGATGCAACGGACTTTGCGTCGCCGACACTCGACACAACTCTTGGTGCCTAATCGCATTCGCTTCTTTGGAGGAGTTCCTGATCCATGAGGTAGTGCGCTCATCTTTGTTGAAGAAAGGACGAACGCGGAACGGAGGTTCGCATGGTTCGGTCGAGCTCGCAGTTCCCACTTTATTCTAGCCTATATTAGACTGGGATCGACGGGCGCAATTAAAGTGGCAGTCCAATACCGTCTGAGGTGACCTAGGGAGCTATCGAGCTTGTCATGTTGTTGTTTCACAATATTTAATACCGCACCAGGGGACCTCAAGCGGTGCTAGGCAAGTGTACACAAGCCTAGAGTAAGCGTGCATTTAGTTTATATGACGTTTTAGAAAAGGTTCACAAATTGATGTCTGCCACTTTATGTTCAAGGGAGCTTGATTGGTCCGTTGGCGCTAGCAATCGACCAGAATGACCTGATGATGAATTCAAATCTTAGAAAATGTACCAAAGATCTCAAATAGTAGCAAGTCAACGCGTGTATGTCGTGAGTCTGATTTACCAGCTCGAGAACGTTACACCCGGTCTATATTTCTATACATGTATCGAAGGCTCATAGACAGCTGCATATGAGTTTCCTAGAATAATACCATCACAGCACGCCCTTTGACGCCCTACCAGCCACCGTATTGCGTATTCAGTGCTGACAAATTACTCTGATTCAAACGAAACAATTAGTTCCTTGAGCTGAGCAAGCAATATCGCGAAGATAGTAATTTCCTTTGGCGATCTTCTTCGGTGCCTTTCGGTCATTCGGACGATTCGGAACGGTGCGTACTATAGAAAAGGACGTCTCATTTAATGATGGGATCATTCGCACTCACCAGCATCCCAAAACAGTTCTCCGATATCCACCATTCCAAACTCCAACCTCAAGTTCCAAGATCAACATCCAATCATGTCCCTTACAGAACAGCTCTCCGCACAATTCCAGGGCTTCCACCAAAATGCCCCACCTCAATTCAAAGGCCCCATATTGGCGGCTATGGACGAACACAAATCTTCTTTCAAGCCTGGTGCCGCTCTTCAGATCGGCCAGGCTTTTCCAGACTTCTCCTTGAGCAATGCCGTCAGCGAAAAGGTTTCTCGGGATGATCTGCTTGCTAAGGGGCCATTCTTTATCACATTCTACCGTGGAGAATGGTGTCCGTTCTGCAACCTCGCCATCGGTGCCCTCCAAGCGCACCTCGATGAATTCACTGTCAAGGGCGTCACTCTCGTTGCTGTGTCCCCCGAGCTACCGAACGGCAACCTCTCAATGACGGAGAAGCACGACCTCAAGTTCCCAGTGCTGTCGGACCAGGGAAATCAGCTTGCCAGGAAGCTCGGGATCATCTTTGCGATGCCAGACTCGCTAAGGCCCGTGTTTGACATGACTGGACATAATTTGAAGAAGACGAATGGAGACGACTCGTTTGAAGTTCCTTTGCCGGCGGCATTCCTGGTCGATGGGAAGGGAGTCGTCAGAAACTCGTATGTGGACCCGGACTACACCAAGAGGATCGAACCGACGACAGCACTTGGGTGGATTGATGCGCTATAAAGCCAATAGGCAGGTGGTTTGAGGTGGCGACTGTATAGTTCCATTTTGTGAGAATCTTCGCGACCCTAGAATCTCACCTCGCTCTTTTACCCTCATATAGCAATCTAAAACTCCGCTCCAAACATTTTTGATATAAGACTACAAGAAAACAATTAAATGAAATGGAGTGTGCAATGCCTGTGACGTCAGGGCTTTAAAGTTCAATCCGTATAAGCCCTAAACCCAATCAACCGAACAGACCATCATCTCTACATCCTCATACCAAGATCCTACCATGGCAAGCCCAACGGCTCAGGAAGCTCCTATGACCAAGGTCTGGATTACAACACTCATCCCACCCACCTCAACTACAGACTCAGCCTTCATCACCACCTGGACCGAAGCCATTGAATTCATCTCTGCCTACTCCGGCACCACAGACAGCCACACCCTCTGGCGCGATGTGGAAGATCCTGCCGTCGTCACTATGATCACAGGCTACCCTTCCGCAGCGCTGAATATCGCCGCTGATAAGGAATTCTGGGAAGCGGGATACCAGCAGCGCATTTCGGCACTAAATAAGCACGACACGCTTTACTGGATCGATGAGGATGTGAAGAAGCTGCTTCTAGGAAACAAGAAGGAGATCGTGATGTAGATTCTACCTAAAGAAGGTGAAGCTGAAGTAGGTGCGACGGTCACCGTGAATGCGAGAGAGGTCGCGGGGTCGGCGGAGCTAGGGAGGAGGGTTCGTTTGAGGATCAGCGAGTCTACGGAGGTTGGAAAGGAGGCCGAGAAGCAGGCGATACGGACGCTGCGGCTGGAGAGAATTGAATTGTGAGAAGGAAGTGGGCTGTGTTAGGCTGAGATCGGGCCGATAGTGAGAGATGTGTAGATACATCGTGTATGGTGATGGAGACGGAATATGTAGAGTCGTTCACGATCGAGGTGGAGGTGTCCGTGCACGGGGTGTGAAGAACATCGAGCTGAACGTTCCTCCTAACCTCGACACCACAGCGTCGACTCACAAATATTCAAGAAAGCAGTGCAGTTATTCGTTTTAGTAGCATAAGAATACGTGGGTGCTTATATTCTACGCGTCTATAGCATCGCCCATCATGTGGCTTGCTCAGCCTCACCTCTGAGTCAAACCACAAAGCGTCCACTCATCTACAAGAAGCCCAAAACATCAAGCCAATTCCTCTCTCATGACAAAACTCTTCACTTCTCTACTTCTACACGCGCTGCTTTCTGCGTTACGTTGAACAACATGGGCGGCCTCGCCTTCGCAACACCTGGGCCCAACGGCTCACCGCCGCTCGCCGTTCCCCGCATGTCGCCAGCCGTCTACCAAACCCTCAAATCCAAAATAAGCCCAATACTCTCCCAATTCTTCTCCAAAGTCGCCACGCCTCCAGAAGCACCCGGGAAAACGTCCCACGGCGACATCGACTTCCTCGTCGAAGGACCATTGAACTCATCTTTCACTCCCAACGACATCGCAGACGCGTTAAATGCAACCCGCCATGTCAAAAATGGGGCTACCCGCAGCTACGCAGTCCCGCATCCCGAAGTACCCGATGCGTTCGTTCAGGTTGATACGCACGTCTGCCCGGATGGTCGGCTAGCTTGGGAGTGCTTCCACCAGGCGTACGCGGATCTTTGGCAGATCATTGGAGTCGCGCATCGTTCGCTTGGGCTGACGGCAACTGACAAGGGCTTGCATGTCCGGATTGAGGAGCTCGAGGCTAAGAATCGGAAGGCGAGTATGCAATTTTTGAGCGATGATCCGGTACGGGTGTTGCAGTTCTATGGACTGGATGTGGAAAGGTACGACAAGGGCTTTGAAATGATGGACGAGCTCTATGAGTGGGTAGTCTGGGGAAGGTTCTTCAGTCGAGAGGTGCTAGAAGCGAGGGAGGAGAAGGCGAATGATCGACGGAGGTTGAAAGAGAGAGACATGTATAGGAAGTTCATCAGTGAGTGGATGCCGGCACATCCAGATGCGGGCGTGAAAGAAAAGAGTTGGACAAGGCAGGATGTCTTGGCTGAGGCCTTGAAAGAGTTCGGGAAGCAGCAGGAGTATGACGGGATTTTACACGAGCACCAGATTCAAGAAGATGAAGCGGCATTGTGGCAAAGGATTGCGGCTGCCATTCCAAAGGACGGCAATGGGCTCAATCGGGCGCTGAAGGCTTTAAAAATTTGGGTGCGCTTTGAGGATGGCCAGCCGGTTGTGAGGACGGTTCCGAAGTTTGGTGTTCAAGGACGACCTCTTTGGGTTTTGGTAGTGCGGGACGAGGACAGTGTGCTTAAGTGGGTCGGAGAGCATTGGGAAGAGGTTAGAGCGTTGGAGAAGATGAGGCAGACAGACGAAAGGCATGAACGGGAAGCTGAAAAGAGGCTGGTGGACGACCTAGAGGTCGAAGAGGTGGCATCTGGCGAGGGAAATTCGGAGGCACAATGAGCGAGAGTGGGGGTCTTATTTTATGGGAGAGTTTGATACCCGTTTCTTAGGAGGCGGGACTCGAGAAATGCTGTACCTAAGTCATGCTTTTATCTCGACCTTCCATCAACCATAGCTCATCTCAACATTTCAATGCGAGCTTCTAAAGGAACTTTTTATTGCTCAATGTCAGAAATAGGGACTCAAGGGGTTTCTTGGTTAGGAACATCTCCATTTTGTGTATATTAACATACAACTGTAGAAAAACTCTTCACGCTCTCACTAAATACAGATTGGAATGAAATTGGCCCGTTGCTATTCAATAGGCTCTTTGAAGTCCTCTCCACCGTGCACTGGCTGCCGCCAGATTGCTTGTCGACTACGCTGTCGTCTGCAAGTAAGGATCTTATCGAAGCCTCACGCTCTTCACGTTTCTTGCACTCCACGTCGCGCTCAGTCTCTCAATGCCTTCTTCTCGGTGTCACCAGATGTTCCAAGTCTCTCTCGACGAATAGATAAGACGTCTACCTCTACAGCCTCTCTTTACGTCCGATGACCTAACGCGGAGATTGAGTCGATCCAGCCCCTTACTCGCGCTTGCACGCACTTATCCTTTCACTCGCCCACACCTATCTATCCTAGGAATGGCACCCTCACGTTGCAAACTTACCTCGCGCACGCAAGCCACTCTGGACGGCTTTTTCAATCAACCAAACTCGTCGTCCACCCGAATATCTAAGAAGTCGCCGGCGGCCAAGTCCAAGTACCAATCTAAGTCGAAGTCGGCCGTCCCCACAGGTTCAGACCGCGTGTTAACCGACGTGTTGCTCGCCATCAAGCCCGTTCACCTCGCCAACATTGCTAGCAGACAGAAGAACCATGAGTACCGCAAGTACCGACTGCGCGACGCGGTTACAAGACTGTGGCTGTACGAGACAGGCGACGGCGGCAAGGGTCGGGCGTCTATCACGTAAGCTTATTTTTTGCGTGTCTATTTATTCATCTGTCATCTCTTCCTATCTTTCTCTGCTTCTCTATTTCCTCATTTGCCTTGTACTAAGATCTATTCAGACATATCGCAGTCATTCCAGCTTCCGTACGCCATACCCCTGGCTCTGTACCGACTGAGCCCTTCGGCATAGGCAACACCGACTTCAACGCCGGCCTCAAAGAGTCTAAGTACGGATATCCTGTGCTGGAGCTGTACGAGCTGTTCCGCCCAGTAACGCTAGCGGAGATGAAGAGCCAGTGGGGCATGGGTGGCGCGCCTATGGGGTGGCGCTACGTGAAAACAGACTTGTGGGAGGATAGATGGGGAGATGATCAAGAGAGGGCTGTGAAAGTGAATTGGGTGTTCTGATGCAGGGTAAGTGCAGTGGGTAGAACGAAGAAGCTGTCGCTCATGTCTGGCCGCTCTTTGCAGTTTTGTCTCCCCTCCCTCTCCTGTCCAAGCCTTCATGACGGCAATGTGGCCGACATCGCAGGACGTTGTTGTATGCGAAGGAAATATGGAAAGCGCTCGAATTAATGGGCGAAGACTCCCCCCGAGTACCGTCAGCGGCCGAGCGGAGATGATGGCTGAGGCTCTTCTTTGACTGGATGCGATATCTTGCACGGTTGGTGTTCTGGACATCACATGCGTGGTTGAAAGGACCTATTGTATCTTTATCTTTCGAGTCGACCGTAATGTAACTACGGTGGACGAGAACACATTTATACACTCATCAAGCTATATAGTGTGAACGCATTCCCACGCTTGCTTTTCTTTGAAAGACACTCTAGTCCTTAAATTTCCAAGAGTTTAAGCCTCCTCAGCTGGAGTAGAACTTAAGCTCCAAGAAAATAACTTCCGGATCAAGAAGCGGATACCAAGATTAGAAAGGACTCCCAAGAGTAGATCCACGTCAGCCCAAACTCACTTTCTTCAACTCGCACTCACTGCCCAAGTCAAATGAATTTCGTACTCATACTCATTCCGCATTACGCTATGCTGATAGTTCACCATCTCATTCTTTCTCTGCCGGATTAGGAGATATAGAGCCAGCTCCCCGTCTCTAAGAACCTAATCCGGAAAACCAAACCTGCAAGAAACCACCTGTCATTATCCATGAAGTCATGTCGGACGACATACCGAAGGAATTTCACTTACAAATAGCAACATGGATGCCACGCCTAACACGCCAAACTCAACGACCGAGGAAGCCCACAAGAATATCTATCCAACAACCGTCCCCACAATCCCGATCTCCAGCTATACTCAACCCATCCCCGCCACTTCCCTACTCCACCTCCTTCCACATCCTCTCCAACAACCCCACCCTCGCCGTATCCCCCATCCCCTGCGCCACCAGCCCCATCGCCTGCTGCCCCGCAACCGCCCCCTGGACCCCATACGGCGTCTCCCAATGATACCCCAGCGCGCCGTTCCCATACAAATGACCCCCCGTGACCCCACCCGGTCCATAATGTATCTGCGCCGACGGCGCCGTAATCGCATTCGCAGCATTATAGAAACTACTCGTCGCATTCAGCATCGTCTGCTGCTGCAGGCGCATTTTAGCTTGAGCGACGATTGCTTTCATGGCTGGCACGGTCTGCGTGTAGACGGCGTTGCGGTGCTGGCAGTACTCCACGAAGGCCTCGATGTCGGGGGTTTTGGAGTTTGAGAGGGCGGCCCAGCGTGCGCGCATGTTGGCGGAGTACATTTCGCACATGACGGCTTGCGGGAGGGGTGTTGGGGTGTGCTCTAGGATGTGTGCGAGGGCGGTGCCGCGGATGGCGTCCTCGTAGCAAGATTCGCAGACGTGGACTGTCTTGCGTGGATCGAGGTTCTGTAAGATCCACCAGCGGCGGTTGGCGACGAATTCGGTTGTTTGGCAGTTGGGCAGGGTGGCGACGAGGTGGACGTAATTGGAGAATGCAGCGAAGTTGGGGGTGCTGATTGCTTCGGCGTACTTGTTGATGTATTTTGCGAAGCGGGGGGAGGCGGCGTTGAAGTCGCACATGAGATTGGTGCCGGGAGGGGGGGATGAGCGTGGTTCGAAATGTTTTGTTAGTTTCAGGGCTTTGACCCAGCCGGTGTAACAGGTTACGCATAGATCGAAGTTCTCGCAGCCGCCTTTGAGGGTGTACCATGTTCCGTCTGTGATACCCTTATCCGTACAAGGGGGATTATTGGAGAAGACGTTGAAGGCATCCCAAAATATAGAGAAGTTATAGGTGTCTCGCGCTACTTCCATGCTAACTTTCAAGGGTAAAGACCAGAAGTCGCAATTGCAGTCCTGATTGCGGGTGGTGTCGTCGACAGGATACGGTACGAATTCCCGCTCGAAGTCAGTGAGCCCAGCATGGTCCAGATAACACGCTTCGCAGACAATAGCGCCCTTGATTGGCGTTGCAGTGGTGTACCACGATTTTGTGCCCGTCTTGACGCTAGAGAGACCTACACATTCTGGCAGTCTCACCCGCCGAGTGGCAGAGGCGATGAAAGATGGCCACATGTTTGCCATGCTATACAAGTTGAGAGCCCGCAGCATATATGAGAATGATATATCGCACGCCCAGGTATCATTTGGACCTTGTGCTCGCGGGCAACGCTCGAAATTCATGGCGAAGGATGTTCCTTTGACTTGCTCTTCGTAGCACGCCTCGCAGGCGACAAAGCCTAAGGCCTGGTTGTTCCGCGGAGAGTACCATTTGATCCCTTCTGGTTCGGCTTTGCTTCCCACAACGCCATGAGAGCCATAGCATCGTGGAAGTGAAACCCGGCGCTCCATGTATGCTTTCAAGGACGCGAACTTGTTCGTTTGAAGCACTAACGACCACAACATCCTCAATACCCTTGGAACTCCAAAATGGCACCTAGTACTGGGGAAAGCCGGTTCTAGTGTGCCCTGAAACATCGAAGCAAACTGGGAGTTGCGGATGTGTGTTTCGAAACAGTAGGTGCAGACATTGAAATCGGGTACAGATGTAGTTCGAAACCAGAAAGCGGGATATGCGATGTCTGTGGGATAAGAGCACTTGCGGAGCATATAGTAGTTTGAGCTGTGTTCAGCTGGAATATTTGGAGGCGGATCGAGAATCCGGATATAGATCTCTGATTCATCCTTGATCATGCGAGGAGGCTGAGCCTGTGACGGTGGTTGATATGGTGGAATATTCGTCTGAATCGAAGGGGTAGATGTTCTTGATGAGGTATTTTTTAAATCAGAATGATACTTGTGATTGCTAGCGTTCACTTCGTTCGACTGATGAGCAAAGTTCGATTGCTCGGACGGAAGTTCGGACGGAAGCTCAGACGGAAGATTACTGGAGAACGACACCACGACCTCCTTGTCACTGTCCAGGTTTGCGAGTGGACTTTGACGTGCGACTGGCCCAGGAGCTTCCAATTCCGCAAAAAACCCGGGTGAACTAGATGCCGCAAAGGTAGTTACTGCAGGGGTCGAATCGAGCTCAACAGGTGCGTTTGTGCTTTGAATAACTGGGGAAGAGACTGAAAACTGATTCCGTGATTCGGGTGCTGCTAATGGGTGCTGACAAGGAAGGGGAGGTGGCGGCCGGTTGAAGCCTCCTGACGGCTGATTAGGTCTGTAAGCAGTATAGAAGGGTTTCTGCGCTGAATCTTGAGGTACCGTAGCCTCCGAGGGTTTGGGGGATCCAGAGTAGGTTGTGGGAGATTGCTGAAAACTGATTGGCGATGGAGAAGGTAGTGGATGTGATGTATGTTGAGGATTATAGGCAGCATAGACAGGAGATTGGGCGGATAGATTTGGTGTCGTTGCTTGTGAAGGTGTTGGAGATCCTAGATAGCCAGGAGATTGTTGGTGCGGATTCGGAGACGGAGGATAGGGTGGATATTGGTATCCGGCTTGGGGATATTGAGAATGTTGGGTTGGGTCTGCTGTGATAGAGCTAGGAGAGACTGTCCCGGAATTCTCGACTTGACCTGAGTAACTCGGCTGTTGTTGCAATGGCACGTTTTGATACTGATGATTGTATGTAGGCTGCGAAGACTCATAACTCGCTGCTGGGAAAGTGTTCGTTCCAGGATTTGCAGATCCAAAGCCTGGACTCGATGTTGACCCTTGATAACCTTGATGGGGCTGCTGGATACCACCATATTGACCACTGGTTGGCAAAACTTGTGACCCCGGCGGCTGGGAGGCTTGGGGCTGCGAAGTTGCACTATAAGGGACATTTTGGTGCGGGTCAGCTGACCCATGGCTTGGTTGCTGGTAGACTGCAGGTGTCTGCCCTGAAGCTTGATATTGGTAATTTGACTGTTCCGGATTCTGCCAAGTCTGTGGTGAAGGAGCTAAATGCTGGCCGCTTTGGTTGCTTGTTCCAACCTGAGAAGCATTCCAATGAGATGCAGGTGGGTTTGATGGAGGATCTGGATAGGAATATAATGAATCATTGGTGTTAAGCCTTTGTATTCCTGCAGTTACATCTTGAACAGCAGGAAGATTCTGAGCTGGAGGCGGTCCATAATTCGGAGGCTGAGGAGAACGAGGCGGCAATGGTGGAGGTAAAGGCCGAGGCGGTAAGGGCGGAGCCTGCCTTGGCGGCTGCGGTCCCCAGTTACGGGGATACGGTGGTGGTGGAGGAACAGAAGGATATGGATTGTATGGGCCGGAAGTCGAGCCGTGGTTAGCTTGCGGAGGATATCCCATGCTTGATGTTTGAGGGTTGTCCCGTCCGGCTGGCGAGTTCCATTACCAAGGGTTGCTAGTGGCGCCTATCGTGCTACAGGGGTCAGATCCGCAGCCTTATGATACGCTAGCTTGGTAGACCATAACGTATAGCAGCACAAACGACGTTAGTCCTCCTTTGCTGACAGAGTAAGAGGGCGGAGATGTATCTCAAGCTGCTATCATTATCACCAGAGAGTCGACATATTTATCGCAGCCCTAGGTAGTTTCACATCATGAAATGGTTCTGTTTTGTTACATACTAATCCGCTCTCTGAGAAAGCCGAGGATGGACGTCTATTCTAATCAGAAACAGAAGCCTGCGCGTAAGATATACTGATACAGGAGTTTCCACAGCTTAGAACTTGTACACTTGATCTTTGCTATATCCGAGCTCCTTCAGGTAGCCATCCAGCTCGCCCTGGTCCGACGGGCTCTTCTTGCCGCCACTGATAGCGTTGTACATTGGCGGAGGACCGCAAACGAAGATCTTGATCTTATCACCCTCCTTGGGCTCTGGCAAAAGAGTCTTGAGGAGTTCCTTTGACACGAAGCCCTTTCCACCCTGCCACTTTTCTGGGGGCTTGTCGAGAACGTAAAAGGCACGGAAGCGTTGGGGATATGTGTTCTCCAGCTCTGCTAGCTCATCCTTGAGTAGAATGTCGTCCTCGGTGATGTTGGCCGAAATGAGGGTAACCTTGGTGCGGTCTTCGGGGTTCTTCATGATAGCATTGGCGACTTGCCACATTGGGGTAATCCCAGTGCCTCCGGCAATCATAACAACTGTCTCATGCTTGTTGGGTGTCCACGGAAACTTCGGGATTGGGCCCTTGATATCCAGACGTTGTCCGGGGATCAAGTTGTGCATATGCTCGGACATGGCGCCGTTCGGGTAGCGCTTGATTATGAAGTCGAGGTAGCCCTTATCGTCTATGAAGGGTCAGCGCTGCGGTTGACGTATTTGAGAGATATGAGCTTACCAACGTCGCTAATTGGAGTGTATGGACGGATCACAGGCTTCTCCATCTCCGGTCCTTTGTACTTTGTTATGACGGCAGCTGCAAAGTGTCAGTTGATGCTACAAAATGGCTAGAAGCCGAACAAACGTACACGCGACGTGCAGACCCGATGTCATATCCTCTTCAGGCAGCTTGAACCTGAGCTTCTTGGTATTGTGGTTGATCTCCTCGACTTTTTCCAAAGCTAATGAGAGGAAACCCTGGTCACCACCGGTAAAAGCGGGCTTTGGTTGTCCGGCCGGTTTTGACTCAGTCGCTGCTGGAGTTGGTGATTTGGCGGAATTGAGGTAGTAAGCGCCTCCAACGGCGGCAGCAGCAGCTACGAGTCCTAGGTTTCGGACAGTGCTGGAACCACCCTTTGGCGGTTCAGTTGCATATCGGCGGACGCTCTGGATAGATGTTAGTTCATAATGGTGGACTTGTAGAGGGCAATGGGCTCAATTACCTGGCGCAGTGTCGCTGCCGGGCGGAAAACCTGACGAGAAAACATGGCGAAGATGTGGGGAGTGAATAAGAAGGAAGAGGTGAGAAAGAAGGAAGAGCTTGAGCTCGCGATGACGTGAACACCGAGCACGAATCGTCCCGTCGGAGGTTCGGAACTAATAGCATTTGGCGTGCATAACAAGTAAGCACCGCCACAAGTCCCTCAGCCAGCAAGTTCTACACGTCTGAGTTGCAGTGCAGCAAAAGTGCATCTATAGATCTCTCGGTTTGATACGCTCGAGAAGTCTCTAAAGCATCAACCATTCCAGTCTTTGCTACTGCTGCATAGGTTGATTTGCGCTGCCTGGCTGTCAGCTTAAGCCCGACCTAACCCCGGCCCTACCCACTCAAAACTTCAACACCAAAAAGATTTCTATACGCCAACGACCACACCCCCAACCGCCAACATGCCCAAGGCCAACGGCCACAAGAGGCAAAGCTCCTCAGCCGCCACCTCCCCCTACGCCAAACCCTCCAAAGTCGCCAAAAATGCCGCCGCCAACACCATTTTCAAAATGAACACCGACCTCGGCCAGCACATCCTCAAGAACCCGGGCGTCGCAAAAGCCATCGTCGACAAAGCCAACCTCAAACCCACCGACCATGTCCTCGAAGTCGGTCCCGGAACCGGCAATCTCACCGTACTGATCCTCGCCGCCGCAAAGCGCGTGACGGCTGTGGAAATGGATCCCAGGATGGCCGCTGAACTGACGAAGCGAGTGCAATCGAACCCAGCAGACTCAAAACGCCTGAACATCTTACTAGGCGACGTGATCAAGACCGAGCTGCCCCCCTTCGACGTCTGCATATCCAACACGCCCTATCAAATTTCCTCACCCCTCGTGTTCAAACTCCTAGCGCTCGAGAAGCCGCCGCGGTCCTGCGTGCTCATGTTCCAGCGCGAGTTCGCCCTGCGGCTGTTCGCGAAGCCAGGGGACAAGCTGTACTCGCGGTTGTCGGTGAACGCGCAGATGTGGGCGAAGGTGTCGCATGTGATGAAGGTTGGGCGCAACAACTTCAACCCCCCGCCGGCGGTCGAGTCGAATGTTGTGCGGCTGGAGCCGAAGGTGCCGCGGCCGCAGATTAGCTATGATGAGTGGGATGGGTTGCTGAGGATTTGCTTTGTGAGGAAGAATCGGACGTTGCGGGCGGCGTTTCTTACGACGAGTGTGGTGCTGGAGATGCTGTCTGCGAATTATAGGGTATGGTGCGCGCAGAATGACATCGTTATTACTGACGAGGAAGAGCCGGAAGAACCAGTAGGTGAAGGGGAGGCAATGGAGGTTGATGGTGCGGCTGAGGAAGAGGAATGGGGTGGGATCGCAGAGGATGGCGAGGATGACGAACTGCCAGATTTCTTCAAGGAGCACCAGAAGGCGCAGACGCGGCAAGGCAACCCGAATCGCAAGAGGAAGGGGAAGGTGGCTGAGATTGTTAGGGAGAAGGTCCGAAAAGTATTGGAAGATGAGACGGAGCTGGCTGAGAAGAGAGCGAGGTTGTGTGACGAGAGTGACTTCTTGAAGCTTTTGTATGCCTTCAATAAGGAGGGTATTCACTTCAATTGAGAGCTTGGTACGGAGAAAGTTTCAGTATGGCATTTACGGGACTATGGCGTTGGGTAAGGGGCTAAAAGTTCATCTTTGAGGTTCGAGACGACATCACATAGATGAGTACAGGTATGATGGAAGTAATGATACCCAGCATGTTGAAGCCTAAATAAAAGTATGGACAATGCCCTTCTTGGGTCGTTAGATTTGCCTAGTAGCTGAGCGTTGAACGGTTGTTAAATCAAAGGCATTTCATCAAAACCACATAAATCTCCCGACCGAGAAGACTCCCATCAAGACAACCATCCTCGCCCCACTCACCCCGTCGCAAGCTTCTTCAAATTATCCAACGACCCATTAAACGTATCCGCATCCCCGCCATACGCATACCTAACACCACATTAGCCTTTCCCACTCTCCCACCACCACCACAACAAAACACCAAAAGTACTCACGAATCACTATACTGCCATATCGTCTGATACCCCCACCCCCCCGGAATCGCCCCAACCGAACTCCCATACCGCGCCAGCACGAGCGGCGAATTCGCCGAGAACGCCTTGCTATTTCCCGTGCACGTCGTCCACCAATCGTTAGTGCTATAGATCATCGGATACCGTCTCGTGAGGCTGTGGTACTGGCTCACGAAATCCGAGATCCAAGACACCATGGCGGAGGTGGAGAGCCCGTAGCAGGAGCTGTCGGGTCCGTACTCTATGTCCAGCATACCCGGGAGAGTGATGCCATCGGCGGACCAGCCGCCGCCGTGCGAGACGAAGTAGGAGGCTTGGGTTGTACCGGAGGCGCCGTCCGGGCGCGCGAAGTGGTAGGCGCCGCGGATGAAGCCGGCGGAAGTGGCGGAGGTGTAGTGGGAGGAAAAGGAGGGGTCTTGGTATGTGTTGCCTTCTGTGGCCTGGGAGGTTGTTAGGTTGATGGATGGTGTTGAGCGTTAGGAGTGTCATGAAGCACGCCTGCGTCGAGGTGATTGGTGTCGTGAGAAAGAGTGGATGATGTCCACATCATATAAGACGAAATGTGTTCATACTTTGATAATCACAAACCGCGCCCCTGAGCTATACGCAGCCGCGAAGTTCACACTACTCTGGTAGTGCGAGATATCGAAACCCTGGACGGCAGCATTGACAACACCAACGCCAAAGATGAGTAAGGAGAGAAGAGACTTCATCTTCACAAGCAGGTTATTTAATGAAAAGTGGGTATTGAGTTGATTGTAGAGGGAGAAGTGGTGGACTTTTGAAAGTTATCGAATGCCTTTATACTGGTCCGTAGCCCTTGTATACCTGTAGCCAACTCTGAAGCTACTTCTGTAGCTCCTCCAACACGAGCTATAACGTAAGAGGCGTTCTCTCGTGTGATACTAACGAGGCACTGCAAGGCGGAGTTTATCCACGTCGTGTAGCAATTGGCTCGTATCGGTAGTCAATATGATGAAGGGGCGTTGCATTCGCTGGACCATCGTTGAAACTATCCGGGTCGTACTGCCGGGGAACAAGGCACAAGAATCGCTATCTTCAGGGACCTTCCTCCGTTGTTGCCATTTGCATGTATAATCCCCACAGTTCGGTAATGCTTCTGCGCTTCTGATGGGTGGAGAGACACGATCTGCCGATCCCTGTCGCAATGCGGCAGCTGGAAACCACAGTCTAACTCCCGTGTTTCGAAACTGAGTCCGACTTTCACCTCAGGTACACCTCACAGCCGACGTAGCGGCACACTCGTTTCCCCTTGCTCTGTACTCGACTTGGACTTAACCGTAATCTGTCTGAATTCTCTCCGGTTGTGCGCAGAGGTGACAAATCCTCGATCTTCGGTGTCGGGATCATCAGCCTTCTTCTTTCGTTTCGCAGCTATGCCGTCCAGCATCTTCGCCCTCTCCACGTTTTCCAGGAACATCTTGTTCTCGCGCGTCGTCTTTCCAATCTCCGCTCGCAGCCTGGCCGCCCGCTCGGCATTCTCATTATTGATCTGCTCGGTGAGCTGGTCCCACTTGAAATTCTTGAGATATTTGATGTTCCACAGGTCGTCGTGATACCATCCGCCCTTCTTGCCTCCGATGATCTCCGCATTGAGGGTCTCTGCTACCAATTTGGCGTTTTTTTTGTCGATAAATTCGATCCAGCCCTCGGTGAAAGAGCGCTTCTTGTTTCCGCCGGCCTTGACACGGCGCGTATGGGAGGCTGGATCTTCGGGGGCGAGGAATATGCGCCCGATGTCGCCATATTGCGAAAGGAGGTGCTTTACGGTCGAGGGTTTCATGAAGGGAGGGACGCGGGAGAGGTAGATGACGCCGGTCAAGGCACGGGCTTTCTTGGCTGTGAGGAGCTTTTTCTCGGAGAGGGTTTTGAGGGGTTTTAGTTTCGACTTCTTAGGTTTCTTCGTTGACATGACATCTTCATCCTGCTCATTCAATGGTGATGTCGTTTGGTCCTGGCCCTCTGCATCGTCGGCATTGTCCGAGAGATCTTCATTCGAATCGTCGTCGACCTTCCGCCTCTTCATTGCGCGTCCCGGCAAGGCCTTGGTCTTGCTCTCCTCGGCAGAATCGTAGCCCTGCTCATCGTCGTCGCTCTCCTCAGCCTCTAGCCATTCGTTCCGCTTGCGTGTTGCCATTATCGTGGTATTGGTTGATATGCGTGCTGGAGTTTGGAGCCTCAAGCCAGAGCAAAATTTTAAGCGGGTCGGCTGGAGTTGCCAAGATGGCGGGGTGCGGAATTATTCAGCGCGCTGCCTCTCAGTCTCCGCGGTCGAACGACAAATTCTAAACACCGCCTCTGACAAACCTGGCCTACCCCTAAATACAATACGACACCTCACAATTAACCAAACATATTCATGTGCGTACGGATTCGGAGTTAAAAATTCGACGCAAATCTACAGGAACCGCACAATTCCTCTCTCCCCGCCACGATGGCTCCCAGGACCCTCCTCCTTGCGCCTCCCTCGATATCTGCACACCCCGAAGTCCTAGACAGGGTCTATGAGATCCACCACCGCGATGCTACCGATCTTCAGATGCTGGACCGTTTGGCGGCTGGCCTAGTTAAGCTCCCCGCCTCTACCTACGATGTCGTACTACTCCTCACCGACGCTGACGGAACGAGTCGCGAGAGCCACAAATTGCTCGGACGGGATATTATGACAAAAGTTGCCGCGGCACTAAAAGCAGGAGGCGTGCTAAGAAGTCAGGACGGACTTTTCGGGGTTGTCGACGGTACTGAGAAGACGGAGGCGATCCTAGCTGGATTGATGAAAGAGAGCGGAGATGGGATGGTCAAACTAAAGGACACCGAGGGCGAGGTCGTGATGCTGCGGTTCGGAAAGAAGAAAGGCGCGACAAATGGAACGAACGGCACAAAGGGCACAACCAACGGCACTGTACCGCTGGCGCTGAATGGCAAGCGAAAAGAGATCTCTTCTGGCCCTGTCAAGCCGGCTGGTGTTGGCTTTGTGGACTTTAGCGATGATTTCGACGATCCGATCATAACAGGCGAAGACGATGATGACCTGATTGATGAGGATGATCTTATCACGGAAGCGGATATGGCAAGGCCCGTCATGCAACGTGAGTTCCTCTTAGTCCCTCAAACATGAGCTTAACTAACGATCAGCAGCCCCAGAATGCCAACCTAAAGCCGGAAAACGCCGGCGAGCCTGCAAAGACTGCACATGTGGAATGAAGGAGAAACTCGAGGCCGAAGACGCAGCCAAGAGGGCGGAGGCAGATAAAGCCCTCCAAACCATGAAGCTAGGTGCGGACGATCTAGACGAAGTGGACTTCACAGTTCAAGGCAAGGTTGGCAGCTGTGGTAACTGCGCTCTTGGAGATGCATTCAGGTGTGATGGATGCCCGTACATTGGACTTCCAGCGTTCAAGCCTGGTGAGGAAGTTCGGTTGCTCAACAACGACATTCAATTGTGAGCTGGCTTGCTAGATCGGATTGATCGTCTTCAAGTAGATACTTCGGCGGGGGGGAGATGCTGGCGCCAAGAAGAAAACACTACATATCAATGAATAAAATCTCTCTCTGTCACCGGACTTGAATTCACTCATCAATTATCCCTCAAAAGAAAAGCGGAAGTGAAAGTTTACACCGCCAAATCCCACATCGTGACCACACAAATGTCGCTGCGCGGGATGCCGAATTGAGTACTCCAAATATTAGGCAGTCTGATTGGCCCGCGACTATCGTGATTCGCGCCCCTGCAGGGTCCAACATCATCGTGTGGACTTGAGCCAAAACCGCTGGGCGAGCCTGCCAGCTCCACCGCCTCCACTCTTTCTCACGTCGAAGCTGTGAATCTTTTCACCTCCACATCCTTCACTGCTCCCCTCCTCTACACCTCTTAATCCTCCGTATATGCTCAATCAGTCCCTCTCTCTCTCTCTCTCTCTCCACATTAATCTCCGAAGTCAGCAAACATGTTGCGCTGGTGAGTTCGAGCGAGCTTTCTTGTCGTAAGAACAGCTTGTCTCCACTGTTTGGGGCATATGTAATGAAGACAGAGCTAATTGGAACCACAGGTACCAAATGAAGCTGAAGACAGCACCGCTGTTGACACAGAGTGTGACCACTGCTGTACGCTGTCCCTTCTTTTTCCAACCATCTTCTTCATATTCACTCGGACCACCATTCAATGCACACCAGCTGCAAAGATATGGGAAAACCCCGTACCATTTAGCCACAAGGCTTTCCATATTGAATTTAGCATTACACGTCTATCTGGTCTTAACATGCTATCTCCAGGTCCTCTTCGCAACCGGCGACACCCTCGCCCAACAAGCCGTTGACAAAGTCGGCTTCGCGAAGCAAGACCTCTCACGCACAGGCCGGATGGCTCTCTACGGCGGCGGTACGCATTATCCCTCCAATCACTCCCATACCCTCTATACCCACACCTTCACTCAACCCCTTCTCCCACTCTAAGCCCACCTTCTAACCTCCGATAACCAGCAATCTTCGGCCCCGCCGCAACGACGTGGTTCAAGTTCCTCTCCACCAAAGTGACGCTGCCCAACGCCAACGCCACCATCGTCGCCCGCGTCGCCGCCGACCAGCTCGTCTTCGCGCCCACCAACATGTTCGTGTTCCTGAGCACCATGGCCGTGCTCGAGGGCTCCTCGCCGCAGAAGAAGCTGGAGCAGACGTACAAGCAGGCGCTGACGAAAAACTGGATGGTGTGGCCGTGGGTGCAGCTGGGCAACTTCAAGTTTGTGCCGCTGGAGCATCGGGTGCTGGTTGTCAATGTGATTAGTTTGGGTGAGGGGGTCCCTTTTTTCGCGAAGTGGTGGGAGGATTGGGATGCTTGTCGTTTATGGAAGGAAGGAGATTGTGATACTTTGATCATTTACTGACTACTTATCTAGGCTGGAACTGCTACCTCAGCTACCTCAACAGCCAAGGCGGTGCCCCGGCCGCCGCAACCGAGGAGAAGGAGCTGCCTCCCTCGTAGACGCCCTCTCACTACCCTGCACCACCTTCGGTGTACGGAGTTCCGTCGTATCGATTATTCCTACCCTGGCATCATTGCACCAGGAAAGCATACGGCAATAGCACACATTGGTTTTTTGGCTTAGAGAGCGCGTAGAGCGAGAAGTCGGCACGAAGCGCTAACGCTGTTTCGTGGAGCTCAAGAGCGTTACTTGCGGTTGGGAAGCAGACAGGACAGCATCACTTTCAGAATCGGGATAGACAGCGTTAGAAAGCGTGAATACGGTATCTCGCGCATTAAATTCTATCAATTGGCACAAAAGTAATCACCCTCACTTTCGGTTGCATTGCATGCACGTGTTGTTCCAAAGTTCATGTCTCAAAGAATTATAGCAAGCATCAACCAGAGGACGTGCAATTATCTTGCTATAATAATCCTCCCTAACTTCCCATCCACCCATCCCTCCATCCATCCATCCCTAAAACCCACCATGCGCGCTCAAAAGGGGGGTATGACGCACATCCAGGTATTTCTTTCCCACAAAACAAGGGGAAAAAACAGTATAGATGATACAATAAGGCGGCCGTGAGTTGCGAAGAAAGTGAAAATAAAAAAAACCCCCGCAAAGAGAAAAAAAGGAGCTAGTAGATGGGAGCTCAACATGCTCATGCTCCTGGTTCCACAGGCCCATGTTCCCGCGCCACGCTGGCAGCCAGCTAATTCGGCAAAAAGGAAAAAAAGGACAAGGGAGGGCCGAAGTCCGTCCATCGGCGCAAAGCCTGGTGGAGAAATCCAGCTATAGGTATACTCATCGGTCCTCTCACGCCCACGAGGTTTCGCCACAACGCCATACCCATTTGCCGTGCGCCACCAAGCCGGAGGCCGAGCAATGCAGTTTCCCAAAACTTCGCGCAGCACAAAATATCTTCGGGGGAGATGTGACTCGAGGGTCATTATCACACTTTTTTTCTCATTCTCTTGCTACGATTTACACGCGCACGCTGTATCCAAACCCGAAAAAAAGCTTAATCAATCGTCATCCTGCTCGGGGCCGGCCCGCTGATCGACGGCATCTCCTGCTGGTAGCCCTTCTGGCCTTCCTTGTTGCTCGGCAGCTTGCGCTTCGTGATGTGCGGCTTGAGGCCCTTGTTGAAGTTGGACGTGCACCAGCACGCGATGATGATGGTCATGATGAGGAGCAGGATGGTCAGGACGGCGAACGACGTCAGGACGCGGCGCGCGGGGAGGTAGTCGTCCACGCGGTTCGGGGGCGCGGCGTACATGCGGACGAGCTTGAAGAGGAAGTAGGCGAGGGCGGCGAAGTAGATGATGATGATGCCGACCATGCCCCACACATACTCCTTGCGGGTCCAGTAGGCGGCGAGGATGAGCAGGAAGAAGGTGATGGGCAGGGCGGCGATGGTCAGGTAGTATTCAGCGTCAGTGGTGTTCTTGACGACGACAAGAAACTGGACGGTGAAGCCGAGGAAGAAGAAGAAATCGAACTTCAGGAGGGCAATATAAATCTGGAGTTGTTAGTGTGGGGATAGCGGATTGTGGGGAAGAGCGTTTTACCTGGTAGACAAGATAGCGGCGTTTTAGCCTCAAGTCGGCACTGATATGCTTGTAAATTGTCCACGCAAATTCATCGTAGAGCTTCCAAGCCGCAATTGACAGTATAAGGGTTCCAAGAGCCATCAGGCAGGGAAGAGCAATTAAGACGGGCTTTATCTCACTCCAAAATTCAGGATGGATGAAACGCTGTGTCTGCAGGTAGGTCGCAGCGTCCTTGATCTGGTCCATCTGGATAGCAGCGTAGATGATAATGCCGACATTGTAACAACAGAGACCGATGACCTGGATGGTGTTCTTCATCCGCAGGGCATCCCATACCAGGACCAGCTGATAGATGTAGCCGAACATGAAGACGGCGAGGTAGGTAGGAATGGTGCGTGATTGCTTGGTGCTCTCAGCATTGCCCTCCAAGCTGTGCTGGAACTTGCCAAAGACATATCTATCGGTAAACAGTCAGCATTGATCGATCTCGAAATGGCGCACATGAGGCTGGCTTACCCTTCGAGAGCCAAGGCAATACAAGCTTGTGCCAGCGACACTAGGGAAAAGACCCAGGTCCACGTCGAATTGGGTATGTACATCTTGGAAGTGTGGAGCCCGGTGGCAGCGGCAGCAGTGGGGACAATCCCTTCTCGTTCGTGGTAGCCGCCCAGGTGCTCGTAGGGCTGGTAACTGCGATCCAAAGGCGTGCCTCCGAGGAGGGATGCTCGAGCCTCGTGGGTAGAAATTTTGGCGGGTACGTCAGCCGCGATGAGGCGGCTGCGAGGAGGAAGTTAAGAAGACTGGGTCCGCGACAGAGTGCTGGCGGCGGGACGTGTAGGTGTTTTGCGGGACGCAGCAGCACGGTGAGACGTGACTGAGGCAAGGTGGTGACCTTTCGCGGAGCAGTTCGTAGCAGCAGGGACAGCGAATGGAGGGCGGAGGGATGAAACGAGAACCGGACACCTGGTGTTGGCAATGCAAGGAAGCGGTGGTGTTGGTCGCGGGTCTGAAACTCGCTGGCGCGGGCGGCAAGGCTGGGCGGGGGGAAGGGTGTAACGAGAGTGAAGAAGAAGACGGGAGACTTGACAATATGGGAGATGAGAGCCAGATGGGAGGATGCGGTGGATGGATATGGGCAGAGGTGGTAGGGGTGGCAGGGCGCTGATGGGGTGGAGATTCGGTGGACCCTGCCGCGCTGAATGGATGGGCCGCCGAGTGTTTTGCCCGTCACGGCTCGCGAGCTGGGCTGGTTGCTGCTAGTGTGCAAAACCGCTGACGGGGATAAAAACGGCTTCAGGGTCTCGGGGAGCAGGATGTCTGGATTCGTAAATCGTGCAAAACTCGCAAACGCAGAGGAAAGGGGAGCGAAAGAGGCCTGCGCTGGTGATATGTAGAGCGGCCTGGCGGTCGACTCCCATGGCTTGAGAGTCGCCGCTCAGCCTCAGGCGCGGCGCAGCATACAACGAGCTTCTTTGAGTTAGCACAAGGCTATTTTTGCGCAGCATCCGTGGCGCAGGCCACTTAGACAGTTCTGACATCCCACAGTTCCGCTGCCTGCAAGAACTAAATGTTAAAATCAAGAGGGCGTAGATTTAGCAAGACGTGGCTGAGGAAAAGAAGGGACTTGTGCACTGATGGCTCTTGGCATCCACTCGAGGGTTAGCATTGCACATGTCAACGGCGTCTGAGGTCGCTTGAAGAGCTTGCTGATTGTTGAGCATGATGAAAACGCAGCATGCAAAAGTCCACTGCGACGTTCCAACCGTGACGAATGAGCGTGCACACTTCTCTCCTACCCTTGTGCCTTTTGTCGATGTGCTAAGAGTCTTCAGTTTACAGGTTCCCAAAAGCATCGTCCACGTGATCAGGCTCATCGTCAAGGCCGAAAACCCGCGTGGTAGAACTACGGTAGCTCTCGACGCGACTCTCCCCGCAACACCACACGCGCGCAATGATCTCAAGTACGTCCAGCCCCTCTCATTATCTCCACCTCCGGCCGTGCCACATGCTGACAAGCGGTTCTTTTTAGCTGAGGAAATTCTCCAGGGCGCCGCCCGCGACGGCTCCTTCGACGTGTGAGACCTCACCGCACACACCCCACGATCCTCCAGCTAATATCTCACAGCACCGAGTGGCCGCGGGTTCTGGACGACATTCTGGCTCGCCTCGATGAGGTATGCCTACTCTGGCCTGTATTAGCTTCAATCGCTCATTAGATCAAGATAGTCCAAAATGACTTTCCAAAACCCTCGATACCCATCCCCGACCCTCCACCCCCGCCGCAAATCCTAGGAAGCACGCCCGTCAAACCCCAAGAGCCTTCGCTTTCCAGTCAGGAATCACAATCCGCCGACAAGGAGAATGCGCCGCCACCCTCGACCCCTCCACGGCCTCCCGTCCCCCAATTCTCGCAGTCGTCGACCCAGCCCGCTGGAACACCCACCACGTCGCAAGAATCACAAGCTCTCCCCGCCGAGACCATCAACTTCTACACGTCAATACGCAACACCCTAAGCAAGAACTTCGCGCGCAACCCACCGCACACTATCCAGCGTCTGTCAGAGCTGGTCCTTAGCCCGCGCGCCCACTACCGCTGCCTCCCGCCCTATCTCCGCGCCCTCGACCGCGTCGTCTCCGTCTCATCCCCAACAACAATCTTCCCCCTCCCAATCGCTGTCCTCCCCAGCAGCGGCGGCCTGCTCAATGGCACCACACCCTCCGCCCCGTCCGCCCCAGGCAGCGACGAAAGCTTGGGTGGCGCACTCCTAACACCCATTCCCTGGCTACGCGACCGCCCATCCCAGAGCGAGCTCGTCTCCGAGAGCACCGAAATGGTCGAAGGGCCTAACGGCGCCGGCCGCATCGAGACCGTGTCTGTCATCAACGGCATGAGCACGGGGGGCTCGTCTCCGGCGTCCACTGCGACGGCGTCTAGCACCACTCTCGTTGGCAATGGCACCGGGAGTGCGAGCGGCAGCTCTAATTCCAGTAGTACCGCTTCTCCTTCCTCGTCGGCGCAGACGACCGAGTCCGAGTCCGTTGGTGTCACTCAAGGCGAGTTACTGCGCCAAGAACAGGAAGCCGGCGTCGTACCCACGAACCAGGGCTCTCCACAAGCAAGGCGTAACATCCATCCCGTGGATTCCTCTAACCAAGGCGGAAATATCATGGAAACAGTCGAGGGCGATGAGGAACCTGAAGTTCCGCACGCACGTGGTCCCGAGGAGATAGGGATGGAGGATATGGGACCACAGCGGCAGAATGCAGGGCGGATAGATATCGAAGCAGCGGTAGGGAGGCCCGCGGTGGGACATGCGGAGGAGAATGAGGTCGAGATGGGCGAGGGGAAGGAGGAGAAAAAGGATGAGGATACGGAAATTAAGGATGTGGATGCGGATACGGAGGTTAAGGGGGAGGAGGAGACGAAGAAAGAAGAGAAGAATGAGGAGATGCCAGATGCCGGGGAGACGATGACAACGATATGAGATCACTGACGAAGAGGACTACTTCCGGCGTACTGCCATGTTGGTTTCAAGGGATTGGGTATTTGGATGGGCGCCTGGCGTGGATGACATGCATCAAATCACAGGGGCAAGGTAGGTCTGGATGCGATTGAATAGGAAGGAAATGGGATTGATAGAAAACCCCTCTTGCGAATGCTGGCCGGCGCCCAAAACGCCCGGGCTATTACTGTTCTACACACCATCCTCCATGCTTCGGAATCCGCTTGACCAAACCAAAGCTATACCCATCCCATATCCACAAAGCTAAAACCACTAAAACCAATCAACCAAGCAAGAGCAAAGAAAAGCTATGCCACTGTCAGAGGTACCCCACAGAGCTATCCGACATATCAGCCACTCGCCCGCACTACCCTCCGCGATACTCATGCTCCCACTGCCTCTCATCCAGTAACCCTTTCTCCCCACCCTCTAATCCACCACAACCGCCAAAATAATAATCGTTAACACAACCGCGAGTATAATCAGCAAAATACAAGCCTTACTCCTTGCATTCTTCTGATACCGCGCCGCCTGCACCAGATTCTTATGCGCGCCCTGGCTCGCCTCGTGCGTCGTCTCCACATGATCGGATATAATATCCAGCTGCTCCCCTTGCTCGTGCACCATGTGCGCTACGTCCCTGAACAGCTCGTTCAGCTCCCCCACCGACTGCTCGATGTTGCGGATCTCGCTCTCGCGCTCGATGATTAGCGATTCTTGGAAGTCGACTTCGTCCTGCGAGGCGAGGCGGAGCTGTTCTTGCTGCTGGAGTTGCTGTTGTTGGGGGGATGTGGCGGAGGGGGAGGTGGGGGATTCGGAGTCGAGCGCGGCGCGGGCGGCAGTGCTGGCGGCGCGCTCTTTTTCGATGGCTTGGCGTTGCAGGATTTGGAACTCGGTCAGCGAGGCTTTGAATTCGCGGTTTAGTTTTGTTTGGGTGAATTTTTGGGAGGGCTGGGTTGGCTCGGTTAGTAACTTGTTTGTTCATATGGTGTGGTCGCATCCGCGACTCTAGGGTAGATGGGCCGCCATGACGCTCTCTTCCACGTGGGCTAAAAGGAAATGACATGGGGAGAACAGAAGATGTGGGATGAAAGGAGGAATACGTACCCCGACATCGTGCCAGGTCCCAACCTTCTTCAACCCCTCTCCGATCTCTTTGAAGGCATTCGACGTCTCGTCGATAAGATCGTGGACCCGCTCACGCACGCGCTCCGTCTCCCGCCGCGTCCCTAGAAGCGCAACTTGCGACGATAGCCTCGAGATGTTCGACGTGAGCGAGAAGAGCTTGTCCGAGAGCTCCTGGGTGAACTGGCGGAATTCGGGGTCGTCGGCGTACTCTGGGTCGTCTTCGCGGCGCCAGTTCGTCGGCTGCGACTCCATGGCGGAGGATTGCTGGAATGACATCGTGGGCGGTGTTTTGTAGAGGAGTGGGTGGTTGTGGTGAGGGAGCGATAGGGCGGTTTGTCGGTGCCTTGAAGGTGGTGGGAGCGAGTGATGTCGTCGTCAGGGCGGCAGGGATCTGGCCTTGGCCCGCTCTAAGCCTCAAATGGTCCCTTCCGGTAGAGCAGTCCGAACACCTTCTGAGGTGGCCTGGAGAGCTATCAGGCTTGCCAAAACTATCACTTACAATCTTTAATGATGTATCAGAGGGCTTCGAGCAGTTCCAGGCAAGTTACACACGCTCGGAGAGTGTGTACCTTGAGAATACCGTCACGTCACACGGATCCGACCTTATTGTGAATTCCTTCAAAGTAATCTCAGAACGGAAACGTCCTCTCTACTCGTAAACACATCCATTCACTAGTCTGTCCGATCACGCAATCTTTGAGCTAAATTCACTGCATGGGTCTGACACGTGGAACCGGACGATGCAGGGCAGACGTGCAGCCGTCGTGCCCCACCTGTTGCAAGGTTGTATTCACAAAAATTTACCCCTCTGGTGACTCGATGTCGATCCATATAAACCCTCGAACTGACCTCAACACCACATTCCACACCACTCCCAAACAATCACCACCATGTCCACAGAAGCTCTGGTCTCAATTGACCTCCAAGGCAAGCTCAAGCGCATAGCCTCAGGCAAAGTGCGCGATGTCTTCGAGATTGACGACGAAACCCTCCTCTTCGTGGCCAGCGACCGCATATCTGCCTACGATGTCATAATGAAGAACGTACGTCCCATCTATCCTCTCCTATCTGCTTCCTCTCTCAATTCCAATCCCCTCTCCAACCCGCCCCACTAACAACCCCCCAGGGCATCCCCCAAAAAGGCGCCCTCCTAACCGCCATGTCCGCCAACTGGTTCACCTACCTCTCTACCCACCTCCCCTCCCTCCGCACCCACATCATCTCCTTCGCCCTCCCCGCCTCCCTCACCACCTCCCTCCCGCAAGAAACCGTCGCCCAGCTCGCGCCCCGCAGCATGCTCGTCCGCCGCCACACAATCTACCCCCTCGAGTCCATCGTCCGCGGCTACATCACCGGCTCCGCATGGGCCGAGTACACCAAGTCCCAAACCGTCCACGGCATCCCGCTCCCCGCGGGCCTGCGCGAAGGCGACAAGTTTCCCGAGCCGCTGTGGACGCCGTCAACCAAGGCCGAGCAGGGTGACAAGGACGAGAACATCTCGCCCGCGCGCGCCGTCGAGATCGTCGGGCAGGCGGCCGCGTACAAGATCCGGGACCTGTCCCTCACCATCTACAAACTAGCCGCGGAGCGGGCGCTCGCGGCGGGGATCGTACTGGCGGACACGAAGTTCGAGTTCGGGGCGGCGGAGGACGGGAGCGGGGAGGTGGTGCTGGTGGATGAGGTGCTGACGCCGGATAGTTCGCGGTTCTGGCCCAGGGAGGGCTGGGAGGCGAATCTGGGCAAGGCGCAGCCGAGTTTCGATAAGCAGTTTCTCAGGGATTGGTTGGTGGGGGAGGGGTTGAAGGGGCGGGAGGGGGTGGAGGTGCCACAGGAGGTGGTGAGCAGGACGGCGGAGAAGTATAGGCAGGCGTATGAGATGATTACGGGGGAGAAGTGGGTGTAAGGGATTGGTGGTAGGGAGGGGATGGAAAGGATATGGTGTTGACTGCTTTCTTGCAATGAAGAAGGGGCATTGATAGTAAGTGAAGGCACAACGATGTTGCCAATCAAAAGTATTAACAGAGTAAAAATTAGCTTTACGGATATATAACAAATGTTCAAAACGCCTCGCTTTCACACGCCCAGGACCGTGTGTACCCCATCCGCTCTCGAGAAAGTACCAAGGGTAATAACAACGCAACGCACGCTCGCGCGAAAACAAAAGTCGTACAATACGTCGCCTGCTCGTCCCTGTGTATGTATATTCAAACTTCGAACCTGACCGCCGGCCACGCTGTCTTCCTATATCAATACACCCCAGGCGTCCGCCAGTTCTTGTATAAGCAACTGCACAGCTCCCCCTGAGCTTGCGCCTGCAGCCCGTCGGTGATTTGCTGGTCGGGCACGCCGTTGTGCAGGGTCCAGCAGTTCGGCACGTCCTGCCCGCCGCCGATGGCCTGCTCGACGCGCACGGCGAATGGCCATACGGGGAAGGATGGGTTGCCAGAGTTCTCGCCCTTCGAGGCGTCTGGGAACGACGAGGCCATCTTGGTGTAGAGGTATGCTTGGAGGGTGGTGCTGTTGTAGAAGCAGGTGACGGCAGCGTTGTCTGAGGTGAGAGATCCAGACGGGGAGACCTGTTTGTTAGTAGCGTCGAGCTGGAAGCGGTAGCGTTCGGTGGATAGTCCTTCGTCGAGGAGCTCGAGGGGAGTGTTGGAGAAGGAGATGGAGAAAGGGTTATCGGTGCTGGAGATGGCGAAGGTGTTGGCCTTTGGGGAGGTGATGATCCAGTTGAAGGTAGCGATGGACTTGTTAGGGTCCGTGTTGAAGTCGGTGTAGGGGTAGCAGGTCCATGTGTCTGGGTTGGCGGTGCAATTGGTTTGGACCGTGTCTAGGAAGGTGACCAAGCTGTAGGAGCCCACGGGGAAGTTTGACGGTGTTGAGGTCGGTGAGAGCGAGGCTGTGGCTGTTGGTGTCGCAGTGGCGGCTCCTGGTGTTATGGCGTTAGACGCAGCGCTCGTCTGTGCTGGGTTTGAACTGTGAGATGTGTGAGTCTAAGAAAATGTGCAGCTAGACGGATGTCGTACTTCTCGTTCTCGCTGCTCTTGGAGCCGGAGTGCTTCTTCCTCGTGCCGACTACGACCCCAATTACTATCGCAACAATGATTGTGAGAAGTACTGCCACTATCAAAGCTAGTCTCTTCCATCCTCCTCTTTTCGAAACTTGCTTGTTGTTCTTGATATCCTTGAGATCGTAAAGCTTTTCGCCTGAAGTCTCGGACCACGCGCTGTAGGAATAACTTGAGCCGTGCGGTCCATCTTCCAGACTTTCACGTGGCGCCTCTCCCAGGCCAAAGGTTCCCTTTTTCATAGACGACCTGTAGGCCTCCTTTGGGCGTGCTGGAGCAGTTGCGCCATTCTCCAAGATTACAGACAAGCGCTGGCCGGCAGGCGTGGAGATTCGTTTCGCAGGAGGTAGATCCAAGCCGGCGCCCTGTGGAGACTTGTTCCACAGGTTACTCATGGCGGGCTGGTGTAGAGCTCGTGTCGAATTGATGGATGCAATGGATTCAGAGCATGGGCATCTTCACTTGGTGACGTGCGGTCCAGTCTCAGCGACCGCGGAGCAGCTGGCGAGGCTGGATGGGTGGTGGTGAATCCCTTTGACGGTGCCACTGCCTCAGAATAAGGACAAATGCCGACTGCGATGAGGCTGCTCGGGAGGTTTGTTGGACAGCTGTTTCGGGATGACGGATGAGGTTGAGAGGAGGCGAAGTAGCGGTAGAAGAAGCAGGTTCTTCTGGCTCCCAATTCCAGCTCCACAATGACAGCCCGCACGGGGAGGCGTTGGCGCCATCGTCCTTCGGCTCCTGGCGCACATCGTGGTGTCGTCGCCATCCCCCCTGCGGCCTTAGGGCCATATTGGAAATTCGTTGGCGTTGGTCAAGCACCAATTGCAGGCCCGGCTCAAAAGCTTGGGCTCTGGCCGGCGACGAGAACGACGAGGGTATGCGCTGCCGATCGGGACGGCTGTTCACTGCCTGCGGCCAGCCTGGAAGCGGACTGGAAGTGCACAGTTGGTGGATAACTTTTATGTATGACCGCTCGCCGCATGTGTTGTGTCACCATGCCATGCGACGCCATGCGGAGAATATATCGTGGTATTATGGGCTGAAGAAGGGCTCGATCCGTTTTCATGAACTCTGCGATGTCAAAATGGGCTCTGCGCTCCCTTGTCGCGATTGTTTGGTGTTGGGAAACAATGACGTGGCAGGGTTCCGCAAACACCATCACGGCCCGCGCCAAGACCACCTGCACCTTCTCTCTAATTTTCCTTTTCAGGATCCAAGCTGGGTCGCATATCTCACCACAGCTTCAACACTCAGCTCTGCGTGCCTCGGTCGCAGAACACCAATTGACACTGCTGCCAATTGCTGCGAGACCATTGACGTCGCGACCAGACGCGTCTCCTCGTCTTCAGTCTGAGCGACTATCCGTGCTCCAATCACCGAGCGCAGTCACAGCCATGAAACTGTAACACCCAATCGTCTAGGCTGCCAGTACAGACCATCTACTGGTCCTTCTGGGCGAACGACCTTTTTCACTTCCAACCTTTTCACTTGCTTCCTCTACATCTCATCTTTTCTATCCACGCGTTATAGCCTTGCCTAGGAGCTAGGCGCATCAACCATTACTCCTACTGTCAATCTCTCAAGCTCCTTTAAAGGTTTCAAAACAGAGGCGCCATTATGTCTGCCGGGGCTGTTATCGTACCAATTTGGGATGGGTCCGATGGAGACGCGTCTCATCAACCCGATCGTACCACCCACAAGCTCGTCGACCCCCCGACCCTCTACCTGGAAAAGGTGGGAACTCTGTGGATGATCCATTTGGGTAAAGCGCGCGCAGGTGAGTCCATGGAAGCCGAAACCTCCCCACGGACGAGGATGCCATCATAGCCTGCCTCATTAGAGGCTCGTGTCGTCTAGACAATTTTCTAGATCGCCTTCTGTCGCTGACACATAGTAGGCGTAAAGTACAAGCTTGATCGACTACCACAGGGCTATAGGATGTATGAGAAACCCAGGCATAATGATCCTGCACATGTGAGTAACGACTCTTTCACAGCGCATTAGGAATGCAAGCATTGACAGAATCGCTTAGGTCGATAAGTGGCTTTACGGTCACCCAAACCACAAGTTTTTCGACTCGCCCAATCGATTCTTCCCACATTTCCTCTATCTTATGGAACATGGGGGCGATAACATGGGCTGTCTATGCACCCTATGTCAGACGAAGGGCGGAGGAAGAATACCTAGGCTCTCTTCCGGCTCCGCTCAATCGCCTCCAGCAAATGTAGCTAAACGTAAGTCTACACCTACTAGCAAACACTCCTCATCTTCTACACCTCCCGAGAAACTAATCAAACCGCAGCTCGTGGCAAGCCCCCAAAGCTAAGACCCGACATGAACAGCAGTCGTGTGGACGAGGAAGGAACTCCAGATGTATACCGGAATCTCATCGACAAGCTCGAGCGAACCACAATCCTTGATGAAGCCATTAAGGAAACCATGAGTCTCGATTGGCGAGCGGAACAGAAGCTTTTGCCGAAGGCAATCACTAGAATGTCTAACCAAGCGGCCTGGATCCCGCGTGTGGGTGAACTCGTTCTTTTCGTAAGAACGATTCCCGAAGGAGAGGAATTCAGACGAGGCCGGGACACTGGACAGTTTGCGCGTTACAAGAGCGAAACTGAAGACCTCATTGGACCTATACTATGGGAAGCCGGCGTGGTCGGGCAGCCAGCTGTGGAAGCCTTAGAACTCAAGGATCTCGTGCTCGAGACTACCAAAGAATACGACGTGAACTACTCTGGGTTCAGGGTGGAGCCGCTGCCCGATCCAAATGGACGGAGCAAAAACGAATCTTTGAAGCACAAATACCTCCCACTACATCATCTCCGTCCCTTCGTATTCTGGAAAGAGATTCTACAAGGCATAGAGGAGAAAGACTGGCATCCTACTATCAACCATTGTCGCAAGGTAATGCGTTCCTTCTCTTTACTAGGAAAACACCGTTTTAAAGGAACGTGGCCGTCTGCATCAATCTACTGTCAAGGGATGTATATTGGATCAGAGTTGATTCTGGTGGGAGATGTCGTTAGGTTAATGCCTAAGCCATACGAAATGGAATGCACAGACGTTCTGAAGATCACAGCTATCAAGCTCAAACTCTCCAACCTTGACAAGGCTGGCGACAACGATTATGACGACAAGCATCCTTACAACTCGGTTGTTCACATCGCCGGAATGGGCTTCACCTCAGCGGCTGACAGTATAGAGCCGGAGACCGACGTTTTAAATGCCATGGAGGGATATGACAATTGGTATGCAAAACACAGCGCGGACAAACAGATGGAGGTGCCCTTCAGTCGTATCTTAGGTCGCTGCTTCGAAGGAGACGCCATGATGCTGTGGTTACCAGAGAGCCCAGACGGATCTCCTTTGGCAGACGACGGCTCGAATATGGCAGCGAATCTCTCGAACGGTCTAGAAGGTATTCGTGAGGCTCGAGAGTTCTCTACCGACAACGACAAGCGAATCGGGGTCGACCAGGGAGAAACTTGGCTGTGGGGCGATACGAGGACTGAAGTGCTCGACATCACTTCCTTCAACGGGGCGGACGTCGGAAGAAGTGATACCAAACGAGACCCGAGCAAGTGGAGGAAGCTCATACGTGTGTTAGAAGGAGTCGTAGATGCACAAGAGAGGCAGGAATTGAAGCAGAAGACACTAGATCGGAGACCGCTTCGGGGCTATCTTGCTCACAACTCACTCGTCCGCAGCGCTTTTGACGACCTGAGTGGACAAGGTGAGAGCTCAGCAACGACGCGGGATAATTCGCCCCGTAAGCGAAGCCGGTCTGTCGCACGCGCCGACGATTCTGACGACGAAGAGGTTGCGAAAGTGAGGGGCGGGCAGAGCACTGAGCCTATGCGGAAGAAACTCCTTGGTGTCTTCATTAGCGATTGATGGCTGGGCTTTGCCGCGTACTGTATGCATAATGAGAAGGGCTGAATATTGCAGCTCATGGTATTCCTCTTTCTATGGTGGACAAAAATCGGGAGGTTGGTTTTGCGTGTAACACTACTCCGGAAGCCTGGCCAGGCTAGTAGATACCAAACAACAGCTGAATAATGAGAACCAATGAGACCATGACATCTACTCTTGCTTGCGTGCAGCCAAGCGTGAACCAGTCAGGTGACACAGTCGTAGCGAGATATTTGGTGGCTGGTGATGCAGGGCAATCCTCGTGACGGGCTAGATCGTCTGCAAGGAACCAAGTTTCTTGCCGACACGCGCAACCCTGGAACAACACCACACCCACTCTCGCCCTCTTTATTCACACTTTCACCCGCCCTATGCTTTCCTAACACCCGAAGCCCAAGACATGAATAGTCCTACATTCGCAGCACGCTCCGCTATTCCGCTGGTACGCTTCCGCAGCCATGGAGGTGCCCTCGACCCCGCCCGACGAGACACGCATACAGCACATTCCTCAGTGTTGCTGCGGTAGAACCGACTGTCCCTTCTTAGCCCATACCGGCACGCTTCTCGAAGGACTCGAGCGCGATGTCTCGACTGCTGCCCAGCTCGGCCAGGTATGCGCCTGCCATTTTCTTTGCCCTCTCTTCAGTCACAGTGCTCGACTCATTTGCACCACTCTTGACCTGCACTGCCTCATGGCACAGCTTTCACGACGAACAGCTTCTCATTCTTTGCATGCTTCAACATGTCGCTGACATTTGCGCTGCAGGCCTTGCTGGTGCGACATGAGGCCTACATACTCGACTCTGAACAGGAGCGCCTGCGCATGACGGCCACGATCGAGGCGCTCGAGCAGGATAAGCGCGATCTTGAGGCTAAGAATCTGAAGGCAGCTGAGGAGAACCGCGACCTGTTAGAGCAGTTGGGCGACCTGAACGAGGCGGTATCGGAGTCGAATGCGCAGGTCAAGAACTTGGAAGTTACCCTGGAAGCCACCCAGGCGGAGTTGGCGCGCGTCTCTATTCTGGCTGCGCGGACGGAAGCTTTGGAGAAAGAGTTGGCGCTTCTGGAGACAGAGCAGGGGCAGCTACACGAGACGCTCATCAACACACAAGAGGACGAGAAATCGGCAGTGCAGCGCTGGAGGACGGCCGAGAGGATGATATTCAGCCTACAGGACCAGATCGATCGGATTGAAAAGGAATCAAGGGAAGAGAGGGAGCGGCATGTCGAAGTCGTCGGGCGCATGGAGAGGCGACGAGCTGTGGAAAAGGAACTGCAGAATGCTGCCGGAAGATTGAAAGGAGCCGCCGCGGCTAAAACGACTGGAAGCAACGTAGTTTCGCATTTCGTCAAGGATATCCTCCAGGACAATGCAAATCTACAGATGGGGATTGTGGAGCTGAGGGAGATGCTGCTAAGCTCGAATGAAGAAGTGGAACGACTCAGAGAGCAGCTCCAATTTCACCAGCCCATATCTCCCAATCAAAGCTATGCTAGTACGCCTACGCTTCAGAAGGAACTAGGCTTCGAACCACCCGTCAGCCAGCCAGCCGGTAGCCAGCCAGTCGTCAATCAAGAGCTCCATGTCCACCACCACTATCACGCTCCTGCACAGCCAAAGGAAGAACCCTCGAAAGCAAGAACGCAGGCACCTCGTCGTGTCAAGAAGAAAGGTCGAAATGTTATCACTTCTGGACACTTTACCCCTCCTTCGCATTCCCGAAACGGCTCTATGTCCAAATCGAACGGCGGACATTATCCGACTAAGACCGCCACTCCCGCATCGTCTTCTGCCGCTATCCTATCACAGACCTCCGTCACAATACCGAACCAATCCCACCGCTGGTCTATCCATTCAAATCAAACCACTGCATCGACCGCGTTCTCCTCAGTACCCAACTCTCCCACTTCGAACTCCCGTAGAACGTCCTCAATCTTCGACCGCTTTTTTAGCGATGCTGCATTTGACTCTTCTCGTCCTACTAGCCCGGAAAGCAACGAACCGGGATCTCCCATGTTCCCGCCGTCTAATGGCCCGCATGAGTTTACTGGCAAGCTTGACACTGCCTTATACAAGCATTCTCGGAGAGGCTCCAACAGCCTGAAACCACCGTTGCTCGGTGGGCTCCGTAGCGCTTCTATGCCGAATACCGTCCAGAGCAAGTCGACACTAGTTTCTGCCACAGTTACAGAACTGAATTCGGACGACCGCCACTCGGAGGCCCCAGTTGATATCGAAGATATGTATCTCTCGCCTTCGGGTCATCCTACAATACCCGAGGAAAATGAAGATGCGTCAGACGCCCACTCCCTGTCCACTGAAACACCTTCAACCGACATTAGCACCGAGGACATTTATGCGAACATGCAGTCTCGCCCTAGCTTACGACGTCACACATCTCACGAAAGCATGATTTCCGTTTCTGGAATGGACATCCACACCCTCCGCTCCCATCCTTCGCAACTCCTCCTGCCAAACAGTCCTCGCTTCGCTTCGCCTTCTACCTCCATCACCTCCAGCAAGCCTGTGTTGAGTGCAATGACCGCAACAGCAACAAGAGCTACCATGTCTCGTCAAGGTCTGGACAGTCACACCTTCAACCGGTCACTCCTGTACGGCACAGCGGCAGACCAGCGCGGCAGCTTGCGAGCTAAGCCGAGCAAGGAGACACTCGGCAAGAGAATGGGCGGCTGGGTATTCGGGAAGTGGGGATCCACGCCCGCGACTTCTTCTCTGCCCTCATCGCGCGACCCTTCGACGCCAACCACCAAAGCAACTGTCCCAGACGCTAAAGACACGTCAAGACCAACCTCCCTAGAAGAAACAAAGCCATCAACCACAGCTCAGACACCCAAACCGCCAGCCGACCCAATACCCATAAATCTTCGACCACCTGGGATCAACCAGTCAGGCCCACTTCTGGGCTTCTTCTCTCCCGCACAAGCGACACCAGTGAGAGTCGTGGTCACGAATATAGATGAAGAGGCACTGCGAGACTCGCTGCGGGAGCAGTAGAGCTTCAGCTAGGTGCTACGTTGATTACGAATGCTTACGCTCATTTCATATTTTCCTCACATATCGGTAGAGAGTGATTTCCTTTGTCAATTTGCATTGCATAGCTTACTATAATTTTGGTTTGGCGTTTGGAGGTCTCTACAGATCAGATTGGTTGCATTACTCCCCTTGGATGAAGGAAGGGTGAGATTGGGTACGCAGGATTTGGAATTTGAATGGCGCGCGATATACCCTTTTTCTGAGATTGGTTCCGGACATCGTGTCCCTTTTTAGGAGGACATTGAGCCGAGGTGGAGAGCGATAGTACCGACACGGTTGAATGTCTGAATAGCCGTCACAGTGACGAAGTTGAATTAAATATTGATCTAAATTACTTCTTGCCCGGATTGGCGAAGATGTGTACGGGATGAAGATTACGACCAATGCTAGACTGTTCCGGGGGAAACAGTGTATACATCGCGTTTTCAGGCTATCCACGTGCTCCTCAACTTCCCCATCCACGATGAGTGCCGGGCTCCTCTATCAACCCTTCGACTTTCCTTACTTACGGGTTGCGCATCCTCACAATCACGTGCTCCCCACGTTTTATCCACGCTCTATGAAACCCAACCTGTCCGCCTCCATTCTCCTCTCGTTCCTCGCTAAAACCACACGCTTCGCGTTTCTACCATGACAGCTTGACTTCCCTCCTCGGTCATTCTTCAGGATTCTCGCTTCCTGTGCACTTAGCTAGCCCAGTCATACGCTTCTCATTTCATCCTCGAAATGAGTGAAGAGGAGGATAGCGAGAGGAGCTCTGTTCAGCGAGTTGGAGCAGCCGGTTCACGACATGATCATGATGATAGTTTGAAAAGGAATAAGGGAGATGTGGTATGGATAATGGAGTACATATGATAGTGGTCGGTGCGAAGATTTACAGGCATGGAAATAATGATATCAAGTGCACTCACACAGCGATCACAGTGGGGGGTTTTCAGAGGATACTTTTGGTGTATCAACATTCAAGTCGTGATATGTGTGATATGGAGTCCTATCCCCAATACTCAATGCTCGTAGCTCAGTCCTTGGACTCTCGTGCTTCACGTGCCTCCTTTGCTTCTCGTGTCTCTTTTGCTTCGCGCCACCTTTTCTGCTTCTCGAGCATCTCAGCAGCTCGAGCTTCCTGTCGTAGTTGCTTCTTGTTCTTCTTCTGTTCACCCTCTTCAGTTTTCTCAGCCTTGGCTGCGTTCTCAGTCTTATTAGCCTCCTTCATCTGCTCGACTACTTCGACGTTGACAATCTTCTCAACTTTGGCGTTCTCCTCAATGTTCGCACTCTTCTCGGGTTGAGCCTGCTCTTCTACCTTGTCTTTGGCGCTGGTCTCGGTCTTCTCTGCTCCTCCTGCCTGTTCGACTTCCGCGTCCTTAGCGCCGGTTTTGGTGCCATTAGACCCGCCGGATTCAGTTTGCAGATGGCCAGGCGTAAGATTACGGGTCGCAAGAAATTCCTTCTTCCTCTCTACAGCCTTCGGGAGAGCGGTCTTGTTATTCTTGATCGCATCGGCAGCCGCTGCGAACCCGGCTTCCGTCTTGTTCTGGCCAACTCCAGTCCCAAGCAGCTCGTTCTCAAATCCCCATCCGGTGAGGTAGACGCCCATGGTGTACTTCTGAATACCTTTGATTCTCTCCATCTCTCCGATCATCTTGTATTCAAGTTTGACATTCTTGTAAAGAATGAGCTTCATCAGCTCATTTTTTGAGTCGGCTATGCTCAGATCCATCGGTTTGCCAGCCTTCAACAGCAGCGGTGCCCACAACGCCGTCAGCCACTCCTGTGCGATACTGAAGCCGTTCTCGGGGTCCGCCTCGACGATTGCGGCGACGTAAGCCTCGAACACATCGGCGTGGATCTTGAGCCAGGTCTTCTCGCCTCGCATGATCTCTGCTCTCATAATGCGCTGGTCAAAACCATAGGCGCGCGAGTAACCGGCCAGCGTCTCGTTCTTCACCATCAGCTCGCGCATCTGGGAATGCTGGCCGGACAGGAGGTGGGGGTAGCGGCTGTATATGACACGGGAGGCCATGGTCTCGATATAGGCATCCCCGAGGAACTCCAGTCTTTCATACGACATCTCTTCCTTGCCGACGCTGACACCGGGGACTCCACCCTGATTCAAAGAGATGTGGCGGAAAGTTGCGAACTCGAGATGGTACTCCTTGATCGGTGGAAGCGGAGGCAGATTAGTTGAGACGGCATGCAAGCCCGGAAGGTTGGGGCGGTGAGGATGAACGTAAGGGCTGGCACCTTGGGCTGGCGCGACCTTGTCAAGTTCAGTCAAGTCGGCTGATATGGAGGGTTTTCGGCGGTGGAAGAGAGTCGTATATAAGGCTTTGGCTTGTTCCACGGCATCACTTTGGTCCGGGCCCAGCCCTGCCTCTCCATCAATGATCTCCTGGAGCATGACCTGAAGGAAAGCATTGGAACTGTGAGGCGCTCGAATCTGTTCCTTATCATATGGCGGAGGGTCCCAAGCCACCTTTTTCTTTCCTTGGCCCTTCTGGCGCTCGACCCAAAGGCGGTCCTTTTCAAACTTTTCGCGGAACTCCTCATTGAGAGCTGGAGGTGCAGAATTTTCCGCTATTGACCGGGCGTACGCTTTTAGACCGTACGGATTGTTGTCGTTGCGAGACTTTTTATGGTAGGGTGCGCGCGAGGGCGAATGATGCCTCTTTCGCTTCTGATCGTTGGATCGGGGACCCCTACTGGAAGAGGGACGGCCTCGATCTTCTGCCATCTTTTCTGGATTCAAGCGCTGAAGGAGCGTTGGTGATGGAGGAGGGAGTCTTAGATAACACGAGGGAAAGTGAGGTCGACGTTAAAAAAGCTGGCTGGCCCGTGCATCGCGGGGGAAGTTCGGCCCGCAATAATTTCTATCTCGACTTGGACCTCTCTGCACGGGCACTATTTATACTTTGTAGTGTTTAAATAAACATTGAGAAGCCCGGACGAAGCGTAAGCAGACTAGATTGAACGTCTCCTAGAACTGCACGGCCACTGGACGCACTAGCAAAAGACAGTCCCAGGTCTACACTTCGCCCTCAAAACCCACAATGGCTCCCACAGAACGAGAACGAAAACGAAAGCGGGTCTCGCGTACCGAACTCGAACAAGATTCTCAGTCCCCAGACCTGTCCGATTCCCCCAGCGCAGAAGACCTCCAAGCTATCTTCAAGCGAGCCTTTGAAGCCAAATTTAAACCACTAGACCCAAGGACCAAGAAACAAAAGCTTCCGGAGCCTGTTGAAGAGCCAGAAGACGGAGATGAGGCGTCATGGGACGGAATTGAGTCTGAAGAAGAAGAACAAATCGACGTCGTAGAGCATGTCATCATCAAGCACGAAAGGGACAGTCGCGCGAAGGAGGAAGCAAAAGCGTTCTTGGTAAGACAGCTTACCCTAGCATAGCTTACGCCTCTAATACTATTTGCCAGTCCTCGAAACCTCCCTCTTTAGCAGCTATGCCAAAACCGAAACCCAAGGCCGTCGCACCAGCCGAAGAAGATACCGAAGCCGGAAACCTCAAGAACGATCTCGCCCTCCAACGTCTCCTGCGCGAGTCCCACCTTCTTGATACCTCGAATCCAACACAGTCCCTCACGCTCTCAGGCGCAAACCGCCACAAGGCTATAGATCTTCGGTTGCAGACTCTAGGTTCCAAGACTTCGATCATGACGCAGGAGAGCATGCCAATGTCTCACCGGAAGGGGATAACCGCCAAGACGGCACAAAAGGAGGCACAGCGGAGGAAGGAGGCGAAAGAGAACGGCATTATTTTGGAGACGGTGGTGAAGAAGAGGAAAAGGGAGCCCAGAGGGCGGAAGTCTGTTCGCTGAAAGCAGGTGGAGTTCTGAAGTTTCACGGCATTTCGACGCATAACAAGGGCAGCGCACAGCTGGATGTAGAATGAGCGGGCATTCTGGAAGCCTGCCTCTCTTAGGACAAGAGACTATTCCAGTCCCTGTTTACAACGAACGGGGGTCACGTGCTCCGAATGACTCCCAGGCATGTGTTGCAGTACTTAGGTTCCGTTTATATACCATCCTGATAAGGTGACTTTGGAACCCTGAGAGTAGACCCCCGAACGTATTTACCTTTCGCTTTTTAGTCGACATCAAACAGCCTAGAATCGTGTAGAAACCAAACTCAACCCCTCCATTCATCGAAAATTGCGCACACCAGTCTAGGAGCTAGTATATCACCTAGAATTATGCTCAGAGTAGCTTCGATACGCCCAAGATACCAAAGAAAAGGAATTCAGCGCCCATACTCTAATGTCGTGCCCTGTAATACAATATGCGTGAAAGCGAGGGGTGTTCTACACTGAGCTAGTAAAATAGGGGAGCGTTAACCATCACTATCTCTTCAAGAGCCTGATTATCGTAGAAATAGGCTTATGCCGGGGAATAATTCGCGGGGTCTCATTTACCCCCAGGAAGTTTTCTGCGAGAATTCTACGACGTAATAAAAGCGGTTGTAATAGAGGAAATGGCCCAATGGAGGTGCGAAAAGATTTGCTGCTGTAGCTGTGTTAAGTAGGCTTCCAATACGGTTGGTAGTGGTACGGTTTTCCTTTCCACGCCTTCCACATCATCCACCACTTTATAACAAACGACCACTGCGCGCGTTCGATAGCACCCATTGCTTTCAACAAACATGAACACCACCAGCATACCACCTAAACGGCAATAAACTTCGTCCCGTCTAATCTACCCACGGTCCGCGCCCGCGTCGAGAGTCACCACACCCGAAAGCCTAGAGCGCTCACGATCCCGAGTATGTTGCGTTGCCAGACATTTTTGACCATATGGCGGGCAGCTCATTTCTGCTCGGTAGTCTTTGCTGTGTAGAAAAGATTGCCGAGCATTCAAGACATGCGACTGACCACGGCTAGCTAATCCCACTTTGGCAACTTCAGAAACTCGAAGTCTTCAAGTCTACAAGTAGCCAAACCTGCTCATCTTTCCGATTCTGTACCCGCACCAGCATCTGCACCCGGGCAGGCGCAGCCCAGGCGCATTCAAAAAGAGAAATTTCATCATCGCTCCTTAGAAATTTGCGATAGATGAGAATTAGTGTAGTTGCAGAGCTTTACGGTGGGTATCTGTTGGCCACCGAGTGTTGTTTTCAGTTATGTCCGAATCAAGGGTTAATTAACCTGACACGTTATACGACGAAACTAGACGTTCGTAGAATGCAATGCAGTAAGATGTCGTAAACGAAGTGGATTTCTCAATCAGCCTAATTTATGGAAGTTGCCCTCAACCCTTGACAGCATCCCCTTCTGGTGCCCGACTCCCTTGTCCTACTTTAGCCAAGTTTCTTAGATGGGCTGTGTGGGTTAAGACAAGTAGTCAGCGTTGAGATTATCCGAAAGAATGCTTAATTTCGACTTGCGTGGAGCACCCTCCCATAACATGTGTCTTGATGATCTTCTTGTTCGGATCAACATCTCCATTGTCGATATTTGGGTTCCAGGCAAGCCATGGCTTGAGGCTTGGGTCTTCGGGAGTAGGCTCCCATGTCAGGCATGGCTTTTTGCTTGCTGCCTCCGGATTCTTTTCCTTCTCTTCCTTCTCCTTGTCAAGCCACGCCTTCCACGGTTGGGTGCGATCACTCCAGTTGCTTCTTCTTAGCGTTCTCCTTGGGTTTGGTCCACGTTAAAGTGATGTTACGTACGACATTATGCGAGTTGATGTTTTCTGAACTATTGAGATTCTGGTTGTTTCAAGGCTTGCAATTTCCTCGCAAGTGGAGACAGGTGTGATCCAGTGTGCTTTATAGCCCTCACGCCAAAGCCTCATCAGCATACATCCATAACCAACCGAGATGCCGAGGGGCGTTTACTCTCCCCGCACGATATGCATAGATAAGGAGCCAAGTGACGGGGCACAGGGAGAGTCCGGTCAGCAGACGCAGTTCAACTTGGGTATCCCGCATGCAAATGGGCCGGGAACTAACTTGTATGGTCACAGGTATCCTAGTGAGGGAATAGATTGCAAAAGCAATGTACTCATTCAGATTCGATAGAATCTTAGCGAAAATTCGCCCACCAGTAAGTCCTGTTCTAGACTCTCAGTACAGTACATCGACAGCAATGCTGGAGAGTGAGATAGGATAGCGCAATCAAAAACATCATCAAAGACATAAAATGCCGTCTACATCAAGACTGAGTCTAAATGTAGAAGCCTGTGAACACAGATGGTCTGCGTCAAGCTCCAAAATGAAGCCTATTCCATGGTTATTCAGCTCCGCCGTAGAAGACATAAGCACGAAATTCAATGCTCTCTCTCGGAGCGCAGTCCTTGCGAGCCCATGGTACAACAAAAGATGTATGCGGTGCAACTTGAACAGTTGTTAGTAAAACGACGCTATACTATCTGCTAAGTTCTTACACTCTGAGATTCTGGGATCCTTAGACGCCTCAGAATCTGCCATCTTTATCATCCAGGCTTCATCAATAGTCTGGCGATTGATGAAGTACCACTTCTGAAGGCTTGAGTACGCTACTTGTAGATTCTCTGAGTCGAAGTGAGGATTCACAAGATCCGAAGGGTGGCCATCCAGTTTTGAAGTTCGGTAATCGCACAGTGCAAGTGGGTGCTGCTCTATTGGCTCTACGATGGGATGCCGTACACTATGGGACTTCGTTTAATGTACAAGGAACGATGAGCTAAGACCAGATACATGCTTGACAATCTGAAAGTGACCTCGTAGGAGTGCATCTGATTCTCCAGGCAGATCTTCCTTGACCTGGTGGATTGGGGAATCTAGCGTATGATCTGACGATACTCATCAGAACTTGTCGGAAACGCACCTCAAGTTCGTACTTGCCAGCATGTGCTGAGATGCTGGGAGCTCCTTGCACGTTTCTATTTCTCCGAGGAGTATCAAAGCGGTCCCCGAGTCGAGTCTGCAATGAGTCAGCCAGTAGACCTTGGACTGAGAAGGGTGTATCGGCGAAATTACTGTGTGGTCGTAGATATGAACACGCTGAGCTCCCAGTTGACTCTTCAAGAGATCAACTATATGAGGATAGTATTCCCTTATGACGCGAATACCATCATGCCATGCGTCGTACGCGGGTCGGTGTTTCACCAGTTGGAAACCATGGACGTCAAGTTTGAACGTCTCTTCGGATCGACGAATATCACAGACATTGACGTCTTTGTTATGATACTCTACATTAGATTGTTGGAAGCCTGGTGGCGCATTCGTAAGAGGAACGAGGCACACGTAGGGCTTTTCCTTCTTGTATATCTCCGGGTCCGGATTGAAAAATCCATGAGTCATATCTACCAGAAGCAGTCAAGTGGTATAGTACAGACCTTGAAGAAGTACGTCTTCGTAGCGCCATCTTCAAGCTGAACATCTACTCGTAAAGGCGATGCCCATTGGCTCTCCCCATGTGGCTCTGTGGATATAATGCGACAGTCCGTTGGGAAATCTCACATCTGTCAGCGCCTGTAAGACAAGCTTCTGGGGTAGTGAGTGAGCTTTAAGGGCTACGATGTTTTTATCTACGCTAATATCTTTCAATAGTTCCGCATTCCCACTAGGTTTAGATGCTGGCATTTCCACTCCTATTGATTCAAGTGTGGAAAGAATACTGGGCGAGCAAAAGCTGATAAAATGCTGAGGTCGAGACTTGGAAGGCTGAGATTCTGAGGCAGAAGTGCGGACGGGCTCATGCATCCTATATGAACGCACGTAGGTCCGCCCCACCAAGTGCTCGCAGAGCTTTGGCTATGATTGGCAGCCACAGTGCAGGGGGGCTAAAGGAGAGCAGCACAACAGAACTGCTTACACTATCAGCTAGCCATCACAACGAAGTACGACCTTTTTCTTCACAGCAACACTCATTGGCCGAGAGCGGAGAAAGCTCCTTCTAAGCTGCGGCAACACCTCCTTAGCAGCGTTTTATCCCGATTGGAGGTCATCGCAAGGACATCGTAGCCACCTTCGTCTACTGCTTTGCTTTCACCAGGCTGGACACAATAGCAGGTCGGCGGTCTTTCGAATACAGCAGAGCCTTCACTTGAGATATGCCCAAAAGGTGTCAAGGTTGGCGGCAAGACGGAGACAGTCCTCTGGTTGAGTATGCTAGATCCCGTGCGCTATAACACAGAACCTGGCCTTCTGCAGTACCATAGTCGTTTATGGGCAGAACGAACACTAAGACAAGACCTGGACGACCGCGAATGGCGTCTACCGGCTTCGTGACCTCCTTCCAAACAACATGCTGAACGCGCGCATCTTTGCTGAGAATACGATGCGAATGCTCATGGCGAACGTGATAACTGGGTTCCAAGCCTCCAACACAATTCGCAGTAGCGCGAAAACGTGAGAAATCCTACAGCGGCAACAGCGGTTGCCAAAGGCGCCGAAATCAGCCTACAAGGAGTCTTGTTCCTCCTACCGGCGGGCCGGCCGATCGGTACCATCTTTGCTGGACCCTCATCTCATCCAGATGGATCGCCCTAGTACATAGCTGCGATCACGCAAGTAAATACCCTATTAGCTAGGTGGTATGCACATGAATACGTACTTGGACGGGAGATCTGTTCTGGGAACGAGCTGGCTGGGCCTGCTGGGAATGAGCATTCTTTTTCAGATAGGGTTTGCTCACATGGGCTAGTTCTGTACATTTCACCCCTGTGGGGTGTTTCATGATGTGGACGGTCCTATCTAGATAGGCGGAATTCGTGACTTGGGAGAGGAGAACCCACTTTAGGAACCATGTAGTGTCGTCTTTGTATACATTCGGCATGTACGCAATACGATGTTAGCGTCTGTAGATGGACGTAATGGGAGTACGTAGGATTTGAGTGGAGATCGGATTCCTGTAGATAGTCTGTATCGGGACAGCGCGAGGATGTATGTGGGGAACAATGCTCCTGCAGGAATGAGGTACGACCGTATCAAGGTTGGTGGTGCGGTGCGTCACGCGCAACTCGAATGGTTTGGGGAATCCCAAATCTGAGAAGACAGGATTCGGTGACCGAACGAGACGGAATGGGAGATTCCTTCGCTCGCAAGGCAAGGCAGCGAGTACTAATGATAGGCATTTCATCCCGTTGAGTAAAAGGTGCATTTGAAGAGATAGGAGAAGACTCCCGAGCCAGATGGTATAATGCATATACTAAGTACTAAAACAGTAAAGAAATGCTCCTCATCGACCTGGAGGATTGAGAGTTCGAATGGAGCATGAGAAGGATCCAACAGAATACAAGGGGGCTTTTGACGCCGTTGGAGAAATGAAGCATCACAAGCTTGAGCATCACGAGCCCACATGACGATGACGAGGCTGTTCTGTTGGTGCAGGCATCGTAAGTGGGGATGCCGTGGTAGTCTGGTGGGAGTGGAGTCTTGGATCAGATTGCATCATGGATCACCACTTACGGAGTTGGCGATCGAGTGGCGATGGTGGCACAGTGGGAAGACGGAGCATCATCGTCTCGGAGTGCCTTCTCTGTTACTGGAGGCCTTAACACGGCAAAGGTCGTGAGGATGATGCTGGATCAGCACCGGGGACTCGGTAGTACAGGAGGGCCGAGTAAATGAAGGCCACGGTGGGTGAGGACGGATCTGACGAGGACGAGGTAACCCGGCGAGGTATGTCGATGGGCACCGAGTACAGAAGGACGCGGCGTCGGGATTTGGGAGAGGAGCTGGTGGTGAAGGAGCGTCATCGGGAATTATTAACGAAGCAGCCTACGCCCTGTGGCACCTGTTCGGTTTGCGTGTACCGCCTGCGGGTGCGTGCGAAGGTGACACAGACGTCACGGCAGCAGCTGAGACTGGGGTTCTGCAGGAGGATGGAATGCTGCTGTGCTGCTGCACATAGTACTGTGAAGTGTGATATTCAGATGTTCAGGAGGATCTTCTACACCAGATTGAAACTGGCGGCGCACTGTCATGCATGGCAAAGCGAGCTCGCACGTTTGGATGCCTGAGCACGAGCGGGGCGGCGTCCTCGGTGCGAGTCGTGCCTGAAATGAGGCTATCCCGGGAGCGGCAACGGCAATGTGCTGCTGTGGGAAGCGAGCCTGACTGTGCTGAGACAGTGCGTCTCTGGAGGCGCAAGACGCAAGACGCAAGACGCAAGACGCAAGTGTGCCATGTGCGTATGGCGCAAGGCACTCGTCGAGGCCGCAGCAGTGGTGAGGTGGTGAGTCGGGCCGCAGCACGACTTCTGATGACAGAGACACAGCAGTTTGTGCGCCGGTAGCAGGCTCGCTGACGACCCGGCTCCGAGGGCTGGTGTTGCTGGACCCGAGGGCAAGAATAGCTGCAACTGCTGGGCAAAGGGTCTCGATGCTGGGCCTGCGGGAGACTGACTAGGGACGGGAGTTATGATAGAGGTGAAACGCAGCCATATCGCTGGCGGCACGGTGTGGCTAGCTGCTTGGAGGCCGTTTGGCCGCTGGAGAAAACGGGCCAGAAGCCACGCCAGAGAGCTCTCGGATTGGCCCCTCGTATCGCCGTTAGCCTGCACTGTGCCTCTGCCCCTGGGCGTCGTCGCGATGCCAATCGGGGGCCGTCGTCGGTCCTCTGCTTCACCGCATCGCTGCCGCCACGCTCCGCTCGAAAGAGCCCGCGAACGGCACGTCGCTTCCACCGCGCGGCCAGCCCCGCCGCCGATGCTGAGCAGCGTGCAGGCGTGCGAGCGTGCGAACTTCTCAGCAACCGCCAATCCCGCGCGCTGCCCGCACACCCTGCCCCGTCCACGCCCTCCCAGGACCCCGGACGGCAAGGTTCGTGTGCATCTTCCTTTCGCGGCGTGATGCCCATGGCCGCCTTCCTGTATAGTGGCCCCCGCCTGCCCGCTACGGACTGCGCGTCAAAGCCGTCTCGAGGGCCCAAGGGCCCACACTGAGCCAGCCCGTTGTACTTGAAACCGCTGGCCCCCCGGGCATCCCTCTGCCCCCCCGGCCATCCCTCTGCCAAGCTCGAGCATACTCGTTTGCCCATAATACCTTTGTATATTTTGGACCGCGTCGGATATTGCTCTGCACGCACTGGGCTCCTGCGCGCTCCTCGTTGCCTCCCAGTCTGCGCCCAAGGGCCTTTGTCTCTTTGCATCTGTCTCCCTTTCTTTCACCGTTGCACCGTGTCGTCGCTCTCTTTCAGCCACCACAGCTGGCCAAAGCAAGCCGCCCGCGCAGTGCCTCTTGTTTCATGTCTGCAGCCCCAAAGCCATCACCCGCATAACTACCGCTGCTTCCCCCAATTCTCGACCCGCGCCTAGCCATTCTCTCCTTCTCGCATTCCCGCAGCCATGGTCGACGTTCAAGTTCCGGCCCAGCTCCAGCAATGGACCTTTGAGAAAGCCGCCGCCCGTCCAGATCGTTCCGACAGTGCTGCAACTTCCCCGGACCTGTACGACACTGAAGCTGTGAGAATACCGCCTACCGCTGCTGCCCAAAGCCCCGACGAATCGGATCGACCCGAGAGCTTCTACCAGGACCGCTACTTGTCGTCAGAAGAGGACCTCTCGCCCATGGAAGACTCTTATGATGAAGATGATGATGTTGCAATTGAGGGTGGTGACTATGTGTCGGCAAAGACAGTAGCAATGCCTGGCTCCCACAAGGCCAAGGCCTGCGACATGGCCGTTGTGGTGTCGTATGTGTCTGCAGGTCGTCCGAAGATTGTTAACATGACGACCCTTTCTCCACCTGTGAGGCAGCGTTCGGGCCGTTCGGCCTCCCTTGTCGACCTATCAGCCGTATTCAAGGCAAATCTAGCGGACCAAACACCACGATTCTCGCTTTCAGCTGGCACGCCGAGTAAAACCCTCTACAACCCTGCTGCTGGACCACCGCCGAGGAAAAGCTTCACACCCGAGCTGAGCGCCCTCCGCATATCGACCTCGCCCCCATCTCCCCGTAGCAGCATGCCCTCTTCTGTTGGTAGTCTACATCGGCCCAAAACTGCCCGAGCCACCTCGTCACAATTCTCGCAAGCCTCTCGCGGCTCAGTCCAAATCCCCACTACGCTCGCCTCTCATCCTTCTATATCATCTCCTTCAACCACTTCCCCATACACACCACAAACGCCCTCATTCCTGAACTCGGACCCATTCGCTACAGACTCGACCTGTGCAGCGTCTCCCATCATCAAGAACGCTCCCCACAAGCGTCTTCGATCCCTTTCACGCGGACTTTCGCTCGCAAAGCATGCCGTACTCCCCACGTATAAAAAGGCCGAGCCTAGAGACCGCGTGCGTGTGAGTGGCGGGTGGGGCATTATAGGAGAGAGCCCGGTCACACCTAGGACACCAATAACACCCATGACGCCCGTCTCCGCAGGTCCCAAGGCCCCAATTGTCAGCCCGAAGAAAGGCATGAAGCTAGTAGCCCGAGGCGCTAACGAGCGTGAGCCCGTGTTCGAACTGCCGCCATCAACGCGGGAGCTAGAGGTTGAGGAAGAACGGGAAAGGGCGCGAGAAGAGCGAGTGAGGCAATTGAAGATGAAGCTAGTACCGAGGGGAGCGAATGAGCGGGCGCCACCACTTGCACTACCGCCATGCCCAGATAGCGACAGGGAATCCATCAGCTCAGCCAGCGACAAGATGCCCGCAAGGCGGCTTAAGAAGAGGAGGAGCTTGATGGATTTTGAGAAATTGACACATTTGAAGTAGGGTGGACATTCTTCCATCGTGGTGCATATACAGCATGGTTTGGAGTTTGCGGCGTTTGGTGCGGTAGATACCCTTGGGGTTAATGTTGTTCTTCTTAGCATGGAATTCTATTCTTCCAGCATTTTTCTACCTTCACACTTGAACGTTTGTATATACAACGTCTTGACGACTATTTCAAAAGACAGATGGGAAAAGACGAGACGACGGAGCTGTTCAAAATTTACGGCCATAGATAGACATCAAGAATCCTATCATTATTAGCTATTCTATGCGCGCAAAACTTGACACCACGTAGAGTCGTGAATCGTGAACTTCGACGTCGTTATCGCTATCTACTTCCCAACCTATATGATTTCCATTTTAGCCTCCATCCCTTCCTATAACGCTCCTCCTAAGACCCCTCCAAACTTAGTTCACCCGTCTTAATCCCACCCGTCCCCGTCTTCGCTCCATCGGGTCCTTGCAGAAGCGATTTCAAGCACAATGCGCTGCACCTGGTCGCTGGTCCAACCCTCAATCTCCGCGAGGCTCCTGATATTCCAGGACAATGGTACTGTACACTATGTTACTATTTCAAGCCCAAGCCCCCAAAAGATATCAAATCCTTCCAACACCGTCCGTCCACCTTTGCACCACGGCTTGCACCAATCATCTTTCACTACCCCAAAAGAGGCATAGACCCGGGGTCTCGAAATGCTAAAGCCCTCTAGCGTGACTCGTCGTACCCACTTTTTGCCGACGGTCGCTTCCCCGCAAACAGCTTGCGAAACAGCAGCCGAGGAGCCAGAGGGAGCCGGGGGTTAATGGTCGGTGCTTTTGCGGTATCGGAAGGGGAGGGGTCCCAAGGAGGGGCCAGACTTGCCTCGGCGATTTTTTGGAGCGATTGGGGTAGGTAAATTACAATTTTTGTCTCTTTCGAGGCATATTGGGGTTTTTGTCGTTTGTCTCGAGTTTTTTTTTTAACCAGCTTCATTACTATCAAGCTTCTCTCACGATACGTCTCAAGATGGCTGTAGAACTACCAGTGCTGCAGAAGCTGTGGGAGCATCCAGACCCGCAGAGCACGCGCATGTACAAGTTCATGCAGAAGGCGAATCGGAAATGGGGGTTAAGTATGGAGGTAAGCAACTCTATATCTATTCTGCTCAGAAAGCATCGCCAGGTTGATCTTCGCTCTGTATTGTAAGGCGACGGAGGATATCGGCTGAAGTTTGAGGACGTGGAGTGAAGTTGAAGCTTAAGGCTCTTGGGAGTGGAGTGCTAATATCTTGATAGACATTCCAGGATCTGTATGAGTGGTCTGTGGGGGAGAGACGGAACGAGTTCTGGCAGGAGTTATGGGATGAGATTGAGCTGGTGCATGAGGGGAGTTTTGATAAGGTGGGTTTTTGTTGATGCTGGTTTCATTCTTCATGCGAAGCCCCTCCGCCCCCCCGTTTGTCTTTTTTCAAGTTCATTGAAAGTTTGGCAAATGGCTTACTACGAGGGCATTTTCTCTCTATTCTTGAGCCATGTCTAACCCTCTCTTCCCTCCTTCTCATCTATACCACTGCGCATCTCTCTCCCAAAAAAAGACTCAACCCAGGCGTCCAACCCCCCTATTCTGCCTCCTTTTCCCGACTCATCCCTATACATGCCCTCCCTAACCACACCCCACCAGCCCGTCGACACCACCATCCCCATGGACGCCCTCCCCCGCTGGTTCTCGGGCACGCGCCTCAACTTCACCGAAAACCTCCTCTACACCCGCTCCCCCGGCTCCCCTTCCACCCTCACGACCCTCCACAAGGAAGACTCCAAGCCCGCCCTGACCCAAATCCGCGAAGGCAACACCGAAGTCTGCGCCCTCACCTACGGCGCGTTGCGCGCCCGCGTCGGCCTGCTCTCCAACGCGCTGCGCGCCGCGGGCGTCCGCAAGGGCGACCGCGTCGCCGTCGTCGCGAGCAACTCGATCGACACACTGACGAGCTTCCTCGCCACGGCGGCGCTGGGCGCGCTGTGGAGCAGCAGCAGCACGGACATGGGCGTCAAGGGGGTGCTGGACCGGCTGGTGCAGATCCGGCCCAAGTTTGTGTTTGTGGATGACTGGGCTGTGTATAACGGGAAGACGGTGGACTTGCGGCCTAAGATTGCTGAGATTGTAGCTGGGTTGAAGAAGGCGGAGGTGAGCGAGTTTGAGGCGGTGGTTGTGCAGCCAAGATTCGAGGAGGCGGCGGGGCTGGAGGGGGTGGATATGGCGGTGCCGTTGGGAGAGTTTGTGCGGAAGGCGGGAGGGGTGGAGACGTTGGTGTGTGAGAGGGTGGAGTTTAGGGATCCGTTTTTGATTGTGTATAGTTCGGGGACGACGGGGGTGCCGAAGTGTATTGTGCATTCGACGGGCGGAGTGTTGGTGAGTGCGATGAAGGAGGGGAAGTTGCATAGGGACGCGGGGCCGGATACGGTGATGTTGCAGTATACTACTGTGAGTTTGACCTTTTTACCCCTTTTCTTGGATAGTTGGGACCGAGATGGGACACGATGGTGAGAAAAGAGAGATGGATACTGACAACAACTAGACCGGCTGGATCATGTACATGAGCGCCGTCCTCACCCTCCTCTGGGGCGGCCGTTCAGTCCTCTACGACGGCTCCCCCTTCCAACCCGACCTAACCACCTTCATGAAGATAGTCGGCGAGCAACGGTACCTTCCCCCTCCCCCTCCCCCTCCATACTTACCACCTCTAGCGTCACCAACCTCGGCACCTCCCCCAAATACCTGCACGAGCTCCAAAAACACGCCATCGTCCCGCGCACTCTCACCGACCTCAGCGCCCTGCGCGCTGTCACCAGCACCGGCATGGTGCTCTCCGACGCCCTCTTCGCCTGGTTCTACGCCACCGCCTTCCCGCCCGCCGTCCACCTGGCCAACATCTCCGGCGGCACCGACCTGGCCGCGTGCTTCGGCATGGAGAACCCGCTGACGCCGCTGCACGTCGGCGGCTGCCAGGGCCCCTCGCTCGGCACCAAGGTCGAGGTGTACGACGCCACCATCGAGGGCGGGCCGGGCGTCGCCGGCGCGAAAGTGGAGGACGGCGTGCCCGGGGAACTGGTGGCGACGGCGAGTTTCCCGAACCAGCCCGTGTTTTTCTGGGGCAAGGAGGGCGCCGCGACGTATCAGGCTGCGTATTTTGCGCGGTTTGCGCATGTGTGGACGCATGGGGATTTCATCGTCGTGCACCCGGTTACGAAGCAGATCACGTTCCTGGGCCGCGCGGACGGGGTGCTGAATCCGTCGGGGGTGCGGTTCGGGTCTGCGGAGATCTACAGCGTGATTGAGAATAAGTTTGGCGAGGAGATCCAGGATAGTATTTGTGTGGGCCAGCGGCGGCCGCAGGATGAGGATGAGAGCGTGATGTTGTTCTTGCTGATGGCGAAGGGGGCGAGGTTTGGGGAGGGGTTGGTGGAGAGGGTGAGGGCGGAGATTGGGAGGGGTTTAAGTAAGAGGCATGTGCCGAAGTATGTTTTTGAGACTTTTGAGATTCCGGTGAGTTGGGTTGCTTTTTTTTTACGGTCCTTGACAAGGCTTTGGGGATTAAGGGGTATGTGCTAATGAATGATGAGTAGACTACCGTCAATCTGAAGAAGGTCGAGTTGCCGGTTAAGCAGATTGTTTCTGGGAGGATTGTCAAGCCGAGTGGTACGCTGCTGAATCCCGGAAGCTTGGACTACTATTACCAGTTTGCGAAGGTGGAAGAGGTGCTGGCTAAGCAGGGCCAGGTAAAGAGCAAGCTATAGAAATGCAGCGATGATGATTTATGACATAGAAATGATTTGGTAGATAGATAGAAGTGTAGAGCGGAAGACGGGCTGGGAGCATACACAGTAGAAATTGTAGCCATTTAGACAAGTACTGGAGTGGAAATGTTAGCTGCGGCTTCAACTACACAGTCGACCACGGCAGGTTGACAAAGCCCTAGGATATCATCCTTGATATTCCAACCATAAAAACAAGCTGGAGTGAGCAGCCAAACGCTATCCTTTTCGGCAAGACATTTCGATACCCGAACGCCTCTCATCATGCCTAACTCCCGTTACCCTTTCATATGCTCTACGCAGGCTTCCCCCTATTCCCCTCGCCCCCCTTCTCCGTCTTCAAATCCGCCTCCTTCCTCTTCTTAATCTCCGGGAAACTAAACACCCCGCTCTTCCCCCCACTCATCCCCTTCCACACCCCAAAATCCTCATAATTCGCCCACCTCAGTGCGCCAACCCACGGCTGCACATTCCAGCCCAGCTCTAGCACCACATCCGTCCGGTTCTGGATCTTGCCGCTGATGTCCGTGATCTGGTACTTTGGTCGCTGGGCCGCGAGGTGAATTTCGCCCGGCGGGTAGGGAGATTTCTTGCCCTTTGAGGCTTTGCCGTTCTTCGCGGGGTGGATGTATTGGTTGTGGTGGAGGGGCTCGGAGAGGGAGGGGAGCACGGCGTCCCAGATGATGGCTTGGGAGGGGGGTTCGCGGGGGTCTAGGGACGGGTATGTGGCGGTTAGGTAGAGGAAGACTTGTTTGGTGTTCCAGCTGAAAAGAGAGGTGAGGTCTATGGTGGAAGTCGTAAGTATGGTGGAGGTTATGGGGGGTTTGAGAGTGTGGGCGTACCTGTGTCGAGGTCGAATTTGATGTGGGCGTATTCTTCACGTTTGGTGCTGTAGTAGTGGGGTCGGCCTCTCACTCTACAAGATCGTTAGCTGGGTCTTTGCGTACGGAAAGGGGTGGAAAGTACGTACACTTGTACATTCTTGAGCTTCACGCTGGCGGATGGAGCTTGTGGTGTCACTACGACGGAGAGCGCAATGACAGTCGCAACGACAAAAGCTACTGTGGTGAAGAAGCCGAAGACATTCTGGACACGCACTAGAGCGGAATGCATGGTGGCTCTCTGGTATCCAGAAGCCAGAGGTGTGGGTGTTCAAGCGCTTCGTGCGGCGGTGTTGCGGAGTTGAAATTCGAGGGATTCTAACACGTTTCAGGAAAGCGAGCTCAGCCCTATGAGACGTCAACGTCCTGGAGTTCCACCCCTGCTGCAATCATCACCATGGAATAGGCAGCAATATCTCGAGAATACCCTGTCTCTCCAGTGTCTAGTTTACCTGGTTGCTCATCAACATGGCTCCAAAGTCAAAGGACAAGCCTCGAAAACCGAAGAAGCCCTACCACATCAAGCGCGAGGACCTCCATCTCGAAGAATATATCGAGGAACGAGACTCCAAAAGTCCACGCATTTTCTTTTCGCGCCTCGGCCGTCACTTCTACCATTCTACCCAATTGCGTATCTACATCGTTCTGCAGGTCATAGCAGTGTATATCGGGTTCGGGCAGCTGATGCTGATCATTGGTCTCTTCTGGGCGATGCTCGCCAATACTACCAAAAGAAAGGAGGGCGAGAAGAGCGCGTATTCTTTGTTCAATGAGGGTGTAGAAGCGTAAGTCATACACGGAGTGAATCATCTATACAAGGGCCTATAACATTGCAATATTGCAATACTGATCTATTTATGTAGGATTGCTGGTAGTCCGGATATGGAGGCCATTGAAAGGGAGTTGAGGACGACGACAGGTCTCTAATGAAAGACCATTTATATGAACGTTCTTGAGGCATAGAACTGGGCTCCTTGGTTGTTAACAGACCTCTTTAACAGTAGGATTTAGTCTAGATTCTGATCTCCAAAGACACATTACTTGCATGATCTCAATCGATAGATGTAATATAGCACCCAAGGTATTGTCGAACAGATATATATTGACTAACGCCTAGAATTTTAGTGAGAGAGACGAATTTCTCAGTCATCGCAGCAGAATTATTCCCCAAAAGCAGACCGAACACCAGTATCTCAACCCACAAAATCCCGAGTCCTTTGCCAGACCTCGCACAAACGCAAACCCGGGAAAAATCATCGAAGGCGTCACGAATGAGCTCCGCCGCCCGAAGTCCTTTGCTCAATTCCCATAACCCGCAAGAAAAGAAGCATCGGCGCCTGAACTTTTCCCTTCCCATATGCGCCTCAGGTCTAGTAGTCATTCTCCAGCCCACTCATTTCGTTGTTGTCGATTTCTTCATCAAGATCCATCCCCTCTCCCTCGCTAAAGCCCATTCGCTCCAACGGAGTCGGCGGAGTCGTCTCATCGGCCTCCAGATCCTCTACGTCCTCGTACTTCCTGTTGTCCTTGCCCTCTAGCCACGCACGTCGGATGGGTGGAATCGCTCCCCCATCCCTGGGATCCGCGTTACCCCAGAGGATGCTGTCGACGATGAACTTCTGCAGATTCAGTCCCTGGGCGAACGCCTCGTACAATATCATTGTGTCGGGCGAGGCAAGCGGCGGACAGGGGCGATACCAGTGTTCGCGGCCCAAGGCGCCAAACCTGGTCATGTGAGTGTCGAGGATAGTATTGGGGTCTGGCTGAGTTGGCTGAGGTAGCTGCGGGTCGGCGTGCCCAGGGTTGAGCGCGATGTCGGCGTCGTCGTCATCGGGGTCGGATTCGAAGTCTGCATCCTCTTCCATGGCGAGGAAATCGGCTACGCTCACGTTGCCGTATGCTGTTCCTGCCGCTTGGGGTTGTTGGTTGATGGGGAAGGCGAGCTCTTGGCCGTGCTGCATAACAGTGAAGGGCCCTGGGGTTTGGACCATGGCGAGTGGTGCATTGGTGCCGAGGGGTTGGGTTGGGCGGACTCCGCCGGCGGCTAGATTTTCTTCGGCGGTCTGAGGTGCGAATTCAAGGCCTTGATGGGCTAGCTGGGCGAGTTCGTGCTCTTCCATTGTAACCTCACCCAGCGCTAGAGCAGCTTCCTCGTCGGCATCTATCAAGTCAAAAGCGAGGCGGTCCTCGATTTCGTCCAGGTTTTCGTCTGAATCGCACTCTGAATCTTCATTGTCGTCATCTTCGTCATCTTCGTCAAACATGCCAGCATGTCGCACCTCGTTATAGAAGGCCTCCAGAATGAGATTTACGAATTCGGTGTACTTGTCTTTGCGGCTGTAGTAGCCCTCGAGCACACGCAGCATCGGGTCTAGGGACTTCTGTGTCAGCAGGAAAGTTCGGAGTGCTGGCTCGCCTTTGCCATGCTCAGGATCAGTGAACCGTAGATCTAGCTTGTGGAAGAGTATGGTGGCAAGTAAAAGATCCCTGTCTGTCCAACTTTTGCGATCCTTTAGAGTAGCCGCACGTTGGCCGCACGTTGGCTGTTCCAGCAAGAACCAAATCTTTTTGATGATAGTAGTGGTACCGTGCGGAAGGCGAAGCCCCTCGCATGCTAGTAACGAGACGATTTTGTTGGCGACATGCTCGCGGTGCATGACCTTTTGGAGCCATCGTAGAGCAGGAATTGTGCGGTTGCGGTCTCGGAAAGCAAGAGGTACGGCGGGGTGGATGCCAATTGGGCGCACGGCTGGATCGTAGATAGTTGACTTAGCATACTGCGACCATTTGAAAATCTTCGCGGTATCCGGCGCGTTGTGAGCGATATACGCCTTGATGTACCCCTGCAAATGGGAATTGACTTCCCAATGGAAATGCTTAGAGATAGCATAGAGATCGATGAACTGTTTGATTGGGAGGTTGATGGCGAGTGCTAGAGACAAATCTGAGTTGTCGAGTATGTTCTGCAACAGGTTAAAGGGAGGCCTTAGAGGGGTTGCGGTAGGAGTTGGGAGCTGCTGAGGCCAACCAACATCGAGAGACGACGCTGCAATTGATGATGCTGCGAACGACAACGCAAGCTGAGTGGCGGGAGTGGCCGGGGAGTCAACACCATCATCTGAGAGACGGCTGCGTTTCCTGCCTAACGTTCTTGGGACTGCAAGAGTATTGGACGAAGTAGGTTGATTGTCGTCGGCTTCTGGCTCAGTCTGACTTGCAGTGCGCTTGTGCCTGAAGGCAGACGCTGGCTGGAGGGTGATGGTGGGATTGGACTGAGGTCCAGGCGTCTGAGGGACGATGTTGCCTTCACCATCGCGGGCATGGCGGTTTGCACTGCTGTTCGAGAAGCTGTTTGACGGAGTCGGCAGGCCGTGCTGCGTGACAGTGGATGGGGAGACGCGACGTTGAGCGGATTGACCACCGGCCGACTCTGGGCTTGACTCTGGGCTCAGCATGTTGTTGTCGAAACGAGTGTGGTTCGATGGAGAGGAGAGAGATTACAGAGGATCGAAAGGTAGGGGGAGTAGAAGTTTATAAAGAAGGCCGCCGTCTCAGGCGTGGTAGATATTATTGAAGGTATTCACAATACACAGATGACAGAGGGACAATATAATATCAAAGAGCTTGGGCCATCTCACTATTGTCAGGTGCCATGACGGGAATACTTCACCACATTTCATTGCTATGGTCATTCCCGCATTGCATCTACAATACACTCGTCTTATTCTGTCAAGCCTACTAGGAATTGCTATTGTACGAGGACATTTCTACGTTTCAGACGCCGCTGTTGTGGTTGAGTGAATGACAGACGCCTGGTTTGTGGACGCGGGTAGACTCGGCCAGGGTGTGGGGAAAGTGGCACATTGAACTCTACGAGTCTCTGTTGCTCAAACACACCTGGGCACCGAGCCTCGAAAGCTCATTTTGACACTGACCTTGGCCCCACGCTCAACTAGTGTGCACACGTTCAAAATGACGAGCTTACATATCCTGCGATTTTTGAAAGGGTTTTGGGAAACAACGGGTGGCATGGAATACAGGGTGTATTTTTCCTTACCCTGGCTGACTTGCCGAATGGCTTTGCACTAGCGACGAACCTTGGAACTTGAACAGAACCTCTCACCGCAATCACTCCACGACCATCCCCGCCGGGCGCCATCGACCACGACACTCATTTCCAGGTGCGTGTACTGCGAGCTGACCTCAGTGTGTTTTCACTGCCCGTTAGTTGATAATGCATCGGATCCGCCTGCGGTGCATGGCGGCGACCAGCGCTCGCCCGGTCGCGTTGCCCTGATTCCCCGCCCTCTGCAGACGCCGATGTCTGTCACGACTGCACCCCGTATCCATCACGGAAGCGATCGCGATCAATGCTATATTCGAGAGTTGGTGCTGCATCATTGTGGGAGACGAGAGCAGTAGCACTATGCGGGCGCTGAGCGCGATGCCGCCTGACAAGCAGTCTTGAGACGATGGCTTCGATACCTCAACCTTTTCTCCTAATCACATTTGACCTTTCCAGGCAAGTGCATAGCTAAAGCAGTCGGAGAATATCTCTAGAGGCTTTCGTGGCCGCTGCATGTGGTGCGACGATGGTTATAGCTGGCAGGCCGCTCGTGCTCCTAGCCGCCGCTCAAATACGAAGTGACATACCTAACGTGTCGGCTTCACCGGCTCAAAAGAGGTTTGCGATGGGGTTTGAGGGAAACATGCTCGACTGAAATGCCCCCTGGGACTAGAGAGCGTCGACCGGCAGTCTGCAGCGCGGCCCTTGTTGGCAAACACATCTAATCTGGCACATTACTCTACCCTTCATCTGCTGCATATCCTTTGGCGGAAGGGAGGATCACAAGGCGGATGTTCGTCGTTATATCTATGGAAGCTCTGCTACATCATATTGTGGTTATCGGACGAAACCTTGACGCTCGGCGGCTTCAGTTCTTCCAGCCAGAGCACAGTCGGCTGGATGTTGGCACTACTGTTACCATTCCCGCTATCAGAGCCCTCAGCGCGTGGGCTTCGTACTGCCAGCTGAAGCTATCTCTTCTAGGACGAATTCGAGATCGAGCCCGGATATATCTGTCCATCTGCAGGGAACCGCCCTTGCGTTCGCAGCCTCCAGGACCCGGGACCTGATCGGTCCCATGGACACGGTGAAGCGATATGGGTGCATGAGACTGCCTGCAATGCGCTCTTGACAGACGGCTGTCTCTCAGGTGTGGCAGCGCCGTCCTGTCGTAGACGCAGCGTGGGTCGCATAGCGGTGACATGTCCGTTTTCAGTATTGCTTTATTAGATAGCTTTCGTGCGCGCCACGCATGGGCCTGCAGGCTCCTGGCCCGAGGCGCTCACGGCAGTCAAATGAGGAGGAACAGCAGGCGGTGCACATTGTCGAAGACAGGCAGTCTTGCAGTTAGCTGTCTGGGGCGCTGGTAGTTTTGCAGCTTCACAGTTCACGGCTTCGTTGCTGGCAGCTGTCGGATCGAGTCACGGGAGGAGATGGCGGAGCCGCAACGGAAGGTTTGGAAGTGCGCCCAGCACCTCGCCTGCGCCGCCCCTCAAAGACCTGCAGCAGACTTTGGGCGCGTCACAGTGAAGAGCATTGCCATCGGCAGCGCCACAGGTCCCTTTCCTTTTTGCTTTCTGCGTCTCTGGCGGGTAGGTGTTGGATTTCCGTGCATGACATATCTCATTTCTTGTCGCTTCTCGCGTAGACGGGCCGCCCAACATCCTGCACCTTGCGTTGATGCCGCCTGCGGTCTACTGATGTCTTGACCTGTCTACATGGCTGGGTCGCGCAACTCCCAGATAGACCAGTGGAGACCAGAGGAATCGTCTATCAGGGACAGAGATCGTGAGCGACCGCTGCAGCGGCGCGATTCGAGAGAGCGTGAGCTGGTGGGACGCCGTGGGCGAGACGACCACGATAGGAACACCAAACGGCACCACGACTCCGACCACCCTTCATCGTCCAAGCATCGCAGGCAGCACTCCCGGGACAGGAGTCTCAGCAGGACCAGACCGCGTCGGCACAGTCGTACGGGGGATTCACCGTCGCCGCGAGGCAACCGGGACGACAGGTACAGGCCGACGAGGGGACGATTGCCCAGCGAAGAGAGGCCATCGCATTCACACAAACACCATCGCCATCAGTCGCCGCCATCAGTCAAACGCCGACGCAGCATTACGCCGTCGCCATCGAGGGATTCTACAAAGCGGACAAAGCGTTACAGGAGTCGCAGCGGAGAGAGGTCGCCATCCAGGTCTCGGCACCCTGATTCATCCCGCAGAGCCACCGACAGGGCATACTCACCACGAGCCCCTCGTTCTGATCGTGGCATAGAAAGACGAAGCTCGCCGGATACCTACAAGCCGTCGTCGATTCGTCGGCGTTCCAGATCTATCGATTCGCGCTACAGGCCCCCTCCTCCGAAACCTCGTAAACGATCACGCACACCCGACCGAAGGCCAGCTCGACGTGAGGCATCTCCTCGCCGATACTCGCCCAGGAGTCACCATACTTCCAAACGACGCTCACCGTCTGTTGAGGATAGAGGCAGGGTACACAAAGCGTCGGAGCGGGACACACGTCGAGGGCGGGATAACAGCGTTCGTCCACCGAGGTCTTTTGCACGATCACGATCACGGTCACCACGCTATAGGAGATCGCCTTCGCCGCTGCGTGCGAAGAATCGGGTTTCTCCGCCTCCGAGGCGTGATCGGGAACGCTCCCCAAGGGCATATTCGTCTCGCGTCTCGCCACACCGTCGACGCAATCGCACTAGATCTCCCTCTCGAACCAGGCAAGCGGCTCGACCAGACAAAGACCGCGAACTTGCAAAGCCAGTGCGAGCAAACAATAATACATCCCGCAGAGGCTCTCCGCGACCAGCCTCTGTTCACAACGCCGATACCCAAAGATCGGCTGACGGGGACGCCAAGATGAGGGAACCCTACCAGGCGCAAGGGCGTCCGCCACGACCTCCAGTCGACGCCGGATCCAACTACTCCCACTCACCACCCTACATGACTCCAACACACATTTCCCCACCGCAAGGCCAATCGCCCTACGCTAATGCGCGTGGTGGCTGGGGTGGGCAGCAGCACTATGGAAGCCAGCAAGGGTGTGACCCCCCTCATATTTTCCACCAGACCCATTCGCTAACGAACTCAAGTTCTCCTATGCATGGCTACTCCCCTAATCAATCACCATACCCACATAATTACTCCCCAGGCACGCCTCAGGTTGGGTACTATCCCGGTCAACCGTACCCCCCTCAGCAACCAGTACAGCCTGGCTTCCAAAACCCTCCCTACCGAGGTGGACATACTGGTGGCTATCGTGGCAATCATTATGCCACTCCTGACAGACGCTACCCTACCCCAACTCAGAGTTTCCCGCCGGCTCAGTCTGCACGCAGCGGAAGCCGGGGACAATTCAGCAATCTATCATGGACACCTTCGACTGGGACGAGAGGAGGCCGCCCAGCAGTCGACAACAAGGTCCGTTCTACCGTTGCACAAACTGGCCAAACTGTTACACCCGTAACCCCTCAGCCGATCCCAGACTCTTCCGTGGCAGGAGATGACGAGGAAGACAATCCTTTTAGACCATCAAAAGACCTCAGGGTAGAAGATGAAGTCGCTAAAGAAGAGAAAAATATGCCACCACCAGACAAACCCAATACCGCGATATCGCCTCAGACTGGACCGAAGTTTGGGTTCTCGTTAAAAACAAAGGTTCCACTTCCGCCTGCCGTTATCGCAGCGTCAAGGCCGGAACTTCCAGATAAACTTCGGTCCGAGTCTATCCTCGACTCGAAAGCCAAACCCGCTCCTCCACATTCCTCCAGGTCTTCTGACACCAGGGTCGACCGCGAACGAGATCGAGATCGAGAACGGGATCGTGACCGAGACCGAGACAGGGAGCGAGATCGAGATCGACGATATGATAGGGATCATGATACTCGATACGAGGCGAAGTCTGCATTTAGGCCAGATTTCTCGGAAATGATGCGGGATTCACGAGGCTCAAGAGATTCTAGGGACTATCGGGATTCGCGAGACGTACGGGACTCCCGGGATTCAAGGGACCGAGATTATCGAGATTCAAGAGACAGGGACCTACGAGACTCAAGAGATGTACGAGATCGGAGGGAGCCTTGGCCTGCGCGACGGACTGAGCCGAAGGTTGATACTAGGCTGGAACGGCGTGCGGAACCTCAGCCACCCAGGATGAAGATTGTCAAGAGAATGCGGATGAAGCCAAGGCCAACTCTATCGACAGATTTCGCTGCCTCAGATTCCGTCTACTACCGAAAGCCAGGCAACGAATCTGTTGTTGGCTCTGGAACCTACGGCAAAGTCTTCAAGGCTATACACGTCTATACTAATGACATGGTTGCCCTTAAGAAAATTCGGATGGAGGGCGAACGCGATGGGGTGAGTGACCTACTATCGTCATCCACAACAGCGGCTAACATTCCTGTAGTTCCCGGTTACAGCTATTCGAGAGATCAAGCTACTCCAATCTCTCAACCACGACAATGTTGTCAAGCTGCAGGAGGTCATGGTGGAAAAGAATGACTGTTTCATGGTCTTTGAATACCTCTCACACGACCTGACAGGTCTTCTCAACCATCCTACCTTCAAGCTCGACAATTCGCATAAAAAGGATCTAGCCAAGCAACTCTTCGAGGGCCTCGACTACCTCCACCGCCGAGGTGTACTACATCGCGATATCAAAGCAGCCAACATCCTCGTCAGCAATGAAGGGCAACTCAAGCTCGCCGATTTCGGTCTCGCACGCTTCTACGCCAAGCGCGGCTCAAAGCTCGACTATACCAACCGCGTCATCACAATCTGGTACCGATCGCCAGAGCTCCTGCTCGGCGAAACCCAGTACGGCCCCGCCGTCGACATCTGGAGTGCCGCCTGCGTCCTCGTCGAGATCTTCACCAAGCACGCTATCTTCCCCGGTGACGGCGGTGAAATCAACCAGCTCGATAAGGTCTACAATATCCTCGGTACGCCAACCATCGCTGAATGGCCTGGCATCGTGGACATGCAGTGGTTCGAACTTCTGCGCCCAACAGAACGCAAGGCTAGCACGTTTGCGGACAAGTACCGCGAGCGTGTTACGACGCAGGCTTTCGACCTGCTTGAGGGCATGTTCCAGTTCGACCCCGTGGCGCGGCCCAGCGCGAGCGACGTCCTCGAGCACCCGTACTTCACGACCGAGGAGCCACAGCCGGAGCGGGCGACGGCGCTCAGGCTGCTCGAAGGCGACTGGCACGAGTTTGAAAGCAAGGCGCTCCGAAAAGAGCGCGAGAAGATCGACAAAGAAGCGCGACGGGCGGCGCGGGACGAGAGCGCGAGGCGCGAGGGCGACAAGCGACGCGCGGAGGAGAAGCCGGAGCCGGAGCGGGATGTTAAGCGGCTGAAGAGCGAGAGTGCGGATGGGGGGAGGCCGCTGGTTGTGCATTGAGTGAGCTTTCAAAACTTAATTATGCTTTTTCTTGGGCGGGTTGTTCTGTACGAAAGCGTTGGTTGGACCGAACCCACACTATGGCCTTTTGGGGTTTGGGGCCCCGGGGGGGGGGGGGGGGGGGGGGGGGGGGGGGTTCTTCGTGTATATTGAGGATTATGATCACAGAGAGGGGAGGGGGATTGATCATATAATCCGTACTTTTGCTGGCTGGCGAGGCTAGACTGGGCTGGGCTGTGGGCGATTGAGGATAGGAGTTGCATTAAAACATTTTATTGTCGTTGACCTTGGTTTTTTGTGTCTGTGAGTGTGTTCATAACTTTGTGAAGCAGTGTTGGCAAGTTTTCGACGCCTTGAGTTCACTGCGGTCTGGATGACAGGGTGAGAAACTTTGCATTACGTCGCGATGCCTTAGACCCTGCTAGAGGACTTCAGACAGTGTCAAACAGGTGTAGTTAGGCTGGACAGAAACTGTAGTCTAGTCCACAGCGTCGTCGATCTTTACATCACGTCGCGATCCCTTCTACCCTGCGGGAGTACTTCACACAGCGTCAAGCAAGCGTCGTCAAGTGAACCGAAATCCCATTGACCGTATGCTTGGTATCTATCAAAACGCCGAGGCCCTAAACCAGACCTCCCGTCCATTCCTTTTGAAAAAGTCCACGAGACTGGTTTGAGGGGAATCCAGAGAGTGTGCTAAAAAGAAAACTCCTTCATCAGGGTTGCTAGTTCAGCATAAAACTCAAACTGAGTCTTCGCTCTGCTTCAGAAGGAGCAATGCTAGTATAGTCTGCTAACGAAATTTCAAGAGCAACAGATTCACCGGAGTCGCCCAAAGTGCTTGCGGTATAGGTAGACTCGTCGGGAGACCCCACGGCATTGCCGACGTCCTGAAGGCTCTTAGTTAGTCAAGGGATATGCAGAGTTTGGGAATCATGGAGCGGGCTTGAGGCTCGAGGCTGAGGCTATCTATTCAGACACGTCTCCATGATTCACCTTCTTTGTCTCCACGTTGACGATGGCGCGGGCTGGGCGGAAGATTTGCAGTTGGTTGTCCTCGGCGGCGGCCAGCATCACCCAGGGGTCGTTCTTGTTCCAGCTGAAGTCGCAGATGCGGTTTGTGAAGCCACCGTGCATGAAGAGGCTGTTATTAGTTAGTAATTTGGCACGTTTTTAGGAGTGTTAGGGGGTTTTCGTACAGTTCTGGTGGACCGTCTTCAGCTTCTTCTTCGGTCTGCTCTTCTCCGATCATGCTGACGTCCCACATGCAGATACGGCGGTCGTAGCTCGAGCTGGCCAGAATTGCATCTTCGTGTGGGTGCCACTCTAGGTTGACGACAGGGTCTTGGTGGCCTTCGAGAGAGTGGATCTTGTGGTCATAGTTGCGCAAGTCCCAAAGGGCGATGGTCTTGTCAGCAGAGCCAGTTGCAAGGCTAACATCGAACTTGGGGTGGAATGCGAGACAGTTTATGGCATCGCAGTGTCCGTCGTCCTTCACTTTGATAGCCACGCCAGGCTTTCGAGTATCGATAATTTGCCAGGTCAGGTCGTCTGAGACAGTTCCAACCCATTGAGCGTGGGCGGGGTGGTGCTGCACGTCGTTTACAACAGCGGTGTGATGGTTGTAGGTAGACGTAGCCTCGATCCTCTTGTTGCCCTTTGAGAATCCCGTCTTCGTATCCCAAATCTTGACGGTTGTGTCCTCATTTCCAGTCGCCAATTGCCCCTCGTTGTGCGGGCTCCAGCTCAGACCAAAACCCTCCTTTTTGTGGCCGACAAGCTCCATCTCAAACTCAATCGAACCGTCTGCCTTTGGGGTACTGCTGTGCTTCGTCCTGTCGAAGACCAGCACCCGCCCATCCACACATAGCGATGCGATGATATTGGGGTTCTGGGGCTGGTAGCGCGCCTTGTTTACTTCTCCGGGGTGGTTTATCTTCTGCACAATTTGGAATCCGAAGGGCTTCTTTGCGGACCCGTGTCCACCAATCTCTCCACGCGATTCATCATATTCAGATTTGTCTGGTACACGGAAGTCTGGGATCTCAACGGTTGCGATTTGCAGGTAGTTCTGAGCTTGGCCAGAGGTGTGCGTTCCGAGGATCAGACGATGCTGGCTCATGTGTGATGAGTCTTCAAGTCTATTTAGATGGTGTCAGCTGTAGCTCAAGTTGTAAAAGCTCATGAGGGCAGCCCAAGCAGTGGCGCATGAGCGTACACAGGTTCCTGATCACACAATTTAGACGGAAGGTGGATGCTTACGGTCGTTTGTCCGGAAGCCATTGTGTAGTGAGGGTTGGCCATTCGAGTGCGCGACTGTTCTCTATGTTAGAGGAGGAGCAAATGAAGCATTGACTTTGGAATTATACCCATAGAGCAGATCATAGAGAAACACTGAATTCTTCTTCCAGATCTTGTATTCCTCATTGATGATTTTGCCTTCGATCTGCTCTTCCTCCTCCATCTGGCGCGGGTCTGGTAGGTCGCCCATCACCTCGTCCATGTTTGTTCGGAACTGAGGAGCAGTTGACACTGTCTGAGGTGGCCTAGCAAGTTTACCGGGAGTGCACCTGCAGGAGGCAAGCAAATTTGGGCGTAGAAGCTGCGCAAGAAGGTAAAATTCCGTGGTGGTAATTGTAAGATAACGCTGGCGGTAACAGTTCTGACGCGACTGGAACGAAGTGGAGGAGAGCCATGGACGCGACCAACACTTAATCATTTAATTGCCGGCACGTGACCGTCGCGCTAAGGATAGCCCACTTCAACGTCACGCCGCCGCGAGCGCCTCCTCCGCTCTTTGAAGACCACAGAGTCAAGAATCTGCCCTTCTCTCATCCGTCACCCGCCAACCTCGCAGGCGCTTCGAGCGGCCTTCTTCCTCTCTCCACTTCTCTTCTTACCTTTGTCTCTTCGAGCTCAGTTCTTAAAGAGCTCCAACGCCTCCTCACCGGACCAGGCACCAACAGTCCAATATCTTCAACCAAGACAGCGCATTCGCGCCTCCATCATGGGCGTCCCAAAATTCTTCAGGTGGATGTCGGAGCGGTATCCGGCAATCTCGCAGCTCATTGCGGAGAACCGGATACCTGAGTTCGACTGTCTCTACGTAAGTTTGCGCCGCTATGGAGTTTGCATCCTCTCACTAATGTATGCTTCGTGCTAGCTGGACATGAACGGTATTATCCATAACTGTACCCATAACGACTCCGATTCGGCGACCTTCCGCATGACCGAGGACAAGCAGTTCATTGCCATTTTCAACTATATTGAGCACCTCTTTGGCAAGATCAAGCCGAAACAAATGTTTTTCATGGCAATCGACGGCGTCGCCCCCCGCGCGAAGATGAACCAGCAGCGCGCTCGTCGATTTCGTACTGCTCTAGATGCAGAACAAGCCAGGGAGAAGGCTATCCGCGAGGGCGTTGAGATGCCGAAAGAGGAAGCTTTCGACAGCAACTGCATCACTCCCGGCACCGAGTTCATGGCGAAGCTGACGAAGCAGCTGAAATATTTCATCAGCAAAAAGGTCACTGAGGACACCGATTGGCAAGGCGTGGAGATAGTCCTGTCTGGACACGAGGTCCCTGGTGAAGGAGAACACAAAATTATGGAATACATTCGGCAGGCCAAGTCCCAGCCGAACTACGACCCGAACAGACGTCACTGTCTTTACGGACTAGACGCCGATCTTATCATGCTGGGGCTTCTTAGCCACGACCCTCATTTCTGTTTGTTGCGCGAGGAAGTCACTTTTGGTCGGCAGAACCAGAAAAAGTCCAAGGAACTGGAGCACCAAAACTTCTACCTCATGCATCTTTGCGTTGTTCGCGAGTACCTGGAGCTGGAGTTCCAAGAACTGGAGGAACCTGGAGCTCTCGACTTTCCATTCGACATGGAGCGAGTCATCGACGATTTCATTCTCATGGCGTTCTTTGTGGGCAACGATTTCCTTCCTAATCTTCCACATCTTCACATCAACGAAGGTGCACTGGCTCTCATGTTTGGCGTATACAAAGCGGTATTACCAAAAGCGAAAGGGTATATTAATGAAGGCGGCGTAATTCACCTTGACCGGCTCCTCGTTCTTCTAGACGAGCTATCTCATGTCGAGTACCGTTTCTTCGAATCGGAAAATGCGGATGCCAGCTGGTTCAAAGGAAAGCAACTGGGCAAGGAGGACGTCATGGAGCGGACCAAAAAGAAGGGACAGCTAGTGATTTCTACCGAGCAAAAGGAGATTTTCAAGAAGATCAAGAAGTTCGTCAATAAACGACTCGCCACCTCCGCTCTCAAGCCCTACGATCTTCCATCCACTCTTCCAGCCCGCGACCGTAAGTTTGTAGAAGACCTTGCGGACGGCCTCCACCTCAAATGGAAGACGGTCGAGAATGACCAGGGTGAACGGCATCTCCAACTCTCGTTCCCTCCAAAGCTTGGTGCTGAAGAAGGCGAGAGCGAAAGCGAAGAGGACGAAGAGTCCCAAAACGCACTTCTGAGAGTGCTGAAGCGATACGAAGATGCGAAAGTAGTTGACATTTCGCCGGAAGAGGCCCAAGTTGCCATGGAGAAAAAGTATGAGGAGAAGTTCCAAGCGTGGAAGAACCAGCACTACACCACGAAATTCGAATGGGGCCTTGACAATGAAGAAGAAGTGCGGAAGCTGACCGAGAACTATGTCCAGGGACTGCAGTGGGTTCTCTACTATTACTATCGTGGAGTAGCGTCTTGGCCGTGGTTCTATCAATATCATTACGCGCCCATGATCTCAGGTAAGAGCAAGCAGTTATACGATTCGATTCTTTAGCTAATCCATTACAGACGTAAAGAAGGGTCTAGGAGCGAACATGAACTTCACCCTTGGGCAGCCTTTCCGACCTTATCAGCAGTTAATGGGAGTTCTTCCGGATCGAAGCAAGAAAATTGTGCCAACGATATATCACGATCTCATGACGAATCCGAATTCGCCAATCATAGATTTCTACCCCCGAGATTTTGAGCTCGATATGAATGGCAAGAAGATGGAATGGGAAGCTGTTGTCAAGATTCCTTTCATAGAGGAGAAGAGACTGTTGGATGCTATGGGCACCGTAGAGCACTCGCTCACGCCAGACGAAGTTGCCAGAAACGAATTTGGGGTATCGCTGAAGTTTACCTACCAGAAAGATGTGAGCTACACTTATGAATCCTCTCTTCCAGGTATCTTTCCGGATCTTCCAAATTGCCATTGCGTCGAAAACATTTTCGAGTTGCCTACTATGGAGGGATTGGATGTTTTCGTTGGCTTAATGGAGGGAGTCAACTTGGGTGCAGCTTCTCTTGCTGGGTTTCCAAGTCTCAAAGTCCTTCCTTTCCACGGAGAGCTTGGATTCCATGGAGTCAGCGTATTCCAGCAAGAGAGCAGAAACGAGAGCATGGTAGTCACGCTGTTGGATACGGATCTGCGAGGAAAGGTCACAAAGGCCCAAGAGAAATTGGGCAGAAGCATTCATATTGGCTATCCGTTCTTGCAGGAAGCAAAGGTGGTGAAGGTTTCTGACGAACTGTTTGATTACGTTTTGCCAGAGCAAGGACCCCCGCAACCTGTTGCCATTCCTCATGGACCACAGGAGATCTCGAACTGGAAAAAGAAGGCCGACAGGATCGAGAACACGTATAGCAGACGACTCGGCATGGTTATTGGAGATGTCGAATCCCTCGTGCATGTTGAAATGCTGTTGGGGCTCAAGAAGACTGAAGATGGTGCCACGATCAAGGAGTATGGTACTATTCCTGGAATGGAGACGGACTATGCGACTCAAGCGATCGTGGACGAAGTGATCAATGAGGATCGGCGTTTCATTGAGAAAGCTGCTCTCCCCATTGAACAAGAATTCCCGGAGGGTTCCAGGGCCTTCTTTTTGGGAGATTACGCGTATGGTAGGCCGTTGGAGGTTATTAGTCATGCAGATGGGAAAGCCACCGTTTGGGTATTGACGTCGAAGACTCCTGAACGGGAATTTGGCCGAGAGATCGCCTACCGCTCCGAGCAGACTACGCCTTACACGCCTTCTTTTGCTGTCGCTAGGATGCTCAACCTGAATCCGTTGGTGCTCAGCAAGCTTACGTCTTCTTTCTCAGTCCAATCCAGTGGTCTGCGTTTGAACCTTGGACTCAATCTGAAGTTCGAAGCCAAGAAGCTCAAGGTTTTGGGCTATTCCCGTAAGGGTGACACGGGGTGGGAGTATTCCCAGAAGGCAATTGACCTAATCGCGCAATACATGATCAAGTTTCCAGAGTTCATTGCTGGAATAATGCGGAATCCGAAGGGCGACATTTACGAGGACAAGAACTTCTACCCAGAGGAAATTGCCAAGGAGAAGATGAAGGAGATCGGAGCGTGGCTGAAGTCGATTGAGTCCAAGAGCTTCGAGAAGGTCCCGCTAGAGGCGGCACAGCTCGACTCGGACGTGGTAGGACTTATTGAGAAGGCGGCCGACGAAGCCCTGGCGAATGGGCCGCCACCGGAGCCCAAGAAGCTTAAGGGTGTTCCGAGAAGCGCTCTTCTCAAGCCCTCGGATGCCGAACAGCGTGTTGGTAACCAAAAGTTCTATCTAGGTGACAGGGTCGTCTACGTTCAGGACTCCGGCCGGGTCCCGATCGGACAGCGTGGCACTGTTGTTGGGCTGACACGCACTTCCCGAACGACTCTCTTGGATATCGTTTTCGACACAACTTTCATGAGCGGCACCACACTTGGCGAGCGTTGCTCTCCGTTCAGAGGATCAACGGTCCCTATGACATCGGTCCTGAACCTCTCAGAGAAACAGGTCATCGCGTGGTCGCCGGCTGGCCTAGCGAAGAACCCGCAGCAAGCTGCTCAGCCTCTTACCATGCAGCAGCCACGATACGGAGCCCCACTCGGCCCTGGAGGCTATGGCCAGCTTGTTCCAGCGGCCAACCCAGGGCCTTTGCGAGGCTCCTTCCGTGGAGCGGTAGCGGGCCATCCCAACGGAAGCACCCGCGGGGGCGGAAGAGGAGGCAGAGGAGGCTTTGATAACAATCTGAACGGCAATAGCAACGGTACTCCACATACCCAAACTCTGCCCTTCAACCTCCGAGGTGGAAGAGGCGGCGGTTTCGCGCCTCGCGGCCAGGCAGGCTTCGTACCTCGTGGTCGCGGTGGTGCGGCCAATGGACGTGGATTCGCTCCCGTCGACAACACTGATCCGTTGGAGGGAGTAGTGCAGAACAACCCAAACTTCAAACCAAAGTCGTACACCAATGCCCCGCCGCCTCCTCAGCTGGATGCTCCTAGAGGTGGTCGGGGAAGGGGTGGACCTCGAGGTGATTTCAGGGGTGGACGAGGTGGGCGTGGACCAAGAGGTAGAGGCCGAGGCAGGCTGGGAGAGAACCAGCCGCCGCAAGTGCAGCAGCAGGCGCAGTAGGCGATGTGTTAGTCATTTGTGAAGGGGATGGCATTTGCTGACAAGGAGAAGCCCTACGCAGAAGCTCTGGGCTGCAAGTGGTATGTAGCTACGGCCATCTGGTACGATGAATGCGGGTATGGGCCGGGTATTATTGGCTCTCGATATCTAACTCTTGTCCCAGGTAGCTTTGTACCTGGACATGGATAGCATAGGATAGGGGCAATGAGCCCGGCGTGAAAAATCTACACGAGAGCCATCGTGCTCCACCATCTGTATGCCCCTGCAAGTGACTCGGTGTACTTTTGAGGCTGAGAGTGTGACTTCGAAGCGAGTGTTTTGCAGTCGTTAGTTTATAAATGCTCCTACACCGTTGTTAGAGGGACTGAAGTAGATTGAACCGACTTCGTGTAAAGATTGAGAGTCTTGTTGGCAAGAGCAGGTTTGGAATTCTGGATAGATCCTGCAGTGATCTGACTGGGTTATCCTAGGACCAGCTGTCTGGACGACAAAGGTGAGAGCGGCATAGAGACAGGATAAGTAGAGTAGTCTCCATGGATTAAACTATACTACCTACTTCTCGATACCGTTAACCCCGCAAGACACCTGATCAGGACTGCGGCGTCTGGCATGGACAGCAGCACCATGATAGAGTAAAGATTTAGTCATGGTGTTCGAAGATGACTGAGCGTTTACCAATATATGAGACTTGGCATGGGATACTCCAGGCTCTGGACGGGCAGAGCTCCTCGAGTCAGCCGGGGAGGTATTTTCAGGAACAAAAGCCTCGTTCATGAGTGGGGGGCTGTTTGCATAGGGAACATGAGGTTCTTCTGGCCTGCGTGGAGAAGCGTGGCGTTTTCTTCAAGTCACCAGGTGGGCTGTGAAAGCGGCATCTTTCCCCGAAGATGTTGCGTGGTGTTGCCCCTCACACCCCACCTCGCCCTTCCAGAAGCTCCATCCTCGGCGCCCCGACTTGTCACTTGTCTGCATCCAGCCGGCCGCGGCGGACCAGCGTGGGTCAGCAATCAATCAGCCTGCCATTGACCAATTGCTGCTCCCAGCCATGGCTCTAGGTGGGCTTTATGACGCCCCGTTGCATGTCAAAGCCCGCCCCACGTCACCGCGGGCTCCGAGCTAAAAGCAATCGTTGAGCTGCCGACTTCTTCAGCTGCCCCCCCATGGTTCCTTTTCACACCTCCCTTCACATACTTAACACCACCAAACCACCCTCTCAATAGACCACTCCATCTACTGTCCATCATGCCTTCTCCCATCCCCGCCGCCGAGGAACTCAAGGACCTCTTCAGCCTCAAGGGCAAGGTCGTCGTCGTGACGGGCGCCTCGGGCCCCACCGGTATCGGAATCGAAGCTGCTCGCGCCTGCGCTGAGTTCGGTGCCGACGTTGCCGTCACCTACGCCTCGCGAGCCAAGGGCGGCGAGGACAACGCGAAGGCGCTGGCTGAGAAGTACGGCGTCAAGACCAAGGCCTACAGCTGCAAGGTCGGCGACTACGCCAACGTCGAGAAGCTGGTTGCGGATGTCATCAAGGACTTTGGCAAGATCGATGTCTTCATCGCCAACGCCGGCAAGACCGCCGACAACGGTATCCTAGATGCCACCGTCGAGCAGTGGAACGAGGTCATCGAGACCGACCTGAACGGCACCTTCAACTGCGCCCGCGCCGTCGGCCTGCACTTCCGCGAGCGCAAGACCGGCTCGCTCATCATCACCGCCTCCATGTCCGGTCACGTCGCCAACTACCCGCAGGAGCAGACCTCGTACAACGTCGCGAAGGCTGGCTGCGTTCACTTGGCCAAGTCGCTCGCCAACGAGTGGCGCGACTTTGCCCGTGTCAACTCTATCTCCCCCGGCTACATCGACACCGGTCTCTCCGACTTCGTGCCCCAGGACATCCAGAAGCTCTGGCACTCCATGATCCCCATGGGCCGTGACGCCAAGGCCAAGGAGCTCAAGGGCGCATACCTCTACCTTGCCAGCGACGCCTCCTCCTATACCACCGGCACCGACATCATCATTGACGGTGGTTACACTACCCGTTAGAGGGCTGAGATGCTTCAACTAGACCGACTCGGAAGAAAAGCTCTGGAGGAATGGCTCCGCGCGCGCTTGGAGCTGCGAGAGCGGCAGAGCGGCTGCGGAGACACACCACATTCTGTATCTAGCTTTCTTGGGAACTGATGACCTTTCTCAAAGCGAAATGAAGAAACTTTTACCCACATGATTCAACTTCCTTCTCTGGTCGATAAAAGCAATGGTGTGACAGAAATGTAACTGTGAGGTGTTTCCGCGACGTGCCCGAGATCGGCGGATGAGGTCAGCGCAGCACGTGATGTGCATGCATATTCATGCACCTTACCTGCAAGCTCCACTGCTGCACAGCTCTACTAGCCGCACAAACTTGCCTCCAAGGTTCATGCTCGACAAGGAACGTTTGTCTGAGATGTTGTGCGTCATGCATGCGTCTTTAACCTACCATGTGTTTGTTGTATGCAGGGCAGCATGCAGCTCTCAAATGCCCATCTCCCCCACACAAACCTTGAGCAGTGCATTATTCTCCTCCAACTTTTCAACAAAAAAGATTTTTTTTTTTTTTTTTAGGAATGAGCTCTGCATCAGCAAGTCCCAATAATAAAGTTCGAGTCACAGAATTTCATATCTCAGCGCCATGGTCCGTGCGCAATGCACCTAACCTCTTTTCCAGCCTATCAGGCTGTGCTTGTCAGCTCTCAACACCAAGCTCAGACATCGTGGCGCAGCTTCATCGCACCCTTCGTACACACGGTGATTATCTTGAGCCCGGCAGCTGCAACTGTGTATATTGTTGCCTGAGCCGCATTGCAGAGTCATCTCTACTTTCTTTTCTAAGTCTAGTACACTGAGTCATCCTAAAACCCGCGCACCCACACAGATATCCATGGGATACATAAAGCTAGGTTTCTCATTCATCTTACCTTCAAAGCCTCGTTTCGCAATCAGGCTTCTCCCTTCTCCTTCTCTATCTTAAAACATATTTCTTCCATCCAATCCCTCTCATACCCAACCCCCAAAATGCCCTTCGCCGACCTCGCCTTGGGCACCCTAAACACGCTCCCCCTGGAACTCCGCTGGCAAATCTACGCCCACCTCCCCTTCCCTTACTGCTCCCACACCACCACGCCCCCACGCCTCCTCCACACCACGCACCACGACCCCTACGTCCCCGCCGGCGCGGCCCGCGCCTCCCGCAGCATCTGGCGCGAAATCGAAGAACTGCACCGCCACAACCGCACCCTGCACGTCCTCATCACCGCAACGGGCTGGTCCTCGAACCACCCGCCCTGGGCGTTCCGCGAGGCCTGGGACAAGCCCGACTACTCCTTCTTCGACGAGATCAGGATCACGGTCAACCCGCCCGCGGAAGACGATGTGGGACGCCTGCTTCTCGTCAGGCGGAACATTGCGAGCTTTGTGCGCGTGCTGAATAACTCGCCCGCGCCGCTGCCGCCGGTGGTGATTGATGTCACGGGAAGGGGGGGACGGCACGGGTGGAGCCGGATGCCGGACCGGCCTGCGGTGTTTGGACTGCGGTGGGTGCCGGAGTTTGATGTCGGCCGTTCGAGTTTGGGGGATGTGTTGGTCATGTTTTTGGCGCTGAGGGGGGCGCCCCGGGGGCGGGTGGTGGTGAAGCTCCCTGGCGAGGAGGGGAGGGAGGTTGCCGACACAGTGCAAGAAGCGGCGGCGTTGGCTGTAGAAGCAGAGCGGGACGCTGCGGCGGACGAGGATGGGGATGAAGACTCCTCGGAAGACGCGTATGGCGAGGATGTCGATGCGACGGGGATGGAGTTGTTTGAAAATGAGGACGTTGAAGAGGAAGAAGCAGTGCCAGAGGTCACACGGTCAGGGCTCTACCACCTCGCCCGCGCCGTCGAGCAAGTCGCCACGAACCCCGTGCCGGTCAGCGTCTGGCTCGCGTTGGAGGCCCCAGTGCTTCTGTACCTCACCGGCGTGATGCGGCACCCCCTTGCGTACGAGAGCGACGTGCGCTCGCTGCTCGCCACCGTGGAACTCGCCCTTGACCGATCGCTGGATTGCTGGCCCGGGCCGACGGCCACGATGCTGAGGGATGAGAGGGCCGAGAACTGGAGCTCATACGTACAGAGCTTCCTCGCCATGAAGAAAAAGGTGGAAACATCGCGGAGGAGTTCTTTTGTAGGAATGAATAAGATTGTCGTGCATCACATGACGGACTGGGAGTGGCGGCATCGGCAGGAGGTGGATTGCGTGGGGGAGTGTGCGAGGTGTTATCCTGTAGTGGATGATCAAGTGGTTCGGGGAGGAAGAAAGGAGGAGCAGTGGGAGGACGAGGAGGGATTAGAGGAATGGATGGGGGGAATGGGCCTCGGGATTGACGAGGACGATTTTGAATGACCGAGAAATGAGAGGGGTGAGTGGTTGAAGAGAGTGACTGGGGTTTGAACCATCGAGGCGAAGAAAGGAGGGGAGGAGTGATTGGTCTAGGTTGTAGGCGTCAGGTACAATGAAGAAGAACATTGTTTTCGGGTCTGAGTAGCCCTGTAGAGTATTTTAAAGTTGCTGGACTACTACAAAGAATTATCTGCAACTTCTGTAATAACTCAAAACACATCTATAGAGGATCAAAGCTGGGTCTCAGATTTAGGAGTTGGTTAGTAAAATAGATGCTATCAAGAAGCTCCGCCTGCTAGGTGGAACAAGGCTGAGCGGCGGATGTTGCCTCTCACGTGCCATGTCACCTGACCAGCGAAGTAACTATCGGCTGCCCCGCCTACATCAACGTTTTGACGTCCGTGTCTCTTTCCCTCAGCTTACAACGTCTACTTATCTATACACCTATTTTTCTTGTTCCTCTGTAGAAGCGTGACAGTTTTGGTGTGCCAGTGTAACGTGGAACGTCACCCTGGAGCGATGATTGCAAACTGAAACACCCTCTGGAGGTGAGCCATGGGAGCAATAAGAGCACGCACACTGGTACACTCTGGTAGCTGTACTCCGCCAACTATCTGAGCCCACTAGCCCTCTTCTACTCACTGCCATACTTGAAATATTCAAATTAACCCACTCTTTCCTCTCCTCCCCGACTCATCCCATCTCGCTCACCTATCGCGATCTGCGCCCGCTGTCAAAGTCACCGCGCCACACCGCACCGTGCAAGCAACGCCCCAGAACAACAGGGTCGCAAGAGGCATGATGAATTCGAGCCGGTCGGAAGACGAAGACGAAGACGCGTCCTACTTTGCGCCTAGCACAGGGCCCACGCACGTTGGCCCTAACAAAGAGCGCATGAGCAATATTATCTACCCAGATCTAATCGTGTCCTTAGAACAGCAGCTTCGCAGACATGAGATTGCTGCGCTGCGGCTACACGGAGAGCCCGTTCCAGAGGCCCTCGCCCTCGAGCTGGACAGATGGATGGCCGAGGAAAAGGGATCCGCGGAACAAGAAGCTACATCTCCAGTGACAGTGGCACACACAACGCTGGGTGAAGACTGTCCAGCAAGGGACCAGGTCCTGAACACGTTCGAACTAGTCGGAAACATCATCTCCATGCTCCCGACCGAGGAAATCCTCCAAGCCCGCCTCGTGAGCAAAGACTGGCTGGCCGAAGTAGAGGCATTGCTCCGCAACACCGCATTCCGTGAGAAATTTTCGACAAGAATTGTTCTTCGCGCCTATAGCCTGTGGGCCCGTAGAGCGCGGCACGCCTGTCGCAAAGGGATTTGTGAATCCATATTGTGACTCTAAGGGCAAAGGGCACCTTATATGCACATTATGCACACCCATTAGAGATCGAGAGGTCCATCTACTACGGATTCGCAACCCCATGGCGTGTAGACAGGCCGTGGTAGGAGCAGACAACTACCGACCCAAGTTTTAGTTCGATATGTCACAGTTCAAAATAAATCCAATCCTAGCGCGCATGCTAGGCACCCCAACCCACCTCCGTAATGGTCGTTGCGATTTTGACATCAGTGAAGAGGCGGACGGTACATTTTCATTTTCTCAGACCAGAGCAAAACTATTGCAAGAGCATGGAACCGAGTGGGACAGAACCTTCCTCACACAGCCACCATGCCAGAGTGTCAGTATTTTCATAGCAGGCAAGCACGTGGGGCTTATTCAAGTTGCCACATGTGATGACGATCAAGATATACGGATCGGATATGTCTTCCAGCACATCACAAGCATCGCGCCCACACTGGCGACGCAGTCGGCCAGCAACATCAGAGCATTTCTAGGAAAACAACCACAACAATACAACCTACCAACCCAAGAAACAACAGGCGAATTTATATGGGAGTCGAATATGACTCGGGAGGAATGGGTAGAAAACAGAGCATCCCGAGTTGACAAAGGACACCCCGAAAGCAGGCGAGATCCCAGGCGAAATCCCAGGCGAGATCCCATGTACAGAGACTGGACATGGAAACATCGCATCGTCCCCCCCAGCAAGATGCAGATATCCATAGTGCTCAAAAAGCGCGCCGAGGCCAGGAATGACATAAGAGATGACCACCTCAACGACGGGAGAAAGATACGCAGTGATTCACACTTTCCGTCATGGGCAGGCTACATCCCACACAGACTACCAGGCAGCGCGCGACTAGAGTTGTCGACACAGTGGGATGGAGGAGGGACAGAGCCGCTTCTACCTAAAGAAATACTAGAGGGTACTGGACGCAATGTCTGGCTAGGACGGGCAAACTATACGACCAACGGGCAGATCAACAACGGGCATACACAGTGACCACGAGGGGACCCTTACACTCAACCGACACGCCGAACGAGAAGATAAACGGGCCACTGGCTAGCGGCGATGATAGCGCAGGGCTACTAAAATTTGTCCTAATGTCCGCCTAGACAATATCACCATTGGAATCCAAAGTATCATCTGCAACATCCTCCTCAACAGAACTAGCCCAATAAAGACTAGTAGTATCCAGGCCATCCAAGACACCCAAGTCAGCCAGATGAAACCCAAGAGTCCTAGCGAAGCAAACTCCAAAGCGGAGATTATTGAGACGGAAGAGCCGGCGTACGCGTAGGCAGGCAATGTAGTAATCCCCAGTAATATACCTAAGAAGATTAGCAGAATAAAAGAAAAGAAAAAAGAAGAGATATACCGTAACTCCGGAGGTAACAATATTAGTATATCTTCTACTGGTATATCTTATGCACTACTATAATTACTATCTCCAAAAACATATTTTAGGTCATGTATTGGTATTAATTGTCGATAGGAAATAATAGTAAGACCCCTAGTAAGAACAAGGGCATAAAGAACAGTAGAACTAGCCATATTATAAGAGATGGAAGAGGGTAAGAGGGTAAGAGAGATATATGTGTAAAAGTGATAAGATAGAAAAGAGATGACAAATAATAGTACTATGGTTAGTGGCATAGAACACCTAATACATCCAGAAAGCAGGAACCAATAAGAAGGCGTAGACGTGAACCAATAAGATTGGGCAGCTTAACTTAGAAAGCGGACCGGGGTAACAGCAGGTAGTAGCCAAGCTAGACAATACGGGTTGAATCACGACTTTAGTTGATGCGCTGGAGGACACTGGACAGCATCCCAACTTACTCAAGAAACAAAATTAGACCGTGCGAAGAAATGTGCGATGTGGCAAGATGGCGCTGCTGTAACCGATGTTGTTGGAACCACGGGAGGGAGAGATATGGTTGACTGTGATTGATTAGTGAGGATTTAGGTAGAAATGGACGCCCGCTTCGATACTTCGAACCCATAGAGCCGATTCAGAGTGCGCAAGTTGTGACATGGAAAGTATTTTCAAGTGGTTGTGCTGGAGGACCTCTGACGGTACCACCGGTTTTGCCATTCAAGAACAAATGAACCAAATTCGCGAGTAGCGGTTTTTGCCACTCACTGACCCCCTTCTTGACACTATCAGGGGTACTTTGACATTCCTCCCAAAACCAAAAATAAAGAGTATATGCTAGCGCCTACTACTAACGCTTAACTACGTATACAAAACCTCGTATCCTCGCCAACGGATATACTATACGCAATCCTCCATACCCTTTCGAAAAGCAGGGTATTCACGTCAGCTGAACCAAACCACAGCCCATCACTATCCAGCCCGAGTACCCATGCCAATACCCATATAAGTCTAAACGACACTGTACAGAATCAACCCCACCACCAAACCACGACCCAACAAAACATCAATTCAGATTTTAAACGCCAGAGAAAGCGCGACAAGAGAGAGCGCGAAAACGCCACAGCAAACCTCACTTCACACTATCAACCTCTCCCTCCCCATCTTCTTGACCGGATGCAGCAGCATACCCGGCAAACACATCCGCCCACCCTCCTTCTCCGCCTCCGGCCCCCCCAGCACCTCCTCTTCCTTCCCCCACTCATGCACCTTCACCGGCCACCCCAACCACCGCCGATACAGCACCCGCGGGAACGTAGACGCGTAATACCAGCTCCACCCATAGAAGTTGTGCTCGCGGTCATGCTGGTACGGGCTATCCTCCAGCTCGCCCCACATGCCCGGCACCGCGTCCAGCGCCTCCCCCGTCGCCGCATCGACAGTCGCGTGCGCGTTGAAGATGCCATCGGCGTAGCGCGCAGGCCACGCGCGGTCCGCGAAGATGGGGTGGGGCGCGTAGATGGCCTTGAGGCCGTGCTGCAGCGCGACCGTGGTCGGCCACATCTCGGCCTGCATGGAGCGGCCGGCCAGGTTCTCGGCGTGCATGGCCTGCAGCAGCGGCTTGGAGAAGCGCACGACCGTGTTGATGTAGGCGCGGCGCTCGAGGTGCGCGAAGTCGGCGTGGTCGAAGCCGAAGGCGGCGGGGTTGGCGCTGTTGAAGACGGGGTGGATGGTGGGCACGTAGTTCCAGATGTGGTTGCGGTAGGACCAGGTTGTGTTGCGGGGGTCCCAGATGGGGAGGAGGGTGATTAGGTCGGCGGGCTCGTCGACGCCCCAGGCGAAGTTGTCGTCGGCCATGGATGTCGGTGGGACAGGTCCGAGGGGTTTCTGAGGTGGCTCTGCGCCCGGGTAGGGTCGTGGTCCCCAGACTGGTTGTGGGATGAGGCCGTCTGATGAAGCCTTCAGGATAGTTTCGTGCGTGTCGTTGAGGAAAGCCGAGTAGGATCCATGGACCTCCGGGATATAGTAGCGCTTGTTTCGTTCCCACATCAGCTTCCGGGGCTGTTTCTCGGCGAACTGTGCGATCTTCTCAAAGAAGTGATAGTGCTGTCCGATGTACCTCGCATCCGTTTCCCAATTCCAAACGTAGTCGAACTCAGGGTGTTTTTGAGAGAAGAACTGCACACACATGTACTGATGCCAGTAAACCTGCCAATCTGTGACGAGGGGATACCATTTCGGGAAAGCCGCCTCGGACCATAACAAGGCCATGTCCCGTAGCTCGTGTGGGACGTTGGCTTTCAGGACTTCCTCGTAGACTTCTGAATCCGTGAAGATCGGCTTCTTCTTGTCTTTGATGTGTACATATAGGAAAACTTGATATTCCCCACCGGATTGAAGGGAAAGCTCGGAAACCATCGCTCGGATAGCAGTGATATCGTTCTCCTCGTATTGGTAGCCCTCCCAGGAGCGGATTAGGACTGCTGTACGCTTGTGGTATGACGGTAATGGGATTTCACCATCACTAGAAGTCTTGTTCATATGAGCTGCAGGTAGCTCGAGGTTCGGCCGCATATTGGGGCTACTCCGGGCCTCTGGGCGGTATCGATCCTGGTTTAGCTTGAGACATTCGTTTTGAAGGCTTCCCCAATTGGTGTTGTTCCAATCCACGCCTTTGCCTTCTTCATCACCATACCCGTAGGGGCCATACCGCGAGGAACGATCAAAGCATGCCTCGCCGTCCAGACCCACGGCTTCGTAACTTCCGATAAGAGGCCTGGGGAGATCTTTTGGCAGCCCTTTATAGGCCCGCGTCAAGTCCTTCTTGCTGACATCAAGAGGCAGTCCTCGTGGTCCAACACATGCTACTTGTTTCCCCTTCCACTGCTTCTTCCATTCTGGGCTGTTGTACTTTGGATACGGTGTGTACGGCGATTGTGATTTTAACGCAGATTTGCCCAACTTGGAAACTCCTTGGTCGAAGAAGCCGTGGTCCCTAACAAGTCTATCAGTAACAGGTTCCCGAGTGAATACCAAAACCCTCACATTGGGAAGCCTTCCCAGCGATTGGGATCGTATTTCTTGTCCACATATTGCCCATAAGGCGGCCAATGTCCATCCGTCGGTTCATTACTCGGCCTATTCCACTCCAAGACTTGCTGCATGTATTCCTTGGAAGAGCTTGTTTGCGCAGAGTCTGTCGCTGCAGAAGTTGCGCTTCCGCCCTTTACTGGGCCCCATGCCGGCCTGGGGTCTGATATCTTCGATCCCTCGTCTGTCTTCCCACTCGGGTGGATCTTGTTCGAGAATCGTGAATAGCCGTAGTGGATATCTGCGGCAAGAGGCAGCTGTTTGACAAAAGAGAGAAGAACGATGAAACAGATTAATGAGAGTAAGGCGAGCCTGCGCGGGGAACGAGTCAACATGATAGCAGAGGGGACGCAAGGGCGGAGGACCACTGATTAGCCGTCGCGGGACCTGGTGGCAGCACGACAGTACATGTAGAGGCACGGAAGAACAACGGAAGACTAGAGAGAATAGAGAGTCGCACACGGCGGGATTTGGATCTACATAAGGGCGGCGATTGCAGTCTGCCACCTGCAGCGCCCCACAGTCGGGGGAGGCGCATCTGATGGTTACGGATGTTTGGAGGTGTCTGTGCCTGCAATACACCTTTGTATCGGCGAAGAAGATAATAGGGCCCCTTAGCGCGTGCCCTTTGCGCCTCTAACGGCGGGCCGAGAGACGAGACGCGTGTAACAGCAGGGTACCGAGCATCACGGGAATATATCGTCAAGAAGCACAGTGTAGCAATTCCCCTGAACTAGCGAAGGAGAAACGAAAACCTGAATCGGCAACCTAGTGCAGAGTATCTCTGAGCACACAACAATCTCCCAAGAGCAGCAGGTCATGTAATTTTTGGATGCCGTACAAAAATACAGGCCAGAACGGCTGGTGTTTAGAGTTGTCAGGGTCGTGTTTCAGAGCTGGGTGGTCTCCTGCACATCCTGTGCTTGCACCGTGTCAACTGAAGCGGCCCTGTGGCCCTGGCCTGTGGCACGTTCTGCTATGGCGTCACAGGCTGGCCACCGAAATGTATGTTGCTCCACTCAGTCGATTTGAGAACGCGTTGCGACCCACTGGATCATCAGGAGAAGAACTCAACGGAGTCGCCTTCCTTGTCTTATAGCAGATCCTCCCAACTCGGGATTTTCTCCACTTTCACTTGATCGTCCAGCAAGAAAAGAAAAGGCACTCAGCCGCTCAACGCAGCATGTGAAAACCGCCATTGGCCATTTATGGAGTGTATGCTATTTGCGGCATTTGCCGCGCTCTATCACCATATCCAGAGAACTCCACCCATGCCGCAATCCGCAAGCCGCACTACTTCCACTTCTGCACCACCACTCCGCCGCGCTTGAATTCTGGCAGCTCACCGATCTGCACCTTCCTGTCTGCCAGTTCTGTGCTCGGGAAAGTAGTCATGAGCGCGTACGCCCGCTGTGTGCTCGCAGGGCTGGCTGCATCCACGAATCCGTACACATCGCCAATCGTGTGCGTCGTATTGAACCGGGACTGAAGGCGGGTGCCGTCTCCCAGACGAATCTGCAGTGTGACGGCAGGGGTCGAGTCGTCAATGTTGACTTTCGGTGCCGCAGCTGAGCTTGAGCTCGCTGCAGCGGCGGCGGCTGGTGCGGCGGCTGGCGCATGTGACGATGGGGCTGCCGCTCCAGGCGTAGGGCTTCCAAGACGTTGTCCGGAGCCTGAGAATGGCTTATACTTCGACTTTGGCTTCACGTAATCCTCGTCCTTGTGAGGACGCACCTCCACATCCACCTCCTGGCCGCGCTCAACGTTCAGAATCTCCAGCGGCGCATGGCCTGAGTTGATAAGCTCTAGCGTTCGGGCATTTGCAGGGTCGTCGTAACGGTAGAGAGGGCCATCGTCAACGGAAAAGCCGTCTTGCCAAAGGTGCAGCTCGCGTCGCACTCGCGGAGCTGAGGCGGGCCGCTCTGCAGTGGGGTCGGGAATGGTACGGCTAGGAGCATCGTCGCCACCAAGGGTCACTCCTGTGCCTCTGAAGTGGGTTGAGGGTCTCTCCTCGTCTCCACCTGGGCGTGGAACGTTCCTGCAACTTATTAGTAAAATGTGTAGCGCTGGATTTGGAGCAACTCACTGTCGAGCCCTTTTCAGAATGTTGTTGATCTGGTCTCGGGGATTGGAAGCGTTGGGGTTCTGCACAGCAAGACCGGACTTCTCGCCACCTGTGAAGAAGTCCTGTTGCTCATCGTCGTTATAGTCCTCATCGCTGTCATGGTCTCCGTCGTCTCCGTGAGTGGGGGCTCCTCCCTGATTCTGCATGTCTTTCAACGTCCTCAAGCCTCGCTGAGGCGCTTTGCGGGCGGCAGCTGGAGCAGACGACGAGCTTGCTGAGGCGGGCACCGGTCTTCCATCAAGAGTGCGTCCACCGCCGGATTGCGCGGGAGTTCCGGCAGCGGGCTCTGGAGTATCGGAGGTGTCCATGGGGTCTTCGGCGTCAGCGTCGTCGTCCCCGCCCTCTGCTGCTGCGTAGTAGGTTGCGACAGCGGTCTCGAGGTCCCAGTTGGAGGATTCAAGATAACCCTCAGCCTGCGCGCAGAAGGAATATTAGTGGCTGCCAAATGGTGAAAAGGCCGAGAGAGATTTCGTACATCGTGAGGTCCAAGGCCAGTGACGGCGCAAAACTGGGCTGTTAAAGTGTCGTGATCCATGGTGGCAGATGTCTAGGAAAGTGAGAGGATGATGAGTGCTAGGGTGGGTTTCGAGAAGGTGCTTTGGTGGAAATGGTACCTTTGTAGCTGTGGGTGAAGTTGGTGGGGAGCTTCGTGGCGGGCGTGCAGGCAGCTCTGTCAACCTTGGAAGACGTCAGCTAGCGCCAAGTAGAATATTGGCATTACATTCACAACTTCGGAACTCCCTGGACACTGCTATTGGACTTGGAAATTAAGAAGTCTTGGAGATAGAAATTGTAGATTAGGATAGCAATTCGTCTTTGCACTTGCAAATGGTCACATGAGGCTTTGAGAAGGAGAGCATTCTATTTCGTAATTGGAGAAATAAGGACGAGAACCTAGACTATCTAAATGTAAATCTGTCCTAAGGATGGTAATCAATTAGTTGTAGCTCTGTCCAAGTTTTGTGTGGTACACGACCACGGTTCTGAATATACATCTTGCTTCAGGTTCCTCTTGGCACCGCAATAAATCCATTTGAGCCTCAATTCACTAAACCTCGGGAAGCCAGCCGTCGACCATCCACGCCCTCCGACGGGCCTACTCTGTACCACCGCCTACGCTTCTTCCTCAGTATCCCCAAAATGTCAGGAACATCGCCCCGAGACCAGCAGCCCCTCTCCGACTCGGCCCTGACCATCCACTCGGACAGCGAGAACTACGACGGCAACCACGAGCTCTCCTCGTCGTCTCCGCCCTCTTCTTCCAGCTCGCCGCTCATCCTGTACTCTCCGCCAACTATCTGGGGCTTGGTGCGCGGCGCTGCGATTAATCTGGTTCTCCCGTTCATCAATGGATTGATGCTGGGTTTCGGCGAGCTCATTGCGCACGAAGTGGCGTATCAATTTGGATGGGCAGGCACAAAGGTACGCTGGCATGGCCATTTGTCTCTTCGGACGTGTGTTCCCCATATTTTAAATGCTCTTCTCTCTCCACATCCTTTTTAAGATGATGGGAGGCTTTCCTGAGCAAGGGCACTCCATTTGAGTAGACGACTCTGCAATTATCTCCTATCTGCCTATGAATCTGACTTGCTAATCACGCTCGGCTATAGATATTTCCCAGCAGGCGCAACGACTCGAGAACCGTCGGTCCTGGCGTTGAGATGCGGCCCGACCCTGTCGAGCGGAAGAGGAGATCCGGCGAAGAGATGGACGCATACACAAGCTTGGAGTAGGGCATTGGACTGGAAGCTTTGCAGCTGGCACACACTCTCATGCTTACGAGAAGCAATTGGATTGTACATAGACACAAGGGCATTATAAAGTTTGTGGGTTAGCATCAGGCACGCGCAGTCAGGCGTTATTGGAATCTTGCTCACAGCAAAGGCGAGGAAAATGCACTCAACAGTCGTAGCATAGAAATACAGCTATGAGACACACTCTACACTACATTTTGGTGTTGGAATGAGTGATTTGGCACGTAGAATGACGCCCTCATGAATGAAGAACAGCACGTGACTTTGCACCTCGCGGCCCCGGCTCGGTGGTTTGCGACATCTCGGAGAGCTTCCTTCAAAAAATTATAGACGTCAACCATGATTGCCAGCAATGGGCTACGGCCCGCCTTTCGGATATCGTCCATTTCCTGTCGTTCTTTACCGCTTCGCACTAATGGATTGAGAAAGGTATGAGTGCTTGTTCGTCCCCTACCCGTCTCAATGCCTATATCAGGATTCTTTCACACCTCCGCGCTTGCGAGGGACAACCCCATCCCAACTACTTTCAGTTAGAAATACTTGATCATATAGAATTCCAAACTAAGCTGTCTCCTCCAGTTCTCTAACCTCCCAAAGCCCACCCGCGGCATCTCCTCCCCCCAACCTCGAGCCCAGCACACAAGTCCCCTCCTATCGTCACGATGGAGAAGTACCAACATCGCCGCGCCCGCCCTCCTAGCCACAGCCTCTGGCATCCGCTTCAACTCCACAACCCCATCTCCTTCCGCCTCCGCTACCCCCGTCGACGCCGCACACGCCGAGCATCCCTGGGCCGTCCCCCACACCCCCGACAGCACTATCGAAGACCTCCTCTACAGCGGCCCCCTCGCCTCCGTCCCCGAGCACATCGGCTACCTGAAGTCCCTCGGACTAGACTACGGCTGGGGGCCGACCACGGCCGCCGAATGGCTGCTCGAGCACATCCACATCTGGAGCGGGCTGCCGTGGGGCGCATCCATCCTGGCGGCCGCCTTCGCGGTGCGCGCGGGCTGCTTCTACTTCTACGTGCAGGGCGCCGACACGACGGCCAAGATGCGCGCGCTGAAGCCCGTCATCGACCCGCTGACGGCCAAGATGAAAACGGCGCTGAACGCCGGCGATCGCGAGGAGACGATGCGGTGGCGGCGCGAGTCGACCAAGGTGTATAAAGACATGAACATCCACCCCGTCCGACACGTCTTCGCGGGACCGGTCATCCAGGGCTTGTTCGGCTTCGGCGCGTTCCGCCTCTCGCGCGGTATGGCGGATATCCCCGTGCCAGGCCTCCTGGATGGGGGCATGCTGTGGTTCACGAACCTCGCAATCCCAGACCCGACATACCTCCTGCCCCTCATGGCTGCCGGTGCTGTGCACATGGTCGCAAGAGTACGCGCCTCTCCTCCCCTATTCCCCCCTCCCTCTCCTTCTCCTGTATACTTCTCCTGTATCTAACCAATACGCCTCAGATCGGCGGCGAAAGCGGCAATCCCATGGCCCCCGCGCAACAGAAAATCATGATGTGGGGCCTGCCCGGCCTGATGTTCCTCTTCTCGTGGTGGCTGCCCGCCGCGACGCAGCTCACCTTCCTCGCCGGCTCCGTGCTCTCCCTGCTGCAAGCCCTGATCTTCCGCAGCCCGCGCTTCCGCCGCGCGCTCAACCTCACCCCGCTGTACAAGCAGCCCCCCGTCCGCCCACAGACCATCGAGACGCGCTTCGCCATGCGCGCGCAGCCGGCGGCGGCAAAAAAGCCCGTGTATCAGGCCCCTAGCAGCTCGACGACGCCACCGGATCCCCTAGCCCGCCCAGGGAAGGTGCCTGCGAAGCCTGGGCTCGCAGACAAAGTGTGGAAGACGACGAAGGAAGCGGCAAGGGGTTGGTTCCCCGAGGCGTTGACGCGGATGACGCAGAGCCAGGAGAAGCAGCGCAAGGACCGGTTGAAGGCGCAGGCTGCGGCGTATGAGCTGCAGCGGCAGCAGCAGTTGGAGCAGGAGAAGAACGGGAGGTGATTCATGACACGGGAGGAATGTAATTGTCTTGGGGGGGGGGGGGGGCTTTGGGGTTGTTGGGCATTGTATATTAACTTCTTTCGATTTGATGTGTTGATAGTCTGGCATCGGGTGCGCGGGCAATGTGAATGTGTAGATGTAACCACCGAAAAAGGGGGATCAATAGGCATGGTTAGAGCAATGTACAGTAACATATACCTATCACAGACATCACTCACACTCGCACACGCACATGCAACTTGTCTAGAACACTTGAGTCTAATATTTTTTGACTAACTCATTCCGATCGCCCTTCCCTATTAACCGCCCCCGCCTAGCACCAGAACAGACATACACGCACGTGAACCCCCAGCCAGCAGTTGGCCATTTCCATTCCCGTTCCGATTACCTGAACCCCTTTAAAACAGGAAAAGCCGTAAAACCCCCGCATGCCACACGCGCTTCTGCAACTCGAAACAAGTTTGAAAGAAAAAAACAAGACAGAGCTTTCTAAAGGTACAGAAGGTTGAAGCAGAAGAGTTGCCTCCACCCTAACTTAAAGGGAGAGAGGGCTCCGCTTCCATCACCCCTTTTCCGCACCGCCATGAGAAGAGAAGGGAAGAGAAAAGAACCCGTAACCCTAATGCAAGTATGCCGCAGGAAGTATATGATTCTCCCAAGATCGATGAAGTCAGTTCAGAATGCAGAGAAAGAAAAACAGAAGGTTGTAGTACAGGCTTCATTCTCGGCCGTCCGTAGTCATTATGAACTCTCCATCCCATGGGGGGACGATGCCGCCGTGACTCCGGTGAAATTTCCCAGTCGATGTAAACGCCATCTTCAAGCAAACCAAGGAGTGGAAAGAAAGGGACTAGTGGGGGTGTGTTTTTGGTAAGAGAATGCAGAGATTCTAGGATATGTATGTATGCTGGTCAGATCGTCGGTCGTTGATTTAGACATTAAGGAAGTCTGTCCCGTCGTCTACCCGGTCGGGTGAGGTAGTCAGGGCCAGCGCTTCGTCGGCGTGCGAGTTGCCCATTTCCTCGGGATTGGTGAGATCGGCAAACATGTTGTCCATGCCGCCACCTGCTTGGCTGCCCGAGCTTGCGAACGGATTAGCGATTGGGGATCCGCCCGCGTTATAGTCGGTGTGAGAGATCCCCGGACCCGTGAACATGGCTGGATCAAGAGGCGGGTTGCTCGTCATGTTGGTAGAATGGGAAGACATGTTGAAGGTGACTGGTGATATGTCTCGGTTGCTCTGAGTAAAGGCGGATCGCCGGTAGTCTTCGCCTGGAGACCATTCTCCGGCGCCGCCGGAGCTGAAGAAAGAAGCAATAGGTGGACGCTCGTTCCTTCCACCCGGGCCAGTACCAATGGACAAGGAACGGGGAAGCCCCGGAGGTGTATGTGAAGGTTCTGGAGCTGGTTGGATTTGCTGCGGCCCCTTTGGCAGAGGATCCGTGGACTTCCTGTTTTTGAAGTTATGTTGCTTTGTGCGCAAGTTCTGTGGCAGATCCTCTGGGTTCGAGATTCCCAATTGAGCCATCAGCTTCTGCTGTTTGGTGGGACGTGGCTTTCTTGTCGAGAGTGACACCTCGAGGATTGGCGGAGGTTGAGGTGCGACAGGCGCCCACTTGTGTAATTCTTGCCGGAAGAAGTTGATCTCGTTGGACAGAAGAATATCGGCTCCTTCTAGCTTCCGAAGATAGAAGCGCTGAGTAGTCAACTCATCTGGACTCGACATGAGCGGATTGATGTATTTGGCCACCCAGTCCCGGAAATTGAGCCCGTGAGCGATGATGGCTTCCAGGGTATCCTCTTCCTCTGGCTGGAACGGTAGATTGGGTATATCATCTTGCCAATTCTGCAAGTCTTCGATCTTGGGTCGCGTAGCATCGCGAGGGATCTTCACCCGGTAATCGCATATCGGACATGTGTACTTGTCGTCGTCCTTTATTTTGCCACGAGCGATCTTCAAGCATCTGCCGTGATACCTATGAGAACATTAGCAAGGTGACAGTACAGCAGCAAGTAGGTCAATCTTACCATTCGTGACATAATTCGCATTCAATCATCATGCCCGCTTCGGGCTTTCGACATATGCAGAACACATCCCTACTAGATCCAGAGCCGTCAACATTCTCCGCTTCTCCGGGAGTCGTCTCTCTAGATCTAGGCTCGACAGGCATTCGCGGTTGATCCGACAAGTCAAAGCAGGCACGGTTCTTTTCTTCGACTGTCTTCATGTGCGCATGCAGAATGTGTAGAGGAGCATTGGCCTTTCCGAAGAGCTTCTTGCCTCGTCGCATCCAGTCCTCGTGCCGCTTCTGCTCCTTCTCGAGATCGATGGTTCCGGAAGGCTTGCTGTTGAGGTCCCCGAGGGCCTCCATAGCCTCGCGCACATCCTTGTATTTTGGCCGCTCACGTAGATCCTCGCTCTTACTGCGCTCGTAGAGGGATAGAATTTGTTCCTGTGCATCGCGCTGCTTCTTGAGGATCGCATCGACAAGGGCGAGCGTCTCTTGCGTCACGGGCAAGTTGGAGGCTTGCTTCGACAAAGCATCCAACTGTTGGTAGTGAACCTGCTCTACAGCCATGAGTTCCTTGGCCTTAGCCTCCCAAAGCTCGCCTTGGATTTTCTGCTCGGTAAAGTGGTGGATGTTGGGGTCGTTTGGTGGAATGCCTAAATCCAAACCCTGCTTGATGAAGTCTGTAACATCCTGGAGATATTGTCCCGTCTTGGTCCGCCATTCGCGTGCAGACGCGAACCACTTCATTTGCTGGACTAGACGCTCGAGCGTATCGAGTTCTGGTAGGTCGACATTAAAGCTCTTGCCTTCTTCGAGGAGCTCGTCCAGCTTTTCGACGGTCGTCTGCGCATCACGACGCAACGCAGCCTGTGCCTTCTGCTGAAACTCCTCAATATTTTCACTACGTTCCCGTAGGGCTGTGATTTCCGAGCTGTCAAAGCAAAGGTCATCCGCGTCTTTGAGCAGTTTAGTTATGTTTGTTACCTTCCTCAATTCGCGCTCGCGCTCATCGATTTCGGCTGCCTTAGCTGCGTTGCCTCGGCGCCATGCGCGCTCGTTCTTCCGGCGATTCTGCTGCTTGCGCGTGGTGTAGTTCACGGCCTCTTCCGCAATCTCCGTGCATGCGTCTACGTACTTTCTGAGATCGGGAAGGCCTGGAAGCACCCAATCTATACGTTCGCCTTCACTAAGGAGAGATCGCAAAATCTTCAGCTGCGGTTTCGGCCCATCGTCCAATGCAAGATCCAGTTTCGCTGCCCAAGCCTCAGGCGTTCCCGCCTTGTCGACAATTTTCTGTACCACTGTTTGAAGAGCAGTATTGGTGGTTCGGAATATTAGCTGGTGATCGCCATGGGTCCCTAAGTAGCGATCCCCTTCGCTGACTTCACAGCACTCGAACGAGCCGGCGTGCAGTAGACACACCACCCTCGAGGTTCTCTTGCAGACAAAGCGAGAAAGGTAGCTGTAGCATTTGCACCAGCTGCAGATATTGTAGTCTTCCTCTTGAATATCTTCATCGTCGACAACGAAATCGATCGAGCACTTAGACTCGCTATCACCGGTACCGTCAATCTCGCAGGAGTGTTCCTGGAATTCCTTATGCCGAGCAATGAAGTTTTCCCGTGCCCTGATCTCTCGATCTTGCATTCGCTGTAATGCAGGTGCCAGCCACTTTGCAGTCTTGATCGAGGTATCTTTTCTCGAAGCGGCGGCAAGGAGTAGCTCGTCATGGGAAAAGCATGGAGGCCGCCGGAATTCCTGGAGACGCTGGACACCAACTTCGCCAAATGGCTCCCAATCCTGAGGCGCAAAGTTGACAGCCTCGTTGAAGTTGAAGCCGTGGTTGAAGCCAGCATGGTAAGCCTGCGGGAAAGTGACAACAAATTGGCCGGCTCGCTGGTCCAGAGCATACACCCTTACCCCGGCCTTCCGCAGCTGGTCTGGAGTGAGGAGTGTCACAAGCTGGAAGAGGAGATCGGGCTGGGTCTCGAAAAGCTCGGGCACAGCCTCGCGCATCGCCTCCTCAAACTTCTCCGCATCTTCTCCTGGAATGCCATACCAGGTCTTCGTTGCGCCGAAATGTTGGTAATTGGCGGAGTATGTATAGTGGTCTTCGGAGTGCCAACAAAACGTTGAGAAGACCATGCCAACGTATAGCCACGGGACTGTCATGCCAGAAATGTCAGAGCGAATGTGGCGGAACAGGGACTCCGAATGGTAAGGGAGGATGTTCAAGTTCCAAGGATCGGTTGAATAGGGGTCGCGAGGATTTCGCTCGATCGTAGGAAACCCGCTGCCGTGTGTTGTCGTGTGGACGTCGGCGCCGTATTCGACTTCAACAGTCTCCGTGATGCTTTCCACTAGCCTCCAGAATTCGCGCTCGACGTCTTCTTCAGTGACTGGTTTCTTTGTATTCAAGACTGGATCGAAGGGCGTCTTCGTGGAAAAGTGGTGCTCCTTGAAGCTGTTGGCCTTATCTTGGAACTGCCGCAGCGAGTAGACGCTGCCTTCCTCGAAGCCAAACTCGCCAGTTCCCACGAGACATCTCGGGCAGTGCCATTCGTAGTCGGAGGAAGACTTCAGGGTTGGGTCTAGACACGCGCGGTGATAGGCGGCGTCGCAGCTGTCGCACAGCAGGAAGGTCGCCGCATCATCACCCCTACCACAGGTTTCGCAACGCTGCTGCTTGTTAGTGTCAAGCATACAACGTTATGCAGCGGAGCGTGAAAGGGATATAGTGCTTACGTCACCTGGTTTCTCGTTGGCTCGATCGCGCGGAGGAAATGTTCGTGGTGTTGGCAGTCGAGGTTGGGTCATGTGCGACCCTGCAACCGTGGGCGCCGCATCTGCAAGTAGTATGTTAGCTCCGACTCGGTGTCCAATAGCGCACGGAACGGCAAGGGAGGGTGCCTGGATCGAGGCAAGGCATGCGCGGAAAATCCTTGTCTGAACGACACGGACGGAAGTGCGCATGCCGCCTGCAGAAAAATCGCTTACCTTTCTTTAGACGCTTGCTGCGCCGGCCGGATCCCGCATCGGAATCGCCGTTCGCGCCACTCTCAGTATCCTGCGAGAGCTGTCGCTTCAAGTGGTTGAAGGCCTGGCCGTTTGAGAGTGGCGTAGTTCCGAGCACTGACGGGCGGAGGTCGGGCGTGTTCTTCGCGGAGAGCATAGGGCTGTCGCCGTTCATGCGCAGCGGCGTCGAGGTTCTCGACTCTATGTGGAGGCCGTTTGGCGTATTGATTGCGGCGAATGAAGAACTGGGCGTTGACACTTGCGCAGGCGGCAGTGGCGGCGGTTGTGCATGCTGTTGTGTGGGTGGTTGCGCATTGACGGCTGTGAAGCCTCCCGCATTGACGGCGGTAAATCCAGAAGTCATTGGCGGTCGCTGGGGCTCCAATGGCGGCGGTTGGAGATCATGCTGTAATGTCGCATGGAGCGCAGTCGACGCTCGGATGGCTGGTGAGTCTCCACCGAGACTCGAGGGCGTGTGCTGGTGGGACTTCTTCATGGGCGACGGTGCAGGCGATGGCGTGAAGGGACCTCCATTTTCGAATTCGAGCAACTGCTGCACACCGGGCTTGAAGATCCGCAGGTACTCTTCGTATGGATGGAGCCATTTTTGATATGAGTTCTTGAGTGATGTGGACAGCGAGGACATGATCTTGCCGCTGTAGCCCAGGTCTCGTCCAATCTCGGCCCACTTCTTCTGCTTGCATACTTTGTCAAATCCACCGCGCGTTTCGACAGCCTTCTTGAGCTTGAAAAGATCCAAAGGTCGTTTATCCACGCTCGGGAATCGGTTGAGGTTGTTGCCATGCTGCTTGTGGAATTTCGATAATTGATCCAGGTAATTCAGATTGGCACGTGTCCCTACAGGGTCGATCAATAAATGCTGTGATAGCTAGGAAACAGTCCGGACTTACCTCCTTCGATGGAATTGAGCTCTTGACGTCTCGTACGGAAGTGGAAGCGCTGTACATCTTGTCAGAGACGGCACAAGGCTGATAGACGGGAAGACGGGAAGACGGGAATATGGAGAATCGCATATCAAATAAAAGCAGCCTTATCGCTATAACATATCAAGACTCACTTCAGTATCAACCGCAAAAGCAGGGTTCCACGAATCGGGCGGAATAATCTTCACAATGCCGTACTTGCGCCCTTCTGGGGCGATCTTCTTCATGTACTCCATCGGGTCCTTGAACTCCTCCGCAGTGGGCCGGTATGTTGGCGCTTCGAGCAATCCAAACGGCCTGTTGGTCTTCGGGACCTCGCGACTTGGGTGGACCTGTCCTTTGCGCTCAACCGTCGACATATCTAGCGGCGTGGCCTTGCGGGCGCTGAGCGGTATCCCAATCCCATTCGTCTGCGCTGCAATGCCGGGCTGCAGTGTCGCAGTCCCCATTCGACTTCGCGGAGCTGGCACCGCAACAGTAGCCGGAGTGCCGTTCGCCGGGCTCACTCGAAATGTCGACATGGTGGCTCCGGCTGTGGATGGCCCACCTCCCGTCGAAGGAACCGCCATCAGAACCGCCTGCGCCGCACCCGTATGGCGGCCAAATCCAGCGTATATGCGAACAAAGAGCGCTCCCAGGCGATATTATCGGGCTCGAGAAGGGTGTATAGGTGTGCTGAATGGTGTGCGTGGCTATCGGTGGGAGATATCGGCGGGCATAACCTGCAGAGGCAGGGCAGCTGCCAGTCTCGTCCAGGACGGGGGATGCGGCGAGCGCGCGGAAGGGACCAGTGGAATGCTGCAATGTCAACAGGGCAGCATGTCCTGCGTTGTGGATGCAAATAGCAAGGGGCTCGAGGTGTGTATAGGTGTGTGCGGTGGGAGAGGAGGAGCGAGAGGGAAGAAGGCGATGATGGTCTCCGCTCTTCAGGAACCAATGCCACCCGCGCTAGTCGACTGGCTCCACGGATCGGCCAACAAAGAAAAAGCTCTCGCCGCCCGCAGAAACAGAATGCTCTTGGCGTGATAGGAATGCTACGATTGAGTCAGTCCCTGGAATTGCACAGCTTCCTCCTCGTAATTGACGGGCGCCGAGTCGGCTTTTGTGGTAGTCGTTTCACCACGCACCACCTGGCTCCGGGAGGCAGGCCGAAGACCAGTCAGGTGAGGGCCCGTTCCAACGCAAGGCTGCAACTGCAAGGATCGCCGGCCGTCCCCGCGACTTTGCATCTTACTCCATGTTGTGAGGTTGTCCCCAAACGAGCGCATCACGTTTGCAACACGTTTAAATCATCAACAATGGACAAGCCAATACCTGCCTTCTACTGCTGCTACCTGCTGCGCTCGACCAAAATGCCAGCAAGTCTCTATATTGGATCGACTCCGAACCCTGTCAGGAGATTGAAGCAGCACAATGGCAAGACGCAAGGTGGCGCGTTTCGCACTCACAAAGATACCCACAGACCCTGGGAGATGATTTGTATGGTTTACGGTTTTCCGTCTAATATTGCTGCCCTGCAATTCGAGTACGTATAGATATATATCTAGTGCAACGCTCTAGTTACTGAAATGTATAGATGGGCGTGGCAGAACAGTTGCTTCACCCACCACATCCCAGACGAGGAGCGTATCACTAAACCTACAAGGCGGAAGTTAAGACCTAAATTAGATCCCAAGGGAATAGAACCTCCCGTAGAGAGGTGGAAACTAGTCCGGCCGCGCTACACCATAGTCCAGGTATTACAGAACATACATCTTCTTCTCCGAGTCAAAAGTTTCCAACAATGGCCATTGCATGTCAAGTTTTTCGCCTCGGATGTCTTCAAGAAGTGGGAGAAGGCGAAGCCCAAGAAAATAAGCTTGAGGGATGGAATCAGAGTCGAGCTCGATGAATCAAAGCCTCCCACAGATGAAGTCACTACTGATGAGACTTGTCCCCCGCCGGCAACTGGTATTCATGCTCTTGACGTTGAGTACACGGCTCTCAAATCCCACTTGCAGAAGAGCCGATTCATTCTCGAGAATGGAACGATGGTCGCGTGCGGTGTCTGCGAGAGAAGCCTAAGGCCTTCTAAAGCGCTAGTCCTTGTTTGCCCCTTGGAAGGCTGTCGCTCAGCATCGCATATGGCCTGCCTCTCAACTAAGTTCCTTGCCGGCGGAAACGGCAATGCCTTGGTACCGACCAATGGAAAATGTCCTGAGTGCAAGGCTACACTCGAGTGGACCTCGTTGGTGAAAGAGCTCAGCCTGCGTACGCGTGCTATTGAAGAAGTTGAGGCCATAATCACAGGCAAAAGGTCGAAGACGAATCTTTCAGAAGCTGAGGAAGATTTTGCGGAGCTAGTTCCCATGGCAATTCACGGAGACAAGGACTCAGGATCGGATGATGATGTAAGCGATGATGGCTGGATCTTGCAAGAAGTTGGAGGGATTGCGGAAGAGTTTGAATTGGGATTCCCTGCTGAAGACGATGCAGTTCTCACGACAAGACCTGGTTGAGAGACATACGACTGTTTTCAATCACTCGACTCCATGCTGCATGAAATGAGAATACTGGGGCCAGACTCCCGAGACTCCGGGTCCCAGACCGCCAATACCTCTATGAGATGCTCTCTGTATAACAGCTCTTCTTCGCTGTCAAAGGAGCTCTCCACTACCACGGCTGGACAAACCTCAGCGGCAACCCCTCCCCATCAACCTTCTCCATCGCCTTGCCTACCGCCTGTCTCACATTCTTCTGCACGTCCTCAAAAGACCCACCGCCCTCGATCCTCACGAAATCGTCTTTCTCAGCCGACTCCCGCAATACCGCAAATAGCCCTCGCACTCGATCCTGCATCTCTTGCACCTCGTACTTCTCCCCCCCGTACCCACCTCTCTTCGCCGCCTCCTCAACCGAGATATCAAGGAAGACACAGACATCTGGGCGCGGCAGACCCTCTTCTGGATGGCGCGCCCAAGCTAGGTCAAGGGCTGGAATGTCCTTTGCTGCAGAGTAAACACAGCCGGAGTAGTAGTAGCGGTCTATGACGACGGTGGTGCCGGCTGCGATATCAGCTTGGATAGATGCACTTTTGGATGTCATTAGTACGGAATCTGGATAGGCAGATGAATGGATTGGAGCCGTTGGCATACGCTGCTTCCCACCGATTCGCTGAAAACAGGAGGTGGATGACGTGATCTTCTTGTTCGCTTTGATTCGTGAGGTAGTTGTTGATCATTTGGCCGATTGGGGTTGTTCTGTCTGGTCATGTGATATATTTAGCAATTGATACCTTTACCAGACCCTTCAAACGTGCAAGGCAGATGGCTGATGCTCGCATGGAATGTAAACCCTCTCTCTAGAGCTTTGAAGGAAAAGGAGTGACTGTATCATACCTGGGAACCTCAGATACCGCACCTTCATCCCCTCGCTCTGCAAACTCTCTACCAGCCGATTACATTGTGTTGACTTGCCCGCCCGGTCGAGCCCCTCGAAGACGATAAGTTTCCCACGCATGGTCCGGCAGGAAGTTTGCTTGATGCGAGTGCAAGGGTGTATGTAGTTAAAAGATCAAGTGCATGGCTTGGCGAATGAGGTGGAAGATCCTTGGCGCGGCGCTAGGGTTGTCTCATCCCAACGTCACCTCTTTCATCTGAACACGATGGGAGCAACGCAGGGCTAGCAACGAGCGAATAAACTTATCTGTTGGTATGCTCCAGGCAGACATGCTTGCGGGTGACGGTGTGAGATGATTATATGTGGCGATGGCGACGAGGGGAATCTCCACGTCGTCGAAGAATTGATGGTTCGTTACAGATGGACAAGCTGCTAGGTGGTAGTACATAGCTTCAAGATGACTTCTTCTGAGCGTGTCATGATACGGTAGGTTGCTACTGTAAGTCCCTCAAGGTAGGATAGATTTAGGATACGTTTCGATGATTTTCTACTTCATCTCCTTCTTTCGTTAGAAAAGGGTTGGAAACCTTCGAGCATCTACCTTCATATCAAGACGTTTCCTTCCTATCATCGTGACGTATCTGATCTGAGCCCCTTGAGTCTGTGCGGATGCCCTTTCAAGATTTTATCGCTCCATCGTATAGTTGTGTTCGCGCCGTACTGTGCATATATGTAGTTCCGACCTGTTGGTCTGGCCTTGTCAACGAGAGCTCAGGCTGCCCTCGATCCTCTAATATCTGTGTTCAGCCCGCAATCGAAATCTTTCTGGATCAGAGGCTATCAACAGGCAAGTGTAAGTCGAGCCCACAAACAGCTTCTCAAAGGGGTATGTCTCTTTATACTGCGTTATTGCAGAACAAAATGTAGCTAGCTTGATACAACGGAGTTGCGTCAACGTACGGACGACGCTGCCAGTGGTACAGGCCGAGTCTCCAGCAATCTAGTCGATGACATTGACCACGGTGAATGCCCGCCGACAAGCGGCTCGCGCGATAACAGCGCCGCCGGACCTTTTCCACTAGGCCAGCTTCTACTTTCGTTTTCCTTCCTTCATCCTCTTGCGAGCCACCCCACCACGGCGCAACCCGCACGAAAACACACCACCCTCTTCCATTCATCTAACAAGATGGCGTTGCAGCATGCACGAGAGCTGCTAGTCACTCTACTCCTTTGTGTTATTGTATGCATCTTCTGGCGCAAGTTTTGGAACTGCCGCAAAGTACGCGACTACCGCAAGGTATGTAATTGCCCGCAATCTTGGAGACTAATCTTCGCACTAGGGAGCGAATTACCTACGTAACGTCCTCTACAAGGCCTTATTCGAGACTCTGGTGACGCCCGCGCCTACGGCCCTAGAGTTTTGCCCCGCGATCAAGCCCACACCGACTGATCTAACGCCTACGTCTACGTCGGTTCATGATAAGTAGTGGCAGCACGTGGCAGAGAAGCACATCTTTGGCGATGCAGGGGAGTTAGAGCCCGCTAGTGACCCTTTCCATCTGCAAGTAAACTATACACAGCGGCCCCGGGCGAAGTATATGGCCAGCAACTCTGAATTAGAGGGTTCGAACCGCACGGCTGCACTCCATGAGAACTCGTCGAGGGCGGTCAGAACCTTTCGAAGCGGTCAGCGTGCTCAAGTCACGAATGAAACAGCCCCTATCAGAGCTGCAGCAGTAGTTGCCTCTCGCCCTGCCAGTTCAGGCGCTCGTATTCAGCAGTCTCAGCCAAAAGCATCAATCCACGCCAGCAAGTCAGATCAAGCCGGATCGACGCGCTCAGCTGCGGGCCATGATAAGCCTCTGAAGCCACCCAGGAGGTATCAACTTGTTCGCGATGCCGATGTCACAAACTCGACAGCCAATAACAATGGCCTGTCAACATCTACACGTCGCTGTGATGATTCAAGCGCTCGTACCCAGAAGGTTCAGCCCGAGGCTTCAAGCAAGACGCAAACGACAGAACATTCACCAGCAGTTGGAAAGACTAGAATGACTTCAGCCTCTTCCGTACCCGCGAAGAAGTCTACAGCTCCCGACGTCAATATACCCGCTGGAGCACGGGTTATTGATACCACAGAGAAAAACAGGATGACTTCTAAACGATCCAAGCCGGGAGCCCGAATTGCATCGCATGCTAAGGTCGATGGACCTATGCAGAATTTTTTCGGACAACATTCAGCCTCTTCAAAGCAAGTCCAAGCTACAAGGGTCCAGGCTGCTGGCCCCACTGTTCGGGAGCGTACTGCCCCGCATACCGACAAGATCGAATACTCATCAAAGCCATCCGTTACCAGGTCGAGAGCTGGATCGTCGTCTGAAGATCTTACGACTACGAATAGCAAGTCGAAGGCAGCTTCAGAGGTGCAAGGACCTGGCCAAGCTATTAGCGCCGTAGTTGGATCGTGTACTGAAGCATCTGGGCCCACGGATCGAACCATGATAGTACCCCCAGAGGTGGAGGACCATTTTCAGACTACTACCATCAAACCGCGTGATATCACAGCCTCTGGAAAGCCAGACCCCAAGACTGTGCGGCCTAAGGAGCCGATATGCGAGGAGTTTGAGGTGTACGCTGCAACTGGGCCAGGTTATGAGCTTTCGTGTACAGGTAGGAAGACCGGACGGCCTTCAATTTCTCAAGAGCTCGTGCCAACGAACGCTGAAGAGCAGGACGGAATTGGAGCTCCGGCAGGAGAGTCTGGCGATTCATTAATAACCAAGCAATCCATCACAGCGTCAGCCCATGATCTCAAATGGCGTCATCGACGAATGAGCATGCACATGACGAGAGCCCATTGAGGGTAGCTTCGAGCCCGCAAGCGCTATCAGCAAACGTCACCTCTGGAGCGCCTAGTCTACGACAGCCAGCTCATGGCACGACCACCGAGACTACATTCCAAGCATCGGCCTCTCAGAGCCAGCTTTTTACCTTAATGAAGATCTCGGCTCCGGAAGTGGCATCTCGTGTCGCGAATGCATCGATGGTCCAGATTGCACATCGAAGCTACACCCTCTACTCTCCGCCTAACAACAGCGGCTCCATCCTCAAGGGTTTGACACGAGCGAAAGAGTCGCGCATGCACCACCATATTCAACGCCCTTATGAAATTCCTACACAGCAAGAGCGGCAGATTCGACGGAGGGATCGCAATCGGAAGGCACGCAAGATCGAAAACACCTTGGGAGTCGTGAAAGTCAATCAGGTGTATACTATGCGAGCCTGCGTTCCTATACGCACTGTTCAACATGAAGAGTGGACCGCGATGGCCTTCGATAACGTTCCGTCTTCTATGGCTACAGGGACACCCCGACAGCTTCCTTTAGCCCCGCTTACCGCGCCTAATACTGGAGATCAGCTATCGACAAAGATTGATTATGCCATGCAAGATGCTCCACCGTCCAATATAGATGCTGCTCACGGATCACACTCAACGTCTATGAAAACTGCGGGATCGCCTGGTGGTTCAAGGCACGCTCCGCATATATCACTTTCTAAGTGGTTAGATGTCATTTCCGAATTAGGTCCCGATCCAATGGAGCTCACAGGGTTGGATACTGCTGCTGAGGAAGAACTCCTTCCACCTGACGAGATGCAACTTGCCAGCTTGAGTAGCGCTATGAAGTAAACACGAAAGATGCAGATCATCAGCGACGCTGATGCAACTTCCCTCCTCTCCAGGAGTCACGGGCGCTGCCCAATCAGCTGCTTCTAGAAAGCCTACATTGCATAAGCCATCTAAAAGTCCGTTCGCGAGCTTGAACTACATGGAAGCTGACCATCGGTCTACGCCCCGAAAGCCCGGGAGGATCAGGATGACTATGAGCCCCGCACCTACCACTCGTGATGTCATTTCGAGTGTATCAACCGGGGCCCCAGTACGTTACAACAAGAGGCAACCAGCCATCACCTCGACGCCAGTAGTAGCGCCTTCTATAAAGCGCCGAGCAAGAAGCCCCTCACCACAACGAGACTCACTTGCCCGTGCAAATGCCTCTACCCTGCAACCGCCCGTATATTCTCACGAGCCGCCTGAGCTCACCATGGACGAGACTCCCGATTATCCTACCGAACTGCAAAGCCCGGAGACTAGAATACCTACAGAAGCGATTGGTAGTGGGCCAGATCCAAGTGGCTCCATGGAACTGGAGTCCGCTACTCCAGTTCAAGCGCCTGGAACTCCTGTTCAGATATCTGGGGTCACCCGAGCAACGCCTTCCCCTGACTCCACGGAAGGAGTAGGAGAGAAGATGAGAACTGCCGGCGTATTCAAGAGTGTTAATCAAGATAAAACTGGCATGGACAATTCAATGCAGATCATTCGAGGCGGCACGATCTGGAAGCAAAAGTTGAACAACTTAAAGGATCTCGGACTGACACCTGAATTGAGAATCAACGGATTTCCCACTGTACTCCAGAAACTTCGGGAAACCCTCGACGATCCCCAGATGTGGTTCCCGGAGAACGAGGAAGAGCTTGAGGGAGTGTCTGGGAGAATAAAGTCGTATCGCAACTTTCTGAACAATGCCGATACGAAGATGGTACTTGGTAGTCAGGATTCGCGTCGCAGCATTGCTCCTTTAGCGCCACTACATACCAAGTTCATCCTGGAGCGTGGTCGGCAGCTAGTGTATGAGAAGGAACCATACCAGCGTGACTGGGACCTTCTCAAGAGAGTTGGGAATATGCTTTTCGGGCTGACGGAAGACACCATGAATCGCCTGTATGACGATCGCATCTGCTATGAAGATGTTCGCTTTCACGGGGATGTCAACCCCCTTCTATGCGCCACATCGGACTACGATATCCCCATTCTCATCCCATACTTTGCGTCCTGCATCCGAACTCTACAGCTCCTTACTTCGCGCATGCCTTCAAAGGCGCCGATAGTCGTTCTTCTGGATGGCTATAACTACATACAAGGAGCGAGGGATATTCTGAAACACATAGCATTCCGTTTGCGCCATATACTGGAAGCAGCACACCTGTGGATCGAGACTTTCAACGTCGAGACAGTAGTCGAGACAATGAGGCCACTGAAGACCATCTTGAATCCCAGATTAGTTGAAGAAATGTATCTTGGGTTAAAGGCAATGGAGCACCTCCATTCGGGGCCTGTACTCGATATTACCGTGAATCGAATGTGGCGAATCTGTCATGTCTATGGCCAAGGGAGGGAAACATTCCAAAAAGAGGATTACAACTACACACATCCTATAAGCGTAGAGGTACGCGAGCAGAAGTGGGAAATGGTGTGGGAGTATGAGGCTTGACACGGTGGGTCGTGAGTCTCTTAGGTAGTTGTTTGAGGTTTGGTATACAATAAAACGCAGAATTATCTTTTTGCTCTTAGATTGGATAGCTGTGCGGGATCGACAACATCTCGCAGGAGGTATATGTAAATTTCTTGCTTACCACTGTCATGGGCCCTTCAAGACGTTTTCAAGAATCCGAATGATATACAGTACTAGGTTACAAGTTCGGGCACACGAATACATCACTGCTCCGACTCCACTCTTGCTCGCTCGATACCGCTGCAAGGAGCACCCTATATAGCAGGCATCAGCTACGTCAGAAGGTAGTCTAATTTTCCTTACGTTGGCCTTCGTGTCGTTTTTGGAGTTTCAAACGCCCATCGAGGTACCCCAAGCAGTTGCAAGGAGTGCTCAGACTTATGTCTCGGTACTATAGATTGCCATCGTTCAAGATGGTCAAGATGGTCAAGATAGTCAGAAAAGTCGCCAAGCCACCACCGAGAGCGGGTTGACTTTCATACACAGAAGCTTCATTACTCCAGGTCCGTGCACACGCTTTTATCAAGGGGTGAACGGAACCCGCTGTAAGCGAAGTCGCGGTGACATCCTCACTTCTGCCGAGCGCTTTGGTATTTATTAGCAGCTCCTTTAAACCTACCACTTTCTCATCCACCACAACCACCTCCTTAACACCACCCTTCCAATTGTCATCTGCTTTAACCCCACACAGCCCTTCAGCTATGGCTCCCACACGCGTTGCCGGTGTCTCGAACTCGGACTCATTCTCCCACAATGCGAAGAGCTACCAGATTCCATCAAGGACTTCCCGCTTTTCCGGCTTCCTCGCGAGCTTCGCGATGAGATTTACGGCTATGTTTTCTACAAACCGAAGGGTCTGCAATTCGACGAGACCACGCTAAAACTCTGGGGCATGCACGACTGGGACAAAGAGGAATCTCTTGATTTGGCGATTAGCTACACTTGCAAGGCTGTACATGAGGAAAACCGACATCTCTCTCTGAAGGTTCAATCAGATTCACTTTGGGGCTTCGCCGAATAGCTGCCGGAGTATATGGCGCCTTTTCTACGAGATTTCTCTGGTTCATAGAAGACCTAACGTCAGAACAGCGTCAATTCGTACGAAACGTGGTGTTGTTGGAGCACCTTGACAACGACTTTGTCCCAGACTTGGGAACCATATCGGCGGCATCACGGAAGGCAGCTCTTCTATGTCAAGAGCTCCCTTTACTGCACGTCAAGTTTGTGATGTACTTCGGGATCAATTTCTATCCTGTCTTCAATTACGGCCCAGAAGTGGCAGCCAATCAAAAGATGAGTTACCAAGAATTCGAGGAGATGTCGCAGTGGATGCTGGAGCTGAAGCGCGGAAAAGACACGGCGAAGAAATGCACCTTCAGCATCCAAGTCCCAGACTTGTTCGATCAGAGGTCTATCAGCCGTTGTCTGAAGGCAAGGAAGATATGGCCTGTCAACTTCTTCTGGTTCCTCGCTAACCAGGCAACAATCGACGAGATCAATGGGGTTCCATGGGCTCCAGAGGACACCCCGGATACGAAATACCTAATCTGATGGATTCGTACGAAGCCACTACCGGTAAAGAGCGAACTTGGCTTCTATTTGCCGTCGCCTACGCTCTAATGAGGAGGACAACCACGATGCGGATGGCGGCGAGGAGAATTAAGGCATTCTGCATTCCTTGACGAACTTAGAGTATAGCTCAGGAAACCACGCTCTGGATCCCCTTCCACCTTCTCACTTCCCATTGTCACCTTTCAACTACAACTTCTAGTCAACTCACCTTCCTGGCCAGTAGAGGATAGACTATTGGAACCAAGTGCGGAAGAAATTTCGCCCAATACCCCTGGCACTGCTCCTACGACTGACTCACCTACTTCCCCGTTTTGCTCTCTTTCTGTTGCAACGGCACCGACAACCATATCGCTGATACATAAGACAGTTCAATGTCAGCGACAGATGGATCCATTGGGCAGGTTGCATGAGGAGATTGCAAAGCAGTGCAGTTTAGTTCCATCTTCTAATTGATATAAAATTATCCTACGTATTGAGTTGAGCTTCAACGTCTACCCTACCAACAAATCCGAAACGCGAAAAGGGAACCACAATATGCCCAACGAACCGAAAACGTAATACAACTGGGCTGTCACCGGTTCCCTCGCCCTCCTTCCAACGCCTCTCTTCCAAACCGGCGCGACAGACCAGCTCACCAATGTGGCTTCCAGCATGGCGCTCGTGCACAATTGCATCGTCCGTAGCTTCAACAGCATCTACCTCCAATCGCCCCGCGTGTAGTAGGGCGAGTGCAAGAGCTTCATCGGGGACAAGTCTGGCGTGGTGCGACTGCCGCTCTTCTTTTGCAAGCACGACGTTACACACGAGAATGGTATGCATGCTGCATTCCCACCGGCGCCGAAGGCGGCAAAATTGGTGATGATGCATGTATTCACCCACTGGAATTCCGAATACTGGAAGTTTGCCACGTGCGACACTTGGGAGAGGCCGAAGAAATTGCATTCCGCCGAGCCTGAGTAGCTTTGAGAAGGCTTTGATACTACGCTGGCATGGTACGAGGTACGTGGCTTGAGTTGTCGCGGACATTTATTACGTTCTGATTTTGTCTTTGGTCTATTTCCGAGTTGTTTTTCTGCGTGACCGGCCCAAATCTTTTCAAGCGTCGATACCATGCGGGCATGACAACGCACTAATTTGCGACGACGTTCGTTAATGTCTGACTTTATATTTGGGGTATTTGGCATCTCACTATTCCTCAACCGCCTCGATGTGTTCGATCGAAGGAGCGTTTTCATCGTTAGGAGTTGTCCTGGGAGAGATTTCGTCCTCATCCTGTGAGTTTTCGGCATACGGAGGTGGAGGTAGCGCCTCGCCGCCTTCGACCCACACCTTGTTTAGCTCGTCTTCGATTTCCTGTCTTCTTTGCTTCCACTCTTCGACCTTTGCAAGTCTCTCGCGCAATTCAGCCAACTCTTTCTCCACTGATGACTTTTCACTTTCGGTACCGATACGTTGCAAGTCCCATTCCTCGCCTGTCTCGCCTATGCCGAGGGTCAATGTGTATGTGTGGTAGCGTTTTAGTGATGCGCGTGTAGATATCGTGATCAGGGCTAATCCTGTGTTAGTATTCTCGAAGCAAGTTAGAGAAAAGTCGAACTTACTGATGCCCTTTGCTTTCGCCCGTTCGTAGAGCAGACCTTCAACATCGCTGCTGACAGCACTGGTACCCTCATCTACGAAAGCGTACCGTGGCTCATGATACAAAAGTCGAGCAATGCCCATGCGTTGCTTCTCGCCTCCGCTCAAGACGTCTTTCCAGTCTTTCCTGGTGTCCCAGCCTCCCTCACGATCAGGAAGATAGCCTAATCGAGCTTCTTCAAGCACGCCGCTTAGCTCGAAGTCGCGCCTTTGCGCATCCTTCATATCTATCTCGGTATGAGGATAGATGACCTGATCTCTTAAAGTTCCGGTACTTAGATAAGGGCGTTGAGGGAGAAACATGATGCCATCTGTACCCACAGATCGAGGTCGGCTCACGAGGCCTCGGTAAGTCGGCCACAATCCTGCAACAATTCGCGAAACAGCACTTTTACCGACGCCATTCGGGCCGGTGATAAGAAGATGTTCACCTGTATGAACGATGAACGAGAGTGATTCGATGAGTTCGTCTCCACCCATCGGATACAAGCTAGGGGCCACGACAGGAACGTGTTCAAGCCTGACGCCATCGAAGCCTTTGTGAATAGTGCCTTGGATGTCGGAAAGAGAGTATAGTTCGGGACGCGAGCCGGGAGGAGGGAAGTAGGCGTCGGCATGGACACGATGTAGAGTGCTGGTCAAAGTATACACGCGCGAAGTGTAGCCAGCTAGCTCCGAAAGATCCTTGATCGAATACATCATACGGCCACCAGCATCAGCCAGTGAAAGCATTAGTCGCTTGTTGGTGATGAAGTCCTTCATTCTGTTTCTTTCGCGGCCTTGTTTTTCTCCAATGTCAACTGACTCTAAAGCCTTTGCAACACCGCCCCACGCGGGTAAAAATACAGGCAGGGATGTTATGAAGTAGCCAAATGCCGACCAGCTGCGGATTGTTAGTCCAATGCACATTGTAAGATCTGACAGTACGAACCTGTATTTGAGAACAAAATCCTCCAGCATGTTGTATCGGATCTTCAAGCTGTATATGCCCTCCATCCAATGTTTGAGCTCTCGGAATCCCTTGTCTAAGAAGTGCCTTTCCATCTGATCTCCACCGTAGAAAGCTACCTCTTCAGCATTTGCGATAAGACGAGAATGCAGTGCTCGGAAGTCGCCCTCGCGTCGCCCCTCTACAGCCTTTAGCTTCCCAAAAGGCGGAGAGAGTCTCCGAAGAATAGTTGCGGTCAGGAAATAGTTTGCGACGAGTCCAGTCAACGCGATTGGACCGAGTGATAGATATAGTTGGTAATTGAAAACGCATAGATCGACGAATGGCTTCCCCAGTGACGAATAAAGCGATGCAGCGGATTGACAGAAGAGTGTCAGATCCTGCGTGATGAACTGATCCGCGCCTTGCCCGATCCCTCCGTCCAGATTGTTGAGTTTGTAGTAGTTCAAATGGTCATTCAAGTATAGATCGTGAATGTACCGTGTAAGCCTAGTCCGGAACGCAATCGAGACTTTCGATTGCAGGAACTTGATCATGGCGTTTGTGTAAGATGCAAAGCTGCCGATGCCACACCATTTCACAATGCCCCAGAGGAAGGCTTTGCCGTTGCCTGCCACCAAATCCCGGACTATCTCACCATCTAGGCGAGCAACAACCAGCGAGAGGTATGTCCGCAGCATCAAAAAGACGCCATGACTCAGCAGCAGCCCCGTCTCTTTACTACTCCATCTCGGTATCATGATATTGAGGAGGCTTAGGAACTGGTGGAGGAAGGCGAGGTTCAATCCCGGCTTCGTCTGCGGCGGCGGAACTTGCGGTGCAGTTCCGTCACCTAAGCCTGCAGCACGCGGAGGTTGCAGGAAGAGTCGTCGATGCGCATCGAAAGTGGTAGGTTTTGTCGGATGAATGGTGACCTTCGAGGTGGCATCGCGGTACGGGACGTATATAGTCCGGGAACCGTCTTTGCCTCTTACACCAGAGTTACGGCGTAGCAGCCGTCGACCTGTTTCCTTCTCTTTCCGCCGGTTCTTCCACCAGTTGCTCCCTCCATATCCGGCACCAATTATAGAAACTAGGAGGGCGAGGGTGGAGAGGAGCTTGGTGACTTTGGAGGCATGTTTGACGCGTGATCGTAGGATGCCGGAGTAGTGGGCAAAGAGGGCACGTAGAGGGTCCTCGCTATGCCGGAGGGTAGATTGGGCGGCCATGATAACGCATCTTTTAGCAGGACAGGAAGAAGAGGAGGAAGAGAGACGGAGGTTGCGGTGTTGTAGACCTCGTGGTCCGCACGTATCATGGCATGTGAAAGGAACCGAGGTCCCTTGAAGGTTTTGCTTGGCACCAGAGCCACAATCCGGGGTAGTCAAGCCCCTGCACCCCACGGGACATCCTTGAAGCTCATCTCTACTTTATAAGAACTTGTATAGTGGCCATAGTGAATGATTTTAAAAGGGTTATTTGGCTGGCTTCGAAAGGTTCGCTTTAGAACGCTCCTGATATCGTTTCTAGTCTAATCCTCTCTAAGTTACCTTTCTTCAGCCTCACCAATGCTCTCCCAATACGGTCGAGCTGTGATTGGTCCTAGCACTAATACTCAGGGCCTCAAAATTGCGCCCAACTGTAAAATAGTCCTGCGTGACTTTGCTAGACTGCTTCATCATTAAGTTCTATCATGCCAAGGTAGCTGCCAAGGTATACTCCCTGTGTTCAATGGTTTTGCCTTCAGTCCTTCTCGGACTTGCCTGATCTAGGCAATATACCAAGCCCGGATTCATCCTAGAAAGAGTGGAATTCGCCCCACTGGACCCTGAGTCTAATAGAACTGCCTTCAAAACTTTCTGTTGCCAACTGCACTTATTATGCCTTTCTTTGTATGTTTTCTATGTTTGCTATATTTGATATTTACGACCTAGCCAGCTCGCCGGCACGTTGTAGAAGGTCGCTAGAAACGATGGGTAATAGGACGTCTGATAAAGAGGGTATAACGTTTCTAATTTACTCCTATAGTTACAATCACAGGGAATAGCGCAGCCGGTGATCACAACTCTTAATTCCTACTCCGGAGAGTGCGTTGCCGTTACACTAACCCAGCGAACCACAGTATGCCTTCAGTAGGTTTCGCAGCTAATCCCCAATTACGCTTCCCATCTTCTGAAGTACATGCACTGCCATATCTGATCACCTCCAAATGTTACAACCCAGTACTGTCGAAGCACGGGACACATGCTCAGTGGCTTGCTTTCTGCAGGCACACCTTCGACACTTTACTTGCCACCCCAATGGCCCTTCCTCGCAGCTCTCAAGTCATCCACATTCAACAGTCCAATTCCCTCATCATACAACACTTCCCAGACTCTGTCTCGTAAGGCTCGTGGCCACCGCGGTGTACCCCAATACCGAGGAACTAGACCCCGGGTGCGTGCATTCGATATTTGCTGGCGTATTATGAGAGCTTGCTCTTCGGAGAGTGGAGGGCCCCAGATGTGTGGAGCCGAAAAGGTAACTTTATTGACACCAAGAGCGCGGATGAAAGGCGCGGACGCTAGATGCGAGTTGGATGGGTTGTATTTAAACCCGTATGGTGAGAAGCCATGTGGATCCCCTGGCTGTGGGTCGCGATCAGAGGCATCTTCGAGCGCATCGAGAGGAGCGTCGTAGAAGATATCTCGATAGGTTGTGTTGGCAACAAGGAGGTCGAAAGGCGCGTTCCCGGTAGCCACGATAGTAACCAATCCTTCGGTTCGGGTGGTGCCATTCCAGGTCGTAAGCCAGCCGCGACCTCGGAGAGGAGCAAGCTGCTCTTGGACCTGAAGAAATGTGTCGACGCCGTCAGTCTTGAAGTCGATCAGAAGAGTCAACGCCTGGTCCGGGTCTTGGTAGAAAACGCCATGAGGGGTGGCGCTTGGCCCCGCAATTTTGTTGGGTGCATTCATACGCTCGATGACGGTTATCAGCGGATCGATGTACATGGTTCGAAGGGTCGCGTTATCACTCAGAGTTGCAGTAGTGTGTCCCACAAACAACTCTGGCTCTCGTCGGTCATTTTCAAAGTACCATACATCGGCTTCAACACTGATGCAGCCAGAACCCAAGGCCGCGTACAGGGGCGTTCGGCGCCAGTAATCGTTGTGCGAATGGCACGGCTACGATAATTAGTTCAATTAAGGATGAAGCAGATACATTAAAACTTGCCACAGGCAGCACACTTTGGATGTAGTGTGTAGGATAATAGGGAGAGTCAACAGAGATTCGATCGGAGTGCTGGCGAAAAGGTTCAAAGGCATCATCGAAGGGGTCCGGGCTGAGCCATGGGAGGACAGTAAATACGAAACTTTTGGATGTGAGTGTTGTACCTGTTTCAGAGCACTGAGACACACTTACAGGCCAATATAGGTTCCAGCGGCAACTGCAAGTATGAAGATTAGGTATCTCAGCCCTCTTCTAGTACAGTTCTGCCTCCTTGCAGTTCGACATATCGGTACTCCGATACTCTTTCGTGCCACGGGAATCCTTAGTTTTCGGCCCCAATTACGAGCATGCTTCGACCGGCGGAATTTAGAGCTGATATGAGAGTCTATGTCGGCATCTCGCTCACCAACTCTTTCATCTAACAGCAGGGATTCTAGTTCTAATTCAGACACTACCTCGTCCCGGCCAAAGCCATCAAAGGATTTCGAAGAAGTCATCAGGTTGGTGATAAGAGATAGTAAGCGACAGAAAATATTGGCGCGCAAACCTGAAAGTCGTTGTTGGTTGTTGGATGTAGAGAGTCTTTTGGGCTGGGCCATTACCTATAAAGGGCAGTGACATGCAGTGGCCGCTTAGGACGCGTCATCAACACTAGCACGACTAGGATTCGCCGACTGAGGCTAAAATGACTCGGATTTCAAGCCAGCTGACGCGGCTGCTCATGCAATCTTGGCATAAAAGAGATAACTTCTTTGTATTAGAGGGGGTGTTCGTTCTTGGGTGTTGTGTTAGAAAAGACAGGAGGCGAAGCCCAAACACAAGGTGACGTCCGGACGCTAGCTGACTAATTCGGCTTTAAGCCAACGACCTACGTTGGATCATGACACAGTATCGAAACATTGTTTGTTGTCTAGTATCACAGTACTTTACGCCCTCGGAATCTTCACATCGTTTTCCTATCCGTGTGAGCTGACTCAGCCGGCTGCGTAGGCGCCTCAACGTTTGGATGGCCTGAGGTGAATTGCGTTGCGGTACAAAGTAAACAGGTACTGGTGGAAGTTACTGAGGTAGAGGGTGCTTTCTTAGGGCTACAAGACTACAAGTAAAGTAGCTCGAGTCTAGACTCAATCAAGAGAATGGAGCATTCGGACCGCTGCATGGGTTCAGAAGCTGAAGCTTGACAAACACGAATCAGCTACGGTGTACGAGTACTCGATTGCCCACAGAGCACGCAGCATATAATGCATGCTTCAGCTCCGTAGCCATCACTCGGGCGGAGTTCGCGGCGGCCTAGAAATTAACGCAGCAGAGCGCGATGAGGTTTGACAACCATTGTCGTCGAGATAGGCTAGTAGCTTCCAAATCATTGCTATTGATATGCTCGATATGCTCGATATGCTCATCTCGAGGACTTATGCCACTAGTTTTGTCAATCAACGCGCCCCCATCACTCAGCCTTACACATTCCCTTTCCTCGGGATCATTCTGGGCCTCCATGATGCCTTCAGTACTCTCTCCATAACTCTCTGCTGCTACCGGTTTGGTCGCACCACCTCTCTCATTACTCCGATGTTTGCGGAGCCCTCAACAAGAGCAGCTGAGGTTTCAATTCTGCAGCACTTGCTTCTTGATGTCGACCCTGAAGAAATCGCCATCTCCACCATCGGTATATTCCAGCGACACTGCACCAAGCTCGTCGATTCCCCAAGTCACTTGATTCAGGCCTGGGTCCTCGGCTCCCTGAACAAAATTGTCCTCTTCCACAACATCAGGATGCCCTTTTTTGAAGAACTCCATGATCTTCGAATTGGCCACCTCGACGGTTGCGAATACACCAATAATCTTGTTTTCGTTGCAATCGGAGCTGTACACGTAACGTTCTTCGTGCATTACAACGAACATAGGGGAGTTCCTTGTTGGTGCGTTTGTTGCGGAGGCCTGCTGCTGACTGACGTTTCTGCCAGCTGCCTCGACTGCGTCTTTGAGGTATTGGGGATAGTCTCCCTGGACATATTCGTCTCTCTGCATTGCGAGAATATATGCTGGCGTCGAGAGGTTCGTCAGATATCTGCAGCTGATGATATGTGAGAGGCTTGCGATAATCTTTTGTCTTGAATGGCGGGGAATTCGAGGAAATTGAGGATGTTGAGGACAGGTGGAGGGATGCCAGCGAGTCTACGGAAAGTACTGTACCCCTTTTTAACCAAATTGGGTGAGCCACAACCTTGGAACACAATTCAACGTAGCCTTGGTAGAGGCTTAGTAATGAAGGCTCGACTTTGGCGGAAATTGAATACCGAAAAGGGACGTACATTCCCTGTTGCAATACGCGACGGGTGGCGTTAAAATGAATTTCTCCATTCGCTTCTCTTCGATTGTATACCGTGATACGAGTTTCGCACGTACAAAGGTACCCGTTTGGGACTCTAATGAGCGCTACAAAATCGCTGCAGAAATTGAATGCGGGCACAATGCTCCGTTTCTTCAAGACGCGCGGACCAAAATAGAAGCCTTTCTGGGACCTCTAGCAGACATCTCTCCCATGACGGACAAGCGCCGAAGAATCACATGAGTAGTTCATGTGTCTCGATATAGACTTTAAAGACATCACCCTCCGCCCCATCTGCGTATTCTAGCGATAGAGCGCCAGAACTATCAATCTTCCACGTTACTTCATTAAGATCAGCGCCTACTCCCTCTCCAAAGAAGTTGTCCTCCTCCACAACACCGTCGTGGTGTTTTTGAAACATTTCCATGACTTTGGCATTGGCAGTGTCGATGTTTCCGCAAATAGCCTCAATGTCGGTGCTGTTATCCTCGCTTCTATAGTGGAATTGTGCCTCGTGCATTATGATGAACACCGGAGGATTGCTTGATGATGTACAAGCCACGGAAGAAGCTTGTCGCTGACGGGCGGCCCTCCCGGCGGCCTCACATGCGGTTTTGACGTATTGGGGATAGTCTCCTGCGATGATTGGACTGCTGCTACTTTGGCGTTGAGGAGCCATTTCAATAGATGTGAGGTCGATACAGAAGATGGCTTCGGAAGTTTGTATAAATGTTGGAGGTGGTGCAGAGTGTCGAGGTTGAAAAGTGACCTCATCGATCGTCACGGCGGCAGATCTGCGTAAATCCATGTATCTTCTGGCTAGTCAAAAAATCAGTCCTGCAGTTCACGCCTCAGGATATAAAATTTGAAAGCGTCTCCATCTCCGCCATCTTCGTATTCGAGCGACAGTGCACCGAGTTTGTCGATCCCCCACTTTACTTCGTTGACATCAGGGCCATCTTCGTCCTCAGCAAAGTTGTCTTCGTTCAGATCCATAACATCGCCGTAATGTTCCTGAAAGGCATCCATGACCTTTGCGTTCGCCGTTTCGAGAGTTGCGAAGACTCCAACAGCATCGATTACGTTCATAGGAGAGTCATAGAAGTAGTGTGTTTCGTGCATTACGATGAAGACGGTAGGATTACTTGATGATGTACCGGCTCTGTCGGAGGCTCGCTGCTGGCGGATTCGCTTCCTGGCTTCTTTGAATGCAAATCGACGTGCTTAGGATATCCATTCTGCTTTTTGACGCGTTTTGGAGGCGGATAGTCGTCATGGTAGGTCTCCATTGCGATGACCTAGGAGTTATTTCCGGATTGAGGAGGTGTTAACGTATTTGTGAGGTTGTGTCGAGATGTCTTTTCGACGGTGTAGACAAGAGGAATTGTTCTTGTTTTCGCGGAAGGCATAGAGGCTATATATATAAGGGTACCTAATATAATCGGGGGCATATAAAATTAAGTGGAGCTATCCAGCTGATAAAGGGACTAGTAGCTAGTAGTATAGAGTCTAGCCCCAAAAAATATTGAACAATCACCCAAGTGTCAATGCCTCTGCGCAGGACGTGACTTGGAAGTTTGCGTGTGAGTGTTGGAAGTGGAGGTGCTGAGTGTTATGGTTGAGAGATGCGAGAGATCGCCAAGGCGGCAGTTCTGCGCCTCGCGTGGCAGTGATGGCTTAAAAATTCGGGAGTCCATGCACGTTCCGACAAGCTGGCACGTGGCTGGGTGGCTGGCACTTGGCCACCTCAGCACCAAACTCCTTTCCAGAACGCAGTTATCGCCATCATCCCGACTTCGCAATCTCGACTATCTCAATGCTAATTATCACGGCGGACATGATGCTCTGGCAGGCACCATATGCATCTAAGTGCTCGCTTAGTTCGGCTCCGAAGCCGTTCTCCGCGAAGCCCGCCTCCTCCGCATTCACGTTGGCCTCACAAGTCCATA